GGCAGGGCTACAAAAATAAGAGATATTCCTGCAATAGTATTCTGTGTCATCAGCATTCTCTCCTAATGAGTTATCATCCTGCCATGAAACATTGTTCTTAGCAGCTCCAACTATTAAATACTACTGCCTATGGGGCTTTTCCTCCCTCCCTCTGAAAACAATGTATAAAGAATTATTCTGTTTGTTTTTAAGAATGTGGGTATTTTCTTTTTAGTGAAGACAAAACTTTAGCCTTGCTCACTGCCTAGGATTTACATTTGATAATTCAGCAGAGAGATTTTGAGACACGAAACTGTTTTGCAGATAGATATTTTTTGGGGGGGATATTTAAGGTGAATAAACAGGGAAGACTCCCTGGAAAAGACCCTGATGTTGGGAAAGATGGAGGGCACAAGGAGAAGGGGACGACAGAGGACGAGATGGTTGGACAGAGTTCTCAAAGCTACCAGCATGAGTTTGACCAAAGTGCGGGAGGCAGTGGAAGACAGGAGTGCCTGGAGTGCTCTGGTCCATGGGGTCACGAAGAGTCGGACACGACTAAACGACTAAACAACAACAACAAACAGGGAAGACAAGAATGAATTATTTTGTACAGTGCAAGGGACAAGAAGAGCTTGAGTAGGAAAAGTAGGATGAGGCTCACAACAGGAATTCACATTTTGAAAAAGCAGAGAAAAACCACTCGGCAGAAAGCAATGTGGGTACATTAATGATTATACAACAATAGAAGCAGATAGGCCATACTACACCAAAATGTGAGGCAATTTCTTTGAAATCAGGGCACACTGTTACACTTCACCGATTTCCCCCCATAATGAAGCAACGGGCTGTTAGCCAATTAACTTGCATGTATCACATCCTTGACAGATATGCAGGCAAAATTCATGCTCTTTGACCATAAGAGAACATTGTTTAGAGTTAGAAGAATCAAACCTCTATCCTAGCACCACCACACTGCTGACTCTGCTGTTACACCTGCAGCTCTCGCTGGTACAGTAAGAACATTGCTGTTTGCAGGTGATAAATCACATTTCAAGAAATGTAGGAAAGCACTTTTCAACTGTGCTTGGCAATTATTTTTGCAGAGAATGGGGGAGGGGGGGAGGAACACCTCCCTCCTCCCTTACCACAACAGTGACACTAGTTTTGTATTCTAGTTCAGTAGCTTGAGAACCATTCTGATGTGTGAAGCAGGAAGCAGTGTGGCTGTAAGGGATAGCCTTCCAAACAGGGAATGGGGCAATGTTTTGCTTCCTGGGAATCCACAATATTGTTATATGGGTTGCATCCCAATTCTTTACTGCTGCATGTGCATTTTTTGAGCACATTGATTGGGGAACTACACTGCAAAATTCAGAAAAGTGTGCTTTTAGAAGGATGGCTGCATTTTTGTTCTTGTCTTGCTTTGGAAAGTATGGATTAAGTGGGTTCACCTTACAACAGGAACTGAATTGAATTTCTTCCCCAGCACTACTCAGAAGGAAATCCTATTGAATTCAGCTTTCGGAAGGAATTCTCAAGGTTTGAAAATGTGTAAACTGCTGTTGGAATGGGAAACAAGAGATGAACAAGTTAAAGATGTAATGGTAAAATGGGCAATAATATCCCACTCAAGGACATAATGTCCCACTCGAGTCATGGGAAAGCTGTGGAAGAAGGATCTAAAATTTACTGCATGTAGTTTGTTAAAGGAAAACTATAAGAAAATGATGTACCATTGGTACCTAACCCCAGTTAAGATTGCAAAGATGTATAAAAATTGCACCAAAACATGTTAGAAATGTAAAGATAATGATGGCACCTTTATGCATATGTGGTGGACTTGTAGAAGGGCAAAAGACTTATGGGAAATGATTTATAATGAGTTTTAAAATGTTTAAGATAACCTTTCATAAAAAACCAGAAGCCTTTTTGCTTGGAATAGTGGGGGAAGAGATACCAAGGAATCTAAAGAGACTATTTATGTATGCTACCACGGCCGCTAGAATGTTGTTTGCCCAAAAATGGAAAGAAGGTACAGTGACGAAGCAAGAATGGATCACGAAGATGATATTATGCCGAAATGGCAAAACTTATTGTGAAGATCAGGCAACAAGACGAGAAGAAATTTACACAAGATTGAATAAAATTTATAGAATATGTTAAAGAACACTGTAAATATGTTAAAACATTAGCAGGGTTGTTGTAACATTTATGACGGGATAAATTTGAACAATTTATTTATTAATAAGGTTTGAAACTTATACAGGAAAAATAATGATATGCAAGATTATGACTGATTGAATTTGGAAGCCAGGGCGGAGGGACGGGGCGGGGAGGAAGTCAAACAAGATGAATTTGATGAACGATGGAATGTAATAATGTTGTATCAAATTTTTTGGTATTTTTTTTAAAAAGGAAATCCTATTGAATTCAACTGAGTTTACTCCCAGGTTAGTGGGATTAGGACTGCAGCCCATGCTGCTAAAAGCAGCTAACTCAGATAGCTGCCTGTAGGAAAGAAGTTTCACTTCTCTTTTTATCTGGGTTAAAAAAATTATGTAACGGAATAATTCATGTTCAGCCAACATCAGGCTGTTACCAAGGTTTCCTGTTCAAAACAAAAGTGAATTATTTTCTCCCCTTCTTTAGACAAGAGTAAGAGAAACAGACTGCATGCTAACATACAATTCCATACAAAAAGATGAAACAAATAGAATTTCATGATTTAAATAATGTGACCAGCAGCTGTGCTTAAGATCATCAATGCAGGAGAATACCAGACTTCCATGCACACCCATATCAGGCCAGTATATTCCCTGGAATCTACAGCACGCTGTCAGTATCAATGTAGAACAAGAAAAACATGCAGTGGACCCATTTTGCATTGGCTTTTATACTGAGGAATGCTTTCCTCAAAAGCCATGTGTTCAAGGGCATTCTTTTCTTTCAATTCCTCTCCCTGTCTTTTCTTCTTCCCCATTTTGCACATTGAGAAAAGCTGAGAGCAGCCACCTGTTGCTCATTGCATAGGAGGTCTAAGTACTCGGGGGGGGGGGAGTGATAAAACCTCCCCACTCACCTTTGGGGTTGGCTCTAGTGCCAAATTTCCTGCACAGAGCGAGGAGTTGCACTGGTTGATCTAGGTAGACCACTGGTTTTCAGCTGGCAGGTCAAATATGCAGGGGGCGATAAAGAAAAATGGATCCCAAAGTGCATGCTTGGGTTAAAGGTGAATTTATGTCTAAAAACACTGAAGACGACTCATCTTACACATGCATACCAGAGCAACATTACAGTTTCAAGCACCACATGTTTTAAAAATATTTTACTGTGGTCTATAAAGTATTGCTGATCTCTTTTAAAAATAAGCTGCAACACTTGTTTTTTTGCATGTTGTTCCCACAGCTTCATCGGTTACAGCAGGGTTAATCCTCCTCTCCTCTCCCCCTTTAATTTGGTATAGCTTTTCAAGAAGCAGTTGCCAAGCACAGTTCAGCCTGTGAGTTACAGGAAGGAGAGAAAGAGTCTAATCTGCTCAGGTCTTATCTTGGGGCTAAAATACTTTACCTTCTTTATTGCAGACTGATTGATGGGGTTGTCTTGGCCAAGAAACCAGCCTGGCTCAGGCAAGGTTCCATTTTCTTCGCACGCATAAAATCTGGAGCTGTGCTGCTTCCCCCTAGTGTACATCAGGCTGCATTACAAGCCCTGTTTATGGACTTTAAAAATTTACACGGCTAATATAAGTGACTTAAGTTCTCATGCACTACTTATGGTAATTTATGGACTGGACAGGTTAGAACCAGTTACCCCATGCTCCAGTGACCTCAGATCTAGATGGGTGCAATGTGCTCAGCACCAGACTACCTGGGAAAGTGTTCTGGAAGCTGCAGGATGCGGCTGGTAGGGTTGTAAACAAGTGACCCTGTTTGCCACATTCAGAACCACATAATACTGCTTCTGAGGGTACAGTGGTACCTTGGTTCTCAAACCTAATCCGTTCCGGAAGTCCGTTCCAAAACCAAAGTGTTCCAAAACCATGGTGCACTTTCCCATAGAAAGTAATGCAAAATGGATTAATCCCTTCCAGACTTCTAAAAACAATCCCTAAAACAGCAATTTAACATGAATTTTACTATCTAACGAGAGCACTGATCCATAAAATGAAAGCAATAAACAATGTACTGCAGTCACACAATCAATCAATCAATCAATCAATCAGGAGCTGAACTGGGTTCCACAGTTACAAAAACAAAACAAAAAGAGCTGCAAAAACAAAAGCACGAAATAAATAGCAAAAATTGGCAGACCTCAGCATAACACTCAAAACAGAAGTGTGGCACTCAGATCAGAAGCATAACACTCAAAACGGAGCACAAACAGTTTTTGATTTGGGCTTCCACTGAAATGAGACTGCATTTTAAGTTGTATTTTAATCCTGTTTTTAAGTTGTATTTTAATCCATTGTTTTTATACCTGATGTTAGCCGCCCTGAGCCCGGTCTTGGCCAGGGAGGGCAGGGTATAAATAAAAATTATTATTATTATTATTATTATTATTATTATTACTATTATTACCAGCCTGACACTGAGCATAGCAGCAGCATGCAGTGGCGTAGCGTGGGGGGTGCAGGGGGGGCCCGGCCGCACCGGGCGCAACATCTGGGGGGGGGCGCGCTCGCACTCGCAGCTCTCTGCCCCTACCTGGCTCACTCACTCTCTCTCACTGCAGTGCTGGCTGGGCGAATCCGATCCGAGCCGCTGGGTCGCCGCCCACTGTGGAGGGGTGGGTGCCACGCGCGGGGCGCGGAGAGCGCGCGAGGGGCAAACCGGGGAGGGACAGTGCAGCGGCCGCCCAGCGCAGCGCTGAGCGCGGGAGAGAACCACACCAGACCAGACCAGGCAGCAGCAAGAAGAAGCTGGCAGCGGCGGCAGGTTAGGGGGCGCAAATTACTTGCCTTGCCCCGGGTTAGGGGGCGCAAATTACTTGCCTTGCCCCGGGTTAGGGGGCGCAAATTACTTGCCTTGCCCCGGGTGCTGACAACCCACGCTACGCCGCTGGTAGCATGTCCCCGAAGGTCCAGAGGCATAGGTACTGAGAGGTGAGGGTTGCTGAAACCTATCCTTCTCAAACAGCCATGCATCCCACACTTATGACCAGTGACAACGTGAAGGTTTGAATTTTGTTTTTATTTCATTGGTGTCCTGCCTTTTTCCTCCAAGCAGCTCAATGCTTTCGCATTTCATCCTCACAACAATCCTGTGAGGTAGGCTAGGTTGAGAGATAGCAGCCGAGACCAGAAGAAACTGGCAGTTAATAACAAGGCATAGCAACAGTTCCCCCAACTGGGAGTGTCAGTAGTAGGCCCAGAGTCCTTCCCCAAGTGAACCAGATGTAACGTCTGATAGCAGATAGCAGGCACATGTCACTTTTCCTGGTTCCCACTCCCAAATCCCATGATCCTTCAGTTATTAAAATAAAATCTAAAGCCATGCATGTTGGGGGGAATACAAGAGAATCTTCTCTGAGCAAGGCCCTCCAACCTTTCTGGGGCCAAGGGGTGCATTTGGAAGTCCAAGAAAATGTCATGATGCCAGATTTAACTAACTGGTCCTGCTACCAGAAGCCCACACAAGGACTTCTGTTAGCACAATGAGGCTTTCCTCTCCTTACCCATGCCCCTGCCCAATTGGGTAAGGAGAATCCCCAGAAACAGCAGATAGGGGAGGAGAGAGGAGATTCCATCAGGCAAGAGGAAGCGCTTGTGCTGAGAGAACAAGCTTCTTAGAACAACGTGGAATTTATTCTACGGGTTCCACAAAATATCCATTCCACAGAAGAAAAACTGCCAATGCTCAGGAAACCTCCCCCTCAAAACATGAGGCAAAATACCAATTGCCACCCCCAAAAAACAAAATAAAAATGGAGACAAAGTAGGCAACACCCAACCCAAAAAAGCAGGCAACACACACACCAAACTATTGGCCAAGCAAAAAAGTAGGCCAAGCACCCCATTGTGGGGCCCACAAGCATACAGGGTGGGGAAGTGCTCAGATAGCTGAGCCCCATGGAAGAATCGGAATGCAATTTAGGAGAGGCAGGAGGCCTTGCCAAGAACCAAGGAGGGTGTCTGAGGACATGGTGACACCCACAGAAACCATCTTGAATTTAACAACAGATCTACCCCTTATAGGAGTAGTGATGGACATGAAATAAATAAGTCACCAAACTGGCAACATTTAGGGCTCAGCATGTCTCTGCGTCATTAATGTTCGGCAGGTCAGTCTCATTCTAGCAGCCCTGGGTGAGAACATCTGGGGGCTTGACATGAGACCAAGCATTAGTACTTGGGGCTAGATGCATGTTGTCAACAGTCCTCAGCCTCAGGTCCTTCACGGATCCACTGCCCGTCCTTTGCCTGGTTCCTGCCTGCCCAATGCAAGCCACAGCAAGGCAACGGAGGCCTCTTGCTGGCAGCTACACCATGGCAATGGCAGAGTCTTCGGTGCTGCTCTCCTGGTCTAGACCCACTCTCCTGATGGACTCCCTGTACTTTTGCCTTCCCAGTGCAATGATGGCTGAGATCTCATCTGCTATGTCTTGGCGGCCGCTCTCCTTCATGGCACTGATCAGCTTGTCGACACAGTCGGGGTGTTTTTCATTTTGCTGAGCCCAAGAGAAGAGCATATGCAGAACCTGAGCCCCGAGGTCGTCTCTGGAAAATACAGATGGCGCATCACACAATGGTGAGTCTCCTTGAAATATTTTACAATATGCCTTTTCATTTGCTCCAGGCAGCTTACAATAGTTCGAAACACACAAAGTATAAAACAATAAAATCCTAAGACCTGTTTCATTAGCAACCGTTGGAAAAATAAATTTCAGATTAGGCAGCAACCCAACCACTTCTCCAGAAGCCTACCAACTGCCTTCGTAGAGCAGGGGACACGGAAACAGAAAGGTCGGCATGATCAAAGCTGCAGGTTCTTCTGCCTAATTTAGCACCACCTGAGAAATCACACGTGTTTTAAAAACAAGCTTCAGTCCTTATGGGGCAGAGGAAGGGACATGGAAGCTCACAGACATTTTCTATAATTGTCTAAAGACCAGAAGGATTCTGGTTTTGGATTTTGCACTCATCAAAAGTTCCAGCCCCTCACTTCTTTCAGTCCTGGCCTCCACCCATCTATTGCCAGCCGCCCCAATATTTTGCAAATCCCAGCTTTCGCTTTCCAGCATTCTCTGAGGTTTGGAGAGAGGGAGACAAAACAACTTCTGCAAGAAAAAAATGAGAAGCATCTAAGACCTGCTACCAAGTGTTGGAGTGCTCTTGTTCGGGGTGCCAGCCAGTCACACCCTCCCCTCTAGGCTGTTGCTATATGCTAGCAAAGTTCTTCAGATGTTGCTACACAACAACTTCCTTCATCTCTGACCACAGGCTGTACTGGCTGGAGCTGAATACCACCAACATCTGGAGTTTCCCATTCCTGTTATATTATGTGGTAAGGAGCTCAAGGACTCCCGGCCTTCCGGTCAAAATAATTAGTGTTTCATTTTTCTTTCTCAACTGGTGCTCAATATTCTGCAACTACTGAGCCTGCTCCATCATTATTTGGCTGTTTTGGCAGTGTTTTTGCCACCTTAGGGCTAGATTCAGCCTCACTCACCTGTAATTGTATCGTATCTGCTCTACCTCCTGGTAAGACAAACCCAGGTTTAAGCCAATCGTTGGCCAATCAGCTCCAACACGCCCAGCAATGGCAAGTAGGTTGGCCTGGGTCAAGTAGCCAGTTTCAGCATTCCCCAAATTCAGAGGGGGAAGAGAAAAGCCATTTGGGGTTGTAGGCTGCTCCTTCCCCTGGGATTTCAATTTCTGCCAAAACAGAATAAAAAAACCACATATGTCTATTATTCATGGGCCAAGAAAAACCAGCAACACAGCAATCGAACCTGCCACAATTATCTCTCCACTTAGGAACATAGAAAGCTACTATATATTGAGTCAGTCTATTGATCCATCTACTTCAGTGCTGTCTCCATTGTCTGGCAGTGGCTCTCCAGGGCTTCAGGCAAGAGACATTTTCAGCCCTATGTGGAGATGTTGGGGACTGATCCAGGGATCTTAGGCAACTTACGGGTAGCTTGATTGGCAAGGTGGCTAGCCAATGGGAATCAGGGCCTTTCCTCCTCTTGGTAACCTCTTCAGGAATGTCATCTGGAACAGCACCTCGGTAAAAGGAAACCTTAAAAGATCAGAAAGTTACAAAAATGCAATTATAATAATAGGAAACACATCATAGACTACAGATCCACATACAATACAGATTCTCTTAACCGCTGCAGCATAACAAAAATAAGGGAGGAGAAAATCAGCAGCAGGATATTTAAAATTCAAAAATGGTGCACAAATACAGAATCTTCCCTCTATCCGAAGTAACTCTTAATCCCAGCCAGCCACAAAGACGCCTGGGAGCTCTCCTCTCTTTTCCCAGTCTCTCACCTTGGGTGATCTTTACTTCCCTGCCTGTCCCTCAGGGTCCTTCCGCCATTTCCCCTTGTTCCTCCTAGCACAGATATTAAGGGCAATAAAGTGCATCCTCCACTGATTACAGAGGATTCATGCTATGTTCTTCGAAGTCAGTAAACCAGAGTTGGCATCTTCCCCACTTGCCCTCCTCTGCCCCACCAAAACCATTGAATTTGTATGCCAGAGAAGATTATGTTCCTACCCAGGCACAAAATGATGAAACTAAATATAATTTATGCCTATGATCTTATTTGGACCAAGTTACGCAACACGTACTAAAATTTATGATCTCTCAGCTTGCTTAAGAGAGCTTTCTTGGAAAATATAGCTAGCTAAATTTGCATGGTTTATTTTGGCAGCAATATTTGAGGTTTTATAACAGTTTTGATGCTTGGAAAAGTGAAGGTGTTTCGGCAAGCCTAGGCAGGAGATCCTACCTGGACCCCATCAGTCACTGAAGCCTTTTGCATATTGGGCTTGCATGTTTTGAAATTTCTCTCTATAACATTTTGCATTTTTTAAAAAAAAATTAGATTCTGGGCTAGAGACTGGATTCTGCACCTTTCACAAACATATGAGTGCAATCCAGAGAAATACGTGGGACTGGAGCAATTAACTCTGATTTGTTTCAGCAGGATTTAAGTACACTCATGTTTTGGATCGTGGCCATGGACTCTGAGAAGATAAGTAACCCTGTTTATGAACTGGCACATGATTAGGAATGAGGACAATGAGGAAAAGGAATACATTTGTTAATGAGAGATGTGTCCATTTATTAAGATGCGTATTATAAATGAATATATCATGGGAAACTTTGCTGGGGCCAAAAAGGAGAAACCGATGTACCTGCCCTTTCACAGATTTGCTTTTCCTGTCCACTTCAGAGGTGATGTAGACTTCCTTCACGTTTTTCAAGTGAGAGAAAAAGTTGAACGAAATCCTTCCGTCAGTGCAGTCTGGGCGGTCTGAGTTAAGTTGGAGGCAATGCAGGCAAAGCATCAGTTTGCATTAAGCCACAGTGCTGTAAGAGGCTAAAAATCAAGGGGCAACGAGACAAATAGGGTCCTGCCCACCTGTCAAAGTTGGGCTGTTGGGGCAAGATGAGGATCTGGGATAATTCAGTCCCCCCCACTGATTCTGCATCATTAATTGGCCAGCGAAAATGAGAAAATCAATGGTTTTGCATGGACATACTCACTGATAGATGACCTGTCTTCACTGACTGGTTTGGGGGATTTCCCAATGGCCCAACGCAGGAAAATATCACCTGCTGAGCAGACACCACAGCCCTTGCTGCAGATCCCTTTTGACAGGCAAAGGGCCAGGAAAACATGGTGTCTTATCTTACATTAGCATCTCAATGGAGGGGGCTTCCCCTATTCAGTGGCCAGCACAAAAATTAAAAGGTACTGCTATTACTCTTTTAGAAGGCTTGGGTTTTTTAAAAGGTGCAAGCTGGTAAGGGTTGTAGGTTTATTAGCACGTCTGACTTAAGCTTGTGGCTGCACAATCACTTCTGAGCCCTGAAAAAGCCTCCTTTCATAAGACCCCTTTGTGTCAACAGATTTGAGGATGGCGGGCAAGGGCCAAGTCCCTTTGTTCTTCAGGGGTATTTACACAAGCGGGCTCTGCTGCACTTTACCTGCATCAATGCTGATGCCTCGTTCAAAGGCTGCAAAGAACTGCTCCCCTTCAACCATCTCTACCATGTCCGATGGCTCAGGGCCTCGGTATCTGTCGTGGAGCCTTTTCAAAACAGGATCAACCTACAAGACATCCAGGAAGAGATTTTTAAAGAAATAGATCTTGGGGGTTCACAGGGCCAAGTCATTTCATTACTCTGTGTGCGGTTTCAATGGGAGGATGAAGGTTTCCGAGGGAGAAGCTTTGTAAATGCAGGAGCAGCTGGTGCAGTGCTGCAGAACCACCCTCCTGACCCCACTTGCCAGGCCAGTACCAAGGTCTGGGCTGCATGGGCACACCAGCAGGGGTACCAGACTGGGCGCACTAGTGCACCCATAAAACCCTGAACTCACTGCCACACCCATCCTTTGCAAACGGCAGCGACACCCAGTGTTGAAAGGGTAGCTTCTGCTGCACTACCCCAGCCATTCTTGCTGCTTTATTTGCTTCTGTTACCCCTATTATGAGGACTCATGCCAAGCTGACCACCTAAGCTGGCCTCGTTCACCCTGCTGCAGCAAACCATAGATTGCACTAGCCAATGTTTCCTGCTCTCGCCATGCTTGCTGCTCTTACTTCAACTAAAGCCCATCATAAAAGAATGCACAAAGCCAATCTCAAGTATTCATAGGAGAAGGCTCTACTCACAACCAGCTGGTTCCCACCCACCCCGCTTCAAACCCAGAAAGGTCTCTCTGGATTTCATGTATTATATAGCTCATGCTAGTGAGCACAGCTTCTGCTCCAGTCCTGCACAACTCGTGCCCTCCTCTTTTTTTTGCAATCCAGGAAGAGAGCAACAGCAGGTGACTTACTGATCCCCTGGTGACCAGAGGGCTGTGTTTAGTTTGGTGGGTTACGAGTTGCTCTAAACATAGATAAGTTCTTGGCTGCATTTCATGCTTGCAGATCACAAGCGGATGTGCACTACTGCATGCGCATGTACACACACAAAACCAGGACAGTGAACAATTTACCTTGTGCTTTGGGACACACTGCAGCAAGACTTGCTCAGGATCTTTCTTCCTCTGCAGAGCTATGAAGTTCACCTGGTACATGCGCAACCTTTTATAGACATATTTGGCAAAGCCACCAATATAGGTCTTGGTGGTGCACCACAACCAGTACCTGGGGGAAAGAGTGGGGATTTGCAAAATCATTTTGATTTGTTTGCTTTTTTCGCTTGTGAGCACATATATTGCAAATGGGGGTGGCATGAGTGCAAAGTTCTGTTTCTCTATGCGAGAAGAAACATATGGAGGTGTGCAAGTGCACTTCTATGTCAAAGGAAAACTGAACAGATGATACAGAAAACAGACCCGCCCCAGTAGGGGCAATCTGATTCACCTATTTAAATACCTGCCAAAAGCAAGGAAATGATGTGTGATTGAGGAAAAGGAAGAAGCTGTGAATCTCATTATTGAATACACATACAAAACAAAACATGATCATTCCACAAGGTACAACTCAGAGACAATACTTAGCGTGATGAGTTGAATGTGCCTGTGCTGATCAGCGTTCATGATGAAATGCATATGCAATTTCTTCACCCTGAGCACAACTCTGAACTCAATCCCAGTATCTACTATTCCGCAGCAAAGCATCTAAAAGCAGATGGATCAAGTGCCATGGTGCATTTGAGTTTGCTGTGAAGCATGAGGCATCAGCACAACTGCTTCCCTGCAGATACAAAGCCAGCCTTCATGTGATCAACTCACATTCTCCATGTCTGAGTGAATCAGCAACATGAACAAGCCATTATGATACTATAAATTTTGTCCAGCACACCTGGTACCTATAAGATTGCATTCCTCTGTGTCTGTATTCTTTGCTAAATGTTCTAGAAAGACACAAATAGCCTGAGTTGGACTACGTTCAAGTATACACTGCAGGAAATCAGTAAGAACCAGAATCAGATCTGCAGCCTGGCTCATATAAGCCCAATATGATCCTTCTTGCCTGGTGGAGAAGCAGGAACCGAGGACCATTTAACAAAGAATACTAAACAGTTATCTTACTGTTGACTACCCACTCCCACCCCTTGTTCAGAGGAAAGAGAAAACAACTGGATGAATATGGTCTCTTCTTTGTGGAGCTCCCAGTTCTTATGTTATATATAATGTGTATGGATGGCAGGAAGGGATGGAACCTTCTCTTCTTGCTGGCCCAGGAAGATATATGAAGTGTGCCTCCTGGGTCAACTCACCAGGAGAAGTGTGTGACTTCAAACAAAGCATAGAGGTGGGTGAACTCCAGCACCACCTGACTGGTGATGTCATTCCAGTTCTGAGCATTCCAGTCACTGTGCAGCAGATGCACCCTGGAGCGATCCAGGGTCAGACCTGTGGACCAAAAAAAATATGCTGTTATCTACAGACCTCAAGGACAAACTATATTCAGTGCATAATCAGGATGGATGAGGTTTTGTTCCAATAATAAATAATAATAATAATAATAATAATAATAATTTATTATTTATACCTTGCCCATCTGGCTGAGTTTCCCCAGCCACTCTAGGCGGCTTCCAATCGAGTGTTAAAAACAATACAGCATTAAATATTAAAAACTTCCCTAAACAGGGCTGCCTTCAGATGTCTTTTAAAGATAAGATAGCTACTTATTTCCTTCACATCTGAAGGGAGGGCGTTCCACAGGGCGGGTGCCACTACCGAGAAGGCCCTCTGTCTGGTTCCCGGTAACCTCACTTCTCGCAATGAGGGAACCACCAGAAGGCCTTCGGCACTGGATTATCAATGGAACATGTGAAATTGTGAAATGACTGGGGCGGCGTGACCCAGAATAAACAAGAGCACCTTGCAGTTCAGTGTGTTATAGTGCACTATACTTGCACAACCCAATTTCCTCAACAGAAGATTAACTGTCCAGCTTGAAAGCGCATTTAATTGTAGCAACGTTCTGCAAATTTAACTAGCCTGTGAAATTCAGGTGTGGTAATTCTAAGGAAGCATTAACAGTTCTGTCAAAACCCTTCTGCTGAGGGAATTTCTAGATCAAACCTACCTGTGACTCCTGGGGGCAGAGGGAGCTGAATTTGTACAGGCTGAAGGAAGTCGATGCTGGAATTCTGGGAGAGGCAGAGGAGGGGGCTAGCAACCGTCTCAGGATCATTTGTGATCTCCTGTAGGTCCTCTGAAGACACGGGCAGCACCTGAACATTTAAAAAAAGGGGGGGAATTGGCTCCATCAGGTAGTGTGGGGGTTTCCTACACAAGCAATGGACTTTGTAGACCATTCTTCCCACAGCAGCTATCAATGTCTTGAAAAAATGGTCCTGAAAGTGAAGGGATCTAACACTGTGGAAAAGGCTGCACTCAGAAGCAATATTGGGAAAGATTCCAGCCACAGGTGTCAATAGTTTTATTCCTAAAAGTAATTATTTGAGCAGTGACTGTATAAGTCAAATAGGAGCTTCCAAAATTCTTTCAGGGCATGTCTTTTTGATTTTATAACACCAGGGCAACATTAAGGCACTCATGACCTAAACTGTGCAACTTGACTGGAATAGGTCTTAAAAAAAATTAAATCTCCAATCTTTGAATACATTTCTGGACTCTTTAGGCTTCCTGGGCAGAGGCTTACCTGGAGCTTCACTGTCCTCGTCTCCTCAGTCACGCCAGGGGGAAAGGTCACTTTGATGTTGGGATCGACAGTTGAAAAAAGCAAGGCTCCCTCTTGAGGGACTCTGCATTCATTCTCCACAAGTCGAGAGACAACCAAGAACCAGGAGAAGTGAGGGACGCTGCAGCAGGCCACATGCTTCTGTCAGAGGGTGTGGAAGGAATGACAGGCACCATTGTAACATGCAACAATACTTTAAACAGAGGGAATCAGGCACTGAAAATGAGCGCAGGTCTTATACTCCTTACAAATATCCGCGAACTGGCCTGGCTCAAATGTAACAGGGCCACTTCCAACAACAGGCCATAGCCTGTTGGGTTGTACATAATGAGCAACAAGCTTGAGTGTGCCCCTTCATCCTCATCTCACACACCCAGCTTCAGAAGAGACTTCCTGCTTTCTTAAACCAGAGTTCCCTGCGGCATTCAAACCGGGAAACTCTGGTTTTAAGAAAACTAGGACATCTCCTCTGCAATCTGGGCGTGCTGGTTCAGATGATGAAACAGCTAGCTGACTCACAGAAATAACTAGCTCAAGCATGTTGATCATTCATAATCATCACATCTGAATTTGTCCAATTTGTGTTTGACAGACCTACTAACTTACGGAACTTTCCCTTAAAAGCTCTCTCTCTTTGGCAGTACACAGAACAGAGAGGCCAACAAATGAGAGTGCAATTCCTAACGGTACTACACATATAACCAACTTTTCTGCCAAAGAGCTCAAAGTGGCACACATGATTGTTGCCCTATCAATTGATCCTCACAACAATCTTGTCACGTAGGTTGGGTTTAGAAGACAGTGACTGGCCCCTACTGAGCTTCACCAATGAGTGGAGATTTGAACCTGAGTCTCCCCTGCCTAACCACAACACTATGCTGGCTCTCTGTGAAAGGCCACCCATCTCAGTTGCAAATAAAACCAAGTATAAGACTTACTTAGCATGCCTAGGTGCAGGACCTTAATGAGTTAACGGAGTGGGTGATGTGCATTACAATCTCTAGGGGAAAACACATGGCAAAACTGAAGAGAAAGCAGCTGCAGGTTACAGCTCAGCCCTCCCTCCAAGCTTCCAGCAGGAATTCAATATGGCACCCAACTGATGCAAGGAAGAACTTGCTGAGAAGTGAGGTAACTGGCATGTTTTACAACCCGTTGCACTTCGTGGCCTACCTTTGGCTTTTCTTTCCATTCCACTCTGGTTTTCAAGTCACTCCAATTTTGCCCACTGAAGGTTCGAATTACAATCTCACGGTCATGCAGGTACTGCGTGGAGGCATATGGCAGCCAGATCAGCACCTCCTTGAAGAACACAAGACGGAACAAGACAGTTTCCATGAGTTAACCACTGAGAAGGAAACATCTCCATAACTCCAGGGAGCAAGAGAAGGACCTCAGGAGCCGACAGCCATTGGGGAGGACGTGGAGAGCAAGTGAAGGTTGTTAGTGTGTCTCATTTCTGCTGTACCTCGTAAAGAGGAAGCGGAGAGGGCAACAGCATGGAAGGTTGCATATTACAGCGTCAAGATTGGGGAAAACGCAGCAGTTCCCACATAGCTCACAGACATGCTAGTAGTAAGAGATCGGTTTTATTGCATGGTGAACCGAAAAAGAACTTCTATACACTTCCAGCCAACCTTCAGACCTGCACTGCTTCTTTAACTGGGGATGCTGCACGCAACAGTGATTGCAAAGCACAGAAGGTGCAATGCATACAACATGCAAGAATACAATTGCTGAGTTTCAGGGGCCAGGGCTAAACAGCCAGAGAGATGGGAACTTTGATGACATTTATTTAGTGCAATTCATTTTTAGCACCTATAGTCTGTCACCCTCAGCCTTCAGTCTAAGTAAATGAATAACATGTAATGGCTAATTTATTTGAATTCCTGGTTGTTTCATAATATTTGCATGCAAATCTGTGTAGGTTTTATAATGTGCTTAATTGTTTTACTATTCTTAAAACATATGGCAAAGGGGAGGGATTATATTATTAAATACCTTTTCAGCTGTTGTTGTTTTTTTAAAAAAAGGAAAGGTCCTACCCAAACTAGAACTCTGTTTATCTTATTCCCACATTCTACATATCTCACAAGCAGAATGGTTGTCCTGGGGCATTTTTCCTGATGGAACTCGCATTTGATTAAGCTGAACCTCATTGGCAGCAGCCTAAATGCCACAAAGGGTGATTTGCAAGCAACCCAGCCATTATCACATTTAATACACCGGGTTCTCAGTGGCCACTTTTTGGCAGGCCAGTCTTCTTCTTCTTTTCCCCCATGCCAGTGCCCAAGTTGAAAGATTTGGGGGAATTAGCGCAGTTCTAGCCTAAACTCCTTTATGACTTCATGAGCTCTTCTTACCTTCTGGAAATGAATCTCATGAGGCTGCAGCTCCAGGACTTCACTCAGCAGGATGTCATGGTCCTTCAGCTTTACCCACTGGGGGTCAGGGGAGTGCTTTTGGAAGTGGATAGTTACCGAAGTGGTGGTGGCACCCAAGGGGAAGCAAAACTGGACACCACAAGCTAGGAAAACTCTGCAGCCTTCAGGGGTCACAGTAAAGCTTAGAAGATACAAAGAGAAGCACGGATGTTTCTACAACGTTACAGTCCTCTTTACTCCAAAGTTCTGAGTTATAAATATCTATAGACTGTCAGAATTCTAGATACAGTTCTAAGGCTTGGCTACACTGTGTTTCGCTTAGCTGCATCCAGACTCCAGATTACTCCAATCCCATGGCCTTCCCTGCTCTCCCTGGGACCCTGATTGTGGTAACTGAGTTTTGGATAATTGCTCCAAATGATCAGATAGTCTCATCACCTTCAAAAGCATCTGGGTTCCATTTCTAGAATATTTGGAGGATGACTGAATGACTATCAGATATGGCTGTTCCTAGCCACGTCTGAGTGCAGAGTTTGGAAACTGCAACTACCTGGCTGTTATTGGGGGGGGGGGGAGGGTGGAATCACTTTACTCTGGTACTCAAATCCCTTACACTTGTGACTTGTGACATTCCAGACCCAATACAAGCCCTAAACCATTTGGGATCCAAGTACCCAGGAGAGCACTTCCTCCAGTACTGCCTCAGCCTTACCCATCTATGAAGATTTGCTCGGGATCAGCTGTTTGTTATTCCAACTTTAGCTTCTGCTGGGTGGGCAATGATAGAAGACAGGGCATTCTTGGTGGTGCCCCCTTGCAGCTAATTATGACACCCCCTCCCGAATGGAATTTGATTGTCTCCCCACATTGGCCTCAGTTGGGCACAAGGTGAAAATGTTTTCCCAACAAATGGGGGGTTGGATAGACCCCCCCTTTACAGGGAGATTTGGACTTTTCAAGTCTGGAAAGGGGCCGTCAAATGTTTGGAGCTGTGGGGGCTCCCAACTTTGATGGGAATCTGGAGCATGCTTGTAAATACTACATCGAGCCTATCCTGGACTATGGAAAAGGGATCGTCTTGCTGAAAAGGGTCAAAAACACTATCAAGCTGGAGTTCCCACGAATAAAAGGGAAATATAAAGAAGAGGTACAAAAGGGACATGGAAGAGACTTGAGGGCCTCGGATATAAGATTGCCAGGTTAATGTGCTAGATTAATAGGATAAAAAGGACTGACAAAACCCGGGACCAGGAGGAAGTGACGTTGGATGAAGACTGGATTGCTTTTTTCTTTTATTCTTATCATTAGGACTGTTTTATAAAATTGATGAATGTTAGGAAAATGTTGAAATGAAACTATTTGGCTCTTATAAAAATGTCTAAAGAACTAGGTAAGAATGTTATGGTTTAGGAGAAGTTGGTAAAAATTAAGATTTACGTTTTAAACTTTAAGGTTTTCTGTAAGATAAGATGAAAATAGATCAAGGTAATGTGATGACAGAATACTATGAATTATGGAAAGGATTTACTGTGATTATTATAAAACAGGATACAGGAAAAGGGAGGAGGAGGAGGTCAAGGAAAGAAGGTATTGAAAGTGGAGAATTGGAGAATGATGGTTTTCTTTTTATTTATTTATTTTATTTTATTTTTTCTGTCTTGTTTTTTCCTTTGTGTAATTTTTTTTAAAAAAAACTCCTTTTTCAATAAATATCATTTAAAAAAAAATGTTTTCCCAACACTGCTACTTGATGTAATTTTTTCTTGATATGGCATATTGTTGGCCACTCTGTTTTTGCAAAGTTGATGGGTGGGATATAAAAGTGTCAAGTAAAATAAGAAACTAAAACTAAGCATATCCTTGCTATTCTCAGATATTTTCCTGGCTTTTTTCCTCTTTCAGGGCTGGTATGCAGAGGTCCCACTTGCAGGCTCCAGGAATGAGGGGGCCATTGGCCCTTGGATGTATGAGCCCCCTCTAGGCTTATCTGGTGATGATTGCTACTACTGGACTAGTAGCAATCTTAACATCCCAAAGATTAAAACAGTGATGGCACTCCGACTGCAGAATGACCAACAACAGCAAAGACAGTGGCCGCTGTTCCACACTCAAGAGTCCCATAAGAAACAGGGACCCAAGACCCATGTCCCGCAGTGCTGCTTTGAGATGTTACTTGGCGGTGCCTGCCCTGCTCCCTTCAGTGAGTTTGCCACTGATAGTTAACTTGCAACCAGTTTCTTTTTAGAAATCCAGCTTGGCTCATTTGTAAAAAAACGGGGATGATTAACCCACAGAAACTACCCCTGCATCAACAACTGAACAAGGCATCACAGTACAATTAATTATTATTAGTATTAGATGTATATCCCTCCCTCCCAGGAGCCATGGGAAGCAAGGAGAATATTATGCCAAAAGTGAATTAGGAAGATACTCTGACATGACGATAGTACAGAAAGACACCGGCCAAAAAAAGTATGTGAAATACCTATCCTCACCAGCTTCAAGGAATAGTCTTTGTAATTTTTCTGGCCTTGAGTTTGAGTCTGCAACAAGTCAGAAAACAAAGTTTACATGAATATAAACAGAACGTGTTAAGTGCTTCTGTAGGAATGAGTATAGTAGTCTTCAACTTTTTCAAACCAAAAACATGCACTTGGGCCTCAATTCTTTCTTTATCATATACTTGTATGGTGGGAGGGCTACTGTTGTGACTCCCCTTTGATTAGCTCTCAAACCAGCGGTGGGTCCTGCTCCACCCGTTGAAGACAAATGGCTTAGTCAAATGTTTTATTATGTTTTTATATGTGATAGAAGCTGCCCAGAGTGGCTGGGGAAATCCAGCCAGATGGGCGGGGTATAAATAATAAAATTGTTGTTGGTGGTGCCTTGTTCCCACAGGGCCAGCCCCAGATATTTCACCACTTGAATATTAAACCATGATTTCTATGACATGAACTCCCACCAGAATTTCAAAATAAAACCTATGACAGGGTCACTAACATTTATGGATTGGTGGGCACATTTCAAATGTTGAGAGAGTCACAAAATAGCTGTTGGCAGAGCAGGGCAAAACAAAATGGCTGCAATGCACTACACAAAATTAGAGAGGCAGCCATCCCTGACAACTTTATGCTAACCATGGGAAGACAGCTATGTTCTGCTGGTCATGATTACAGACGTTGTCATGCTATATAGGTTTTACTTACACACACAGAGGGATGTGGCTGCTGTCTATAGCAATAGGGAGCACCCCTCAGAACCAGGAACATATACAAAGTGCCACACCAGATTCACTCGCATGCCACAGATGTTGCTTGGAAGGCACCTGCCCATTTTACCTCACAACTTTTTTTCTAAGAGGGCTACAGACTGACTTTCCTTTTTCAACATGAAAACTCAGAGACTGGGACATCTGCCCTGAAGTACCCATGAAAGTCTTTGTGGGCACCAGATTGGTGACCCCCGTCCTATGAGAAAGTAACATTCACAAGCAACGCCTGTCTAAGGGTAATGGCGATTTTCATTTATCAGCGACTGTAAGTAAAGTCACCAGTGAATGAACCCATTTGCTTCAAAGTCACCCACCACAAACCTGGCTTTAGAGTGCCTGAGAGAAACACCCAGGAAAATTTAAGGCAATTTGCATTCAAATTGGTCTCTCTTTTGGCTTTAAGGTCTGCCCACCCTTCTTAGCAGCCTTCTCTTATTTTCAGCAGTGCCTCATTTTGAGCTGAATCTGAGTCCACTTCGGATGATGTGCCCTCTTGTAGTCGCAGTAATGTGAGGGGAGGAGCAGGGCCAAGCTTGCTGCCCCCCTCAACCCTCACTCCCCATGCATTGGCTGGGAAGGTCTGAAGAAGGAAGCATGCTGTAGGCAAATGCGCTCCCCACATGATTTACTCCCTGTTCACATGTAGTTCTGGGCAGTGCTGTTTTTCTAGAAAAAGAGGTGCTGGAACTCACCGTGAGTGCCTCCCTTGTTCTCTTAGAATGGCAATGGCTCCCAGCTGAGAGGTGCCAGAACTGAGCTCCAGTGAGTTCCAGCTGAAAAAAAGCCCTGGATCTGGGTCACATGAGAAGCTTATACTCATAGGGCAGGCTCCCTGGATGGTGGGGAAAGGGCCAGGAGAGGACACAGCAGCAGCAGCGGAGCTTAAGGGCAAAGCCCAACTTTTTCTATCCAGGCAATTTTGATGGGATGGAGAAGAATGACTGAAGGGGGCTCAGCTGCCTGTGAAAACCAACCAGGTGGTCTTTCAATCAGTCCTTCATATTGTAAGGGCTGCAATTTCAGATGTGTCTACACACATCTCACAAAAAACACAGAGCTGCACCTTCTGCACCAGCCACACAGATCACAAGGCAGCTTCTGACTGTCGCCAGTTAGAGCAGCTGTTAAACAAATCAGACAGAAGAAAAGCAATTAACCTGGTTGCAGTGGCACCTCTGGCTCTCCTAGAGGATTACCACGGAGGTGCACAAAGGGGAGGCTCTGGATCTCTGGGGGGATGCTGCGCAGCCTATTGTTTTGCAGATCAAGCCTGGACAAGTTGTGAAGGCCGGCCAGGGATGCAGGAACTGTCACCAGAAGATTGCTGTGAAGATGTAGCTGCCGCAGAGACTGCAAATTGCCTGCAAGTCAGAGCAGGAGTGGGAAAGAGAGAGAATCAGCCTACACTTTGTAAATCCTTATATGCAAGCAACTCTCCCCCATTCACAATTTGCAAATCCCCTATAACCAAAAAGAAAACAACTCGGGGTCTTGCTTACTTCCACCACAATAAAAACCAGTCCTCAAGCATACATACATGCACAGATAGATAGATATAAAATTTATACAGCATACTCATACCATAAACGTTTACCATAGAAAGGTTCTCGTACTAGCCAAAAGGGACGTGCCTGGTATTCGAGGAACACAATGTAATAAATAATCTAATTAGCAAAGGTCAGGGGGAGTCAGGCTTAATCCTAGTATTCCCTTGGCATTGTAGCTCACCTCAATAGTGAAGAGGTGTGTGTATGGAGGTGCATGTAAAATCCCTTTGATTTTTGCAAGGCTAGAACGTAGCCTTTTGTACAAAGAGTCAAATCACTTGCTCTACCCACATTGCCTCTAGCCTTGCTCACCACTGTCATGCGGCCCCCGGAATGTGGACCATTGGGGAATATGGCCCTTAAGCTAAAAAAGGGTTCCTTCCCTTTGTGCTATAATACACTTACATCCTGATTATGTGGGTACCACCATCAGTAGTAGTGGATCCCTCTGCAGCTATACAACACACACCAGCTGCAGACTTGCCAAATCTGAAACAGTGGCCAGAAAAGTTTTCCTGTTTAGTCAGGACTCTGGTTATCAGTAACGTGACAGTGCTGCTACAAAGACTGTGCCTTGCTTCAGCCTGAATACAACAACAACAACAACAACAACAACAACGATTGTATTATTTATACCTTGCCCATCTGACTGGGTTTCCCATTGCAAATCTTAACAACTTTAAATATTTTAGATTGTATAACTACTGGGTTTCCTAAAAAGTTGTATCGTAAACCACTCTGAGAACAGCTACTGAGAAGAGGTCTATATATGTTTCATTAAATATTTGCATTTTTTGTATTCCCATTCATCAAAAATGACCTAATTTAAGCTCATTCTGTGAAAGTAAGCCCCGCTGAGTTAAATGAGCCTTACTTCCTAACAATTGCACAGGAAAACTGCAGCTATGCCATGTGACCCTGAACGTGTCGTAGCCTTAATCTCGTAATTTGTTTAGTCTCAAATTGCATCTTAAAATATTTACTCCCTTTCTCTTGCAACTGGGAACAACTTACCAAGAGAGCTAGGTATTCCTGTTAATAGGTTCCCTGAGAGATCCAGCTCTGTGCAACTCTGCAGGTTTCCAATCTCTTCAGGAAGCGATTCCAGTGCGTTTTCAGAGAGGTCCAGTGTTTCTAGTGCTGCCAGCTCCCCTATGCTCTGCGGCAGACCTTGGAGCTGGTTCTTCATGGCGGAGAAGAAAGTGAGGTTGCTGAGCTGGCCAAAGTCCTCGGGCAGCCCCTGCAGGCTGTTGTGACTCACCAGGAGGCTCCTGAGGCTGCCCAGCTTGGTGATGCAGGGAGGCAGAGCACTGAAGCTGTTGAAGCCCAGATCCAGGTGAGCAAGGTGGCTTAGCTCCCCCAGCTCTTGCGGCAATGATGCCACCAACCCTCTCTGGGGAGTGCCAATTTCATCTCTAGTGTGTCCACCTGCAGGCCAGGAAAATGCAGGAAGAGAAAGTCTCGTTGCAAGGATCTCCGTTAACTAGCCTCATATAAGCACATGGCTATCCAATGCAACAATATGGAAGACTGAACAGAGATAATTGGAAAATACAAGAAGTCTGAAGGATTTGGGGCATGAAGGGACTACAGGAACCCGATAACTGTCAGTGGAAGTGGGTCTGGATTTTTTGCTTTCAGGGCTACAGCAGGAGTGATGAACATGCTACACTCACAAAGAAGTGTCTTTTTTGGCCCCTTAGCTTTCAGTCCAATATAATAACAACGATAATAAAGCAACAAGATTGGTAGCTTGCAGCTGCGCATGAGACACACACAGCTACTGTTGCTTATATTCAGTATAAACTGGTTATTATAAATACCTGTTCTAATGAAACCTAGGTTTTTAATAGGTTGGCCAGCTGAAACTGTATTAATTTAGATGCATTAATGAAAGCTACAGTTGCTGTTTTTGCTGTAGATACTTGAAACAAAAAAAAGATCAAAACAGTTCAAGAGTTAGGCACACATGCTTATTCCTAAAGGGAGTGCCACACCAATTTCAAAAGGCAAAGAGTAGCCAAGATAGTTTGCCACAAGTTGGGGGGGGGGGTGTATTTTGTGTTTTTTTGGTTTGTTTTTTTAAAAATATTTTATTAAGGATTTTCTTGTTTTACAGAAGTGTAGTGCCTCGTATTTTTTTTTCATGTAACATTTTTACAAATCCATTTCATTTGTTGAGGCATTAGGGGGAGAAGAAAAAAAAAGAAAAAAGAAAGGGGGGGTGGAGAGAGGGAAGATGGATGGGGGTGGGGTCGGGTGGCGGTGTTTCTATTATGTTTAATGTATGTAGAGTTTGGTGTCAGCGTTGCTTGTGTTGTTCACTTGTGTTCCTTTGGTGGTGAGAGAGGTTGGGGTTGGCCTAGGGTGTGATTGTTTGCTTGTGATTGGCTGTGGTGATCTTTGTTTTCATGTGTGAGTGAGGTGGGTGGGTGTTTTGGATCAGGTTAGCCATATTGATTTGTATGCTGTTGGTGGATTATTGTCATTGTCCTGTTGGGCTGTGTATGTGATAAAGGGGAGCCATACCGGGGTGAAGGCGTCTTCTTCTGTTTGTCCCCGTGTCAGTTTCAGTTTATTAGTTAATTTTTCTAGTAGGGCTGTTTCCCATACTATTTGGTGGGGGGGGGGGGTGTATTTTGTGATGCCTTACAGGTTCTCTGATGGAGTGGACTCCAGTCCACAAAAGCTTGTGTTGTCATAAACGTGTTAGCCAATATAACGTGCCTTGTAGATTTCAACATGGTTATCAATTTGCAGCCTGATCTTTTTCCTATTGTTCTGAAAAAACCATGCAAGCCTATGTATGCATAACCTGAAGTAAGCCCCACAGATTCCAATGGAACTTACTTTGGAGTAAATATGGTTAGGACTTCAGGCCAAATCTAGTGCACATGTTACAGATGGCTAGGGGGTGGGGACCCTTAGACTTCGGTAGAGGAAGGCAAAGGCAAACAGCACAACATCGAACCCCCTGCCTTCTGTGCTTTTGACGGGTATTTTAAAAATCCCACAACATGGAAGAATTCTGTCGCCTGCCCATTTCATTCCCAACACGAGCAAGAGGACAGAGCTTTCCGTTTATGGGAAGGTGGCATGAGAATAAAAAGTGGGTGATGAAGAGAGAATCACAGGAAGAAGAAAAGGACCCCCTCAGCTTAAATGAGACATATAAAAATCAGAGTAAATATCTATCCAAAAGCTTTTTCATGTTGCTACATAGACACAAAGTAAATCATCTCTACTGTAATATAATCATCTCTACTGTAAAAAGGGAAGCTACTGTCCCAATTTGGCACTTTCTGCATTTTGACAGATATGGAACTGTCATCATCATTTTTCACTTCTGCAAGCCCCATTCTACAGCTAAAGATCAGAAAGCAGTCTCGTTTCATTCACTGTTGAAACAAGGTCTGTTCCAAGCCAAATGTCAGAAGGAATACAGTAGGAAAACCTGACTTTTGTTCAGCCAAAGATAATGAAAGCCCCATGTCCATTCCAACAAGAGAAAGCCCTATTGAAAACAGTGGGTTTACATATGAGTAAACACAACAGGCCCATTCCCAAAAGAGGGTGCAGACCCACCCATTGCAGGTTTCCTAAGAAGTAAATCTCACCATGCTCAATTCCTGGGTAAGCGTGCATAGGTTTGAGGTTTTGGACTGTACCATGCACTTTCCTGGCAGTGAGTAAGCCCCACTGAACACAGTGGGACTTACTTCTGAGGTGGGGAAATGCATAGGATTGCAGCAGAGTCAGACCATTGTGCACCTTTGTGAGAACAGTGACCTAAGGTCATTTTGATGGGCTTGGTCGGGGAAGGAAACCTAAAAGCTAATCTAAACCAAGGGGAGAAATATAAATTAAAAAGTGAAACAGTCGGTCAAAAGACAGAAAGAGAAAAGAAGCATGCAGTTTACCTTTGAGTACAAGAGATTTTAAGCCCTTCAGGACCGGAATGGTGCTTAGTGTGGAAGTGATAAGTTCCTCATTGCAGCTCAGCCTCAAGAATTCCACCTGCTCCACTTCTTCCCTTCTCTTCTCATACAGCTTGAGGAATAGGCGACAGCCCTCTGGGTAGACGTCTAAGTTGAGCCTGTTGCCAGCCAAGCAGGAACTAGCAGGTGCCTCAGCCTCCAAAGCACCCTCCCCCAGAGGGTCCCCAAGCTCCTGTGGCCCAGCCATCTTCTGGTGTCACATTGCCAGGGGCTGCGCATGTTTTGACTTGCCAGCCAAACGAGCACCGGTGCCACCGCAAGGGATTGAAATGGAAGATGGAGGAGAGAGGCAGCCCCTGTGAAGAAATGGAGGGAGAGGAGCAAAACGCTGAAGAACCAGTGCACACGCAAAATCCATCCAGATGAAGGAAATAGCAGAAGCTGTACTTGAGGCACTGAGCATAAATGAGGGCAGAACAACACCTTCCCCAGCTGGGCTGTTTAAGTGGCATATTAAGGCATATAATGGGCCCCAAAGCTGATAAAACTAGGAAGGAAGAATGGACGTTTGAAAGACAACGTGGGGAAACTGATTGCGTTTTGAAGTTTCTACATCTTTCATGTACTATTAGAGTTCTTTGCCTCCTCTTTAGAACCACATAAATGCATCTTAATAAAAGAATATTAGATCTTTGCAAGCAATATAGCAAGATAAGTTTAATAGAAAAATTAAAGATCTTTGAGTACCAAATCCCCATCCCTAACACACAGGCAATGCCAGGTATTTCCATGGCATTTTACACATGGGGAACCGATACAGATAACCAGCTGTGCAAATGTGATTTTTTAAAAACAGGTGCAGCTTCATTCACAACAGCATGACATGCCACCCATCTACAGGAAGCTAGAGCACTTTCATCCTTGACATCTGGGCACAGTTTCCCTAGGAACTGTGGATGAGGAGTCAACTAAAAAATGCCAGGATGAATACAATTGACACAGTACAATCCTATGCACATTTACTCAGAATGTGTAACTCATTTACTCAGAGTTCCATGGGACTTGCTCCCAAGTCAGCACAGCACCACAGCTCTAATGCTTTTTTTCATGTGACCCCTTATTTTCTTCTTCAAGTGTAACTTATCCTTATTATTCTTTCATTAGGCACTGTTACAACCTTCAAAAAGCAAGAAGCCAATCTTTGGCAAAAGAGCCATTTTTTAAAAAAACCTGTCCCCTCTCAGAGCGACCGCACACCCCCCCCCCCATACACACACACTCTTACTTCCAATTATTTCCCCAGAGCGATTTCCCTGATTTAGCAGTGTGGAAGTGATAAATTAACAGATAGCTGCACTGCAATGACAGAAGTGGAACCTGTTGAAATTTTCCCTTACAATATGCAAGGCATCTTTCAAGGACAGATGCTGGCACCTCTAGAAATCAATTTATTGTAGCTGTGTTAATGCAACTATTCCAATCTATTCTGTTTCCCAACATGCTTTAAAGTAGTGGTAGCCAAAGTGGTGCCCACCAGATATTGCAGACTACAATTCCCATCAGCCCCAATTAGCAGAGAGTCAATGATGGGGATAATGGGAGTTGCAGTCCAAACCATCCAGGGAGCACTATGTAGGCTCTCGCTGCTTTAAACGCTGTTCTCCAGAACTAAAGGAGACATGGAAAACCTGTGGCCCTCCAGTTGTTGCTGGACTCCAACTTCCATCAGCTAGCGGTCAGGGATTATGGGAGTTGTAGTGCAGCAACAACAGGAGAGCCACATGTCCCCCATCTCTAAAGCACATGACAGGGACAGAGCTAATGTTTATTTCATTACAGAATTAAATAGGATGGAGAAAGTCGTGGAAATAATTCATCAACAATTGCGTTAATCTGCAGCAATGCCGTTATTACCCAAGAGGGTGCGAAATTAAGCGTGGCGAGTGTCAGGCCAAAGGATGAAGCCAAGGACCCTGGTCCTTGGCTCCTAAAACGGGAGGGAGGAAGTTCAGGTCAAGTCTTTCTCCCTAATTCTGGGGTGGACGGTTAGCTGTGATTTTTCAGTGAAGAGAAATAAGGCTCTAAGGTGGTTTTAGTCATTAGTACACATTTCCTAAGAAACAGCTTAGCACTGAAAATACAGACTCCAGAGCAAAGTCGTGCCAAAGAAAGGAATGTACGGTTGCAGCCTTGTGCTGCGACGCTACATATAACTCACCAGGAAGTGAGCCCCATTGAACGCAGCGGCGCTTGCTTCTGAGTATCCGCACTTAGGATCAGCTTCTTAGGGCCCGGAGCAGGAAGAGAAAAGCTTTGCATGAAGTTTTCAGATAACCAGCAGAGAAATTGCCCGGATTAAGCAGTGACGTCGGTCTCTAGCCCAGCAGAAGCAAAAGAGCTTCCAAACAAAAGTTTCAATCGAAACGCGCCACCCGACCCGGCCTGTTTCCTCCCGCCCTTTCCTCCGCTTTCCAGACAAGAAAATGTTCTGACATGGGCCGGACAAGCATATTTTGCTTTTTGCCGGTGCTTCTGGCTACTCCGGTCCTTGCCGTGCTTACTGGAAAGTTTGTAAAGGCTGCTGATTTCAGTGGCAACTGCTAATCCAAGTAAGCACGCTCCGGATCGCAGCCTTCGGGTCTGCTGGTCGACCTCCTAACGGCTTGCGGCGCAGTTCCAGTCCCCCGCTGTTTGCACATTGCCGCCGAAGCCACGGCCCAATTCTCCCAGGCCCTCCTTCCCCTAAAGGAGGCCGATCCCTCCCGCCCTCTTGCACAAGTTCCCGCTTCCCCGGGCTTCCCCGCCTCGGCCAGCGCAGGCGGCGAGCAAAGCGACGGCTTGGGCTTGCTGGGGACGTCCCGGCGAAACTGCGTCCATTGTGATCTGTTCCTTCCTAACAAATGCGCGCTGCCGCGATCCTTAAAGGCTAGTTTTGCAATTGCGATTTGTAGGTCATTGCGGATTCTTGTAACTCGTTAGACCGGTTCCCCCCTCCCGCGCCCCCCTGAAACAAGCGGGACCTGCGACAAAATGTTGCCGCGTATTCTACCCCTTTAAAGACGAGTATTCCTATTTAGGGTTTAGCTAGCTAGACAGCCAACCGTGTAATACTCCAGTATGTACTATGATGTAAGAGGCTCAAGCAGACCATTTCATGTCTCCCCTAGTTTTCCACACACACCCCAACATTTTATGGAGGCCATGGAGCATGCTCAGTCCTCATCAATATTTATTTGTTCTTACTCTACTTCTGCCTACTTCAGGATTGTATACATAATACGGAAATACCCAAGTAGTATTTCCTCCCCTTACATATAATACTGTTACATGCCACCCCAATCTCTGAGCGGTATGATATTCCAGGGAATCCAAGTGCTTTACTCAGAGTTTGTGTTTCCTTTTGGAATGAGGCACAGTGGAGTCTGTGATGTCTTTATGATATATGGTTTATTTACACATATATACAACCTGGGCCTATGATGGAGGGGTTCAACACATTTAACTCCAATCGGGTCTTGTTTCTCCCATTGCTGCAGCCCTGGATCCAAAAAGAAATAAAAACATGACTCACTGTCCCTCTGCTCAACTTGCTGCATTTAACACACTGCTTAGTGGAAGGAAGGGCTCACACCCATCTGCTATCTAGCACAAGGTATCTGCTTTGTTAATCGGTATACAAATTTAATAAATCATTGTTGTCGTCGTCATCATCACCCATTACCTTCCTTTGGTTCTCCATAATGGCTCTTCTCCCAGGCCTCCAAAACTCCATTGGCCTGTATTTTTACACTGCTAAATGCAGTGTTTGTCAGCCCTTCTTAATACTCCAAGCATTGATTAAACTCCAGCAGCCACTAGACTTAGGAATTATGGGGAGGGTGTGGCACCCAAGAATTTATGGGTGCGTCAAGGCACCCACAAACTCATAATACCCTTTTTTCTCCTATGTAAACTTAGGTTGAAAAACTACCCCCAGCCCCAGACTATGTTTGCAGTATGTTGTTAAACTGCCTTTTTTCAGATTATCAAAGGATGAATGGCCCTTTACTGATAGCCTGGGTTTTCAGTGTTCTTGCTTTTTTAACTGTTCCAGTATTCATGCTATTAGCTATTGATAAGTGATTCCCCTCCCCCAAGTTATGCATGGCAGTCTTAATTCTGTTGCACACTGAAAAATGATTGGTCACCTGGGATAGAGGCAGGGCATATGGTTTCCTCCTTCTGTTCAGTGCTTAATAAGATCTCCCCGGAGGGTATAGTGCTAAGCCCATGACAATTGTTTATGTAGCTATTTATCCTTTGGCTGTTTAACTACAGATCGTGTGTACAGATCAACTGTGTACAGATCAACTGTGTACAGATCAACTGTGTACAGATCAACTGTGTACAGATTCTTTTTCAGATATGGCTTACTGCTTTAAATGCAAATAAGATCATTATCCAGACAAAGATTTACACATTCTGAAACTTGTTGTCCTTTTGTCCCATGAATAATTTTGAAGATGAGTGATAATACTTTTATTTTATTGGATCATAGTGCTGGTTCTAGGAAGGAACATTAATAAAACACAATGGCATTCCTTTAGTCAGACCCAGTCAAATAATGGTAAGCCAAACCATGGCTTAGTGCAAATGTGCAAGCTCCTGGAGAGATCGTTGCCATGTTGCTTCTCCTCTGGTCCTATTGTGGCTGCAGTGCTGGGAGCTAAGGTTTGGCTTGGCTTGGCATGTCATTTTCAAGCTCCTGGGTTGTCTTCTCCAGACTGAGAGAACAAATATTGCTAACAGTGCATTATTTGCTATGAGCCTGGCTTCTGATGGCATGCTAAGCCAAACCATGGCTTAACTCATAGTAGCACAGGAGGAACACAAGGAACAAAACAATCTCATTCTATTCTCCTGGAGCCTGCACAGTTATCGATTAATATTAAAACACAGTTTAGCTTCATTGGAAGCTGGTTTAGTGTATCTCACCCCTGACTAGTGTGGCTGCAGCCTCTCATACTTTCTCTTCTACTGTACTTCCTTTGTGCATTGCTATTCATTGGCTGCTTTGAGAAACTGATGCTCTCCTTTGCCAAACTGCTCTTCGCATCATCATCATTTTAATAGCTGTTTCTTGAGAACCATAGTAGTTCTGGATCTAAGGGTCATGAGACCAAGAAACAGGATGAAGGTATGGGTGTAGAAAGGACTGGCCAAATTAATTGCTCTTTCTTGCTGTTTTAAATGATCGAGAGAATGGAGCAGTTCCCCTGTATGCAACAATTACAACATTAGAAGTAACTGCTCCTCAATGTTCACTTATGCAACAGTCCTCACACAGTTTCCTGGGAAGAAGCCCCATTGAGCTCAATTGATTTTACTTAGAAGGAAACGTATCTAGGTTCATATTGTTACTGAGTTTGAGAAACCTGCAGCGCAATCCTACGCATGTTTTCTCATAGGCAAGTCTACTCTGTTCAGAAACATCGCCCAAGGCTGGCCGCCTTAAAGGGCTTAGTAACAGAAATGAAAACCGCAGGCTGTATTCACACAGCTATCGCGTAATTCAGAGCCGCCGCCGCCACAGATCAAAGAAAATATAGCCTCTTTCCCTTCATAGGGCGCTTGCTGACGCCTCTAATCCCGAAACAGCAGTCGCAGAGACCGATTCCTCCCTATGGGCATCGCTGGTGCCTCTAGTGACATGGCTGCTGCAAAGGCGAGCAGGAAGCGTCTCACTTCCGTTTAGTGCTACGACCGTAAGGGCGCCGCTAACTATGCGGTTTCTGGTTGGCTATGCCTTGCGTCCAATGAGAAACCCGGTTGTTGGAGAGTACTGGGAAGAACCCCGCGCCGTAGGCTCCTCCCTTTCCTTTTTGCTATCGCCGTCGTAGAGAGCGCACGTCCAGAGGCCCGAAGTGAGTAGGCTTGGGGGGGCTTCTTTTACTCTGCGCCCCCTTTTTTTGTAATGGATGCGTCCAGAACGTGCTTAGATTCCATCTCCACCGCCTGCCGTTGCGCGGGTTTATAAGCCGGGCAGTTTATAGGCGATACCATGTGGGCCAGGGTGGAGGGGGTGACATGGCGGCCATGTGCTTCCTGATCCAGGTTAAGGAAGGCCCGGCTGGGAAGGAGAGGAGCCTGTGATCGTGGTGGTCTGTGACGAAAGGATGCGGAGGGCATATCATACCCTAGAAACGGCGAAGGCGAAGGGAGTGCTTTAGAAGCCTCCCAGGCAAAAAGGGCGAGTGGAGGAGGTGGGGAGCAGTCCCCCCATTCCGATTTAAAATAAAAATTTAGAGATTGCAACAAGTGGGTGAAGATGCTTTTTTGCCCTGGTAAGCGACCGTAATGCATTAGGTTTTCCCATTTCCGGCTTGTTCTGGCGATGGAAAGTTGAAACTTAAAATATCAGCGGCATGGCGGCTTTGTCCAACGTGAATGTGGGAGTTGTGATGGTAGCACGTGTCCCCCGTGGGGGGGGGGCTTATTTTTAGAAGGCCCTGAAGTGAAATCGTTATTTTTTTTATAGCCCCCCTTCCGCCCAAGTTAAATATTTAATTTGCAGTTGAGAGAGCATATTGTGTGTTGTAATGTAAGAAGAGGGTGCCTTATACCAAGTCAGGCTGTTTGTTCATCTGCCACAATATTGTCCAGTCGTGAATAGTGGTGGCACTGCAGTGTTTGGTAAAGAATAGTAGCATTCACTACTAGATCCTTTTTAAAATTAAAGTCGTAATGTCAGGAATTGAACCTGGTGTTTTCTGCAGGCGAAGCATGTGCTCTAAATTGGAGTTACTTACTGGATGCCCCTAATACGGAATACATAAGGGTAGTTCTTAAGCATAGATATATCAAAAATTAAGAGGGCAGCTGTGCATACTCCCCTGGAACTTTACGTGGTATCATCCCTTTTAAAACTCACTGGACTATCATATGTCCAGGAAAAATCATCTGCTGTTCAAATAAGTACCGTGGTACCCCTGGTTACGTACTTAATTCGTTCCAGAGGTCAGTTCTTAACCTGAAACTGTTCTTAACCTGAAGCACCACTTTAGCTAATGGGGCCTCCCACTGCTGCTGTGCGATTTCTGTTCTCATTCTGAAGCAAAGTTCTTAACCCGAGGTACTATTTCTGGGTTAGTGGAGCCTGTAACCTGAAGCGTATGCAACCTGAGGTACCACTGTATCGGTCAATTTTTTTAAAAAAAACAACCTGCCTTATTTTTTCCTTCCCAGAATGCGCTACGTTGCAGCTTACCTTCTTGCTGTCCTTGGGGGCAATGAGTCCCCAAGCTCAAAAGACTTAAAGAAAATTCTTGACAGTGTAGGCATTGAGACGGACGACGAACGTGTGAATAAGGTGAGTGACAGATAGGTGTGCAGTGTGGCATAAATGCCATTCATTGAAAAGACTACACTGGACCACAAGCCCCTTATCACCCAAAGAGAGACTATGCAAAATGAAGGCTTGAAGAATGTTGTTATTGGTTCCTATTTCACAAGTATTCTCTGGATATTTCCTGTGTACCTCTCAGCTGCTTTGGGGCTAACTTTCAGTGCCCAGAATGAATTGGAATAACTAATATTATACTGCATATCCTGTACTAATGAGACTTCCATTTGTATACTGAAGATCACAGGGTGGTTTATAGTATTAAAACAAATGAGATCACAAAATACATAGAAAACAAACCAATAACCCCCTCTCCCACAAACATATTTCAAACACCATAGATTGTGTAAGCAGCCAAAGGCCTGGTTATAAAAGGCTTCTTCTGAGCTAGATCTACAGTTCAGTGTTGCATCTTTCTTTGGCTTCTGGACTTAATGCCAACAGGAAGGAAGAGCAGATTGCAAGCTGCCATAGCTCAGTTCTGTGTGCGCTATATCTGTCTTTTCTAGTATTAAGATTGGGACAACTGGTAGTCATGCAGAATTTGTACAGCATAAAAAGAAATGCAAATTAAAGTTTTCTCTCTTGAACTTTACTATGGTAAACAACCTAAATGAGCTAATCAGCAATGAAAAAACACCTTTGCTTAATGAAAGGGTATCACTTTTTTAGACAGAAGGTTAATTTTTAAAAGTCCCAACATTTTGGCTTGGTAGTTTTTCAGCCATTATTAGTAGTTTCTACCTGGTTTCAATCACTCCATGATAGACTTTGAAGAAATCTATCTGCCTTCTCAAAAGCCCAGCAAGCATAATGGGAAACTGATGATTTCCCCCACCCAAGGAAATATGGGGCTTGTATAAAAACAATTCAGTTATTTGAGTTCTTGACTCAGATGAGATTCCAGATGAACATCATGCTGTGCTTGGTAAGAGGTTATTTTATTCCCACTTGGATAGCTAATCTGCTTGACTGTAGCTAACCAAAAGTGCCCTGGGGATCACTATATTTTTTGTGCAAAGCTGCAATAACGTATCTGAGAAGATGGTAATCTCTTTCTGAGTTCAGTGTAGCACAGTGCAGTTTCCCCAGGGCAGCTCTAGGCAAGACCAATTGTATTTTTTTTTAAGTGTTTTGAGTTGCTTCAGTTTCGCAGTATTTTGGCCACAGTTGTTAATTCTTTAGTTCCCTGCACTTAAAACCTTTTTTAGGTAACACTTTTCAACTTGCTTCCCACAGGTCATTAGTGAGCTGAATGGGAAAAACATTGAAGATGTCATCTCCCAAGGTGAGTTTAAAATGGAGACAGGTTTGAAAGGTACCATGAGTCCCTCTTTGGCACTGAAGGTGTTGGGGCTGAGAGGTCACTAGTTCAGAGGTATTTAACTATTTTGCTTACAGCAGAGAGGGTTGTTGGGAGTGAAATTACCACAGCGACATGATTCAATTTTGAAATAGTCAAGTGGCCAAACTTTAATACTGTAGTTACTCAGCATAGCAAATGGCAATCCAGAGTGTAATCAATAAATATGTGTGGCATTAATGGAATATGCTTGGAAATGTAATGGGTCCATCCTAATTCCTACAGGCTCATGCTGGTGCCTGCTGGGTTTCGCTGGTGGACCACATTAATTTGGGGAAACCCTCATAAAAACAGGCACTTGTTGCCTATTTGTATAGAGGATGTTCTCAACAAATTGCTGTTTAAAAAGCAGCATTGCCTTCTGGGGGGGGAATCTTGCTGGTTGAATGGGTCTCTGAAAAGAATAATAATTTCTGTCTTGCCAGTTTGCTCTATTAAAGTCTTCTGCTGCCATCTTTCTCCCTGTCTACCATGCCTCCTTCCATGATAAAATAATGACACTATTTGTCCTAGTCCCAACTTCATACCCCGCTTCCATCACCCTCAAGCTATCTTGCTTGGTGAGATGACCACCCTACTAGTATCTCCCCGCATTTCCTTAATCCTGTCTGCCCCTCACCTCCTGGTCTTCTCCTTACATCTTAACACCAATATTTGGAATATATGGGTTGCATTTCAGGTATATATCAACATCCTCCTTCTTCACTGGCCAACTTTTTTCTGCCCTCTGCCTCTGGACTTTTGGAACATGCTGTGTATTTCCTAGTGTCTCATGTTTCTCTGTTTAAATTTCTCTTTCCCTGTACAATCTCTGTGATATTGCTGATTGTGCCCTTTCCCGCACCTTAGGTAGAACTCTTGTTATAGGCTGGTTCTTTTCCATCCTGTCTTCGTTGTTTGCTCACTGTTTCCATTGTGGGCAGTGCCTTCTGGACATACTGAGAATCTTCATGGCTTGTTCATTGGTCCCATGCTACTCATCATTTGCACACTTGGACAACTGTTTTTTTGTAAATTCAGCAGTAGCAGTATCACTTTTGCGCTGTCTATCCATAGTAACCCATGCTCAAGGCAGCTCACAACACCAAAACATTTTACATAATTCACTAACAGTTACAAGCTATGACAAAATTTAAGCAGCCGTATGCTCAGTGAACTAATGAAAACATCTCATGGTGGACAAATATACAATGATAATAAATGCAACAGTAATATATGTATATTTTTGCTGGTAATCAAGTTGTATATGTGTGTGTGTGTGTGTGTGTGTGTGTACACATCATACACACACCCCCTTGGATCACCAACAAAAAATAATGCATATCCAAAACTAAATTTTGCCCCAGCAACAACAGTACCCCACCCTGATAGTCCCTGGGCGTCCTGGGGAGCATGTCAAAGGTCTTCTTGTGCTCTTTGTAGCATCCACCTTGTAGACCAGTGGTGAAGCCTTGGCTTTATTTTGGATTGTTCCCTAACACCCCCCATTGTTAAGTCATGTCAATCAACATTGTAAAACGTTCTGGTTTGGTCATCTCCCAACCTAATTATAGTAGGCTTCTATGTTGTTTCCCCTTGTCATTCTGCCCTCCACTCCATGTAGAACTCTATGCCACCCATTGAACTCCTCTTGAATGCCAGCACAGTGGCATTACCTCTCTTCCTGTGAAGCCCTTCTGAACCCCCCATCCTTGTGTGGTCACACATGCCTCCTTTTTGTTTCCACTGGCAAAATGTTGGAACCTCCTTTCAGGAGGGACTTGCATCTTAGGCTATTAGGTGCCATGTAAATTGTTGGTGCTGAATACATAGTCATAGTAACTACAATGATATGGCTGCTCCTGTTACTATAACAGCTATATCCTTGATTATCTGATAATGTTGATGTGTCTAGATGCCTGCAGGAAAACTGGTACAGCAAACTACAGGACTTGTTAATGCTTATATGAGGCCCTTTGTATTTGTTCTAAATAAAGGGTTTTTTTTGTACACTTAAATTACTTCTTGGCTCTGCTGTTACACATACTCTTTTCTGAGAATATGCTGAATGGTTATAAAATGTGTTTACTGTTCTGGCTCCAGGAATACCATGCAATTGTTTAGATTTATATTCCTAGAAACAAAGAACAGGCATTTCCCCCACTGGCGTGCTTGTTCTCACAAGGGAAATAGTATATTGCCAACTTCCCTGGAACTGTTGGCATTAATTGGTAACTAGTCTTTAAATCTCTAGGGTCCATTCATCATGTAACTTCTGTAGTTGCACAGTGTACTCCTTACCACAGTTCTAAGTTTGGCTTCATGCTGCTAATGGGAACAAAAGGTTCCCACTGGTTGCATGGGAGAAGGGCATTGAAGGACCAGTTGGCCTGGTTTATATGCAGAATCTAGGCTGATAGAATATTAAGACTTCCTTTTTTGGCACCTGGTGTGAGTTTGGTGGGCAACTGAAATTGATCACTGGTATTGTGTCAATAGCCTCTGATGTCTGATGTACTGAGGGCCAACAACTTGAGGCGCTTGTGACAAGACTGGTTTTCTAAAGTGCTAGGCAAAAGTTCATCCTTCTGTTCCTCCCTTTATCAGAAATGGACTGGGGCAGGAAGGGGGGAAAGGGTTGGGCAGTAGGGAACACTGCAGAATTGGGGGTTTGTCCTCAGGTTTCTCTCTCGTTGGCTTCATATACAGTTCTTCATTTTCCTTGTTAATGTCCCCCAGGTAACAGCAAGCTTGCCAGCATGCCGGTTGGTGGGGCTGTAGCAGTTTCTGCTGGAGGTGCTGCTGCTCCTGCTGCAGGTGCTGCACCAGCAGCTGGTAAGTATAATGGATCATGAAAAGGAAGGTTGGGTGGGCAGGCAGGCAGGCATCAAGCGGGAGAAGACTTCTAGAGAGGAATCCAAAAACTTGGTAATTTCACGTTGAATAGCCACAGTCCATGAGATTAACTGAACAACTCGTACGATATGAGTTGTTACTTTTTGGCTTGGTTGCATTTGGAAACATTGCCCAGTTCGACATTTAAAAAATGTCTTGGCAATAGCTCTTCCAGTTGTAAGGAAAACATTCTTGCAAGGTAATGTTCTAGCTCAGACTTCAGATACATTCTCTTCAGCTATGATACTCTGATTTGGTAGGGATGCTGAGACCCAGCCAATCTTCTCTGCTTTCTTTTTCCCTTCCTTTTTGCTTATTTGCGGTAGGTAATGCCGGCATATTGTAACGGGGTTACTAAGTGCAGTGAGACATCATAGGGCCTACATGAGTGCTGAACCTAATACAGCTTGTTGATGAGCAGTGTCTGCCTTCAGCTATTTGCATCAGGACTTTGTTTGGATTTTCTTCTTCTAACTCCAGATTGGTTGACCCTCACACCTCATCTTTAAGGCAGCTGCAGTTGTTGTGGTGATGGGGACATGTGATGTTCTGGGTGTTTCCTGAGCTACAGCTTGCATCACCCCTTGCCATTGACCATGCTGGAGGGAGCTGAACAATGTCTGAGGGCCATAGATTCCCCACCACTAGTATATAGAATTAGCCTATAAAAATGCTGTTTTGAGAGTTGTCTGCTAAACTGTCTATATCTACTTGTCTTTTCAGCGGAGGAGAAGAAAGAAGAAAAGAAAGAAGAGTCTGAAGAATCTGATGATGATATGGGATTTGGGCTGTTCGATTAAACTTTTGTTGAGGGCTAATCTATAATAAAACTTGGTTAAAATATTGTTTTGTTGTGGCGTACTTGGTAAGCTTCCTTGCTTTCTGCATGTACAGTGTTCTGAATCATTTGGTAATTCTTTAGAAGTAGCATCTTGTGATAAAGTTACAACTCTTGTTACTGTTTTGTGAATTACGGATTTTCTAGAGTGGTTCAAAGCTGTTTGGTATTAACATAAAGTGAGCAATTCGATGCTATTTAACTCTGCTAAGAGATTAAAAATAGGTTTTTCCGCAACAAAAAAGTTTTTGCAGTAACTAAAATATTTGGAAGAGAAATAGGCTGATAAGGATGTAGGCAGAGCCTTTTATAAAAACCAGGAGGCAGCTTGTTCATGCTTTTACACCTTAAATGTGATGCCTTAATCTGATATATGTCAGGTGTAGAGGCAGACAAGCTATGCCTTTTACACAAATTTTGGTTCACTTTATAGAAATTGAGTAAGAGTGTTTCAAAATATGCATCAGACTAAGCCACATTTTGAATTCAAAAGACTTCTAAAGGGTTAAATGTTCTTCTACAAACTAATACTGAATTATGGTCAAATCAAGGAGCAGTATACAACCATGCAGAACTACCTCCTGGTTACCCAGACTTCACTATGTCTTACCTGTTCTGAGAAGTTTTTAAAAATTAGATTTTTGCTTTTATTGCCATAAACTTTGCTCTTCTGTGTTAGTATGAAATACAGAGCCCCACGTGCCATGAAATATATTTAAAATACATTTAAATTAGGGTTGCCATATTTCAAAAAGTGAAAATCTGGGCACAGTAGTTGAATTATTTTTTTTGCAAGAACTCAAAAAAGTGGGGGGTTCTGCTGTTTTTTAGGAAAATCGGCAAAAAACCAACACTTCCAATATGGGATGCCTTATGTCCAGGTTTTCCCATACATTTTAACAGCTTACGGAAAATTCCGCCTAGACACCATTTTCAACAGACTAATCCCAGCTATGTCCAGGGATTTCCGGATATATGATAGACCTATTTAAATATATTTAGAATACAGGGCAGCTGAAATCCTCCATCAGGTTTTCAACCCCTGCTTTAAAGAGTGATGGCCATGGCAGAAAAATCAGTCCATGTAACACATGCATTGCATACACTCAATATTATACTGGCCCTTGCCTCCCGAATATGAAGTAGAAAAGTGATGGCCGAACCAAAGTGGCATAACCTCATAAATTGATGAAAAATTCTAATTTGATTGGTGCCCTTTGGTATCTTGTCTGTTTTGTGGCCTTCATGAAGCAAAATAATTTCACTACAGTTCTTCAAGTGACAGGGAGTGTAAAGTGAGCTAAGAGTTGGAAGGGACCCTGGGGATCATCTGGTCCAGCCCCCTGCAATGCAGGAATATGCACCTGTTCCTTATGGGAATTAATCTGCAACCTTGGTGTTATCAGCACCACACTTGTGTCCAGTACCTTGGAATACAGATGTAGCTGACTTGGTCCACTCACCTAAGATAGGGTATTTTTTAATAATTTTTTTTCTTTAAGACTGTTAGGAAACTTTTGAAAGTAGCATCCAGTAACACAACATACATAACTTCGCTTCTTTAATACATAGGTATTGCACCATGTTACAAGAGATTATATAAAATGCAGCAATTATGTAAACAACTAGATACTTTTTCCTCAGAGTGCATATGCTTGTAAAAATGCAATGCACTGCATAAAAGGAAACTGCTGCCATAGAGTTCTAAATATTGGCACAGAAACAAAAACAGCTATAATAAGTGCCTTGGGCAAAGTGCAAAGGCAACCCTATAATGGACTATGGACTTCTTAGCTAGTCTTGAGTAAAAGCTGGCTGGTTCCTAATTCCAGTGAAGTTGGGATATTTTTGCATCATGTTTTTAAAAGGATGGGGAAATTCTGTGACCAAACTATAATGTTTTCATATGCAGGCAGCAAGCAAGGCATAGTTGTTTACATTTCTTTCAACGGGTTTGAGACAGCAGCAGGATCTTACTGAATAGGAAAGATCTATTATGAGCTCCACTCACAGTGCCAGATATTCAGCCTATGAACAGGCATGTGACTTAAGGAATAATATACTGTAAATGAAAATATGGTTTAGAGAACACTGGTGTGGCTTCTGACTGTGAAAGGGCTGACTTTGTGAGAAATGCACACACACTATTATTGTTTGTCCACCTCTTCCTCTTGTTTCTGTAGACTATTATCACAATGGATTTCTAATCACATTCCCTGCCCCTCCTCTAGAGTCCAATGCCATTTATAGATATACAGAAAAATATGTGGACAGAACAATATGTAAAATAATAACTTCAGCAGTGTTGTTAAAACAAAAGTGTATTTCAGAGGATCAAAGTTGAATTCCAGAGATTCACCAGAGGCTCCAGGTAAAGTACACCTTTAATCTTTGGCTTGCTATTGATTACATTTCAGTTCTACAAGGTACCATTTTTCATATACGCTTACATAGATAATTAGACCACTGCAACCACACACAACACAACCCACCTGCCATATCTAGTTACCTTCACGAGTCCAAACCTTTTGTTGAAAGTATTCCAGCTGGCCTAGGTATCAGTTCATAAATTTTCTGCTTCCACTTTCTAACTTATAGTTTGACTGACAACAAAGGGGTGGTGAAAGTAAATGGAAATATGCTAAAACCCTATGAAGTAATCTTGGGTAGTAGGCATCTATAGGACCTTCAGGATTTTTGACAAATAATTGGTAGCTTTCATAATCACTGGAGAATTAGTACGTGGCCTCCAGTATACAGTACTGGACTACAACTCCCATCATCTGTGATGGTTTCATCTGCTAAATTTCAACTTGGAATGCAGCTTAAAAGGCACGTCTGCATTGCCTCCCTAACACTCATTGGTGGGACAAACAGGATTGCTGAGGAATTATTTTAATTATTTCCTCCATTCCATTTCATGCTAGCATACAAGGAAAGGTAACAACTTGTAATTAATACATCATGTACTGATGTTGCTTAATAGCAAATGTCTCTTTAAAAGATCCCAATTAGTATAGATAATCTCAACTATATTGCCCAGTTAAATTATCCTTTGATAATTTACCAAATGAACTGCAGTGTCATGCTGATAATTAACGGTACTAATTTGGTGTGTGAGATCACACTGGCTTTCAATATTCTCATTTTGGCTGTAGACTTGCCGAAGATGAAGCCTGAGCACCAGGTTTCCTTCTCATTTTAGTTGATGTAGATTAAGTAGGCATTGATTTTATTTTCATTTTAGTATCACAGGCCAAACTGATGTGCCATGATTGGATCCACTGTAGGGGGGGAGATGCAAAATGGATCAGGGTATCACTGTGCGGGGTGGGGGTGGTTATTTCTTACTTTCGAAAACATTCTTCCCACCCCTTGCTGCTAAGTGATGCAAATTTTCTGTGCAAAAAAATAATATCCCAGCCCCCAGACCAGTGTCACAAAAACAGAGCAGCCTGGAGAACATGGGAACTGGCTGCTCTCACTTTACATTAGTCCCTGAGGCCCCAATTTTAAAAAGAAATGGTTAACATCTGAATGCCTACTTTTGAAACACAGGCAGCATGACAAGCAAACAGTAAAGAAAAACAATGGGATCTCTCTAGGTAGCTTGCTACTATTTGGACAGAACCGCTAACCCAGACCTTTTCTGTCTAGTCTCTCTGTTCCAACAGATACACTGGGCTGGTTCGCATATAATACTAAGCCAAACCATGGCCAAGCATGAATGAGTGAGTGAGGGGGTCACAGTCACCCTTCATTCTAGCAATGCTGCAAATAGATATGACAACAAGTCTCATTACACTTGACCACTGGCTATAATGGCTGGTGAGAGTTGTAATCCAAGAACATTTGGAGGGTCACATGTTCCCCATCCCTGATATAAAGACCAACAGATTTGTTGTGGCATACATTTTTATGAAACCAAGCCTGCTTTGCCACTTCATGCATCTGATTAAGTAGACTCTAACCCACCAAAGGATATGCTAAAATAAATCTGTTCGCTACCAAGGTGCTAATTACAAGGCATTTTTCTTGCCAGCTTTTCTTTTTTTTCCTGCAACAGACAAGCAGAGCAATCTTGTCATAGCTGTCAACCTTCCCTTTTTTTGCTGGAAATTCCCTTATTCCAGCTCCGTTTCCCGCTGCTATCCCGGATTGTTAGATATCCCGTACACTGTCCCTGGGACAGGTGAGGCTGCTGATCCCTTATTTTCGAGGCTGCTGATGCCTTATTTTCAAATCTGAAAGTTGACAGCTATGAATCTTGTACATGTTTACTAGTCTTAGGCCCATTGTGTTTTATGACACTTCCTAGTAAGTCTCACAAGCTGGAGGAAGGTAGTGGTGCAGTCGGGCAATTTTAGACTCCGGACTGGTTTGATAGCTTTCCCATTTATTACTTCACCTCTTCGCAAATGCTACAGCATTTGGGGGACCCTCCTACTTCTCCTGCTGAGGAGGGCCCCCTAGCCTTGTCCTGAGGGCACCACCGAAAGATGGTCTAACTTTAATTCTCCCCAAAACCCCTTCCATAGCTGTCAACGTTTCCCTTTTTTAACGGGAAATTCCCTTATTCCGAATAGGATTCCTCGCAAGAAAAGGGAGAAGTTGACAGCTATGCTTAACACCCCAGTCTCAGGTACGTTTCTTTGGGACTGAGCTCCGTGGGGCTCTTTTTCAAGAAAACAAACGCAAGGAGACCACCCTCTTCTGAGCCTCGCCCTTCAAATCCCCGACCCCCAGCCTGGCAAACACAGCAGCCTTCCCTCTGCGCACCACATACGAACCCTTTAACCTCCAGTGTGTACTCGCGCCCGCGCGTCGCCATAACACGCTTGAGGCAACCGCAGTGCGCGAGACCTTCAAACTTGGCTTCCTGGGAAAGCCAGGATCTCTCCCAAAACAAGCATATCTGGGTCGAAAGCTACAGCAGCGGCGCTTGCGAAGAGGGCGCCCCCCAGATGCGCGCTCCGGGCGCCCCCACGATTGGATGCTGCCTCGGAACGCCCTCGAGCTTTCTGGGAAATATACTTCCGAGGGGGCGTGGAGAGTGTCGCCGCCGCCGCCTCTGCGCAGCAGCCATTAGCCGCTCGCTGGCGTCGTGGGATTGTGACCAAGCGGGGCTCCTCCCCGCTGCTGGCGCGCACCCGATATAACGCTTCCCTCCCGGCCGTCGGCGCTCAGGTGGAGTTTGCTGCGACTAGAGAGAAGGCGGAAGAAGCGAGTGGCAGCGCGGCGACCACCGGGAGAAACCCCTTCACGCCAGGCGCTGAGAAGGAGCCAGGCAGGGCGACCCACAGAAGCTGCCCGGCAGTGCCCAGCCCCGCGCCGAGAGAGCTCGCTCCGTGTCCCTCTTCCTCCGTGGTTGCCCCCCTGCCTCGCCCCGCATCCGTGAGGGCGTGCGAGGAAGAGGAGGTGGTTGTGAGGCGATGTACCCGCTGGGCTCCACCTGGAATATCTCCTTCGCGGGCTGCGGGTTCTTGGGGGTGTACCACATCGGGGTCGCCAGCTGCCTCCAAGAGCACGCGCCTTTCTTGGTGGCGAATGCCAAGAACATTTATGGCGCCTCGGCCGGAGCCCTGACGGCCACAGCCCTGGTCACTGGAGCCTGCCTAGGTAAGGAGCCTGCCTGTGTCATCCGGTGCCTTTGCGTTCCTCTTGTACGCGGTGGGTGGGAAGCAAAAACAGACTACTGGGAGAAGGGCGCCTTCCTGTCAGTCCTGCCGCTTTCCCTTTCCTTCTGAAGGAAGAATCCAGATGACAACACGCGCCCCCCCCCCTTTTGTGTGCTTTTTTCAGCGGTGACACACGCAGAGACGGGGCGGGGGGGGGGACACACATACCGCTTATTTGACCCGCAGAACGGATGACTCTCGCCTTTTCTGGTTCACGTGAACCTGCCTCATGCTGAGTCAGACCTTAGTACTGCATGCAAAACATACGCTCTTTTTCTGAACCATGCCTTTTTCTCTTCCTTGTTATGTGTCATTTGGGTGTGGGTAGGTACAGGCTTGGATTCTGTTTAAAAGGTTTGCATACTTCTGTCCTCCTGTGGAGATCTCAGGGTTGTTTACAAAAACAATATAAAACTGAAATAATGTGTTTTATGTGTTGACTGTTTTTATTTTAAAATGTAATAAAATAAAACACTGCAAAAAAAATAATACCGTAATTGTCTTTACCTTGTACCTAAAAGACAACAATGTTGGCCCCGGTAAGGCCTCTGGGGAGGGAATTCCACGAAGGAGGCACTACCTCTGAGAAGGGTATTGCTCCCTGGTTTTCACCTGCCTTACTTTACTTGGATGGTGTGGGGCCCTGGAAAGATGATCTCGAGGCACAGAGAAGTTGATATAGGAGCAGGTGTTTCTTCAGGTACCTGAGCCCTAATTTATGCAATGGTTCAAAATGAACTTGAAGCCATGGAAGTTATTTCAATGCTGGGAAGTTAAGTTTCTACCAAGCAGACCGAGGCAATAGCTTAGTACCTGTTTTTGAATGAACCAAAGCTTCTGAATTGTCTTCAAAGCAGCATGTACAATGCAACACAGTACTCAACCCCTGTGTGTGTGTGTGTATACAGGGTGAGTCCTTTAAAAGAGGCCCCATGGATATGGAGTACACATGTTCCACGGAGCCTCTTTTAAAAGACTCACCCTGTGTATATATATTGTTATGAATCTGTGGGTGTAAGACACCCTACCTTCTTGGAACCAATTGTTGTTGGCATCTGTCTGTCTTGAAAGACAATGGAGTACGCATTTGGGGGTGAAGTCAGACGGGCTACCTTCTCAGGCAGATGTCCCACCTGCCCCACACTTCCCTCTACAGCAGGGGTCAGCAACCTAAGGCCCATGGGCCGGAAGCAGCCCGCGGAGGTCGTTTGACCAGCCTGCGAGCTGCCCTCGAACCGAGCTGCCCGCTTGCACAATGTGCTAAACCGGCACGGGGACTTGCTTCCACGGCGCCGAAAATCACATCTGCACAGATGCAGATGCCGAATATCAGCAAAAACATATTCTCATAGTAGTATCTCAAAAGCATTTTGCCCTTCCCTAAATATTCATTCATAGTCTTTGGGCTTTATGGATTCAGACCTATGCTTTCTACCATATCTTATAAGTGGTGTTGTTTCGTTAATCTTGATTTATTATTTGCTTATCTCTCCGGGAACCTGGAACACAATAAAGCTGCATGTCCTCTAAATTAGATCATCTGTTTGTTTTCAAGCCCTCTGTATGCACACTATCTGAAAGGGAGTGTGGTGTGCATTAGGGGTCACTAACTGTCCTTTAAAAGGATAGTTAGTATTTTTTTCCCCTTCAAAATTGTCTCTCGTGGAATTCTCATAAAGATTTCTTATAAACTGATTTTTAAAAAAAAGGTTTCTAAGGCTGCAATTCTGTACTGTGACTTAATTCTGAGTAAATATACTTAGAACTGGGCAGCAAGAATCCTCCTTGAAACATGAGCTTAGTCTGTGCTGGACTGAAGGAAACAAGATGTGAGTTGCCACCTGCCAGCTCTGGACTAGGTGACTCCAAGGTCCATTCCAACCCTAAAATTATGTGATTATTTCCTTCTCGGTTGCAGGGATTTTGTGCCCTTAAGACCCCAACAGATAGAAATCCAGCAGATAAAACAGAGCTTTTGTTTGTTGGGAAAACCTTTCATTGCTAATTTTTTATTTGACCTGCAGCAACTGAAGGCCCAAAGGCTATGCCAGGGAAACAAGGCAGGGGGTGGGTCAGTCCATTTGCTGGCTCTGCATGCAGCCCTGAGTAGTGCATGCACCAGTACTGTACTTTTGTTGGGGCTTATTTCTCTGGTATGACAGGATATTCTCATTATTCCGCATGTACGGGCAACACACAGCTTTGTCGCAGAGCACTTGCTCTGCAAATAGAGGTTTCCTGATTCAGTCTCTGCTCTGGCATTGCCTTTTAAACAGGGGACTTGAATAGCTGGTGATAAAGAAATACCCTTTTTTGCCTTAGACTTCAAAGAACTACTGTACTGCTTATCGTAGTAGCCAATGCTGAACTAGTTAGACTAGTGGTCTTGCTCGTTATATAAGGTAGCTTTCTGTATTCCCAAACTGAGACCTGGTGCTAAGCAAGCACAGGGCTGAGCTTTCGCCAGTGGCATCGCAAGGGGTGTGTGTTCGCCAGGTGCCATGTCTGGGGGTGGTGACAAGAAGGCACCCCACGGGGTACTTGCACCGCCGCAGCCGCATGTGGAGGATCCTCTGTTCACAGCTGCAGCAGCGAGCAGAGGATCCCACCACCGTCCATATGTCGTTCGAGTGGTGGTAGTAGCAAACCGCTATGTACAACGCATGCGCGGTGTTACGTGCATGCACTCTATGTAGCGACACCACGCATGTGTCATATGTAGCGGCGCAGCGCGCGCGCAGCCGGCAGTTTGCCCCTGGCTTTCACCAAGACTAATTCCTAACTATAGAATAGCTAGGAAGTTCCCTGGTTTCAGCTTTCCCCATTGCATAGTTACAGAACATTGCTTCTGATGACTGTCTTTTAGGCCATTCCTGCTAGTGGGTAGGGGTCTATTTGGGAAGAAGTAGGAAAGCATAATACGTGTTCAGTGCAAGTGGCAATGAAATGACATAACTTTTCATACATCATGTGAATGTTTACCATGAATGCACACTTGCCCAATGAGCAGCAACCAATCCCGGCTCTTGAATGAGTCTTTCCTACATGTTTTACACATACAGTACTGTACATGCAAATTTGCTGCTCACATCCATCTTTTCCTTTCGCTGTCCATTCACCAATATAAATACATATATGCTTTAAAACAGGGGTGGCTTATGGCCACATTAATTGTGTCACTTTATCATCAGTAAGAACAGTGTTCAAGTGGCCACTTATTTTAATCTTGCTCGTAATCTTACTGGTAAGCAAAAGTAGGCAAACCACTCTGTCATGGAGATTGTACCTTGTGCTGTAATTGCTGGTGATAATGAACATACTTTTGTACTTTGTTTTGTGATTAGTCATTTGAAAGATTCCCTTTCAATTTCATTGGTAATTTAATCAGCTTTGGTGAACAAGAACAGTGTAGAGAAAGTTTTCAACCATTTTTTAGAATGCTTAAAAAAAAGATGTGTTTGCTGCCATGGGCGCTTCCAGGAAAAAGGGCAGGATGCAAATTGTATTCTTACAGCTTTTGCCATTCTGGAGCCCTCCAGATGTTCTGAACTAGAACTTCCATCACTGCAGAGCACAGAGTTGTCCAAAATGCCTGGAGAGCACCTGGATGGTGCAGGCTGTTTTACACACAAGTGCACACTGGTAATCTAATCTTCATTTACTCATTGCCCACCTACACTAGGTGCCATATATGTACATTCATCCCCTGGATTCTGGATCAAACACTTCTTTAAAAAGCAAATGGCAGCTGAAATAGCCCAATGAGATATAAAGTGTAGATATGAACTTTGTAGAGGTAGAAACAACAGGAATCCAGGCTTGTTTTGTTAATTAAAAATACCTTTACAAAGTGAGTGATACTAATGAGCATATAGAAACTTCCAGGTGTAAACTTAATAAGATGCACCCCATGGAGTAACCAGACTTACTGGTTATGGGATATATAGTCTTGAAATGCATTTAAAGTGACATTACATGCCTCTGAGCTCCAGCTGAACTGGAGTCACGCCCAATGAGAAAACTCAGTATGTATGCATGTTGTGTATGCATTTGTTTTAATTGTGGCTCAGGAAAGGAAATCCATAATTAAGATTGCACAAATTTCTGTTAAAACAGACACAAACAAATTTAAAGCCTCTGCTGTTCACTTTGTATTGCTATGTGTTATTTATTCAGTAAGGTGTACTATATCCCTGAATACAAAGTGGATGGGAGATAAAGCCCTGGATGTTGCTTTCAAAATCTACAAGTTCATAATTACGGTAGGTTCCTGCCAGCTCCTTCCCAAAAATTTATCTTGCAGATTCCATACTGGCTGCATTATATGGACACTTTTCATTGTCACTCTTTTATGGAAGAAGAACAAACTTGCATTTGCCCTTAGAAAGCTGTTTTTCTTTTTAGGGAGGTGAATGAGAGGGGGTAGAGAGGATGTGTTCACACTCCTGTTTTCTGTGCATTCCCAGTTCTGGGTTTTTGATCCAGAACACCACATTAACTCAATATGTATCCTGTATTTTGTTATGAAATATTGCCATTTGATGCATTGTTTCTCAAACCAGCTTCACACTGATTAGAGTCCTTAAGCCCACTGGCGGAAGAAAAGGAGTGTGGGGGGAGCACATCACCCCTGGCAGCACGATCCCAGTGGGGTGCCATTGCGGCTGCCCCCCCCCCCGTGCTGGGCACCACGCCCCTGCAGGTGGCGTGCCCCGCCCCCACCAGTGCTGCTTGTGAGCATGTGCCCTGACTGTAAGAAATTGTTGATCTGTTAAAGAGCAATTAATTGGTTTTCTGCCATTGAGTTTTCACATTGGGAGTGACTTTTTATTTATTTATTTATTTTTAAAGTAATTTTTATTAAAGTTTTAAACAACAAAGAAATAAAAGAAAAACATACACAATACATATAACAAAAACACAAAAAACAAAAAAAACAAAAGCAAGATTCAACAATAAAAATACAAAAAAATAACAATTAAAAACAATATCTCTGTTTCATTTCCGTTTTTTAGTTGCTTATTTTCTGGACTTCCTCATACCTCCCTCTTTTGTATTCCAATCCAAATTATTTGTCCAGCAGTTTCTTTTCCACTTTTTAATCCCAATCTTTAATTTGATAAGATATTAAAATATATAACTTCAACTTCTTTAAACCTAATCCTTGGTCTTAATATCATATACCATTAAAATTTTCCCTCTTAATATCAAATTTCCATTTCTTTAAACATCTTTAATCTTAATCTTTAATCTTAGTCTATCATTAACTTTAACCTGTACAGCTGGAAACCTCTTGTTTTCAGTCCAACATCACTCTAACATTCCTTAATTTTGCAGTGTTTCTGAAGATAGTCTTTGAATTTCTTCCAATCTTCCTCCATCAACTCTTCTCCCTGGTCACGGATTCTACCAGTCATTTCCGCCAATTCCATATAGTCCATAAGTTTCATCTGCCATTCCTCCAGCGTGGGAAGTTCTTGTGTCTTCCTACATTGGGAGTGACTTTTTAACGTTTACACACGCTACTCACAACTAGGCAAAGTTTCTCTAGGTCTGCAGATTTCTCTAGTTCTAAGGCTATAATTACCTGATAAGAGAAGAAGGGAAAGGCTAATGAAGGCTAAGGACTGTCTGGATTTAGCAGGTGCCTTCTGTGCCAGCTTTTGAATGCCTGCTGCAAAGTTTTCTATCCTGTCAAGCCTATGCAGGGAATTAAGAGTACATCCCCCACAATGGTCTATTGATGTTTGCTTTTAATTTCTTTTTGCTTTTAACTTGTTATGATGTTACTGTTTGGTTTTATGTTTTTATATTGCTGTAAACCACTGTGATATCTTTTTATGATACAGTGGTATGTAAATATTTTTTATAAATAAATGAAATGTTCTGTCATGCCTATGGTGAATAGTAATCTAGTAAAATTTGCATGCATATACCTTTACAACTACGGCACCATTTCTGGAGCCTTTTTTTGTTTTGGGGTCAGGGGATTGGTCAAGCCCATGGAGGGTTAGTCACATTTTGATCCGACCCACTGGATGAAAGCCCTGTGGGAATATTGTAAAATTAATGAATGTTAGAATGATGACGGATTGAAGTTAAGCGGTTTCTAGCAGTAATGGTTAAAAGAATGGAAAAATTGGTTTTTAATAGGTAAAAATTTAATGTTATAATATATTAAGATTAAAGATCAGGATTAAAAAGGAGGGAAAGAAATTGCTGGACTAACAAACTGAATTGGAATACAAAAGAGGGAGGTATGAGGAGGTCCGGGAAACAAGTAAACGTAAAAGAAGTGATGAAAAGACGGAATTGTTTTTAACTGTTTTTTCTTTTTTCTTTTTGTATTGTGTATTTTTCTTTTTATTGTTAATTTATTATTATTATTATTAATGTGATCCTTTTCTTGTGAAACTTTAATAAATATCATTTAAAAAAAAAAAAAAAAGAAAGCCCTGTGGGGTAGCATGTTAGGTTTGAGGAAAGGAAAGGAAAGAGAAGAGAGTGGCTGGTGGAGTTTGTGGGAAGAAAGAGAATGACTATGAAGGCAGAAGGGGAAATGAATAGTTAGACTGAGGGGGAGGAACAGTAGAAGATTACATATAGAGATGGCCTATCAATAGGAAATGATGTTGGTAATTGCGAGCTGATTATGCCAAACCGCCTCCATGCACACCACAATTCCGTGTCTGGCTGTGCCCTTGCATCATCTTTTTGTGGTTCATGGGCCTAAGTAATCTATCTCCAGCCTAGAGTGCTGTACATCTGCCTCACCAGATGCCTACATCTTCTCTCAATGGAAGTGTACTTCACCCAGTTGGGATGTTGAACACGTGGCTTCAGAATCATATACCCCAAAGTAATGTGTGTATGAGCCAACCCTCAAAATCATATACTCCTACTCTTAAAAAAAGGTAGCATCCCTAGAACTTGACTCCATAGTTTTAGGGAATGATATCTTTGTTACCAACAAGTTATTTCCAATCTGTCATGTTGAGTTACCTTTGAGAGCAAAACGTCTGTCTCACAAGATCTAGCGTAGCCTCAGTCTTCGGTTCAATTTCTCCCCACCCACCCCCCTTTTTTCTGTGTGTGTGTTAGGGTCACTTTATATTAGTCCAAGTGCAGGAGCCAAAACAGGCATGGCAAAGGATATAACTTCTATTTTAAACATTTTTTAAAAAGCAATTGCTGGTGGCTCACAGTTCGGCGGGAAATAGTAGCTCTGAGTCAAGTAGTTTAGTGTCTAACCCTTTCCTTCCACGTTATTATTAGAATTTTAAATGCAGGCACATTCACACAATGAAGTTGTTCTTAGAACCAACTGGGAAATAATGTAGGCATCATTTGGGAATCTCTTTTCCCCATCCAACAAAGTTGATCTTGGTTACAGGAGGGGAGTGTCATGGTCAATGCAGAAATAGCATGGGAAGAGGGTTAAACACCCCTTGCGCCTCTGCCAATCAAAACTGGAGCTTTAAATCTGTCGTGGCTTTTTGTCTATCATATTATTGTTGGCTTGGAACTAGAAGACTTGTACACACCCGTGTTGACAGCTGCCAAAGTCCTCTGTGCTCTTGCTGGGAAGCTGGCAACACATTTGCAGAAGTACCAGTGATACACTGATGAGTCAGAAGAATCCCTGTTGTGATGGATCCTATGTACCAGTATAGCTCAAGTGTCTCCAAAGAAAATGCAAGTAACTGTGTTAGCTACTGCCAGAAAATGTAATCAACAAGAAGTTATTTGAGGGAATCTTACTAGCCTTCTGAAGCATCACTAATCTTTGGCACAATCAGCAAAACCATTAAAGCATGCGAGGACATTCTCAGTAGTGAGGATTCATGCACACACATCCTCTACACTCTGCAGTCAAGAATTGCATATTTTGTGTGATAAAGATGTTTGACATTCCAGAGAGGTTTGCTTAGGATGATATAAGAAGGGTTTTATGAGTGTCTTCCTTAAGACCTTTGGTTCCATCCTTGATCCAGGACTCAGTGTTGGCTACTCTGTGATCAGGTCTATGTCATCGGGTGATAAAGAAGCAAGTTTCCATGTGACTACAGGGAAAAGAATATGGCTTGACAGGAGACCCTCCTGTAAGGGTGGTGTTAGACATGCTTTTTGCTCTGGTCTTCTGAGGCTACTCAGTAACTGTTCCCTTCGTAAGAGGATATTGTTGGCACCTTTGAGCCCTCAAAGACATGCGGTGCAGTCCTAAGTGTGTTTATTTAGAAGTAACTCCAGTTGGGTTCACTAAGGTCTGTTCCCTAGCATGAGTGCAAGGGACTCAATCCTTAATTAAGGGTCTGTGTTTGTATAGAATGTAACCTCTAATGTGCTCTGTTGTATATGAGCAGACCATATAGTTCAACGTTGCATAAGATCAGTGTTTCATTTGCAAGCAATGTTTCTTAACTCTGAGTTTTAGAAATAGTGACAAATGGAGATGAGAGAGCAATAAACTTGTAGTAAAGTACTAAGACAAGGATGGGCAACCTGTCACCCTCCAGATGTTGCTCTACTACCAATTCCCATCACCTCTTACCATTGGCTATGCTGATACGACTCCAACAGTGTCTTGATATTGCTCATCTGTGCACTAAGATATCAAGGAGTCCTATGCTTTTGCACTGTGAGCACTGTTCTCATGTATTTGTGGCTAGGGAGGAATCTTCCCTAGGTTATATTCTGATGGTTATTAAATGTCTAATTTTATTTTTTGTTATCTCCTGTAGCATATAATAATTTGTTCCTTGGGGCATCTTCATGTGTTTGTGTAGTGGTTCTAGGGGTTGCTCGTGCGTAAGCCGGTGCAAACACCTGGCTGGGTTGCCTGAGTGAATCTTTTCTGTCCGGACAGCCACTCACCCGTGGCTGTCTCAATCGCTGGCAGAATCCGTCTGTGGGCGTTTCTTAAACTTCTTCCAGCAAAGAAGCTCTTTGACGCCTAGTCTCCTCCTACTCTCTCTGCACGAAAGCCTTCTGCGCAAGGAGGGCGTAGGCAGCGGAGGATCCCTACTCTCCCCGCTGGTCCCTGGCAAGGAGTCATGGGACCGCCTCGCCGCTTCCCCCATCTGCCCCCCTTCTCCACTGGTGCTACGCTGATTCTCTTCCCCAGAAGATGGGCTGCCTCTCCCAATCCCGGGACGCTCTCTGGAATCCCTCTGGATCTTGCTCTCTCCCTCCGGCACTGATGGCAGTTCCCTGACAGTTTGTCCCTAGACCTGTTCATTACTCTGCAGGAAGCATTGACATGGTGAATATTAATTTAGATATAAATGAATACAGCATATATATTGTCTTTTCAACAAAAATGGTCCCCAAGCTGTTTTTCTAGCAAGGTAAAACCAACATAATAGTACCAACTAATAGCAGCATTCAAAGGTAAAACATAATGAACCAAAAAATCATTAGCACCCTATAAATCCTGTCTGAAAAGTATTCCTCTTATTAACTTTATGTGGATTGCCTTTTGTAAGCATTTGCTATTCTGTGCAGATAGCATGCATTCCTGGGTTGTAGGCGTTGTCTGTTCTTGTCACAAGTTTTCCCTCATACTCATGCCTGAGTGAAGTGCTGTTTACAGTACATAATGTTAGGAACGGCTGTGCTTCATGTTCTGGTAGTCAGATAAAGGAGATGGTCACGTGATTTCAGAAATCAGCAATTGGCACAGGTCAGCTGTTAATCTCCTTTCAGAGCCCTTAGGGGGTTAAGCGTATATCAGGTGCAAGCTGGCTACTACTAAATTTGTTGTTCAACCATTGTTGTTGTTTAACCATTATGTAACTACCTTGAGTCGGACTAAATCTCAGACCTCTCTCTTTAAGAATGTGATGGTAACTCCTTTTTTATGAGTGGGTGATCAGGTGACAACAGCATAACTTGGGGGCATTAAGGAGCCATCCTATTGAATTCTAACCTACTTCATTAGTAGATCTTACAACTTACATTTCATAGGATCATAAAGTTAGAAGGGACCCTCAAGAGTCATCTAGTCTCCCTACAATACAGGAATCTAAACTAAAACATCCATAACAGATGGCCATCCAATCTTGGCTAAAAAACCTCCAGGGAAGGAGAATCCACAACCTCCCGTGGAAGCCTGTTTCACTGTTGAACAGCTATTACTCTCAGATAGTTTTTCCTGATGTTTGGAAACTCTTTTCTTGTAACTTGAAGCAAGGAACATGATTGCTAGATGATGAGCCTTCTCGTTATCTCCAGGTAACTCTTCCAATGCTTCAGAAGGCTCTAGATGTTTGAAGCCTCTTAGGAGTTTTGTGATGGTGGGGCACATCATTTGTCACTTTCTAAAGAGCCACCTTTAGTCCTGTCAATTTGTCACTAGAGTATAAAGAGCAAGAGAGAAGAATGAAATTCAGCCCCAGTTGTGCCCCTATCCAGGCTGCCTTTGTTACTTGTGTTACTCAGTATGGACGTAACTTGCTTCAGGAAATGGGAGGCATTGTACAGTATAGGCTTTCTTGCTTCCGAGACTTGGATTCTGTGATAAGGCATCAGTACTGGAACTTTGCTAAATGAGTTTTCTTAATTGAGTTTTAATTCCTCCTCCAATCTCTTACCACACTGTGAGCTGTTAAGGACCAGATGCTCTGAACCCTTTATAAGGGCCAGTTGGGTGGAAGCATCAGCTTGTATAGAACACAACTGCCAGAACTGTGGTTCACTGGGGTTAATTGTTGCTCTAGTTTTGTTATGTCTACACTGGTTACCAGTTTTGTTTCTGGGCTCAATTCAAACTGTTCTTGTTGCCACCGTTAGAATAGAAAACCTCCTTTTAAAAAATGTAATTGAATTTAGTGTCCATGGCTGTATTTTGTGCTTCCACATGATTGCAGTATGCAAGCAACCATAATCTCTGGCCATTGTTTAGTTAGAGGAGCCTACATTAATGAGACTCCCTTGCAAATTCTTGTTTGTGTACAATGCAAACCTGAATTGTGCAACTGCTCCCCCAGAAACAGACTTGTGGAAAGATGAAGGAATCCATGGGTAATCTGCTGATGAGAAAACTCCACTTCTACCACCAGATATTGCAGCACCAAGACTCCCTTGAGGATGGAGTATGCCAATGGCTTAACCAAGTTTATGTGGAAAACTTTAGTCTTTGAACCACACATCACTGTGCCTTGCTTGTGAATTATATTGCCCTTGGGAGGCAGTCCATTGGAATAAATTCATTATGACTTAACTGTTGGCAGCTTGCCGTGAGTAACCCAACACCAATGGGGCAAAGTTAAATTGTAAACCATAAGCCTTAGTACGTAAGCACTAGATGGAAGGGCAAAGAGGACAGAGTTTTGGGGGGAGAGAAAGCCCAGTATATGAAGCAACCTAGCAGAGTGAATCCTTGGGGCTTTCATGAGAGGGGATTTTGAAAGGGCGCAGAGGGCCTCCCTAGTGCTGGATCTAGCCTCTAAGGCCTGAATTTGCAATGCAGATTTTCTCCTCTCTTATCTGGTTATCTCCTAATGCAGTGATGGCCAAACTTGGCCCTCCAGCTGTTTTGGGACTACAATTCCCAACATCCCCAACCACTGGTCCTATTTGCTAGGAATGATGGGAGTTGTAGTCCCAAAACTGCTGGAGGGCCAAGTTTGGCCATCACTGTCCTAATGACTAGAATACTCCTGCCTGACCCTATATTACTATGTTCTCTGGAAGTTCTAGGCCAGCCAGATTTTAAAAATAAAACAAAAACAAAACAACCCTTCAACACCATAAAAAGGAACATTGCAAACATGCTAAGGAGTTGTTGGGTGATAAAATAGCAAAACTTGCGTATCCTCACAACAGTGCTGTGAGGCAGGGTTAGCTCAGAAAGGGAGTGAGTCTCCCATTCAGTGAGTGAGCTTTGCAGTTCATCAGGGATCTGAGCTCTGGCATTTGCACTTTACATTAACACTTGCAATATATTGTAGTTAGTCTTGGTGAAGACTTGACGTTTTCATCCCCCAAAAAGCTTTTGATTTGAGTTTTAATGTTTTAATGTTATATTTTAATCTTGTTTTTAAGTTGTATTTCAGTCAATTTGTTTTATATCGGGTGTTAGCCGCCCTGAGCCCGGTCTTGGCTGGAGAGGGCAGGGTATAAATAAAAATTTATTATTATTATTATTATTATTATTATTATTAGTGGTTAGAATGTTGGACCAGGACCTGGAAGACCAGGGTTCAAATCCCCCCTCAGCCGTGGGCAGTCATTCACTCTCAGTCTAACCTACCTCACAGGGTTGCTGTGAGAATATAATGGGGAGGAGAAGAACTACGTAGACCACTTTGAGCTCCTTGGATGAAAGATGGAATAGAAATGAATGGGGAGATTAAGTAAATAAATAAGCAAGCAAGCAAATAAACAATGCACAACACACTTGGAGTTAGGATTCATTCAAACCCTGCTAAGCTGGACTTGCCAGGACATTGAAAAGCAGCCTGAAGCTATTGGGCAGGGTGAGGCACCGCATAAGAGAAGAGATGCTTAAGCTCCACTGGCCCTTCTATTCACATCTTATGATAATTATACTCTTTCCTGCTTCACAAGTGAAAACTGGAGGCTCATGAGAAACCAATGAGTCTCCCCAGCCCCATCACATCTAGTTGGGCACTTGCACTCCTTAAAGGCCTCTGTCGAAGAGGAAAGGGAGAGAGTGTTATAGGAAAGCAAATGTATGGTAGCACAGATACTCTCTGCTCTCTCCTATGGTCTCACTGGCCGTACAGAATAAATATGGTGAAGATGGTTAATTCTGCATTTCAGCAGAAGCAGTCTAGTTTTCTCTGGTCTGAGTGATTAGGAAAGCTTTGGTAACAAGGGTGGAGTCTTGTCTGCTAACTTCACTGGAGGTGGGATGGAGGGGGATGACCTCTGTTCTTGCAGCAATAAGCACTCAAGAAGTGGTGTGGAGGAGTGCAAGTAACAGCATGGTGTTTTTCAGTATAGCTTCACAGCCCACACGTCTGATAAAATGGCTTTGTATCTAAAAGCCACCCTGCCTTGGTAAACCGTTATGGAAACAAACTGCAGTTTGCGCATTGGTAGAGGTAAACTGTTATTGGCCAACACATCTTTGCAAAGTATTGATATCACCCAGTGCCAGAATTAGGGCAGTGTGGGCTGTCTCCCCTCACAGGGTACCGAGTCGAGGAGGTGCAAAATTGAGAAGATCCATAATTGAGAAGATCCATTTGGGAGCACCAAATTTTGACCTCACACAGGGCACCATACTACAAAAGTTTACCGAGTCTGCCCCTGAATCACCACTTTACTTATATCCTGCCTTTCTCCCGAGGAGCTCAAAGCACCATACACAGACACCCACCCACACTGTGCTTCTCCTTATCAGGTGCCTTAGACACAGAGAGAGAGAGAGCGAACGCGCATGTGATTGGACCAAGACCGCTCAATGGGAATTTGAATGTGGGTCTTCCAAGTTCTAGTCAGCCACTCTTAACCACTAGACTAGACCACACTGTCTCTCTTGAGCACTACTGTACACATACAGCCTTTCCCCAGCCCCTCTGTCTTGTTGTTTTTCCTCTAGTCTGCTGAACTAGGGAGTAGGCAGCAGTGGAATGAGGTGAGGCGAGATGAGGTGAGGCTCCAGCTGGATGCAAGGCAAGGCAAGGCAAGGCTAAGGCTGTGCTGTAGATACACAGTTCCTTCAGCAACAAACAGACTGAGCCCTATATAGTGGCAGGAGCTGCATTTGTTAGCTCCATTTACACTGGACGGTGCATTCTTTTGTTAAAGAGGTCCAACCTGCCCCATTAGTCTCCTACTGTAGGGGAACCGCTGGTGGGAAATAGGTTAAATATTTGTGGCTGCTAGGAGGTGTCAAACCAGCAGAACTTATTGTTCTTATTGTTTGCACAATATTACTCAGAACAGTACCATTTCTATTCTGGATGACTCAACTCTGGCTGGCCTTACTTGTTAACTGTAAATTGCAAAACTATGTGCATCCTGAAAATTCTGGTCGCTTGAAACACTGTTTACAGCCACCCACTGCCCTTTTGCAAAAGAAAGTGTTCAGATGCTTATCTTCTCACACCTTGTTAGTGGTACTTTATACTTTACTTTCATTCATGCGATGCAACATGTTAAGTACACAACATACACACCCTCACAAGGAAGATCTCTGTTGTTTTTGAAAGTCTGTGACTAAACATGAATGTGTACATAATTATAAGTATATAATCATATGAAATTAGGATCTTTTTGCATTTCAGACTTATGCATCAGTGGATGAGGATTTTTCTTGGAAGAGGGGAGGATTTTCACCTTGATTTTGACGTAAAGCTGAATTATTTAGTGTTGTTGTAAATTGTGGTAATTGATCGCTATGGGTTATCATTGCAATTTGGGAATTTATTGTGCTTTATAAATACAGTGGTACCTCGGGTTAAGAACTTAATTCGTTCTGGAGGTCCGTTCTTAACCTGAAACTGTTCTTAACCTGAGGTATCACTTTAGCTAATGGGGCCTCCCGCTGCTGCTGCACCGCTGCTGCGCGATTTCTGTTCTCATCCTGAAGCAAAGTTCTTAAACTGAGGTACTATTTCTGGGTTAACAGAGTCTGTAACCTGAAGCTCCTGTAACCTGAAGCGTCTATAACTCGAGGTACCACTGTACAGCATTAGTGGTAGTGATTGAATTGAGTAAATGAAGCTTCTTGTCCCTCTCCCCATTAACAGTACTTTTTCTGGAAAATTCTCATCTCAGTCCTAGTCAGAATTTGAAACAAGGCTTACAAAATGGAAATAATATGCTCTGGAATCTGTTAGGTTCTATAACCAATATTCATCCCCAAATGAATTTACTGCTGCACAGTTATTGAAACCATTTCATTTTCTTAAATGAAAGTGCTGCTAAAGGTAGGGTTCAGAGTGATGATATCTTGCCATCATGATGTTTTTCATCTTGCATTATTGCGTAAAGCCAAAATGCTGTACTGCTTGTGCAGCATGTACGTATGTGAGCTTGCTGAGATTTCTGTATAAAAAAGACGGTCTATCTACTCATTCTCCAGAATCATTTATATATTGTAGTAAAGTAATGCTACCGACAATGAAGGCTGAGCTTATAATTATAGTTTATAATTAAGGAGACTGATGAATAAGGCTAGCTTTAATTGCTCCAAACCCAATAAGCCACAGAACAAAAGGATTCTGATGCCAGTCTGTGCTAAGCTTATCCAGGATGGAAATAGGCCCATCTAGAGAGCTATGTTTTCATGATGCAGCTTGATAAAATTTGAATTAATTTGAAACCGTCTGTTCCCCACTTTTATGGGGAGCTGTTCTTACTGTCCTTGCTTGGTTGAAAGTCACTTTGTGCAAATGATAATTTCTCACAGGAACTGGAAGCATAGCCATGGCTCTTGGCCAGGCTTTCTAAGAACTCTCTTTTGCAGAATTATTTGTTTGTGTAGCGCCGTTTCTCAAATATTTGTGCAAGATGACCTTTTAAAAAAAAAAATTAACGTGGCAGCTTGTAGTGTAGGAAGGATGGCTCGTGTGCTCTCCTCGTAGAGAATGGCCTTTAGCATAGGGCTGCTGTTGTTCAGGGAAGTCTCCTTGTCTTTTTTGCACTGCATCCCAAACAAAGAGGAGTATGAAGAAGTTGCATAGCTGGCCCCATCTTCCCCACCACCCCTCACCCCACCTCAGAAACTCGTAGGCCTGGGAGTGCAGAAGGCCACTCAAACATCAGAACAAATTGTTCTAGTGTACACCATTTCTCAACACTTCTGAGGAAACAAGCCCCATAAAGAGGCAGTAGTCACGTGAGTGTCTTAATGCCTGCAAAGAAGCTTTGTCTCCCATGCAAGGTTATAAACTTCTGTTCTTTTCCAATGATTTATCACTTTATTGGGGTTTTGTTTTTTGCTGCTGTTTTTCGGATTGAGGCAAGGCGTTCTAGGGTGGTGCAGTCTATTGACAACAACATTGCCAGCTGCCAACTTAAGAGATAATATCTGTCCTTGCTTTGTTTGTGGGGTTGTTGTTTTTTTGAAAAAACAGACTGGAGCAGCAAAGGAAGATGCACACTCTCCTTCTGTTCTCCTCCACTAGTGCCTTTGCCTACCTTTCTTCCCACTTTGCCACAGAAAGTGGGGCTCTCTGGCTCCGCAGCAAGAAGGGTGAGCAGAAGAGCAGTGGAGGAGCAAGGCAGGAAGGGCACCTGCTGCAGCATCTTCCGAGGCTTCCAGGCTTTTTGAGGGCTGGTAGGCAGCCTTAGTTAACAGAGAAGGCAACAACTCAACAGCCGGGGAAGGGCTGTCGCTCAGAGGTAGGGCATCTGCTTTGCAGAAGGTCCCAGGTTCAATCCCTGACATCCCCAGGTGAAGCTGGGGAAGACCTTTTGCCTGAAACCCTCTGTTCCTATGTGTGCAGAAAGCATTTCAGAATGGTCTAGAAGGCTAAACCGACTCATTGAGTTCTTTTCCCGAAACAAGCATCTTAAAAAGATACTGTGACTCACTTAGTAGATTGTAATTGGTGGGCATCATTATGACAGTCCCCCTTTCCACAGATTTTTTTTTAGTTACAGAGGAACCTCTGTGCTTATTCCGTGGGTGATCCTTAAAAAAAAGAAGAGTCACTATAAACTTGCACCAGTTGTTGCTGTGGTCGTCTGACAGTTTTTTGACAGATGTGCAAAAATTTGCCTCCCTTTGGATTCTAAGCTTACATTGTGAGAGATAGTTTCATGACTGCCGTATGCAGATTGAGAAGGAACAAAGCGAGCAGAAGTTGTTTATTGGGAAACCACAAAGTGTGTTTTCCTCTGCTGTTCATCTCATCCGCACCCTCCACTGACTGGAGATATACATGGTTGCTTCTTGTTAAGTAGAATATAGTTGAAAACTGCTTCATTGCTGCTCTAAGGCAGCCTCTTCTGGTGCCTTTGTTAAACTTCCCCAAACTTAGCAAATAAAATGAGGCAGGCATGGGATACTGCTGGACACTGGGACTGCTGAATTGGGAAAATTGAAACTTTGACAGGAAAGAAGCTCCTTCCCCAATTTCTGCTATGAGGAATCTATGATATGGTTGCTGACTGGAGAGTAGCTATCTTGGGTCTGCCCACTGAATACCTCTACCTTTAGTAAGTACCCCCAGCCTCAACTGCAGGTAACTTAGTTGGCTTCCTGTCATTTGCAATACGTGTGTGTGTGTGTGTGTGTGTGTGTGTGTGTGTGTGTGAAGTACTGACTGGTGTTGCTGCCTTTCTTTTCTTCAGGGATGAAAAACAAATTGGCAAAAAGCAAAGCCTGCTGGAACAGATATGGAATGTGTGAAAACAGGAAGGGTGTGATGTAAAGCAGAATGCCAAGTGGCGGAGAGAGAAAGAGCAACCAGTGTGTCATGGTAGCCTTGTAGGGAAATCCAGGCAGCTGTCATGATCCTGGCTGGAATAAGATGATTTGCAACTGGGAAGAGGCAGAAGGATGCTTTGGAATCAGTGTTTGATAAATCTGTGCAGATCCTACACTGTTGGGAAGCAGCTCTTTTAATGAGGTTGATGCCCAGATGTATAGAGTAGGGTGACCTTGATAGATAAGGCCTATAGCATCTGTTCCAAAGAGCTCTTGAAGAAAACAAGTTCCACGGCTCTGGCTACTCCTATCACAATGTTACAATGGGGGTGGGGGATTGCATGTGCCTCATAGTTAGAAACAGTCTAGCCTGATTGCAGAGTGGCTGTTTCTGTCTGAAATGGTCCATCTCCCATCCCATTTCCTATATCATGTTGGGTCTCTTTGAGATGGTCTGCTTTTAAAATGTAGCTGGCATACCTTGGAGGTGGAAAGCTGACTAAATGATAGCCCTTGCAACAGTGGCAGACCTTGAGGGCTCCCATTTCATCAGCTCCCTATGCAACACCAAAATTCGGCACCCCACCCCATTGAGCCTCTCTCTTTCCATTCTACCTCATAGTCGTGGTGCCCCTGAGGCTCTGCACCCAGTGTGACAAGACCAGTTGTGCTTCCCTAAATCCGCCTCTGCTTGCAATTATGCAATATCAGTCTCAGTATCTGAAACCACATGTTTTGAAAGGACAAACATTTGTTCTTTGCAGCTCCCCACCTCCAGAATCCCTCTGCCTGTTCCCCTTTCCTCATGCAACAGAGACAGCACCAACTTTCTCAATCAAGGTTTGCATTCTTCAGTCTTAAATTCAAAGTGTCTCCTTGCAGGTCACGCAAATCATATCCTTGGGCCCTTTCTGATGCCCTTGTGAGACCATTTTGACACCTTGGAATTTATTTAGTTATCCCTTCATCTGTAATCGTGGCTGTGCTCTCCCCCCCCCCCCGTACAAGTGGGTGTGTATTTTGGCCAGTATAGCTTTACTTTCCTCTTGGAATGCTTTTTAAGCCTCACATGTTAAAATGCCCTTTGTGTTGGTCTGTAATGGAATACCTAATGAAGCTGGAATGTTCCTGGCTTTAGCTAGTGCCCTTTGCTCTGAGATGGATCCTCCCCAAGAGGAACCGGGGCTTCCAGAATGACAGTAGCTATGCCATCTCTTGCTTGCAGATAAATCTTATTTGCCGCTAATTTGAATTGCTTTGCTTTTGTGAGTTGAATATTTTTGCAGGTCAAATTGACCCTTCCTGGGAAGAGAGCTGGTGGTGCTTCTAATTATTTTGTGTCTCTCTGTTGCTGTGGTGTGGGACCTCTGGCCTTCTAGATGTGGCTGAATTACAAGTCCTATCAACCCTGGGCACTAGCTATGCTTGCTGGGAACTCTAGTTCAGCAACATCTGGAGGATCAAAGGTTCCCTGCCTTATGAGAAGGTACAGGGTTTCCCCAAATTAGAGCTTCTGGGCACCAGCAGGGAGGGCTTATGGAGATGGAGGAGGAAGAGGGGAGAAGAGTCTGGTGGGAACCAGGGCAGCTTGTATGTTGTGGTCATGTAGCAGCACCCCAAACAAACATGGCTATAAGCCCCACACAATTTGAGGTTAGGTTGCCTGGAATAGGGCCTCCATCTGTACAGCCTTGCTTAATTCCTCTGTGGGAAGCTTATTATGCAGTGACACAAGGGGCAAGCCATCTCTGGGTTGGTGCCCCAGCTTTGGAATCCCTCTGAGATGTGACTGGAGCTTACACCACTTGAGTTTCCTGCAGTGATGTTGGGTTTTCTGGATTTCTTTTTCAAGAATCAAAATACAATTAGGGTAATTTCAATTGGGAAATTTTCTGATGCCCTAAAGCAGACACCCCCAAACTCGGCCCTCCAGATGTTTTGGGGCTACAAGTCCCATCATCCCTGAGCACTGGTCCTGTTAGCTAGGGATGATGGGAGTTGTAGTCCCAAAACATCTGGAGGGCCGAGTTTGGGGGTGCCTGCCCTAGAGAGTGGTCTAATTTAGCATATTTGTTTTTATTGTACTTAGTAAAGAAAGGTAACAAGCTTGCTTAATACTGTATTTGTATTTGGCATCTGTTCACTGTGAACTTAAGAATTTATGAAATGGAAAGTTCCCATAGAAAAATAAAGCCCCACTTCGTTAGTTTCCAGTGCCAGGTGAAAGCCTTTCTATTCACTCAGGACTTGGGTGGATATTAGTGTCAGGCTTGATGTGGGTTTTTTTTCTCTTTTTATGCTTGTAATTAACTGCCTTGTTTTCTAAGGCACTGTAGTATAATGCAAATTTGTATTTTATTTGTAACTCTCTCTGGAGCTGCATTGCAATGGAGCATATTATAAACAATATTGAGATGGTTGACCAAAATATTGGAAGTTGTATTCAGCTAGGTTTTACTTAAAGAAGATCCACTGAAATTAATAAACATGATTAAGTTGGGTCCATTAATTTAAGTAGATCTGCTCCAGTAAAGCCTAGCTGAATAGCACCCTGGGTGAGGGATGAAGAGAGATTGGGCATACACACAAATTGAGACCACCCATCTTTTATATCCTCTACCAGCCTTATGCTAGGAACTGGAGATAATATCTTAAGGATGTTTATTACTGTGATTCCTCAATAGGAGTCACCTTCCCTCTCCTTCAGCACTCTAGTGTGAGTTCTCTAATTCCCATTAATAATCCTCTCTAGCATTGCCAAAGCTCAGCTTGCTGGTGGCCTTCTTCTGTTAAAGTGTGTGAGTGTGTATACATAGCATTTCAAAAGGTTATAGCACATGCTCAACTATCATCACTGCTGTCATCTACTTTGGAGTCTATCCAAATAAATCCACTCTCCTTTGGCAGTGCATCCAAGCTGAATCTCTCTTCTAGGAAGTCTGAAGTTCACTCTATCCATGTCCTCCTTAAAGGTTATTTGGCACTTTCAAAGTACACAGCTATGTTCTTGCTTTTAAATAAGTAAAGGACACATTTTATGCATAAGAACTGTACTGATATGTTTGGTAAGGACCCCCTTCCAGAGGACTTAAAGGTCAGCTGAAGAGGAGCTATTCCTTTCGCTTCTGGCTTTCCCTAATTTTAGGGAAGGCTTGCCTCTCTCTCCCTGCAACCCAGTGCCTAAGAGTGCAAAGTGTACATGTGCCTGGGGAGTTAATTACAGTCCCAGCCTCAGTGATGCCTTGCTATGTCAGTTCCAAATGTTGCCCATGACCCTAGTGGCCATTAAATGCTGACTTTTTTGGGAGGGGTAGTAGAATGGAATATTCTGGAACCTGCACCCATAAACAGAAGCACTGCACACTGTTAACATTTTGTTGCAGGTGCTACTCGCTTTGCATATTTGCTGGCAGCATTATGAAAAGCAGAGCACAATCTGCTGGTTTTTATGTGCTCTCGCTAGAAACCTAAGAAAGGATATTGGGGTTGTCAGCACCAAAAACTGTGATTGTGAAAACAGTTGACATTTTCTGACTACATCTCTAATCTGCAATATCAGCACTCCTACACTGCAGTTCCTTGCTATTGTTTCGTTGTCGGTTATCTTTGTGGTTCTTATATTGTTTGTAATTGTGCAGCTGTACTTACCTTAATTATATATTTGTTAAGCTGCCCTGGGGCTATTTGGTGAAAAACAGGCTAGAAGTACAACTAATCTAAACATTAAAATAAATACGGTATATATATTAAAACCAGGATATTTTTTTTAGTGTATATTGCAAGGGCTTGCTTGTTCCCTAAAATCGGTCTCCTCCAGGAGGGATGCCAAGAGCACCTCTCTATTGCAGGAATCCAAGGAGGAGCAGGCTATGGCTGCTAGTCATGGTGGCTGATGTACCTCCAGGGTCAGGGGCAATTTGGGGCTTTTTAGCTTAGAAAAATAATGGGTCAGACAGGATATGATAGAGATATATAAAATGATGCATGGTGTGTAGAAGATAGACAGAAGTTTTTATTCCTTTCCAATAATACTGGAAGCCATGGCAATCCATCAAAGCCAAATGGTGGGAGATACAGAACTGACAAAAGAAAGAACTACCGTACTTCATACAGTGAAGATAAACTAAGGAAATTGCTACCACAAGATATGAGGGTGGCAGATAGGTGAAGACAAGTCCTAACAAGTCAGTCTACGTTCATTGTGAGTTCTGGCAATTCGAATCTGACAGCTTTTAGTCTCTCTGCCCACTGTCTCTCCCCTACCCCCTTTGCCTTTTGCAAGTTTTTCTGGCTGGCATGCCCTAGAGAGGAAGTGGGGAAATGGGAGTCTTTGTTTTTCTACTAAGTCAGCCTCTGACCCACTGCAGATCGCTGGGACAGTTAAGAATGAAGCAGCTGAGCTTTTGTTCCCACAACTGTGGACTGTTTTGGAGCAACGTGATAGAGCAGTGGAACCGTCTCAATAGGGAAAGAATTGCTGGGTTGTTGTTGTTTTGCCCAGTTCACTCCTGTCCAACAGAACTCTGAAGACTGAATCAAAGCCTGTGTTGCTGCCAAGCTTAAGAAGTTCTCTTTGGGGAAATCAGTCTTCCTTTGTGGGGGTTTGTGTATCAAAGTTGGTGGCAGTATCTCATACAGTACTTCAGACCAGTTCGCTCTGAATCATGGAAGGATGCATTTAATCACTAATACCATGTATTTATTACAGTGACTCACAAACTGATCAAATTATTATAGCAAAACATTTTGGCTTCCACTTCCTCAGCCGCTCCAATGTGAGTCAAAGAGTGCTGTAGCCAGGTTGTCAGTTACAGAATGTGGAGGTCTGAATATCCCAAAGTGTTGCATTTGCTGTAGCTAAGTGATGCTGCAGTATCCTTTGATTGACATCAGAGCAGTAGAGGAATGTGGAAGTCAAAGCACTTGAAATTCAATTTATTGTGTGTGTGTGTGTGTGTGTGTGTGTGTACTGGGGGAGTGTCTTTTAGGCCTGGTAGTATGAAGAATTATTGTGGACCAACACCCACTTAACGATCTTAGAATCTTTGCTCAGTGCAGGATCTGCAATGCAGGATACAACTTCAGCATCCCTGACTGATCGTTATAGCTACTGGTCATGATAACTGAGTTATGGGATAACTCAGTATCAGAAGCCGTATGCCCTGGATACCAGTCGCTGGGGGAACACAAGTGTAGAGTGTGGTGTTGCACACATGTCTTGCATGTGGGTTTCCCATTGGCCACTGTGAGAGTGGGATGCTAGACTGGAATAGTCTGGTTTAATCCAATAGTGCTCTTTTAAAAATCCACAATGGAGGCTTATTTCGACACTTAACTTTCATCTGCCAGTAAGGGATCATAGAAGTTTTATTATTTTTACACCTGGAATGCTGAGCTCCCCGAGATGCACTGGGCCAGCCCAGATGTTCTGAAATATTCCATGTGAGCACGCCACTGCATAGCAGATGTAACAAATTATTCTCCAGTTAATGTTTATGATTTTCTGGTCGTAATTTGCATCAATTTAAATGTTCCTTGACTAATATTTTGAGGTAGTGAATATGGTGCAGTAGGGTTTTGTGGTGCAAGAACAAATATGCCAGATTGCTGCTGATTTCATGATGAGACCATGTTTCAAGTACTAAGACATAGTTAAGCTACATAATCCCTGATGGCTGCTTTATTAGATGGTATCCTATTGATGTGCAGTATCCAAGTTTGAAAACCAGGGATCACGTAATAGAAGAAAAAATAGAATAGCCTATTATAACATGGTAGATTTGTTTTATATTTAACCTTGAGTATATTTTTGTGGTTAGCAGGGGGAACTGCATGAGAAGGTAAACAACTCTGGATATGGGGCGCGGGGAATAAGGGAAGGGCTTATGGCAGTGAGGTCATTTCCCAATGAAGCTCTAGATTGGCAAACAGAAGTTACTCACTATACTAAAATTACAATTACAACATTTGAAACATGGGTGCATGCTGCAACAAACTGCTTAGTAGCTGCGGCTTCTTGCAGTGTGCAACCTGTTTGGGGAACCATGTACTTCCTCCTCAGGACTATTTAATTGCATGATTTCTATTACAAATGGCACAAAGGGCATTGCCATTCTGTAATTTTAAAACCACCATTAAAGCAACAGTGTTTGCTGACAGAATATAACAAGGCTGAAACTCAAATTCTAACTGTTCTTTCAGTCACTGACAAGCCTTCCCTGAGCTGTTTTGTCCATTTCTCTTTCTCAGCAGTACCATAGTTTTGTGATTCTGAAACCGCCAGTCATTGTGATGCCTGCATTTCAGAGATAACTGTTGTTTAAAGTGCCTTAACGTGTAAAGCCTGGAAGCTTAGTATCATGCAGCAGCGCCCTCCTAACGTCCGTTGTTCTCTTGTGCCTTAGGTGAGGCTGGTGCAAACATCATCCATGTCTCTAAGGAGGCTCGGAAGAGGTTTCTTGGCCCCTTGCACCCCTCCTTCAACTTAGTGAAAATCATCCGTACCTGCCTATACAAGACTCTGCCAGACAACGGGCATGAGGTGGCCAGTGGACGCTTGGGCATCTCGCTGACGCGGGTCTCAGATGGAGAGAATGTCATCTTATCGGAGTTCAGCTCCAAAGAGGAGCTTATCCAGGCAAGTAATAACATGGTGACTGCCTCGTTGCTTTAGATGTGAATCTGTAGGTTCCCAGCCACCAGGGACTGGGACACCTGACTTGACTATGCTTTCATGGTGAAAGGCTGTCTTGTAGCTATCACTTGTTCCATCAGATGATATTTACTTGGTGCTCTGGATACATAAATCCTCCCCCGCGTGTTATTTAGGTTTCATGTGGTGTTTTCCTGTCTCTCTCAGGCATGTGTTTGCAGCACTTTCATCCCAGTGTACTGTGGCCTCATCCCTCCCAGTCTTCAAGGAGTGGTAAGTAAGCCATCGTGGACTTGGGCTTCCAAAATTGTTTGCATTGGTACGAGGTCATGCTGTGATCCTTGCAAGGTTGGCTGTTACTGTCTCCGTATTATACATGGAGGGCTAAAGCTGAAGAAGCGGCTCGCGACTGATTGTCTCGTTTTCATTCCTGTTGGAACTGATGACCATAAGCCACAAGCTTTAGTCATCGTGTCATCATCCCAGGGACACATCAGGCAGGCTATTAAGTCAAAGGGAGCAGGGATGAGGGGGAGTATCTTGCTTGATGCTGAAGCCGCAAAGTCTGTATTAGTCATAATCTTCAGATTATAAAATGGGTATTTAATAGGTGTCTGTCATGACTTGCATAAAGTGGTGAAACTCCCTGCTATCTGCAGCTGTGTTTTATCCAGCGCCTGACAAGGATGCCAACAATATTGCCTTAAGAAAATAGATCTGTGTAGCACAGTAGTAGATGTCAGGAGTTTTTCCTCTTGTTTTTTTCCAAACTTGAGATTATTTGTTTTCATGCAGTCCTGTTTCAGGCATCAAGGGTGGTGTGTGTGTGTGTGTGTGTGTGTGTGTGTGTGTGTGTCTAGCAGCAAATAAGCCAGCTAATTGCACTCTTGTTGAGGGCACAGCACACACAGCCTATCAGTGCAGCAGCACCCTTTCCTTGAACTCTTAGACTTTAGTGCCATTGGAATTGGAGATTACTCAGCACCACCCAGGCCAAAGGGCAATAAATCTGGGGAAGGCAGGAAAAACCCTCTGGTCCAGCTTTCTCTGAGAAGCCCCATGTGACTATTTCATATATAACAGTAAACCACAACTTATGGCACAGGGAAGTGAGGCAGAAGCTCCTGAAAAAAACCCTTTCTTCTCTGACAGCATGGCTGTGAGGAGGTGTTGTCTTAAACCAGGGGCCAGCAACCTTTTTCAGCAGGGGGCCGGTCCACCGTCCCTCAGACCATGTGGTGGGCCAGACTATATTTGGGGGGGTGGGGGAAATGTACGAATTCCTATGCCCTACAAATAACCCAGAGATGCATTTTAATTAAAAGGACACATTCTACTCATGTAAAAACATGCTGATTCCCAGACCATCCACTGGCCAGATTTAGAAGGCGACTGGGCCGCATCCAGCCCCCAGGCCTTAGGTTGCCTACCCCTGCCTTAAACTAACTGCAGTTAAACATAATGTCTGAACCCTGGTTAGGCTTGTTTACATACTTTTTAATGTTACTTATCATTTCTATGTTATTTTTTGGCCATTTTACTATTGAAAATAAATAATAAAATAAACAAACCATAATGTCTGAACCCTGACATGCTGTGGCTACCCTTTGTCAAAAGGAGCCAACTTCAAACCATAGTTTTATTACGGCGGCTTGTTTCAGTTGACCACAGTTCAGGGTTTTAATACTATGTTAAGCTGTTGTTAATTGAAATCGGAAGTTAAGGCTTCCAGTTTCCTTGCAGCCATGTGGGAGAATAAGAAGGGAAGGAAGATGGCGCAAGCCTGAAACACATCAGCTTATTCCTGCAGTAAGCCATGGTTTATTGTCATTTCAGAACAAGCCACAGTGAACTGTTTAAAGGTAGCTGCACCAAAGGGTTTTGTTTTTCCTTTTCTCCTGATATCTGTTCCATTCTGGTCTGGCTGAGTGTATTAAGAAAAGCCCATTTGCAACGGCACTAAATCAAATTGAGGTTGTGAACTCAAGGAGTGTCTGGTAGAAGCAGAGAGGTGGAGTTTGTGGAGAAGGTTGGCACGAACAGTTTGTTCCTAACTGGAATGTAGGCGGAAGGTCCCCAATAGACGGCTAGCTTTATTTATTTATTGCTTTTGTTACAAAATGTTAACAATAACAGCTGGGAGGGGGGGTGTATGTCTTGTTTTGGAGATGTGCCTGCTTCATCACCTCTCCCTGGTCTTATTTTAGTTTGGATCCAATCTCAAAGCATCCCTCTCCTCTAGATTAAACATATTTAGCCCTGTCTATGCATGCAGATAAGGCTAGAGCCAGCAGAGCCTTCACCTCTGTCTCTAGCCAGTCTCATTGCAACCCAAGAGTCTCCCAAATACCTCACAGCAAAAAGCCGGCTGTCTGAAACAGGAAGCCCTGTTGGGCCAGATGCATTGAACAATTAATAAGTAAAGCAATAGTTCAGAAGTGCTTGCCTTCCAGCTAATGTAGGTAGGCAGTGGGTATGTCAGTAGAAGGCCTAGGGATCTTCACTGGTTGCTGTCACCCCATGGATCTCACTCATTTTATTTAGATATTTTGATACTACTATTTATCATAAAGTCACAGGGGGATGCGCAACATATTAAAATGCACAAATGCATATTCCGAGGCCAATTGAAACATCTATATGAAATAAACTCAGCACAAACTAAAACAACAGAGGATAATGTAAGGTGACAATGGGTGCCATACACTGACCTCAGTGCATTATGCCTCCTAACCTCCAGAAACCTGGGGGGGAGTATATTCACTTCCCTCTTGAAAGAGTGTAGCATTGATGCAAGACACTACAGTACTCAGTAGGGAGATAGTTCCATTGTTTTGGAGCTGCCACAGGAAAGGCTGTACTGTGGGTCCTCACACTACTGAACACCTCTGTTGTAGTGGCCATCAGGAGTTTCTCCTTAGCTGATCTTCAGACCCAGGTGGTAGGTTGGTAAAAGAGAAGTTCTCTTATTTTAATGTCAACACAAGCATTTTGACTTGGGCTCTAAAGAGAATTGGCAAGCTGTGCAGCTGTTTTAGTACTCTGGACCCCTGCATTTTACACTAGTTGCAACTTCTGAACCATTTTGGAAGAGCAGTCCTACAAAGAGTACATGACAGTAGTCTAATCTGAAGGACAGCAGAGCATGGATAATAGTGGCCAGGCTATCTCTATTCAGGAAAGGATGCAGACGAGTGCAACCCCTTCCAGAATAAGGGTGTTATGCTGATTCTCGGACTCTGTGCAACCACAGCACCTCTGCTTGTCTAGATTCAGCTTCTGTTTCTTGGCCCACACCCAGCCCATTACTGCTTCCCCAGGCACCAATGAAACAGATGGAGCTGTGTGTCATCAGTATATTGGTGGCAATTCACATCCCCTGAATATGACTGCTATAACCTGCCAGACTCGCCAAGCAACTGTGAACTGGTACATTTGCAATTGCCTATAAGTGTTTGGAAATTTGGGGGTGGGACAGACTGTAAACTGTATCTGTATAATAAAACCTTCAATGATTCCTTGTCATTCTTTCTCTACTCCCAGAGGTATGTTGATGGAGGGATTTCTGACAACCTGCCACAGTATGAGCTGAAGAACACCATCACGGTGTCCCCTTTCTCTGGGGAGAGTGATATCTGTCCACGGGACAGCTCCACAAACATCCATGAGCTTAGGGTCACGAATACCAGCATTCAGTTCAACATGCGCAACCTCTACCGCCTTTCAAAGGCCCTGTTTCCACCAGAGCCTCAGGTGAGAGCCCAGCATGAGTGTCTATATTTTTGTAGTGACGCTTGAGCTTCCATAGATGGTAAACATTGTTTATGGCTCTTCATTTGAAGGAACTTCAGGCAACCTGAATTTATATACTTTCTAAATACAAATCATTGTAGTCATTCTTCATCAGAGCACTTCATCTGTCTTAGCCCTTATGCTTCTAACACAAGATTGTGCATGTTTACTTGGAAGTGAGTCCCACTGGTGTTGAATGGAAGCTTACACACCTATAGAAACCAACCTGCCCTCCATAAAGCTTCAGTGGTGTTTATGCCACCCATTTCTGAGAGACGGGCATATGGTGATTCATGAACAGCTGCATGTTTCCTTTTAGAAACAAGCAACAAAGTCGCTGAAAGGCACGTGGGTGATAAGCCAATGCACTTTATGTAACTTGGGACTCCCACTCCCATTCTTTAGAGGATGTTGACAGGTAGCCTAATTTGGAGTGGCAAATGCTCATTCTATTATTTAATCTGACTTGTTTTTTTAAAGTGATGGGACAAGAAGCCTTTAAAACTTTTGGAATGCACTGAATGCCTTTTTAATCCCATTGGAATAACATGAAGACACCTGAAAATACCTTCAATTAGGCATTGTTTGAAAATGCTTATGGACTGTATTCAGTTGGTGTAGATGGACATTCCTTTGTTGGCCTTCTTTCTTCCCCCATGGGTGTTCATTCAGAGCCATTGCCCAGACCATAATATGTCTCCTCCGTGTTCGTGCCTCTTCCTTTAGTTAGCAGCATAACAAATGCTGTTGGTCCATTCTTGCTTTCTGCCCTTTCTCCCTCTTTTATTGCTGCAGTAGAAAACACTGTTGGGGTAGCAATGGTTGTAACCAGAAAACAAGCACCTCTTGCCCTTCCAACTGGAATGTTTAGACACAGGCTTTCATCATCATAACTGACTCCTTTATCTCTGTGTGCAGGTTCTGCGGGACATGTGCAAGCAAGGATACAGGGATGCACTGCACTTCTTGAAAAAGAATGGTAAGCACTTAGCAAAAGGTTTTGCCTTACCTCCCCACCCAAATTTTCTAGCAAAAGTAAAACTATGTAAAAACATTTTTCTTCTCTGCTTTATAAGTTTCTTTGTGTCCTGTTTGTGCATAAAATCCATTGGTGGCCATGCTTAACCCTCAGTTGTCCCATCTAACCAGTTGTTACTATGCAGAAAACATTTTTAATAGTACCTATGCAGCAGCCAGCTTCATTATTACCAATTGTATTTCCACTTAGCTGAGGTTGAGCACACTTTCCATTCTACATAATTAGAAAAGTTCTGAGTAAATCAAGAGGTTTTACATACTCCTACACAAATCGCTGAATGAAAGCAAAATGTTGGATATGAGAAGAGAATCTATTTTGTATTTGATCACATAGATGCAAAATGGCACTGGGTATGATCCACTGGGGTCTTCTCCTGCACAAAATTCATTTAATGGAAGCTGTGCAAGAGCATAACAATGCTTCTCTAGCACTCTGCCTATTATTCTGGCATGAGCCGGTGCTGTGGCCAGAGCACACTGTTTGTGTCTATAGTGTCACCTTGTGGTGACCGTCTGTAGTGCAGCAATCTTGTGCACTGTATTTTTTGTCCTTACAGTTCATGAGTTAACTACTTACACTGATGCAGTTCAGGTCTTGCCTGTGTGCTTCCTGCAGGCAACAGTTGGTCACTATGAGAACAGGATACTCAACCAACTGAGGCTTTGCTCTGATCCAGAAGGGCTCTTTTTATGTTCTTATATTACATGATTCAGCAACCCCACTGTGCTACCCCAGAGAAGGCAATTAGAGAGGAAATTGACTTGGTGACAGCCAAAGATTTCTTATGGTTGCAGGTGTGAAAGGGTCTACTTGGGACTTCTTATTGAAGCTATGTATAGTAGTTCTAAAATTTCAAATGGTACTTTACAGAATGTGTAGGCATGTACAGAGGCATGTAACCTCTGGTTACAAGCTTAATTCATTCTAGAGGTCCGTTCTTAACCTAAACAATTCTTAACCTGAGGTACCACTTTAGCTAATGGGGCTTCCTGCTGCTGCCGTGCCACCGCCACACAATTTCTGTTCTCATCCTGAGGTAAAGTTCTTACCCCGAGGCACTACTTCCGGGTTAGCAGAGTCTGTAACCCAAAGTGTTTGTAACCCGAGGTACCACTTCAGGCATGTCCAACAGGTAGATCGCAATCTACTGGTAGATCACGGGGTGTTCCTGGTAGATCCTGGTTGATCTCTGGCCCCTCAGCGATCTCCTTACAAAAAAGCAAAAAAACAAACAACAACAAAAAACCAAAAAACTCCCACCAACTTTGGCTTCCTAAAAAAAGCTCCACAACCTTTGGGTAGATCACTGCCAGTCTTTTTACGACAATGAGTAGATCACTGCCAGTTTTTTTATGCTGTGAGTAGATCACAGACTACTGGGAGTTGGAGGTCCCTGGATAGATAAACCACGTGGTACTGAGTTCTTAGTCTGCAGAGGTGGGGTATATTGGTGGGCAGGATTTAACATTTGAATGTCCCTCCATGCGCATGTTTTACAAGAAACGACATACTTCTGCTGCACGATACTTCCAGGTATTAGACAGCACACAGTTTGTACAACGTACGTGTTACAATATTCTTTTAAATATTTGTAAACTAAACTTTATTCAAACAGATCCGATGGCAGTGTACAGTTATAACAACAAAGAAAGGAAAACATAATCCACCATTGCTCTACTGTTTTAAGATACCTGTTTTTGTTTTTTTTTAATGTTCCAAAGACAAATGTAGCTTTTCAAAAAAAGCCTGAGTAAACAAATAAGTTTTAACCTGGTGCCCAAAAGAGTGTAGCATTGATGCCCACTGAGTCTTTTCCCGAGGAGCTATTTCTCTCCTTTGTAAACCCTCTTGCTTTGCACAGCTGTCTCACATGCCTTGGTGGCAATTTCATGTCCAGTGCTTATTGTACACGATATCCTCTGTGACAGCAGGTGGCTTTTGGCTGTGACTGCCACTTTCTCTACTGTTAGGAAAGATAATCTGCAAAGCATATTAATTTTTTGGTTGAAGCACAACAGTTCCTTCTCCCATCTTCCTCAGGTCTTCTCCATCGTCCAAGACCCACCAACCCTTTGCTGGCTATTGAAAATGGTGCTGGGGTGAGGAATGCTGAAGAAGAGGAGGAGGAGGCAGAGGAAGAGGACCAGCTGAGAGAGAATGCTGCACTGGCAGAGGCTGAAGATCACATTCTTGAACACTTGCCTCCTAAACTGAACCAAGGTATGATATTGGGTTGGAGAGTCTGCTGTGTGTCTGTGTCTAACACAAGGCTCTGCTCATTACACAGGCTAGGCTGAGGCTTTTATAATGCTCTAGGGGTGAGGAACATGTAGTTCAGCAGCATCTGATGATGGACCTCCGTCACGAGTTCCCCACCCCTGACTTATGTCCTGCTTTTTTCCTTTGTGGGAGAAAACGGGAGAAGCAGAGGAAAGAAGAATGTTGAGAGGCAAAAGATAGACATTCCAATTCTGCACATATGCATACGTTTTATTTTGTTCTGTGCAGATGATTTGGTTTCCCTGGTACATAGTCGAACTACAAGTTCCAGGCTCTGCGGAGGAAGCCATGGCGGTTAAATTGATTTCATTGTATAGTTGGCCATAATTGGCCATGTCCAAAGGTAAATTAGGAGACTCTGAATACATGAAATACACAGGGTGGGCAGTATGGCTAATGTAAGGGGATACAATTTGCTCCATGGCCCCCTACAAACATATCACAGGACTTCAGAAAATCTCTATTTCTCATTAATAATGCAAGTGTACTGAGCAGTGTTTTGAAAGTATGCATGTGGAAATTCTGAAGTTGGTGCACAGCATTGACTTGAAACTCTGGTTCCAATCTCCACTGCCCAGTAAAGTTGGTATCTGAGAAGAACAGGCTGCCTGCCTTGATTTAGGGTCTGGCTATAGTTTTTTATTTTCCTATTGGAACTTCTCTTAGGTGACTCATGAGATAACGGATAGTGGACACAGAAGCATAAAAACCAGCAAAATTGTCGGGAAATGCCTGTAGACAGATAAGATGGGGATCAGTGTTGAGGAGAGATGAATAAAGTGATTTGCTGCCAGCTCTAGAATTGACACAATCTTCCTGCCTTTAACAAACCTCTTGGTCCCCCTGCTTAGTAGTAGATGCATGTTTATGGCTAGAGAGATTTTGTGGATCTTCAAAGTAGTATGGACATCCAGTAATTGCTTTTAAAATGTTGGTGACTTGTGTTTCCAATTCCCACTTCTGTTGTAGCATGCAAAGTCCCTCACTTCATTTCAAACCTACACCTGCATTGGGAAATTACAAGTTAATGCTGTTTTTTTTAACTGTGGGGCCTTCAGGGCCCTGGCAATAACATGTTGCTAACTCATACTGCCCAACAGAATTGAAGGTTTCAGAGGCATTCAAGTTCTATAGTGAATACTACCTTTTAAATGAGGCATGGGACAAACAAAGCAGGCTTGGACTCTTTCTCTGGGGAAGAGGAGTAATAGAAATCCCTCTGGTTGCTTCTCATGAGCTGGGCAAAATCTTATACTGTATTTTTACTCCTTGCCTTTTGGGCTGATGTTTGGAGCCGTGAGAGGGCTAAATTTTGGACAGGGGTTTCTCCTCTAAAAATTGAGAGGGGGCAGTCTCTGCTTTCCCAATTGACTTGGTGACTGGAATAACTCACTGTCTCCATCTCCAGCGCTCTTAGAAGCCTGTGCTGAGAGGAGGGGATTCTTCACCGGCATTGCCAACCTGTTGCCTGTGCGCCTGGCCTCTACCTTGATGCTTCCATACACTCTTCCTCTGGAGTCGGCTCTCTCCTTCACTGTCAGGTATGCTCTAAATCCTGTTTCTGATATGCTTTTGGGAAACGCTTGCGATTGGGACCTAAATTGCTGTATCAACTTCATCGTTAAGAACTTGCTATTCTATGGGACTTTGTTCTAAATAAAACAAAGGTAAAATCCATTCCAAGGGAATTTATTGAAAGCCAAGGACCCTCTCCCATGTGGCTGTCAATGGCTACTAGCCATGAGGTCTATGTGCAGGGTCAGAGATGGCTATCAGCCACTGGGAAACAGGAACAGGAACAAACTCTTGCTCTCATGTGCTGCATCTGGGCTTCCCATAGACACCTAGTTAGCCACCATGGGAAATGGGATTCAGGACTAGAAAGCTCATTGGTCTACTCTAGCAAGGGGAGGCATGCTCTTTATGTGAATACTTGCCATTGTCACAAGAGGCGCCCTTGTGCAGGCTGTTTTTAAGAACACCTTTGCAAAGCTGCAACGTGGCTGGTGCTCCTTCGTGCTTGCAGTGTAGCAATGGGCTGTGTTACATAACAGCGTCCCTGTTGGTCACCTGTCTCCTTCAGGTTGCTTGAATGGCTGCCAGATGTCCCTGAGGATATCAGGTGGATGAAGGAGCAGACGAGGAAAGTCTGCCACTATCTGATGAGGAAAGCCAAGAAGAAGCTGGGAAGCCATCTCTCAGCCAGGTAGGATTATCTTGTTTGCTTTTCTAAGTATTGCGACACTGGGAGTTGCCATAGGACTGGCGCCATATAAATGGTAATCAGGGGGACTTTGGCCTCCAATCTGACCGTGCTTATTCAGAAATCAGCCCCTTTGTACTCTCCTCCAAGTTTGTGTGCTTAAGATGGCAGTTCTAGATGTGTCATCTTACTTTGCACAGCCCTCTATAAAATAAAGGTGCCTTACTCTTCAGGAAGGTTTAGTGTTACTGTGCCTAGGTAACCGAATACATGGTTATGAAACTACAGCACTGTGCACTTCTTTTTCAAGAAACCAAATAACTGAAAACCCAGGCTTGACAGTCCCCAGTTTTGTTTTGATGGTGAAATAACATAACTAAGTGCCTGAAGTCCTTAGATGTTGTACGTAATATATTTGAAAGGGCCTAATTTTCTTTCTAAAAGAAAAATGCAGAATTTCCAAGGGTGGTGTTCAACTAAGTTTTACTCCAGAGTTAAACCCATTGAAATTAATGAACCTGTTAGGGTCTTTGATTTCATTAGATCTACTCTGAGTAAAACTTAGATATAGTATCACCCCATATACAGAGTGTTCTGAAGAGCTATCTTGGATTAAGTTTAAAACCCAAACAACCCTCTTCAAATGCATCTATTTGCTCACTCTTGGTTCAGTTTCTTTTCTGCATGTGAACATGTTCCCAGGGCAGTTCAGGACAGTGGGCAAAAATGTATTGTGTGTGAACTGCCAAAAAGTGATTGGATTCTATCTCAAAGGTAGGAGGGGGGGTGGAGATAGCCAGAGGTTGCCCAAATGGAGATAGCCATGGATGCTGGAAAACTGGCTTTGGGCTGAACATTGATTCTTGGTATAATAGTCGGTGGTCAATAGCATTGGCAGAGAAACTAACATGTCAGGTCAGAACAGCAAAGGGCAAACACCACCCCTATTCTTTTTATAATACATGGGGGGGGTGGAAATCATTGAATATATAAATTGTTTGGATAGTGGTAGGAATCCACCTAACACTCACAGGGAAACGTGGTGTGATCTTTTAGAGTAACCAAATGAGATGTTGTATAGCAAGACAAATGTATATGATTTTATTGGGACAAGTTGTTTGTTATTTTCTACTTTAGCAATTGTTTATATACTTAATTAAATAACAACAACAACTTTTTTAAAAAGTAAGGGGGAGAGAAAGCCACTACGTATATATTTTTCCAACCTAACAACAGGCACCCTATTTCCCTTTATTTTCTATTGTTTGAAACAGCTTTCAGTAACAAAGCTGTCATTTAATGTTTTACAATATAACAAATAGATGGTTTTTCAAGTGATTTGTTTGCATTTATCATGTGACAATAAACAGTTACCATGTCAACGGGTGGCTCGTGCATTACATCTGGGTGTCGCACAGTCCACTTGCACTCGGCGGGGTGCAGGTTTTATCGAGAGATAACGGAGCCCGTTCTGCCAGTGGAGAATCTCATTTTGCAGAGCAGCCCACTCTACGCAGCTTGTGTTCTCACTTGTACACCTGACTCACTTTCTCAGACCGAATGAAACTCAGCAGTGTGACGACCATCAGCCTGGGGACTCTGGAGGCTCAAAGTTTCCCCTGGACCTCAGTCAGCTCACGTGGCACTTTCTGCTTATGGGCCAATGACGGGACTAGGAAGGGGCAGGACTAGGATAGCCAGGGTGTCAAAGGTCAGTATTGAGGCATGCAAGGAGAATCTGAGCACTGCTCACCTGCACCTTCCATGACCCTAGTCTGTGCTGCTGACTTTTTGTATGCGACTGTAGCATCACACTGGCATCTTGTACTGTTAAGGGGAAACTGCAATGGGGAATGTGTGATCTTTCATCCCCCACTCCTCTCTCTGTATCTCCATGTCTAGCCTGGAAGCTCCAGTGCAGCAAACAGTGCTTGTGAGTACAGCATGACAAACAAACTAAAAATCTTCCCCTCTCTCTTTCTCTCTCTCTCTCAGGCTGTACTACCACCTGGAACTCAGAAAAAGCCAAAGCTTGCCCCTCCCCTTGAGCATCGGCTATGGGGAGGCGCTGCCCAAGTGGCTGCGGAGTAACCTCTCCCTGACGGACGTTATGACAAAATGGGAGGAGTACCAGCGCCAGCTGATGCTGGGGTTGTTCTGCATCAACGTGGACCTGCAGGCGTCCATCTTCCCATCAGAAGGGCTGCAGATGAGGCACCCGCCAGCAAGCTGCACACAAGAAAGCCTCCAGCTTTTCTAATCTCATTGCCACACTTTGGGCAGGGGAGGGTGGACAGCCACTGCCTCTCAACAGCCTCCTAATGGAGCTGTAACACCTGCTAAGAGACTTCTTATTTTCTCATTTGCAGAGTGAGAATTTACATCAATATAGCCATTGTGCAACTGCTAAGCTGGTGGCTGCACAGTGTTCAAACCCATAGCAATGTGTCGGGCGTTGCGTACACTCTTCTAGATGATGGTGTATAAATGCCCAGCACCTGTGACAAAAGTGCTTGGTCTCTTGGTTGAACCGAAAAGAGTTTTGCTTGGGACACCTTTTCAGAGGCCTCATATCATATTGAACTTGCCATTTGTGATAAGAGGATTGGGACACAAATCAGTACTCTGGCATTTCTTTGCTTTTAACCTCAGTGTTGTAAAAGGGTCTTTGTTTTGAAGAAAGCCGAGGCCCTCATAGATCATCTTTGCCTGCGCTACACAGAATAGTGAAAAGCAGGCAGGCTACAACAACTGGCTGCCAGATTGGCTCTTGTTATCTAAGGCAGCCCTTGGTTTTCAACTCTCAGCTGATGCACCTTTTTAAATGCCTGTGCCCCACATTCTCTTTCAAATCTATCTGGGTGCCACTGCTCTTAATATAGATGTTAGGAATGTAGACTTGTAAAAATGAACTCTTAGAACATTAGAGTTCCTTGTTCCTCTCAGGATCACCTTCTTCTAAGGGACTTTTTTTTTTATCTATGGAGAGAGAAAATATTAGAAGCTCTGAAACGTGCTTCGTAAGGGTTGTACTAAAAGTAGGCCCATTGAAATTAATGGCCGTAACTAATTTAGATCCATTAATTTCAGTGGGTCTCATTTGAGTAAAATTGAATTGAATACAATCCTAAATGTATGCTTGAGCTATGCTGTTGTTTTCTTTTTGATGCTCCATGTTGTTTGGATGATGCTAAACACTACTACATTATTCTTCAAATGTGCAGAAAGGGTGTAAAGAAGGATAGAGGAAGAATGCAGGAGCTAAGACAGCTTAGTGTATGTTTTTCAAATGGTTTGTGGCTCATCTGATGAGCTGGAGCTGAGCATGTGAGGAGAGAAGGGGTGTTTTGCCACTCACAAAATGAAAGTGAAGCTGGAGGCCAAAACTGATGCTGGCCAAACTGGATTTAACCTTGAGGAATCCATATGCACTTTGTGCCAGTGGTATATTTGATCACTTTTGAAAGGACCTGGCAACCCCAACAGAATTGTGACTGGTGTGGTGGTTAGTCAGGAGCTGGAGGTCCTAAAAGGGATGGCAGTACAGTATGAAAAGGAGGAAAAGGGTGCCAGAAAGTGTCAGAAGTGAATGCACATCCTTCTTTGTATCCACCTGTGTCAAGAGGGGGGGAACCTTGCACTCTCCAGATGTTTTTGGACTCCATCAGCCGCAGAAAGCATGACCAATGGTCAGGGAAGGTGGGAGGTGTTGTCCAACATCTGGTGGGCCACAGGTTCCCCTCCACTGTACTACAGGCTAGTTCAGTGGATCTTGGTTCCTGTTCTGCGAATGAAACAGGGATTCATGTCTTAGATTAACCTGGAGGGCTTCCCCCCTATAGTCCATAGAGCCAGAAGGACATTTAGTTACTTGCCAGGTTCTGAAGTTTTCTGAGCCAAAGATCTGGTATGTGTTCCCAATGCTTTTGCAAAGTTCCCCACTTGCTGGAATTGTTCACTGCAGTGTGTGTTAAAGGTTAAGCACTCCATGTAGCAGCACATGTCCTGTCTGCTGTATAGAATCCCTCTCCCTACAGATGCCTTTCAAATGTGATGTACCGACTACTAATTGTCTCAGCACTAAACTGTTATCTCACATTTCACTGCTGTTGCCTTGTTCATGCTACTGCGTAGCCCAGCAGAGATTTGCTGTGGCAGCAAAGCAGCAGCATCCCTTATCATATAGCAATACTGTTTTCTGTGGCTTGCTTTTCTATTGGCTTTGGGGCATATCTATATATCTGTGTATATATAATATAAATATATGTTTCTTCCCTGTTGTGATTTGTACCATGAAAGCACAGATAGGTTTGTGCTACAGGGAGAAACAAGTCTTTGTATTTGGACTGTGCGGAGGTTGACTTCCTTTGCACACTAACCTACCATCTTCCATCCTCTCACAACGCAGTCAGTCAGTTGAATGCCAAAGAGAACCCAAGGGGTATTCAGGGGCAGGGGGAGCTGACACAGTACATATCAGTTAAGCAGTGTTAATAGAGATGCAATTCAGAGTGCCACTGCAGAACAAAGGGGTGGGTATTCTTTGGTAGGCATACCTCACTACTCAGTGTACATTGAATAGACTTGCGTTTTTGTTCATTCCAAAGCATCTGAGTAGGGGTGTGTTGCACTGCTGAGCTTTATGAGACTCTTTGAGGCCCATGAGGTACATCCTTGGGGCTTTTTTTTTTTTTTAAGAAAATTCAGAGTATAATGATTTGAAATGGGCTCAAGTCAGGACATTATGACTTTGTAGTGCATTTTTTTTATGGTGGCCAATACTAGGATTTCTAGAAATGCTTTCATCTGCAGAGCTTCTGGAGTGACACAGCTGCTAAACAGATTTTGAGAATGAGTTATGAAAACCGTCTTGACGCTAAAAGAAAAATATTCCAATTCATAATTGACTGCTCATGTAGCATAAGTACCTGCCTTAACAATTTTATAAGTAGTTTAGAAATGTGGAATTCTTCAAGTATGAAGCCTTTGTGACTAGGCAGGATGGGAGTGGTGAGCATTTGGCACTAGCCAATGCAATAGTCCCTCTTCTATAACTTTATGTAAACACACAGGGTGGCAAGGAATTTACTGTTCTCTCTACAAACATTTGCCTTGGAGCTCTAGCTGCGGACTTAACTTTGGAGATGTTGCATGTGTGTTTAGTTTTATGTTGGTTAAGAAAACAATGCAGCCAGCAGCTATTTGTGCAGAGGAAAATTTAGAGGTCCTCTGCATTTTAACTGAAATATAATCTGTGGTGCCATTTCTGTGGAGGGCCTTACCTAAAAATGGAACTCCTTATTTGGAGGAAGACATGCTGTTAAATTGTTGCTACCTGTTTCATGCAAAGATTTGTATGATCCCCTGTATTCTTGTTGGGAGGGGGGAAATGCTCATGAAGAGCACATCATAGTAAACATCTATCTCACCCTTCTTCCATGAAATAATAGCAAGCATCTCTAAGCAGGGCTCTTGGAGTCAACCTATTGAAATACTGTAAGTCCATGGATTTCAGTGGGTCTGCTCTGGGTGTGATTAGCATGAAATAGCACCCAGAATCTTTTTTCTCTTAAGGAGTGCTTGTATATCAAAAAGTCTTTTCTCTCCTATAGAAGGATGATAATAGCTAGAGACTTGTTGTAATTCATGTGAACTACCATTTGGTCTGCTCCAAGTAATATTTTTTTTGGGGGGGGGGGTTTCTTGTATTTTGAAATATTCAGAAAAAAAGACATTGCCTTCGTCATCCCAAATTCTGCCATGTGCTTATTTTCCCCTGTTGTTTTATCATAATGTAAATGTGAACTTCTTTCCTGTAAGAAAACAGTAAACATGTTTGTATGTGTACATATATAGTCAACCACTAACTTATTCAACACTGTATCTTATGTTTTTTGTGTTTTTTTTAATGTCTTGCACAATTTAAATCAGGGGTTCCCAGACTGTGATTTGTGGACCACCAGTAGTCTGCTAGCTTCATCTAGGTGGTCTGTGACATGTATGCAAAGAACACTTACAATTTGAATTCTAGGGGATTCAAATTGTAATACATTAAAATATAAAAAATAAAAGAAGCAATAGAAATGAAATTAAAAATCATACAGCATCTAGTGCAGCACATTGCAGTTGCCAGAACAGGCGGGGGGGGGGGGTCATTTTAGTCACTCAGCAATTTTTGAGTGGGAAATAAAGTGTGGGAACCACTGATTTAGGTTTTTCTAGTAAGTTGCTGCTTAAGGCAGAATGATTATACTGCTGTGTTTGTTTTGCTGCTAATATGTTATAATTTATATGGCCTCATCTGTAGCAACCCATCTGGTCAGATGGGAAAATAACCAGGGTTATAAATGCTTGTTTCACCAAGTAAAATTCAGTATTTTTTTCTGCTTTAATTTTTAATTGCTTTAGTTGGACGAAATCCAGATTTTATTGCCAAAACCTAGTATTTTGACATGCATTGGGTGTTTGAAAGGAAAATAAATCCATGATGTTCTTTAACCCTAACTTCTTTAAAAAAACAAAAACATGTTAAAATGCTATGGTCTAGGTTAGTCTAGGCTCTAATAACCACCAACCTGTAAATTAAGCACAAGTAGTAAGAAGCTATGCACCATAGCTGTGTGCCAGCTGGGGGAAGCCAACCTCTCCCACTTTTTGTCTTGGAAAAAGCTTTGTAATGCCAAATTTGGAGTCTTTTGGATAAAGGCTGAAATAGGGTGACGCAGGTGCGAGCTTTTGCGTGACTTGGCACTTAATATGGTTTCCTCAGACTAAAGAATGGCATCTGATTACACCAGAAGCCAATGGAACAATAGCTTGCCTTAATGGATTGCCTGTATCTTGCTAGTGTAGCATTGTTCTCAAGTTTTCACAGTGCCTTTTCTTCCTTTTTTAATGCCACTTGCTGCTGCTGTCCTTACAGCACCCATTCCTCTCCTGTTCTCTCTCTATCCAGTTTCCTTGCAACCAGTAGCAGCTTATGGATTGGTAATGTTGCCACAGACGCTGTGGTTGCTGTGACAAGGGACTGGTGTCCTCTCTGTTCCACTGATGCACACCAGCCTGACCTGCAATCTGCAGAAAATCCAAAGTGCCAAATAGAGAATAAGACCCAACCTTTAGAACTAATTTTGTTTTGTATTAGTCTTACTTGAGACCAGAAATCTCTGGGCTGATTTGGGGGCGGGGGCGGTACCCTGATGCGATTGTGCACTTGTGGGACAGCCTGTCATAGATCAATGTTAGCACTTGCTCACGAGTAACATATTTTGTCTGAAGTCAGAGCAGCAACAAGATTAGTGAGGAAACAATTTTATTTTACATGGCGAATATATTAGGGAGCATTTTAGTAGTCATTGCTTGAACAGTTCCATGTTTGATATTGTTATGCTTTGCTCCCCCCCCCTTCCCCATGTTTTATTGGAAATGTGTTAAGTATTTATTTTGAAACGATATACCTCCCTAATAAAATAATTCCTAAAAATGTGAACTGGTGTGTGTGTGTTTTAATTTGTACCCCCTGGGCTTGGCAGCTGTAATCACGTGGTGCTTTCTATTGAAAGCTGAACTTGTTTGATGCAATCAGCTTGGGGGGAGAGGTGGAGAGAGATGCCTGGCCATCCAAAGATGGAAGGCAGACCCCGAGGTACCCTAAGCTTGGTGACACCAAGATGCCTCGTGTGACCCTACCCTGACATCCCATTCTCACAACTACACCTTTGGAAGCCACCAATTATTCTCAGGAGCCCATTAGGAATTGGAGCCATAGCTTGTTACTCACCCAGCCCTGCTAGACTCCTCAGCAACACTTTGCCTCAGTTTTCTACCCACTGTCTGTCATGAAACCAGGTGATCCAGGAAAACCACCATGTATTTTGCACTGAGATCCGTTGCTGATTTAATACACATCCAGAAAACCTTTCATTCTGGCCTCTCGTTTAGAGCAGCTGTCACCAGTTGTGAATTCTGAAAGTGCAGGGACTTGTTGGTCCCATCTGACTCTCCTGTGTTTGTGTTGGCCAAGTTGATACTCGTGGGTTTGTTAGTGCATCATCTGGGACAGATGCAAAATCTATGCACCCCTTATTTAACACACTCTTTCCAGCCTCACCATTTTGTGCATATATCGGCCAGATATGCTTATTGTAGCTCAGTGGTACGGACACACATTTCACTTATATAGAAGGTCCCAGATGCAATCCCTGACATCTCCAGGTAGGGCTGGAGATAGGTAGACCCCCATCTGAAACCTTGGACAGCCACTACCTTGCAGTCAGATGGTCTGACTCAACATAAAAGACTTTCCTGTGCCGTTAACCAAAGCCACAACACACAAGATTATGTAAAGGGGAAAGGGGGGGGGCTTAATAAAAGCACCGTAAAAGTACCTGAAGGAGCGTCTCCACCCCCATCATTCAGCCCAGACACTGAGGTCCAGCTCCGAGGGCCTTCTGGCGGTTCCCTCACTACAAGAAGTGAGGTTACAGGGTACCAGGCAAAGGGCCTTTTTGGTAGTGGTGCCCGCCCTGTGGAACACCCTCCCACCAGATGTCAAGGAAATAAACAACTATCTGACTTTTAGAAGACATCTGAAGGCAGCCCTGTTTAAGGAAGTCTTTAATGTTTTATCGTGCTTTTAATATTCTGTTGAGAGCGACCCAGAGTGGCTGAGGAAACCCAGCCAGAAGAGTGCAGTATAAATAATAATAATAATAATAATAATTACCATGGATGGTAGCATTAAAAAGTAACATGCTTCTATGATATCCTGACCTAGATACTAACAACAGTCAAAGAAATGTAAGCCAGATTCCCATGAATTCCACAGATTCCCTTAAGCTAAGGAAATGGTTCTCAAAGGAGGCAGTGATAGCCACCAACATGGATGGAATTTAGACAAATTCATGGGGGATATCAATGGCTATTAACCTTGATAGTTATGCTCTGTCTCTATAGAGGCAAAAGGCTTCTGACTATCAGCAGCAGGAGCGGAGAGCGCGCTTGTGTTCAGGTCCCGCATGCGAGTTTGTATCAGGCGCCTGGTTGGCCACTGTGCGAACAGGATGCTGGACTAGATCGCTGTATGCTCAAAGAAAGAACAAAAAGTCCTAATGGATGGAGGCCAATCCACGACAGGTTATGCCGCCGCACCATGCCTTAGTCGTCAGGTGCCGCAGGATCCCTGCTGCTGCTGCTCTGGGAGCTGCCACGCATCTAGGAAGAAGCAAGCCATAGGAAGACCCTTTTAACTTATCTGCCCCTTCACTGCTTCCGCATACCGTCCGCGTCACTTTCAGACGTGCGCCGGACAGGGAGGGCGGCAGCTCCTAGCGGGGCGAGCGGTCTCCAAGCGCTGCCTTTCCTCCGCCTGGAATCCCTCTGGATCTGTTCTGTTCGATCGAGCCAGGCATTTCGCCACCGGCGTGGCTATATCTGTGCCCGCCTCCCAACTCCCCCCCCCCCGCTTCCACCCAGGCCTTGGAAAAAGCAATACATTGACGCGGACGGGGCTGCTGGTATGTCAAGGTTAATTCGCGCGCTCGGCCAACGGCTTCGCTGCGAGGATTCCCCGCCCGCGGCCCTTGGAGCCTCCCCGCTTCACAATTAGCTGGTCCCGAGGAGGAGGAGGAGAGCGGGGACCCGCCTGCAAACTTTTCGCGGGGCCCTGCACGTGCGCGCGCCCCCAAAGTGGGGCCCGCGCCGGGCTGCAGCCCGCCTTGCGCGACGGCGCCTCATCCCAGCCCTAGCCACGCGCTACTCAGAAGGAAGCGCCCTCCAAGTTCAGCGGGGCTTCCTCGCGGGTAGCCGCTTATAGGGCGGCAAGCCCGGCTTCGACGCCTCGAGGCAGGGCCCGGGGCAGCAGCTGCAGCAGCAGCAGCAGCAGGAAGAGGTCTGGAGGCGGCTCTAACTGGCCACGAGGCGAGCTTCCTTTCCCCTCAAGCAGCCCCAGGGTAGCTGGCCCTGCCCCTCCGCACCTGCTGCGAACACGTTGCGCGCCAGGGAGAGAGAAAAAGTTCAAGCAACGACCGAAGAGTTTCCCTTCTGTCTTTTCCTCCCCCCTCATCTGGCGAGTCCGGCTTCTTCAGGCATTTCCGGGTTGGGGGAAAAAAAACCTCTCTCTGTTTTTTTCTGTTTGCACATCGATCCCAACTCTTTGGACTGCTGGGCTTTTGTTTAACATCAGCGAAGGAAAAGAAATCTCCCCCTCCCTTCTGCGTCTCTCCTCCAGGTGCCTTCAGGATCAGAGGGATCAGGTAACGCCGGGAGCGATCGGAAACTTTGGGTCCCTCCCCCTTTCTGAGAAGATAGCTATTAGAGGGTCTTGGGGGCCGTTTCTCTCGACCTACGTCTCACACGCATATCCAGGTGAGTTTGTGCTGCACCTCACCTGGCTAACGCGAATTCACCTCAGAAAGGAACCGCTCTTCCCACCTGCAGCCCCATCTGTGGTCTGCCTTGACCTGCGGACAGGTCGCTAGGAGGCGACGCCCCCGAAAGGCTTGCTGATAATGACCGTTGGGAGGAATGTGTCGGTATTACTTGCGAAAGGGTGTGTCAGAGAGACCCTGGGATTATTGAGCTGTAGAAGGCTTCCTTTTGAGGTATCCGGAGCCTTCAGTGGCTCGAATGCGTCCTAATCGGCTGACAGAAAATTCCCCGAAGCTTATGGTGTTGGGCCACCCAGCTCACTTACTTAGGTGGCTCCTCTCCCCTATGAGATTTCTAGAGAATCGGCTGTTTTCATTCTCTTTTAGCAAACACGTTAAGGATTCTTGTGGCATCTTAGGTCTGTTAATAAACACTAACAAACTGATAATGAGGTTTTGTGAACACAGAGCCACTTCTTCAGTGCAATCTTAGACGATAAGATGGTGGCTTTATTTAGTTATTTTGTTTATAACCACCTTTTAAAAACTAAAATGCGTAATGTGGTTCTTTAGCAAAGCCCTCCTGAACCTGCTGTCTTAAAAAAAATAATCCTCTGGCATAGTTCTTGTGCAGTGACAGGAAGAATTTCATCAGGTGAAGCTGCAATGGATGCAGTTCAGTGCTGAGAAAACTGCAGGTGTCAAACTCTTGCATGGTTCTTCACTGCAGTTGTTGCCTCTCAAGAGTTGCCTGAGACACTGAAGTTTGGCAGGTGGTGCTTTTCCTGGTGTGGAAAGAAGCATAATGGGAAATGTGTTGCCTGCTAAAGTTAAGTGTAAAGGCATATGAGCAAGACCAGCCAGGTGTTTGTGTGTGTGTTTAAGATTACAGTGGTACCTCGGGTTACATACACCTCGGGTTACAAACACTTCAGGTTACAAACTCTGCTAACCTGAAAGTAGTATCTCGGGTTAAGAACTTTGCCCCAGGATGAGAACAGAAATGGCGTGGTGGCAGCGGGAGGCCCCATTAGCTAAAGTGGTACCTCAGGTTAAGAACGGTTTCAGGTTAAGAACGGACCTCCCGAACAAATTAAGTTCGTAACCAGAGGTACCACTGTATAGTCCTAAGAGTATTGTATTGTGTTCTAGCATGCGTCCCCATAGTGTTGCTACATCTTCTTCCTATAAGAGGTTCTGCAACCCTTAGTGCATTGCAGACAGAAATATAACAGGTACAGTTTCCCCCATCACTGTAGTGTTTAATTTCTGCTGCTTATGTCACTGTTACGGGCACAGAACCTTAACAATGACCCAGTTAATGACCTCTGATGCAACCACTCTTATCAGTAATAACTTATGACTCATTTCAATGAGGAATTAGAAATTCTTGTCTTGGCATCTTAAGCACCATAGGAGTAATTATTAGTTGTCGTAACAGCTATGGTGATTGATTGTGATTGGATATCTGACACAAGGTGCTCATGGGCTTCTCTGTTGCTCCCCTGTACAGGTAGAAAAGTGGGGCCTTTCACAAATTCTGCTCTTCGAGTTGAGATTTGAACCCAGGGCTCAAGCTGGTAAGTCCCATCTAAGTCCCACGTAACTTTTACACAGATCTGCTCTTAGTATTATATAGTTGCCTGTGGGTAGCTTCAACTTTATTGTAAGAGTGTGGTGTTGTTGCAGCTGTGGAAACTCAACTGCTGCATGTTTGGTGTCGGCAACAAGGGCAGTTTTAGGCCTTTAAGGAATGAGGGTAATTAGGAATTGGGATTGCAGATAGATGGAGCAGTCTATACGGACCAAAGGAGTAGCAGAATGAACAGCCACTTGGGGTATAGAAAGGAGCTCTAAATTTCCATGAGCCATCTTTCTTCTCTCTGTTACCACTTGGAATGGGGATTCTTAACAAATGAAAAGCGGACAATGTAATTCTGAGACAAAAGAATGGAAAAATCAGTGTCTCAATTAAAACAGGTTCCTATTTGCGTAAGCCCTATTATCAAGAACAGAAACTTTGTGCTGTTTAAATTGTCTTGTATAGCAGGAGACATTATTTTGTTGGCACAGTATTCCCCCCCCCATTGCAATTTTAAGCATATTTGTAAGAAGTGTTCCATCAGGTTGAGTACTTGGGTGTGGAATTTGAAGAATGGGATAGAGATAATAAATTATTGTTTCATTTATTCAGTAGCATTTGCTTCCTGGAAAGTGTGCCCTGGTTGCAGCTTTAACTGAACTGTAAATAACATGCAGGAACCAATCCAGCTCAATCATACTTAAAAGCATTGACTTCAGTGGGATAGAGCATGATTAACTTTATGTTGAATTATGGTGGTGTTGATGTGGAGTTTGTTTTGCTGACATTCCATGGTTTGGAGAAAGCTCTTCGAGGCCATTGTCACAGGTGTGGATTGCTAGTTTACCTGCAAATCCCAGTTCCTTTAAGTAAATTGATTTGAACTGATAAGCACTTCCAGAAGGCAACTTGGGAAGCATGAGTGTAATGCTCACATAGAATGGATGAGGCCTTGCACTTGCAATATTTTTTTCTTATTATTATTCCTCTTCTATGTCCTTGCTCTGGATAACTGGCTGGATATGCTGAGAAGAATGTCAGCATCCTCACCTGTATGCAATAGTATTTCTGCTGTGAAGTTCATTGGATCAAATAAGCCAAGACTTGAGTGTTATGCACAAATACTATATCTCCTCCATAGGTTAAAAAATAGAAAAGAATGAATAATGTATATAGTATAGCAAAGCCTATTATTACTCAATTAGTTGTAAATTGACATAGTGGTCAGATGTGCTCCATTGTTAAGAAAAGATATGCCAAAGTATCAGTTAAATAAAAACTAACTTTTATCAGCCTTTTTCTTGATGATTTAAGTCACTACAGCCTGGTTGGGCTTTAGATATTGTTAAGGGGGGAGAGAGAGAAAATGGCTGAGCTGTCAGAGCATTCAGGTATGAGCTTGGCACACCCAACTGGAAGACCAACTTCAAAGACCTGTAGTGAGTGTTTGACACTGTTTTTTTCTGCCCCATTAAGCACTCCATATCTTGTCACGGCATCAGTCCTGTGAGTTCTTGGTGACATTTTCATTCTGTGTGCTACACATTTTGACTGCCTGATCCCCTGCACCAAATATAAAGTCCGCCAATCACTGAGGTCATGCAACCCCCAAATGACGTCACTTGAACTTGTGTAATAACAATTCTCAGTGGCTGCCACTCTGTTGCATCAATTCTTTGCAGGTGCACCTGCTTCCATTGTGCACGTGACACTCCTCTACCTTCTTTCATGACGTTGCCCGTTCCAGTGAAGTAAATGGGAAGATGTGTTGACACTGGGAGTTGTGTTCATTGGAGCCCAAATGGCCCCTGGACTGGTGCTCATGTGATTTTTGATAGCAGTTGTCATGAGTTTTCTCTTGGGTCACTGGTATAATAAATCTTGACTTTTTTACTGTTAGATCTGGGTTCTCCTGCTGCCCAGTCTGCCTAGCGTGATGAGTTTTCACTCTAGCCAGGTGTGGAGTGTTTGACAGCAGCTCTCCCTTCGTAACCCATTATAGCGGTTCATTCCAAAGTGCCTGACATGACTCATGGGCAGTGGAGAACTGTGCAACAGAACACTTTAATGGACGCTCTGGGGGAAGGGTGTGGCTATGTTGAGCTAGAAGAAGTGCAATGGTTTTGTTGGTTCTCTGCTAGATAGACTCATGGTTTAACTTGCTATAATGCAGCTTTGTATATGTGTCCCCATATTGCAGCTTTTGTTAGTGCTTGTTCCTTTTTAAAGGATAAAAACCACCTCTCCATGACCATATTAAAGACTTCTTCTTACAGAAAACTGAGAATTTTTAGATTTGTGAGAGTGCTGAGAACGTGATGGGAGATCAGAGCCCTACATTCATATGCTTCCAAACGGAACATGGATATAGGGGGTAAATATTGTCTTTGAGGACTGTTTTGCAGACCCATCAGCTGACCAGTCAGGAAATTGAAGGGATTAATCTTGTATATCTATTATTTGAAGTTGAAAGGGAGCATCAAAGTGCAGATAATTTAATTTCCTTCCAGAGACCCTTTTCATGTCACTGGATGATTCTCTGCCCCCATGTTACATTAATCGAATGGACAAAGGGTGAGAGCATATTCTTTTCAACATTAAATGGAAGCAAATGAGCTCCTTGATGAAGAGAATATAGAAACAAGCACTTGTTATTTTTCAAGGAAAACCGACCACAATCCATTTGCTGAAGAGATTATATTTGCATGTGTGGCCTGTTTTGAGTTCCTGAGATTCATATATTTGCATGCATCTCATTGAACTCATATTTCCTGCTTGGCTTTCTGTTCTACCCCCATGCTCTCAATAAAACCATTTCTTTTCAGCTGTACATGAGGGAGAGTAATGACATTGCAACTTGGATTAACTTCAAATAGTGATCTAAGACTCTTGAGTACAAGCCCCATTCCCAAGTATGCTTACACACAGTTGCCCATCAGGACTTGATTCTCCCTACAGAGGAACATTCTGAGCAGGCTGCCACAAGAAGTCCAAAAGTATATGAGGCAGAAATTATAGGGACTTGAGATATCAGAGTTGTTTCAGGAAAGACTGCCTTGGGGCAGAAAGTTCAATTAAAGGACCAATAGGTATCCTACCAATTCCATGCTCTTGGAGACAACTAGGGTATGTGTGACGTTCGAAACCTAGGCCTAGCTCACACAAACAGTGGTGGTAAAATGATTCTTAGACTGCATCCTAGACTCCTGGGGCTCTCATGCAATCCATGGCATTTACACGTTAGTCCACCTCCTCAGACACTTAACTGTAAGAGAAATCTTCTTGCAGCAGCTAATAGTCTAGCTTTACAGCAGGTGCTATTGAAGGATGCAAATCTGGCCAGAACATGATGTCAAGTGGTGTGTTTTGCATATTGTATACCTCCCAATGGAAAGTTTGGATTCATGCAAAACCAAGATAAAGCATTAATCTTATGAGCCTTGGAAACAAGTGTAAGTGTGTGTGTGTATACACACAGTGCTTTTTTCTGGGGGGGACACAGCATACCCCTACCTAAACATTTTGTGAATCTAAGTTTGGCCTCATAGAGGGGCAGTATTTCAATATGAGCAGGAAAATGAGAGTCCCCCTAAACTTTTTTTTAAAGAAAAAAAGTACTGGACACACACAGAGAGAGATAGAGATGTGGATGCATTTTATAGTCCTATATAACTGCATGCAATCCAAAGAGGGTTGAGAAAAGCTTGTTCTTCTCAGCTTTTTCAAGATCACCAGCTCCCATTTGACTTAGCAATGTACGGTTTTACCTTTGCTCTTCCTGTGTGATCTTTGATTCTTAGAAGGGATTTCTGCAATGATTTGTGTTCCGTAAATGGCCTTGTTTCAGTCACCTCCATGACCCTAAAAGTGTTTTTAAAAATCCATTCAGGCTCCAGTTAAAATCTTGAAGCAGCTAATAAGGAAAGAGGAAATAAAATCCACAGGCAGCCAAGGCACTCCTACCTGAACTCATATATTTCTCCTGGTATTGGTATGTCAAAGTTTGTTTTTGCTGGGTAAATATTATCTTTGAGGGCTGCTTTGCGGGCCCATGGGGTGACCAGTTGAGGAGGAGGTAAAGGGCATTAAACAATGCTGCTTAGAACTCTCAGTGATCCTGTCAAGTGGCTCCGGTGCTGTGTCCTTTCTCATGGCCCTGTGATAAAGCCTTGTGCTCCTTGATAGTTGCTGCTGTGGCCAAGGCCAGCTTTGCCTTGGCTTGCAGCCCTGAACGGCTGCTTTTCAAAACAAACAGCATCCTACCGTGACATTTCCAACAGGCTGGGGTGGCTTTTTGTTTCCTCTGTTTCTGTGCAGTTGAAACAAGCATATAGCAACAGGCAATTACAGGACACTGAATAGGGGAGGGGGGTGCTTGTAATCGTTGATCCACACTGCTGCAAGAATATGTGCAACTTTATCATTATCAAATGCAAAACGAATAAGTTCCTAAAGCAAGCATAACTGGTACTCCTCCCCTCCCCCTGCTTCCTTGTCCCTCTGGTCTTGTCTACTTATCACATAATAAATGGCCTTCACCAATGCCAGTCTGAGGGTGCAGCAATTTGTTCAGCCTAAGTGAAAGTTGAGATTTAACTATTGTTTTAATCCCTCCATTCCTAGGCTATCTGACCTGACTAGAATAAAGCAACAAGGAACAACAAGTAATAGTTCTCCAGGATGCTGTCATTTATCTACAAAGAACAGCTGCCTACGTGAAACAATTCACTCCTTTCCTTTTATCCCTGAGATTATTCTTGCTTAAATCCTTGTACCTGCTGCTGCTATTAGTATAGCTGTCACCAATGTGTTACACGGGTTGGTATGCAGGTCTTCTAGTCATGTTATGATTAGTTGGTGGCTCCACGTTGCCCTCAGCAATAGGCATGCCACAGGTTCAAAAACCCTTAAGATTGTTCTCACTGCCAGTTGCACTGCAGTTTCCCGCAGACTGCTGTTTGCTCCGATTCAGCGGTAAAGGATGGGTTTCTCAGACAAAGCTCTGGGACAAAAGAAAACAACCAGCCTTATTCAGACATGGAGTTTAAAGCACAGGACCTGTCCCTTGAAAGCATAGCATGAAAGGAAGTCTGGATGAGCCCATAGTGCTGCAAGGATTTTGGGTTTCCTATATCTGTCCATATTTTTAAGAAGCAGTGAGGAATGGTGTGCAGAGATGGTTAACTAGCAGATACGGGCTGCTCTTGCCCAATCTGAACACATTTCGCCTTAGACCACATACTGTACTTGGTATATGTATATATTCTAAGCTGTTTTGTCTGCATGGTGTGTTAAAAAGTGTCAGGCAGAAATGCTTACAGGCTCTGCATTTGTTTTGATGAGGCGGAGAGCCAGGAAAGTATGAAGATATTCCAGAGATCCTGAGGGAGATTTCAACAGCACACGGAGGGCACTGGGCCACAGTCTCACTTTCCTCTTCCCACCAGTGGGAAAGCAAGTGCATTGGGTTATGATGTGCTAAGCGTGCAGACTTGGGAGTGAGATCAGTGGTAATCTATAACATATGTGCTTGAGAACGAAGAAAACAGTTCTCAAGAAGGATAGACTCCCTCCAGAAACAGAGCGCTCTAGTTTCTAATGTTAAAACGTTAATCCTCTGAGGTGGGGAAGGGGCATTGGAAAAGCAGGCCTCACCTGGGCACCCCTGCTTCTGTTTTGTTATTGAATTATGTTAAAAGGTTAATCTTTTCAGAAGCCTTATAATCCCCTGAAAGGGTGAGGCTAATACAGCAATAAGCACAGCTTGAGAGAGAGAGTGTGTTGTTTGGAAACCCTCACTCCTGCTTTTAATTTCCACAAACTATTCATGACCTTTTGAAATCCATCTTAACAGGAGGTTGTGAAAAGCAAGCAAAAGGTTCTCTAAGCAGTGGTCCGCTCCCCCCTCCCTTTACTCCTTTCCACCTACACACAGAAACAAAGGCCAGAAAACTGTCCATTCTAAAAATGGCTTTGAAATACAAATTTGACGTGATCAGGGAACATCCGCCTCAATGGGCCTTAGTTTTCATCTTCCCCCACAGCTCCTCCAGCCTTATGTGACTCATGGTGGATGGTGTGGATTTTTCATGGGGTCTTTTGACAGGGAAACTCTCTGCAAAGCAGATGTGATTAAATATGGTGCTGATAAACATATAGAGTGCCTAGTACAAAACATCTCCCCCTTTTTCCAGTGTCGGATTAAGAGTCTCTGTAGAGGCAGTAAACACACCATGCATGTTGCAATTCTTTGTTACTGGGCACCAATCCTTGGATGTTTCTTAATTCTGTAGCTACTAAACTCTCAGTTTAGATCACCTGCTTATGGTTATCCTTAGATCTAGATCTAGATTATTATTGCTTTAAAAAATGTTTACCCCATCTTTTTGTTAGGCTGCAGTACACAAGGTAGCTTATCAACATATAGGTATGTTGATTTACCATCTCTTCAAGAGGCTGTTCTAAACACTGGGTGCTAGTACTGAAAAGACCTTCTCTCCGGTTCACATCTACTTTATTTTAGATGGCAGAAGGGTACCTAAAAGAGGACCTCAGCTGTTGATGAAAGGTGCTGGGCAGATTCATTGACTATTCCTCCAGCGTCAGTCCTTATCTCTGTTACATAAAGCCAAGAATATTGGCTTGGCTTTCAAGGGGCATTGCATGAACGTTCTGCTGGACTTCAGCAAATGTGCTGATGCTTGGTACTTTAATGTGTGCCTTGGGACATACCAAGTAAACATAGATGAAGGTAAGGAAGTACAGATTCTTTTCACCCACTGCTGAGGAACTACAAAGTCTCTGCACACCAGGGATTAAGTCAGAGAATGCTGTAACCAGATCATCTTGAGCCCTGGTATCTCCCACTCTTCCCCCAAAAGTTATTTAAAACTGCAATTTTCTGGTGAGGGAGCAGGTTGTGTTAGTTCTTTGACATAATACCAGTGTGTGGAAGGTCTCATTTTGGCTCACCCTGGTATGTTTCTACATTTGTTTCTACAACGTCTGTGTCTGTTCAAGCTGCCAGGTAATAGGAATGAAGTGGCTCTATCTTTCTCAGTTAATAATGATCTTTACAGTCACTCCTCTCTTGATAAGATATTATTCCAACTGTTGCACAATAAACTGAGCAAACAATCTCCTTGTTATCTATTAAAAACTCCCCAAGTATATTATGACTTTCCTGCCTTTGGGTAAGGTCAGATAGTTTGGCCTTCCAGAGGTTGCTGAACTGCAGCTCCCATAATCCCTGCCCATTGTCCATGCTTGCTTGGCCTCATGGGAGTTGTAGTTCAGCAACATCCAAAGGTCCTCTGGGTTAAGTCCGGTGCAGATGCAGGTGTCTGTGTGAATTGGCCACCAGCTTTAATTATATCCATTTGTTCAGAATCAGAGCATCCCAAGCTTTGTTGTCATAACTTGGCGGACTCCAGAATTCTGGTTGCTACTGCCAAAAGAAAAATGTTACTTTCTTTAAAATTCTGACAGAACACCACTGCATGAATTTGTTGTTGTTTTTTTAAATGATGTTTATTGAGAATTTTAAAGTTACAAAGAAAGAAGAAAGAAAAAACAAGAGAAGGAGAAAAAGAAAGAAAGAAGTAGATAAACATAACACTCAAACAATACAGATCAATAAAAACCAATGTCAAAAAAATAATAACGAAACACACAATACATCTAAATCAAAAAACAAAAATAAACAAACAATTAAAAAACAAGTCTAATATTGCCAAATCCTTAACTTTCATTAACTTATTTCAACGACCTCCTCACACCTCCCTTTTTTGTATTCTAGTTGTTAATTAGCCCAGCAAATCCTTTCCATCTTTCACAATATTCTGTCATTTAAATTACCTTAATCTATTTTAACCTTATCTTACCTAAAAACCCTAAAACTTAAAACTTGAAACTTATATATACCAAATTCTTTTAACCATAACATATTCTTTCTTAATTCTTTTTGACATTTCTGCTAAAGCCAAATAATTTCATTCCAACATTTTTCTAATACTCATTAATTTTACAATACTTTTCTAAATAAATTTTAAAACTTTCTTCCAATCTTCATCCATCGTCTCTTCTTCCTGGTCTCGGGTTTTGTCAGTCCTTTCTCGTCTATCTAATCCATCAACCTGGTGCTCTTATGTCCGAGGCTCTTAAATCTTTTCCATGTCCGTTCTGCAGGTCTTCTTCTTGTTTATACCTGCCCTTTACTTTATCTTTTCTTTCCTTTCTCATTGGGGGGTAGGTCTCAGGAGGACTCCAATCCAAAAGTATCTCCATCTCTCCTCAGCAGATCAGCCCATTCCCCACAGTCCCATTCCCCACAGTCAACACTGTAATCCAGAAAGTATTTAAAAGGATGTTTCAAAGTCTTTCCAAAATTAAGAGCCCTCACAACTCCAGACCCCCCCTGGTCCACTCCAGATTCGAACTTCGAGAACAGCGGCTTATACTCCTGCAAGGCCTCGGGTCTCTCCATTTGTGTTATTTGAGGTTCAACAACAACCTCCTCCATTTTCTTCTGCCCTTGCGCTTGCCCTATCAAAACAGATTCCTGGGCTGGTTCCTGAATGGTTTCTATATGGGTATTCGCCGTTTGTCCAAAGTTTTTAACTGCAACAGTCATCAAATCCATCTTCTCATGCATCTGCTCCAGCAAAGCACTTGTCTTGCAAAAAGGAAGCACCAAGACTTCTTGTAAACACATTTTTTCCCCCCAAGGTTAGAGTCTGGTCTCATGATCCTAATCATACAGCTGTGAGGTCCCCAAATCAGCTCCGGCAACAAATTAACAAGCTCCCTCTAGAGGAGACAATTTCTATTTGTATCCATCTTTTAAAAGCAGGACCAACAAGGAAAAATTACTTTCACTTTTCAAATACTTTGTTTCTTTTGATTGCAAGAAGCAACATTGGAATCAATATATTTCTCTTTTCTTTTTTTTTTAACTATCTGTCAAAAGACGTTCCGTTCACAGTCGATGAACTTTCCCCATAAATTTCTGTCTCTGACACCCTGTTCCCAGGTTTGAGACGGTGGAAAATTTATCTTTCTTTACTCTCTCTCCTGCAGGCTTAAACAGTCAAAAAATCCCCTCTTTTCTCCTGCTTCCAAGAGGGGTTTTGGTGGTGATGAATGAAGGAAATTTAGAACTTTATGTACGACTTTCCAGACTTTAGCTTACAAAGTTTTTGCTTCAATCTATTTACAAAAAACGGGAGGCGGACTTCCTGTTTAGAACCTTCCCGTTTCGGTGCCAAATTAAAATATTTCTTAATACTTAATCCAATTTTCCGTTCTACTCACGGGTACTTGTTTAGAGTCCAATTGTCCACAGGAAGAAGTCAGCGCTCTCCGGCAACGGCTGTGCGGCTTCACTCCGTAAAAGTAGCGGTTGATTCAAAACACCGCGCCACTCACCCCACGTCGCTTCGGACCCCCGAAAAAGGGTTTCCCTGCGAGTAGGGGAGGCGCTCCTGGTGTCAGCCGAATCCCACGTTCCCAGGCTTCCTCCGCCTGGGATTTTTAAAGGGTCTCCGCCTTCGCCGCGGCGGCAAGACCCGATTTTCACGGAGCAGGTTCCTCTCTGTCAGAGGAACTCCGCCATTGCCGATGGCGCTGTCCCAGAAGTCCATGAATTTGGTCCGGAAGTATGTCTATAAATCTGGCATTCTTTCTTGCTTTCCCTTATTCCTCAAACTTCTCCCTGGAACAACTATGAAGTAAAACTTCTCTTCCCTTGCTCTTTCCCTGCTACTTCAAAGGCCCTTAAAAAGTTCACCAGGTTTGCTGATGATTGTACCAAATGATTTAGGTTATTAAAAACAAAAGAGGGGAGCCAAGAGCTCCAAAAGCAGTGGGGTGATTATTATTATTTTGGTCACATTGATAAATAAGGACTATTTTAATTCTGTCTGGACACGGCAGGTTATATTTCTGGTTTGTTCCACTGACTGATCATCAGTAAACATTGTTGTGGGTAGTATGAGCACAGTCTTCTGTATTAATCCTCTTCTGCTGAGCATACACCACTAAAACTTCACACAGATCTTTCCTGTTTTCTTTAAAAGGGATGTTAAAAATAAACTTAATGGGCTAGAAGCAGAAACAACAGGCTTGAGTATTACACCTGCCTGTAGCACCTCTGGGCAATTTTGTATAGCCTTCGACTTTCCTACCCCCCCTTTTTTTTAAATAAAAACATCTTAATAAAAATACTGGTGGCGGTTCTACATAAAGTCTTGGCAAAAACTTCCTTCTAGCTGGCCTCCTTGAACTTTGACTGCATATGATTTATGATCTGATATTCTAAGCCACATGGAGATAAAAAAATACATAGAGGCTTTGATAGTTTTGAGGGTTATCTTCACACACACTTCATGCACAGCGGCTCCCAGACTTTGGAACTCCCTCCCTAGAGAAGTCAGACTGACTCCCTTCTTGCTGTCTTTCTGCCAGCAGGTAAAAACTTTCTTGCTCCAACAGGCTATGGGAATTGACTGATTTTAATGAAAAGGCTGCTGCCATGCTGTTTTTATTGCGATTATTGCAGTGTTTTAAACAGTTTTTTTAAAAAACATGCATATAGTTTTAATTCATTCAATATTTACAGTGGTACCTCGGGTTAAGTACTTAATTTGTTCCGGAGGTCAGTTCTTAACCTGAAACTGCTCTTAACCTGAAGCACCACTTTAGCTAATGGGGCCTCCTGCTGCCGCCGTGCTGCCGCTGCACAATTTCTGTTCTCATCCTGAAGCAAAGTTCTTAACCTGAGGTACTATTTCTGGGTTAGCGGAGTCTGTAACCTGAAGCGTATGTAACCTGAAGCATATGTAACCTGAAGCATATGTAACCCGAGGTACCACTAATTGTATTTTAATGATGGATTTATCTATGTTTTTAGCAGTTCTTGTTTTTAATCTGTAAGCCACCTTGAGTCCCATCTAAGAAAAAAGGCAGGGAATGAATGACTGACTGAATGAATGAATGAATGAATGAATGATGCCCGTAGAAGCCTAATCAAGAAAAAGCTGCTTTCCTAGAAGATTACTTAATTGCTCCCAGTCTTCCCAATGTAATTGACATTCCTGTTCTAATAGGAATTACTTTTGGCTATATACTTTTGGCTATAGTTTCCAGACTGCACAATTATTTAGGTAACCAATGAAAGGGGGCTGCCTCTGGGTTTTGTTTGGAAGTTGCAGCTCATGCAGAATGCAGCAGGTAGGGTGCTGAGCAGAGTCCCTGGCTGTACACACATTATTCCTCCGTTTAAAAAATTGCAGTGGCTGTTCATTGGCAACCAAGCCGTGTTCAAGGTTTTTAATATTGCCATTTAAAGCCTTAAACAACTTGGGACCACTAACAGATCACTTCCCCCAGTTCAGACTCAGTGGACCCTGAGAATCATTGTAGGAGGCCTTGCTGACTATGTTGTGGCCTTCCCTTGTGTCATTTGGGAGGCATCAACAATGGCATTTTCAGATGCTTTTAAAAAATGTATTTGTTTTCCCTGGTTGCACTGCTTAGCATTATGATTTAGTATATATCACCTAGATTTTATTGGTGATCTGACAATTATATTCTTTCTTGTTAACTGGAGATTTAGTTTATTTTTAGGTTAAGCGGTTGTATAAATAAAAGTTAGAACTGTTGGCAGCAATGCTTAACGCCTTACCCTTTTTTGTCTTCGTGCAGAATTTGTGGACATGCTGTTAATCTACATTTAGGCGGAGGAGCCTGCAAAACAGATGTGCCACAGAATGTGTGTGTAAGTAGCTCATTCCCTAGAGTGATCAGAAAGCAGTGCGTTCCTACAGTTTGGGAAAAGCATACAAAATATCCTGTGGAGGGGGCATTATCTATAGTGAATAAACAATGGGATAACTATTCTATTGATGTACAGTACATGCTGGCCACATGACCCGAAAAGCTGTCTGTGGACAAACGCTGGCTCCTTCGGCCTGAAGTGAGATGAGCACTGCACCCCATAGTCGCCTTTGACTGAACTTACCGTCTAGGAGTCCTTTATCTTTACCTTTATGTATAAGGGATAACTGGGAAATAATTTATTTGCATCCCTCCCCTAATTGACATTCACACAGTGCAATCCTTTGCACGTCTGCTCAGAAGTACATTCCAGCTAAATATGTGTATGATTGTAGCCTTAGAGTGTGTTGCTATGTTGGGACATCCTAAGAAGTAGTCCAAAGAGCATACCTATCTATGCATACAAAAGTGCCACTTAAATTGTCTTCATTTCCTTTCAAACAGTTATATGGATTTTAGTTTGGTGAGGGTGCTGAGAATTTTTTTGAACATGCTAAACTACCATTGTAGGATTACAATTACCTAGGAAAAGGAAACAGTTGTTAAAATTGTTTTAAGGATGTGGCGTTGTTAAGACATGAAACACTTGCGGCCCAAGTGCTTCATGGAAATAAATAATAAGCAGCTTTCAACTGGCCATATCAGGACCCCAAGGGTTGCATTCCGCTAAGTTTTACTTAGAGTAGAACCATTGAAATTCATGTACCAAAGTTAGTCTTTGTCATAAATTTCAATGGCTCTGCTCTCAGTAGAAGTTAATTGAATGCAACCCTTGGTAGCAACTTCAGGAATTTCACTTGTGTTTCTCTGAATCTGAACCAGTGGTGCCTTGAACACTAATTATTATTATTATTATTATTTATTGCTTATACCCCGCCCATCTGGCTGGGCTCCCCAGCCACTCTGGGCGGCTCCCAACAGAATATTAAAAACATGATAAAACATCAAACATTAACAACTTCCCTAAACAAAAGACTGGCTAATCTAAAAGTCCAAAAATGTGTGCTTATTCCAGGGGCGACTAACCATTTTTGGCCTGGGAGCTGCATGACAGCAATGGGTGCAGCCACCAGCCCATTATTGAGCACATACAGTGGGAGTCAATCAACCCCTCCTTTCTCACCAGGTGACAAATCTGATGACCCAGGACGGGACCAGTCTGCATCCCTGTCAGGGTTCTGGGCTGGACAGGGAGGATTCAACCTTTGTGCTCATCCCAATATGGCTGCCTACTTTATATTCCTTTGTATCACTGTTGCCAATTGGGAGGGTCTTGGCTCTTACTGTCCTATCTTCTCCTAATTAGATTCTGTGGTGATCTCATCTTGCTTAATGCTTTTCTTCTCTTGGCAGCCCACAGCTGCTGACGGAGAGTTTTCATTTTACAGAAATATAAAGCAAGTGTAAAAAGAGGGGATGTGGGTAGGCCTCTACCCATAATGCTCAGGGACACTCAGTCCTGTTCTTTCAAGAAAGCTGTCAGCTGCCCTTTGCTTTGAAATGCAGGTTTCTGTGAGAAAATCGCATGTTAATCCCATTGTTACTAGACGTCAATTTCCCTTCTCTTTATTGTCTTTCAGTAATAGGAATGGGGTAATGCCAGTCCTTTGTTTCATATTCAACAAGGCATATTACTTGGGAGCATGATGATAGCCTTTCACTCAATCAGCTGGTTCCCACTTAATAAACACAAGTGAGCAAGGTGAGCTGGTGGGTGCAGCTAATACAGTGCTTATTTCATTCCTCCCTTCTCCTCTTGCTGCTACTGCCATGCTACAGACAGAACAAGCCAGAGTCTAGCTTATTGTGACCTCTGAACCCAGGCTCATCACTTGTTTCTCTTGATATAAACCATGAGTGTTACGTCAAGAACAAATTTTGGCTTCTATGGAGACATCACCACAAGCTGGACTCCGGCTTATTTCTTGTTGGCACGGAAACAGTGGAGGGTTGAAGGAAGCATTGCATTGGCTGCACCTACCAGCACACTCCTCATTTGTGTTAAGCCATAGTTGATTTTAAACTATGGCTTAATGGTACTTGTGAATCAGGTCAGTATTTTGAGGAGTCCAAACAATTCAAACCAACATTGCTTTTTGAAGAAGAACACCTTATATTTGCAGTTAGATACACTCCAGTCCATGCGAATAAATGGTCATTTGAAGCAATGGAAAGACCAGGGGAAGAACTCTCTGAAAGTTCCCATGTGGAGGACAAGGAAGAGGATGGAGCAGCCTCAGGCATCTCTTCCACTCTCTGCTTGAATGATGTGGGAAACATGCAGGTGGAGATGCTGGAGAAGGCCAGGGAGCTCTTCAGGCTCTGTGACAAGGAGGAGAAGGGCTTTATCACCAAGCTGGACATGCAGGTAAGCAGGAAAACTGACCGTGGCCACCTCCTTTGCAGAGGAAAAGCTCTTGCTTTCGTGAACTGCCACCTATGAGCGATGTACTGCCATGTGTAGATTTTATTTGCCTTTGTGCTGGAGAAAGAGTTCATCAACATCCCACCGATATCAGAAGTCTATAATGTGTGTGTGTTAAGGGGTGTGTGTGTAAGACTTGAAAACTCCTGTTGACACATCAGGGGCTGCTGTTGCTGCTGCTGTGAAATTTGCTCTGTCTGTACTTCCATTCCTTCTCTATCTTAGGGTGATGAAATGCCAGGGAGTACAAGGGATGCTGTATCTTTCACAGCAGCGTGGAATTTCTGGCAGGTGCAACCTGTCATGAAAGCTCCTGGCCAAAAGTTCCTTCTTCCACACAGCTATTAGAAATGTAGAGGCCCCTTTGCTCTCATGCCCCTGACCTACTGTTTCTCCTTCAAAGGCTATGCTGAATGACTGTTGCTTGAGCAAAGTGCTAAGCACCTATCACCCAGACACAAAATTCCCCACTCTATGCTCAACAGGGTGATAGTGACCCAGCCTCAGACCTGCTGCCATTTCAGTATGGCTTCAGGCCTGGACATCAGGGCCGGCACAGCCGTTAGGTGAGGTGAGGCTGCCAGCAGAGAAGCAGCACCGGCAACGATTTCGGGTAAGATCGCGCCAATTTCTGGCAAGATCTCACCGAAATCATGTAAGATCTTGCAGAGCACATGAGCTCTTGTGCAATTTCAGCGATATTTCTCTAGAAATTGACAGAATCTCACCCGAAATCTGTGCCAACAGTGAAGGCGGCAGGGCCGTACTTACTGTTTCACCTCAAGTGGCAAGTGTGCTGGACATGGTACCGAAACTGTGTTGGTCCCCTTGGCTGATGACTTCTGTTGAAACTGGATGAGGGAGTTCAACCCTGTCCTTGAATTATTGTTTTGGGTGGTTGCTTATGTTATGTTTGTTGCTGTTTTGATTGTATTGTGAGTGTTTTCTGTTGTTACATGCTGCAACTCACCCTGCAACCTTCTGATTGAAAGGCAGGGAATATGTATTAGAAAGAAATCATATCATTAGGCTGAGTGAGGGAGCTAGTGAGTGCACCATTTGCCCTCTATTGGAGGGCAGAGCTTGTCCTGCTCCTCCCAAATTGGTCTGCTTCCCTCAGGTGACACGGAGGACACTATCCGCTTGTTGGTGTTGGAGTAACTTTCACCTGTCAGTCCACTTGGCTTCTGGAATGGGGGTAGCTTGTCCTTGTCTGAGACTGCAAAATATATTGGGCTGGCCCTGGGCCATTTTATTGCTTTTGTTAAAAACAAAACAAAACTGTAAATCACTTGGGCATCTACCACCAGATCCAGATCTCATTCTGTGCCCATCTTTGGTTTAGGGTAGCAAGGTGAAAAAGGAGGGCAGGTTTCTTGCACCTTTGCAAGAGTTCTGTAGAAGAAAGAATGTCTGCAGGTGAAGTTTGACCTGCAAACTTCCACCTGCTGAATTCCCTTCTTTTGTACAACTGTTAAAGCTCCCAGAGCCCCTGAGGTCACTCGGGGAATTTATCCTGTTTCACGCTTATTAAGCAAGAGCTGGTTTCCCCAGTGAGTTGTGCAATAAATTATGTAATGCCAGATTTTGTACACACACCTGTTAACAGAAGCACTTGCAGTATCTGTCCTGATGGACATAGATATATTGTCTTGTACCAAAACATCGTCTTTGCACCACACCTTTCCTTATTATGAGATTGGACTTCATAGACTTCTGTTGCCTTCTTTTGGAGAACAGCATGAGCTCTCAACAAGCTCCACTGCTCATTGACTTGAGTTTGGCAAGGGTGAAAAATCAATGTAGTGAGGGGGGTGTAGCAACCTCTGGCCCAATCTGTATGTTCAGTAGAAGCTTTCCCTCCTACCATGCATGCAAGCCATGAGCTAGAATGTTTTTGTTTGTTTGTGGAGGTGGAGCAGGAGCAGTCATGCAGCAGGAGGAGAATGGCAGGGGGATGCAGGAGGGACAGTCGAGGAATGGCACTGCTGTCCCCCAGCATTTGCTCCTTGAGGCAGCTGCCCCATCCTGCCTAACAGTAGGGCTGCCTCCTTTCCTCAGGTCACCTTTTTCTGGGTTTGGGCTCAGATTAAGAATTTGCAACTTGCACACTTTGAATCTGGGCACTTGTGGCAGTAACAGTGAAGGGAGCTGGGAAAATAGGACGAATGGAAGTTTTTTCTTTTGGTTATAATGGTCTGCCCTTTCTTTTTCCTCCTCCTTCACAGCGGCTACAAAGTGAACTTCCTCTCACTCCTGAACAACTAGAATCTGTTTTTGACAGCCTAGAGCAAGACAATAATGGGTATCTCACGCCAGTCGAATTCAGTATGGGACTAGGTAAGAGGAACGAGGGAGTGTGAAGCTCAGTGGCTATATGGAGAAAATGACAACTACTGTTGCTTAGCATGTATGTGGGCAGTGGACAGAATGGGAAGAAATGGCCTTAGCTCAGTGGTAGAGTTTCTGCCTTGCATGCAGAGGGCCACAAATTCAACCCCCAGCATCTCCAGGTAGGACTGGGAGAGGTTTCTTCCTGAAAACCCTGGAGAGCTGCTGCCAGTCAGTGTGGACAGTACTGACCTAGATGGACCAGTGAGTCTGATTCAGTATAAGGCAGCTTCCTGTGTTCTTAACATAAATATTTTCCTTCCTTGGACTACTGGCAGTTTATATTAGGCAGCCAAGGTAACTGCAGAGAATTGAGGAACTGTGGTATTGAGATAGGAACCCAGGGACCAGATTCAAGCCAGTGCAATACTCCTACACAGCAAATGTTATTTTTGCTAGATATAAAGCAGGCACTTAATTATATATATATGAGATGTGCACCTTCTGGGGCTGTCTTTGCCCTACATGCTTTCAAACTTATCTCCAAAAGTGCAGTTCTTGGAGAAGCGTATTCCTGTATATCGTACCAGATTTCATGCTTGCAGAGCATGATTGTGGAATGTGTACCCATCCTACTGGTGAGCAGTGCTGAGGTGGGGCTATATCGTGCCGTACACTCACTGTCTCTGCTGAGAAGGCTCTTTCCAATCCTTCCAGTTCAGCGCTCAAGCAGGCAGCTCCTGTGGAGACATTGTGCAGCAGCCACCGCAGAGAGATCCACCTGCAGCAAAGTGTAGCCAAAGCTGCTTTGCCAAGTATGAGCTGCATGAGGGAGAGCAGAGGTTTTTCTGACTTTCTATGGCCCTGTGCTGATTAGAAGAAGCCAAGTTCCTTTTTTCTCCTTAAGAAAACAGCTTTAAGTCAACAGTTCAAGGAATCTGACGAAGATTCCAGGAAGAGTGCTGATCAAAGCTATCAGGAGTGGGGAGTTAGGCAAGAAGGTAACGGCAGGCTCTTATTTGAACTAGAACACAGTCATGTTCGTAGTGTGTTTTGCACAAGCCATAAATGTTGTGGTGTCCTAAAGCTCAGTGGGTAACATCTGGAATTGGACCGACCTGTATTGACATTGTGCAATTGTGCCAGTTCCCAGTCTCTAAGGCCAGAGTGGTTAACTCTTAAAACAACCATACTTTAATGGATCAAACCAATGATGGGTTGGGGAGGGCTGTGTATCAGGCTGTGTTGCCTTTTTCATTTAGTAAGTTCTAAAGTGTGACAGATATTGTGCTGCTGTGCATTAAAAGTCTTCATATGGGCAAAGCAAGAAACCATAAGGCATTTTAATTTAAAGGTGTTTTCTATAAAGAGAAGTTTGTTGCAATATATGTTTTAGTCAGATGGTTATTTTTTAGTTTTACCCTCCCCTATGTACCGGTCCGTATGCAAATATAAAACTTTAATTTTTATTTCTGTTTTTATTGTCCTTTCTGTTAGAAGTTACACATTTTTGGGTGGGGGGGTAACACTATGGAAGTCTCTCAAACTTGGCATTGTTTAGAGCCTCAGCATGTATTAATCTGGCCCTGATCACTTACCTGGAAGTAAGACCCATTGAATTCAAGTGGGGCTCATTTCTGAGTAGACATGTATAGAACTCCATGGTAAATGCGTTGTTTAAAGTCCAGGACGCAGTCCTTGAACCTGTTTTGAGTGGAACGGCTTACCCTTGGAACATTTGAAATAACGAAAGTGACATGGAGGAATGCAGAGTGTCTTTGAGCATGTGAAGAGCTTCCTTCCTTCATTACAGAAGTGAACCATGGTTCTGTGTCTGAAGTGGACCAGTTCCAGTTCTTTTAATTTTTACAGTTGCCCTGATTTGGCTAAAAGTGGAAGGAGTCTGATATGGAGCTTGTGGATTTCACAAGCTCTCTCCCCTCATAATTCAAACACTGATGCAAGCCATACCTGGGATTAGAGAGATCTTATAGTCCTTTGTTTTTCTCATTCCACTGACTAGGCAAGTTCATAGGGATTGAGCAGTATGAGAGCTCTGGAAGCACCAGGCACGAGGAGACTTTTGAGTCAGGCTGGTCAGATGACTTGGACCAGGAAGAGGAAGAGAAGAGGTTTTGCTCCATGTTGGAGCAGCTCGAAGCATCCCAGGTCTTTGAAGAGTAAGTTGGAACTTTCCAACCTGTGCATGTTTATTACAGTGGTACTTTGGTTTAAGAACAGCTTAGTTTATGAACAACTTGGATTAAGAATGCTGCAAACCCAGAAGTAGGTGTTTTGGTTTGTGAACTTTGCCTTGGAAGTAGAACATGTTCCGCTTCCTGTTGAGTGTGTTCCATTTATAAATTGAGTCCCACGCTGCTATGGGAAAGCACACCTTGGTTTAAGAACGGATTAAGTTCGTAAACCAAGGTACCACTGTATTACGATTGCTGTTGCCATCTTTAGGAAACTTGCTTCGCAGAAGCATTGCTTTGACCTTTTCTATCTATCATGTCCTCTTCATTAAAATGCATGTGCTATGTTTTCCTGGGTTGCACTGCTACAGCAGGAATGGGGGAACCTGTGGTCTTCCAGATGATGTTGGGACTAGCATGGGTAGCAGTGGACTAGCAGAAAGGGATGGGTGGATTAGGAGCATAATAAGGCTTGGGCAAAATCACATGGGGGAAGAGATTCTCCAACAGTTTATACATGTTCAGATGCATCTTTACTTTTTAAGATGAGGACTTTTGACCTCTTATTTCCTGGATTTTCTCATCTCAGGGAGGGATGCCTAGGAGGCTTAACTATAAAGTACTTTAAAATAAGTTCTTTATAGCCTGTTTGGTGCAAGGACTATGCTTATCTATCACTCTCAAGCTGATAAACTTTACTGTTTGTCTTTGCTCCAGTCAGAACGAGGTTCAGGAGCTCTGGGCTCAACTCCGAAAAGAAAAGCCAGAACTCCTAACCAGTTTTGAAGAATTTCTCTTCCACATTTCCTCATATGTCAGGGACATACATCACGAGAAGGAATCCATTGAGCAGGCATTGAAACGGTAAGCAGTTTCTGGACGGCATGTGACTACGCCATAGAAAGTGCAATGCAGTCTTAGGATGCTGGAAGTGGGAGGGGAAGTTTCTCTCAGCATCCACAAGAGGATTCGTGAATGCCAAAGAAGGAGGTGGAAGTGTCCAAATGCCTTCAGCGGGACCTATTACTCTATGAATATTTTCTTCCTCTATAATCCAATCACATCTGCCACAAACAGGCTGTGCACACACTAAAAATTTGTCTGTATCCAGTGTGCTTCCACCACTAGTTTAGGAAGTGGTGTACACACAGTGTTAGCCACAATCCACTTCCATCTAGTACTTATCCTGTCATTGCTTTTGAAATACTGTTTTGATATGTTTTCCCACAACGCTCCCCTTCCAAAAAAATGCAAAAACCTTCCCCAGCTTCAACCCAGATTGGGAAAAAGAACAGACTAGCTATTTTTTAAGCTAGTAATGTGTACACAGCCTTAGTCTAACCTTAAGCAGCATAAGCAGTCGGGTTGCAAAAGTTTCCGGAGAAAATGTTCTCAATGTGTAGCTTTTTAAGCCTTTCTGGCGCCCCCTAGTGCCAGAGGATTTCCATATCAATACTCAAGTTCCTGAAAAGTGAGACAGCACATCTTATGTTAGCTGAGATGTATTTATTTTCTTTCAAAGTGGAGAGGTAATTCTCTCTCTTCCCCACCCCCAAATCCCGTCTCCCACTTTGTCTTTATGCTGTATCTGTTCCTTGCATTTCATCCCTCTTGCTCTGTACTTTTAGGAGGGAGGTAGACCATGACCGCGAAATCAGGTGCCTTTATGAAGAAATGGAGCAACAAATCAAAGCAGAAAGGGAACGGCTGCTGAGCCAGGTAAACACCTCATTCCTTCACTCTCAGGATGCCTGAGCTGGACACTGAGCTCAGTTGCTAAATCAATGAGCCACATCCTTGCAAAGTGCCTGAGATTTATTTTTATGTTGAACGTTGGAGTGAAGAAAAAAACGAAAAGCACCAATTTATCTGCTTTTTGCAGGGATCAATGAAGCATGAGAAGAGCAGCTTGCTTCAGAAAGAGCTGCAGAGCAAAGAACAAGAATTTGAGAAGATGTTGTACCACCAGAAAAAGGTGACTTGGAGGGGGTGACCCTTGTTTCTTTTGCTTGGATTTGGATTTTACCCTCCGCATTGTCTACACAGGTCCCGTTGAACTGACTGGCGGTGTCTTTTGACACCAAAGTCATCGCTTCTTATACATGTACAGGGCTAGAGCTGGATTTGGGCTCTTGTGCCTGAGATGCCACCTTCGCCCCAGCTCCTGCTGGTTCCTGTTGGTGTTACAAGAAAAACCAGTGCCAAAAGCCTTCATTGTAGGGAAACAGACAGCATTGCATACTCCGCTGTGACCAGCTGTTTCACTTCTGCAAGTCATGGGAAGCCCTGAAGTGATGAGTAGACATATGTGAGTGCCCCCCAGTATATAAGATACTTTAGGGAAGTGAAATTCTTCTCACTGTTCTCCTCCCCACCCTCCATCAGCACCAGACAGACTAGGTGCGCTGAAGGAGGAAAAACTCTCAAATCCTGTATGCATCAGCTGTCGGAGAATCAGTGCCCTGTAAGGTGGGGAGCAAGTAATTTTTTGGAGGGGCTCCTTGGCCCAGTGTAGGAGCTGCCTGTGATTATTTTATCTCTCCAGCCTTATTCTTCAGTGGCTTAAGGGACTTGTAGGAATACAATAAGAGCCCCTGCCAGATCAGGCCAAAGGCCTCTCCAGTCCAGTATGGGAAGCCCACAAGCAGGATAGGAGTGTAACACTCTCCTTCGCATGTATTCCCCAGCAACCGGTGTACAGAGACACATACTGCCTCTAATACATGCTCTACACTAGTGTTTCCCAAACTTGGGTCTCTGGCTGGTTTTGGACTACAATTCCCATCATCCCTATCTAGCAGGACCAGTGGTCAGGGTTGATGGGAATTGTAGTCCAAAAACAGCTAGAGAACCAAATTTGGGAAACACTGCTCTGTGCGCGCGCACACACACACCCCTGGCCTTCATCTCCAGTAGCCATTAGCCATTTATAGCTTTATCCTCCAGGAGTTTGTCGAATTCCCTTTTAATGGTCACCACCACCACTTCTTGTAGGAGTGAATTCCATAGTTCAGTCTTGCACTTGGTGAAGAACTTCTTTTCTGGCTGCCTTGACTCTCCCACCCTTCAGCTTCCCTGAATGATGTTGGATTCTGGTAATCTATGAGGGAGGGAAAAATTATATTCTCTTTCTCCGTGCTGTGCATTATATGAAACATCTTGCGTCATGGCCCCACCACAACCACTGTCCTTTCCCTGACAAGCTAAAAAACCCTGAGCATTGTAACCTCTTCTCATAGAGGAGTTGCTCCAGTTCACCAATAATTTGGCTTGTCCTTTTCTGCACCTTTAGATTCATCTGTACACTTGCAAAACACACAGTGTCCTCCTTTAACCTCCAAGGCCCACAACCTTAGTATGTGATGCCAGCCCCATTCATATTTTAGCTCCAAACAGGTGACTCCACCTCCACCAACTCAAGGAAGGCCATCTGCTCTGTTTGCACATGACGTTATCATCGTGACATAATATCCTCTTATAGGAATGCGGCTGAGAGATAACACTGTGTAATTTGCGTTATTGGTGCAGTTTGGGTAAGTCCAGTGTCAGTATTTGCTCTGGGTTGTTTAAAAACTAAAGAGCAGTTACGTTGGGGCAAAACAACAGAGAGGAGATTAAGAATTCCCCCATATGGGTTTTCTCAGTTCAGGGTCCCTTCCAACTCTTCAATTCTATGACTCTGAGGTTACCCACTCATGCGACCAACAGGCATATAGATTGGGACCACAAAAGACAACTTCACAATAGGGAATGAAAATGCAGCTAGGAGGTCTTTGGGGTATTGATACCATGGTAATTACTTTACCCCTGCAGTGCAGGAATCTCAGCTACAGCATCCATGACAGATGGCCTCCCAACCTCTGCTTATAAACCTCCAATTCACCACCTTCCAAGGGAATCACTTCCACTGTCGGAACAGTCCTCACTGTGAGAAATTTAATCCTGATGTTTAGTTGGAATTTCCTTTCTAGTAACTTAAATCCATTGGTTCAGGTCCTTAACATGTTATCATTATTAATGTACTTGAATGCATTGCAGCTAAAAAAACCCCCACAGATGTATTGCTCTGCTTTCTGTTTTCCTTTGTACAACTTTTATTTATTTTAACATATTCTTATTCTACCTCCCCTACAGCTCAAAGCTGCTTGCAGACACTGGCTACTGATGCCTTTGTACTTTTGGTTTTTCAGATCTGTTCATCTTGATTTCTTACATATTTTTAGCTGGAACATCAGTTACAGTCCCAGAGCTCAGAGCAGCTGGAAATGCGGGTGCAAAATGAGAGGCTGAAAATCTTGAACGACAATCTCCTGGACCAACTGGAGAGAAGCAAATGGGAGCTGGAGGTAGCCCGAGGTCACCTGCAACAGCTGCAGAAAGAAGCCCAGCTAGAGCAGGAACAGAAAAACAGGTGTGTTGGGGTGGGGCTGTAGAACATGCAATGAAAAGTGCCAGTTGCTTTTGCTGTGTAATGCTGGTTTACGCTTATTAGTTAATCAGTGGGACTACAGAATGTAGAAATGAATAGCAATAATATGTGGCTACTGCAAACTGCAGTACTGGCACTATTTTCAGGTGCCACATAATACCTGGTCTGCATTTGTAAAAAATTGATCTTTTGGTGTGGCATCACCTACATTTTTGAACTCTCTGACTATTGACATCAGGCAGGTCTCTTCACTGTACTCTTTTCAGTGCCTGCTAAAAGTGTTTTTGTTTAGGCAAGCCTTACCCAGATATGTAGACAACCACCTTGAGGTTGTTGTTGTTGTTGTTGTTTTACAATCAAGTGTTGCATTATTTTTATGAAATAAAATTAAAGGGGGTCTGTTAGTATGAACACTTTCTAGCTTCCAGGACTGAGTTAAAGGATTAGAACATGCATGATGTTTTTATTCTCTTCCACAAATCTACTTCCTATGTGGCCTTGAGATAGTAACATGATTTCTTTTCTCTCTGTCAGGGGTAGCTAACGTTGTGCCATTTAGATGTTCTTGGACTCCAGTTCCCATCAGCCCCAGTCAGCATGGACAATGAACAGGGATGATGGGAGATGGAGTCCAACGATATCTGGAAGGTAGCGCATTGGCTATCCCTGCTCTGTATAAACTAGAGATAAAAATCATTTTCCTGGTTACGTTTCCTAGAAGATGGATAGAAATGACTTGGAAAGTAAGCCCCACAGCAATTCACCATAAAAGGTCAATCCAAATCTTGTATTGTCAAAACCATAGCTCCTACTAGTCTGAGAACAAACAATGTGGCAAACAATAACACTGATCTCCACAGCAATCAGTCAGATTACTGTTCAAAATGTATGATGTCACTGCAAATTGGGCAACCTTTTGCTTTATTGAAGAGTAAATCTACTTTCTAATACTGAATTGGTCAAAACATGACTTCAGTTATAAACCGGGATAAGAATTTGGACGTAATATCTGCAGAACAATAGGATCCCAGTAGGTAGATCTTCTGCCACCTTTTCTCTGCAGATAGAAAGTCCCAAATGGTACAGGGTTGTTGTTTTTAGTATTAATAAAAAAAATCTAGAGCTAATGTCTGCATTTTAACTTAAATATGCAGTGTGCACAGTCTGCATACAGTTCAAAATACAGTGGTACCTCGGGTTAAGTACTTAATTTGTTCTGGAGGTCCTGAAACTGTTCTTAACCTGAAGCACCACTTTAGCTAATGGGGCCTCCTGCTGCCACACCGCCGCGGTGCAATTTCTGTTCTCATCCTGAAGCAAAGTTCTTAACCTGAGGTAATATTTCTGGGTTAGTGGAGTCTGTAACCTGAAGCATATGTAACCTGAAACGTATGTAACCCGAGGTACCACTGTAATAATAAAAATAATGTCAACATAGACTACTGGCTCATTTTTAACAGGGAAGGCTACTTTGGGAGGTGGAGTGATTGGGGAGCATAGCAGTGTGGTGGGTGCAAAAAGGGTGCATGTAAATTTGGTCCTCAGCTGCAATTTCTCTTGGAAATCAAGAGAATGATATTTTGCATCAACAAGTCATGGAGAGCAAGAATGGGAGTCAGCTCCTAACCCAGTGTTAATTTAATTAGTCCACCCTCTGCCCTCGATTGCTGCCAGCAGCTTTGGCATTTGGGTCATATTATCAATGTTTGCACAGGACAAAACTTGTAACCCTTAAAACATTAACCCCCCCTTCCCCTTTTAAATGTAGGGATGTATTCAGAGTCTCTAAGAATATGCAGAAAGAAAAGAAAAGCCTCCTGCGACAACTGGAACTACTCAGGTAAAGGTGGGGGCATCTTGACATCTGCTCTTCACCATCTGCCTTGAGGGCTTGTTCACGTGTATAGGGAGGTATAGAATAAAAAAGCTCCTTGGTGTTATGTCAGCTATTCAAACAAAACCAGCGGAATTGGCCAAACCCACAGGGCTGCCACTTGACTTAAGCAGCAAGCTGTACAGGGGCCAGTGCTTTGGGTGATTCAGGTCCCATGTGGCAATAGATGGTGCTAAAGTAATGTCTGAGAGCAGCACCAAAGCAATTTCTGCAGTGAAGATTTAGGCCACAGGAAGCTTCTGTGAAACCTGAATGGGGATTTGTGGTTGCGAAAAGGAGTGGTCTCTTCCCCTTTCTCACTTCTCTTTGAGGACTGTTAGTTCCCTACCACAGTATGTGTAGAGCAACTGCCACCGCTTACCTCTGTGTGTCTTTCTTTCCTTTGGAGCAGGGAGATGAACAAGAAGCTGCGAGACGAGAGAGATGCCTTTGAAGCCAAGAAGCTGGTTAGTCTGAGAAAGAAAATTCTAATCCCCCGTCGCCTCCCCTTTGCAGCTTGCTGTTGTTGCCATCACTTGGGGTCATTTCATTTACACGGGGGGCATTGACTGAGAAACCCTGTAGTGCCTGCATGTGGACTTATTATTATTATTTTTTAAAGAGAGAGCTGCGCATTTTTAAACCAGGCAATTACAAAGGGGGCAATAAGGACTGCTGGCTCCTGACTCTTCAAGAAAGCGTTTACAGTTGGGTGTCCCTCCAACCTGGAGGGGGAGAAAATCTTTTGCACATCTTGAACTTTGTACACTAAGGCTTCCATTCAGAGGAACCGTAGCTGAACCTCCATGTTTTAAGGCTGAGCCATTGCCATCTAGCTTGGAGAATGCCCAGTTACGTTCTTTCTCTTCCCACCACCACCATTCTGCAGAGTAGTCTTGAATTCATCTCTGGAACCGCCTTGCCTCATTCCAGCCTATAGTTCTTCTGCTATATCATCTTGTGCCTCTACCCTTCTAGGCTTCCATTGTCATGCAGCCCACAATTAAGAGACTGCAAACAAGATGTCTTTTTGTCTATTTCTGCCTCTTACTTTGACCTGTTCCTGGAATGGGCCTTTTCCATCCCTGGGCAGTTTGTTTTTTGTAGGAGAGATGTAATGTCCACGAAACATACCACTTAGTAGATTTGATTGTAGACTAGCGAGGCAGACAACCAAAATGTGAAGATGAGCCAAAAGACCTCTTGCTGCTGATTTCCCTGCTCCACAAATGCAGGGCAGGAATGAAGTATAAAGGGCGGGGGGGGAGTATGCTGATCAGCTATCTAGTCTTTAGTGTTGTACAAGCGTAGGGTGCAGGAATGTTTTTATTGAAGCTGCTATGTATGTTTTTGTGTAAAAAGAAGAGGGAAGTTTCCAGTGCAATGTTCTAGTCTTTGGGTATGATTGTTCAAACATCTGTGCACCTGTCTGTCCATGGGTGGCCCATCCTGTTTCACCATCTGAGGGTGAAATGAGGTATCCCTCCCCAACACACACTGCTGCTGCCTCCCCACTGAAGCCTTGCTTACCTAGGAGTGGAGAGAGAGCAACTGCAAAGCTGAGCAAGTCCGAGCTGTTCTACAAAGCTTTGCTGCAGGCCTCTCCCCTCCCACTCGCCTAGAAGAGAGCGTTCCAGCTGCAGTGGAAGTGGTAGGGCAGGTGGAGAGCCGGTGGGGCACTGCCTTTTGTGTTTCCACCACCAGAGGTGGCTTCTTTACCTTGCCTTATGAGTGGGCTGGCTCTCCGGCTGTCCCACGACTCATCTTTCCGATTACTAGGCCTGTGGCTGCATCTCCAGATAAATCTGGGGGCATGTGATCTCCATAGTCTCAATGAGATCATTAAATGCAGCAGAAGCAACAGGGAGAAACTGTCTTCTGCAGTTGCAGTTCAGAGAGAGCAATGCAGTGAGTTCTCAGATCCCATTTGGCACTTTAATGTCTTTTTTGAAGAGCATCCCTTTCATGCTGCACCATGGGATACGTTTTAGAACTCTTGAGTGGGGTCGCATTGAAAGCCATTTACAGTATGGCATGGAGGGACGTGGAGAGACTTCATATGGACATAAATTGGTTTTTCTTCACAAGTCAAAGTAGCCGCTGGATTGTCCCTTTGACAATGTGCTATCTCTGTTCTCTAGTGGAATATGGGATCCAGGCAAGCTACAATGGCTTTTGTTCTCTGATCTCTATCTCATTAAATATTAATGAGATGGAGGCTCGGTTGGATGCTGGGAAGAAAGGCACCCACCACTCTTCATGCAGATTGCATCTGATGTGGGAATTCAAAAAGAGCAAGCTTTTGATCTGCATACAGTCATTCTGCAGATTTAAAGAACTGGTTTAGTGCAGAAACAAATATAACACTGTGGACTGTGCTTGCATACAGGCAGGTTGCATGGGTTAGAGTTAGCACATCAGACTCTTGAAGTAAAATGTAAACCTTCAGTTAATGGAAAAAAGGATCCTTACTTGTTTCTATTTTTTAAACATTCCCCCTTTTTTCTGAACCTCAGTCTTGTATCAAGATGTACCAACTACAGCTATGCTGGAGGAACTGGAATGAAGGAAGTTGAGTTCTAATTTTTCTAGTAGAAAAAATACGTTGCATTATGTTCCTGTCAACTATATATGTGCGCGCGCACGCACACACACACACACACCTTGATATCTGCTTATGCTAACTGCAATTTGCAGCAATCTTTCCATTGCAAGAGTGTGCAGTAGAATAGTAAAAAAACAAAAGATGTCTGTTTGCCTTAGTTAAAAAAAGTATGGTGTTTCTAGAAGGCTTTATCTACCATCAAAGAGAATTATCAAGGAGAAAAGAAGTCTGCTGATGAAGCAGCAACTTCCTGTCTTGAAGCCTCTTGATGATGGGCCCTTTGTATATTTCTCTTTTGTCCAAGACTGCAATGCTTGTGTCTGTCTGTTGGAGCATCTGCAGGCTGTTGCTTTTCTAAGATAGAGAAGAGCACAAACTCCAATGCACACTTGGGGTATACTGGCATAATGTAGATCTGGTGAGGTTTTTGGTTTTAAAGCCTGAAGGGCCTTCCTAGCCTGGTGTTTCTGTTGTCGTTAGATTTGCAACTGTACTGTTTTTTAGCTAGAGATTCCTGGTTGGTGGTCATTACCAGTCTTCATTCACTGTGACATAATGATGGACCAATCAGGTTGCCAGAGTTTAACAGTGCATCGTTCTGTAGGAGAGATATCTGGCTTGTTCTTGCCTGCACGTTTATGGCAGTTTGCCAGCACTGCAAGACATATTTCCAAGTCTGCTTCAACATATAACAGGGAGACCTTGCAATAGTGAAGTATTAAAATCTTCTAAATATGCCAAGACTGTTTATGCATAAATACCAGCACTGGAAATCGTTTGGCACTGTGAGGGAGAAGGCCAAACTAGACGAAACATGGGAGAAATCTGAGTGGATCCATGCACACTTAAATGGGAGGAAATGCCCTGCTGGATGAAGAGCTTGAACTTTGATTTCGGTTTCTGCCAAAATCTTTAATGCTTCAGTCAGCACAGTACATAGGCAAGACAAGAGTTAAAAGGCACAGCAGGTGCCTTGCATGGCAAAGTGCAGCTAAGACATTGATCCAGCAGGTGATTTGCCCCCTGCCTCATCCTTTTGAAGAGATTGCAATGGGCATATCTGAGTTCTCAGATTGGACCAAGCAATCAGGCACTCCAGGCCTAGTCTAATTTGCTCACAGATGCTTCTAAAAGCATTTCAAAAGAGTTTTCCAACATTTACTCTAGTAAGGCCCTGAGATACTGTGCAAAACTAGGACAGTTGAAGCACAGTGTGGAAACTCTGCTGATACCTTTACAAGTTCCAAGGCTGCAGAGGACTACTCGGCTCCTTGCATCTTCTTTTCCTCTGCCAATCCCTTCAGGTCCCCAGTTGTTCATTAATCCGGATTACCACCCTAAACATTCTGAAGTTAATTTTGAAATTGATATTTGAAAACATTGTGCCTTGAGCTTCTGCATTTTGTACTGCGCTTGGTTGTACCGCTGTGTGTTATGAATGGAAACTGAGTTTCCCCAAGTCCATACATCCACAAGTTTTGGAGGGAGTTGCGTGCCATGTACAATCTGGTCCTTTGTGTGTCCCTTAATGAGAAACCTGCATGCACCTTCCAGAAGTCTAGGAACCGGTCTCCAGGTACAACCCATTCATCACGGGTCTCATTACAGTATATGTGTCTTTGGTATGTGTTTACGACAACTATTGTGATGGCAAAATACTGCAGAATTCATGCTGTTGTTGGAATGTGAGCCTGTGATCCAGACTTCCATGATAAAATGCCATGTACCCTGTTATCGTTCTCATCAAATATTTCATGCTTGTGTGTTCTGTCATTGTAATGCAATATTCCTTTATCGTCTGTTTTTAAATGCCAATGTTACACTGAGCCAATAAAAGCTGTCAAGAGCTAGAGAAACAGCCAGGAAACAATTGCCTCTTTTGTGCTCATGTTCCATTGCGTAAAGTGTTTCTTTTGTATGACTGTATTATGACAGACCATTTAGAGGTCCAATCAGATGGTTAAGACTGGGTTCTGAGTCTGCCCAAAGCACACAATAAAACCCACTTGAATGAAACAACTAATATATTTATGAATAATCTTTCGATTCATCATTCTAAACCATATTCAGCACAATAAATGTCCCATCATGATTAATCTGTTGTGAGCGATCCACACAACTTTGGAAGCAGGGTGCAGAACTGTTACATCTCTGGGATGCATTTTAAAGCTGGGAAATTGTACTTTCATCCTGAGAATGCATTCTTTGTTATTGGAATTTAAATTTTAAATATAAATAACAAGTGGGGTACTGAAGTAAGTTGAGTACTTTCTGTATGCCAACCCCAAAACTGAAAAACCTTTTAATGTCTCATCAGCCACAAAATGGCAACTCCTGGGGTAATCTTGACTAACTGTTGGAGAGCCTCTCCCAAAGTGACATGGTGGTTGTTTTTTCTTAATTTACTTAGATGACAGATTCCAAATTGCTCTCTCTAATTTTCAGGCACTTGAAAGCAAAAGACCCCTCTTGAAGAAGGGGTCAGCGATAGGCAAATACCTAGTGGAGGAGAAGCCAGTCAAACGGTCAGAGCTGAATATGTTGTGTTGTGTCCCACTGCATGCTGTCGGTCTGTAGTCACCACAGTCGGTCTGTTGGGTCACACTGTTCTCTCCCTTTCTCCTCTTCAACTGAACTAAGGTTGAGGCAATGGGTGTCCTTGGGGAATTGCCCTTTGATGAACTTGGGACTGTGGGGCACTGGTGACTGAATGAGACTGTGTAGGTGCGTAGGAGGGGGTGAGTCTAATTTTGATAACAAGGAGATTCAACATATACACACCCTCAAGTTTCCTACATTGCATGCATTTACAGGAGGGGCAGAACACCATAAGCAAAGTTATTTCACACATTTCTGAACTATGTGAGCAGCTTTGGCCTCCTTTGGGATGGTAATATATAAATATAGAGCACAACTAGATAGGCATATTGGATAATCAAGGTAGATTGCCAAAACTTATGAGCATTGCCTCTGGCCCTGTCCACACCTCCACATGTTAACTGTTCATTTGTTTTGTTCATGCATTCATTTCTGTGGGTGTTGACACTTCTTGGAGCCCCTCCAAAAGTACAATTCTCAGTGTCCCATCTAGTGGAGCCCCAAGAGGCAAAACTAATTTAAAAACCAGCATACATTTGTAGTGTGGATATGCCTTAAGGATTCTGGAACCCATTGATATACCTGCTGCTGCTCCTCTCCTCCCTCCTCACATTTTAAGACTGTTGGTTTCCTGTCCTCATCAGTGCTGACGTTACATGAAAGTGTGAGTAAGTTTTCTGTAAATGCTGATGTTGATTGTGCTGATGCTTTTGGACATTTCTTCCCATCATTTGTGTGCCTTGGCACAGGCAGCTTCCTCCAGGAAGTACTCCCCTTGTCCTGCCAAAAGATTTTTATTTGGAAGAGAAAAACTGTAAACTCTTCCTGACCAACACTGCCAGTTTGAAGCAGGGAAGAGGAATCAATTCATCTGTGGAGGAATATGCGGTTCTTAGGAAAACAGAGAGGCAGGAAACAGCAGGAAATGTTGGGAAGCCAAAGTCTCTGATGAAGACCAGCACATTCCAGAGAGAAAAGACCAACAGACCTAATTATCTTCATTTATCGCCAAGAAGGCTGCCCATTGGTAATGAAACTGTGGTGAGTCTAGCTGGCGGGGGGTGGGGAATACTAACCTCATGTATTGTCTTTTTGTTATTGAATCTTGAATCATTTGTGGGCTTTTTTGTGTATACTAAATAGCCCATCCTGACTTCAAGTTGGAGTCCACAGGTCACGCTGGGGTATAGGAAGGAAGAGTGGCATTTTAGTACCTTGGAGAGCTCCAAGTGAGCAACTTGCTCAGGAAAAAGCTGAAGCTTGACTGCAACCTTATAACTCCTATAGTCTCCTATATCCTATAGGTTACCTATATCTCCTGTCTACTTCCCTGCCTGTAACTTTTTAAAACGAGGACCTCCTGGCCTGGAGGTGAGTCCTTCTGCATCTGACAGTTGCAGGCATTGTGGAATGGGATGTACTTGGTTCCTTGCATGAATCAGGCTCATGGGAGTGGCCATGAAGTTCCCTATGTTTAGGGTCCACAGGTTGACAACCATCACCCTGGGTTCAGAATTGGTAGCCTCGTTCTGTTCTTCAGCCAGCAGTATAGCAGCCACAGCCTCAATTGATTCAGTCTTCCAAGAATCGTTTAGGGCCAGGGACATGACAATTAGCTTCCTGCACTAATATGCATATTATATTCCTAGTAGCAATTATATTTTCTAATTTTGAAGTGACACTGAACAGAAATGCTAAGGAGAAAAACAAGAAAATCCATCAGCAAAACCTTTGGAAATTTTTTGTTTACCTCCTGTATCTATTCCGGGCCAAATGTTGCAAAGCAGGTGGATATTTTTTAAATTGCTCTTCAGTCTTTGCTTCCTCCCATATGGTATAGTCTGAAAACTGTTTCAGCTAGGTGAATATTAACAGGCTCTGTACAGATATTTTGTACTCCAGGTGAGATGGGGAAAAGGCCATCACTTCACTATAGGGGTGACATGAATGACTGGATCAGGAGATCCCACATTTATTTAAACACATTATCTCCCTGATAGTGTGAGGTTAAAATTGCTGGACCATGTGAGTTTGAGTGTTACACCTGATCTTTATGCAGATGCTTTCTAGGCAGTGAGAAGTGGGGATAATATCTGAACATAGCCTCAGTCTATGCAACTGGTTGTGCAGATATGAACATGGGTATAAATTTGCTCATATTAGTGTTCGCACTGTCTGTTCCTTGCAATGTTTTAAATGCAATTTGTACCCTAGCTCTATAAACTTTTCTTCTTCCTTTTCATTCTTACCTTGATAATGGCTTTTACATCCAGGTATTGGAGCCAGCTAGTTCTTCTCCTGACCGTGTCTTCAAAGTAGTGTTTCTTGGTAATTCCGGAGTTGGCAAGAGCACCTTCATCCATCGCTTCTGCTACAATAGATTCCTGGCTGGGATCAGCTCAACTATTGGTAACTGAGGCTCCCAAACTGCAGAAAGGAGAGGCATAAGGGAATTTAAGAAGTGCTTAAGTGAGGCTTGTGCCATGTGCTCAACAACTTCTGCAGCAGAAATATTTGTGAACTACACATCCCCCTTTTCAGTACTACTGTATTCCCCATGGACATTCCACACTATGTATTCCTTTAGCGGTATAATGTTTAAAGTCAACTAACATTGAGGATTTTTAAAATGTTTTTTTTGGAATAGTTACAAATGGATAAGGACAAGCTAAGTGCTAAGATCTGACTAATTCAAATCACAACCAATCAGTCAGAGGCAAGGTTTATATATATTTTGATGCTCTAAAAGGCACAATGGCAGGACGCATGTAGTCTGTTCTTTCACCAGGCCTCTTGTCAAGTCTACTCCTTTGCCGCTGTGATCATGGGACTCTTAACTTTGCTCTGTGGCAGGTAGTGGAGGGGTAGGGGATGGATGAGAGGACTGGTGGAGGGATGGTGATAAGAGCAAATGGTGGCTACTTTCTGTCTTAGTGCCTTAAGGACGTTTAAAGGCATTAACTCCCAAATCCCTACTAACTGATAGCCATTGGGAAGACTTTTAACTTCAAATTGTGGTAGCATACCAGATGCTGCACGTGCTTTCCAAGCAGACAAGAAAATAACCTGCAGCCCACTCTGTATAAATAATGAACCTATTTGCAAACCCACCCATTTCCCCCCAGCCCTGACCGTCTACTGTTTTCAATAGCACTTTTACTTTGTGATTATGCTTTACAGACTTTTCTGTGGTGCCTTCTTCGCAACAGTACTGCGAAGGAGTTCATTGCCCCCCTTTAACTGCTGGGAACTGCGGCCAAGGGTGCCCCGTCCCAAGCCCAAAGTCATAAAAGGGGTCAAGCAGACATGCTTAACCTGGACTCCCAGATGCAAAGTCCAACTCTGCCCACTGTGCTATCCTGGCCTTAGGCTCCTCTTGTTTCTCCTGCAGGCGTTGATTACCAGGTGAAGAGCTTGATGGTTGACAACACACAGGTGGTTTTGCAGCTATGGGATACAGCTGGGCAGGAAAGGTAAAGGATTTTGTGAGATTTAGATCAGTAAATAGCCCTAAAAGCACACAGTGATAATATGAGGAGACTTGAACCTTCTTCCAAAATTTCCAGATGTTCTTGAACACTAACAGCAATAACTGACTAGTGTAAAACTTCACATATCCAGTACTCTTTTTTTGCATGCAAGACTCTTAGAATCTGGCCACTTACAGTTTTCTTTATATAAATGGAAGTACTGTATGCTGCTCACAAACGTGTAGCAAGTCCTCATGACCAAGGTATGAGTGGGCATTTAAAATAAAACTTCTCTTGGGGAGAGAGCAATTTGAAGCAGAGGGGTGGGTTGGGGGGTCAGGGGAGAAGCAGCTTGAGGAAATATTTTGGACCCAAGGAGTGGGCAAGGCAAAAGGTTGCGTGCTGCTTCCCCTCTTCCAGCACTTATTTCCTCCAAAGTTCCCCCTTATGAAACTGCTGTTTTCTTATACACATTTGTCATGTTTAGACAAGCCCTCTAGCCTAGGGTTACCAGACATCCCCGGTTCCTGGGGACAGTCCCTGGATTTGCAAATCTGTCCCCGGGAAACGTGGCAGCGGCAGCCTCAGCAGCCCAGAGCCAGCCTGGTAGCGCAGTTGATTCTGGCTGGCTTCAGGAGCTGCTCGCTGCCGTGGTGCCCGCCATTTTTCCTTGCTGGAAGTCCCCATATGATGTGTCTTGTGTGCCACCGCCACTGCTGAAGGAGAACCGGGGACATCCGACAGTACAGATCTCCTTCCCCCTTTGTTTTGACTGATGGGGGAGGCTTGGGAGTTGTGGGCGGCTGGCTGTTGCCCAGTTTTTTAAAAACTGCGCATTTATGTTACACAGGGTGCGAAAGAAGGGCTTTGCACCTTTATACAATATGCATGTGTGCTTGGGCCCAGGGTCTTTTGCCTCACCATCCCCACTACTGACTCCTTGTTGCTACTCAGCTTAAAAAAAAAAAAAGTGTCCCCGAATTCATTGAAAAGAATCTGGTAACCATACTCTAGCCTCCTTTCTCGCTGGCATGCTAACTTTCTACTTGCAGTGAGTTTTTTGTTGGGGGAGGGGGTTAGAATTCAACGTGTATCCTTCCACCTACTTTTCTGAAATGGCACACTCTAAGCAGCTGAGAGAAGGGGGAAGAGTAGAGACACACAACTCTACAGGAAATGCAATGGGGACAACCCGGGTCAACATCCAGACCCTTCTTTGCCTAAGTGGCTATATCCTACCTTTCAACTAAATAATTATTTAAAGGGAGAGCAGCGACCCTGCTCAAAAATGTGTGTAGAGGAATATTTACATTAGTTTTGCAGCTGCCTGCTGCAGTGTAAAACTCAGTGGTGACTCATTAGCTGTTGCTGTGATTCAGCGAGATGGGAATAAACCAGGAAGAAAAACAACCTTGATGTATGAGAGATGACAATGAGTGTCAAATGCAGGCCCATGCCATTGAGACAGTCTTTCCTTTTTAAAACCTGTTTTCTCCACCCTTGTTTTAAAGCAGAATCTTCTCTATCTCCAAAGTGAACACAAGGGTCCTTCTTCTTATGGGTGCACCTCTTCCAAGTTAAGGGTGCTTTATGACAGTCATGCCAGCGGCTGTAGTACTTCCACTGATGAGAGGCTTGCTAAAATTGTGCTCCTGGTTTCTATCCAAGCCCCTTAGGACTGTGCCGTTCCTTGTGCTCTTTGCTGCTGGTGGGAGGGGGGAGAGAAACAGCAGGATCAGTCCAGATGACACAGCAACTGTTGCACAAGACCAACTACAGTGGTGCCAAACCTCAATGCTAGGAGGTACACAGGATGCTGCCTTTTGCCAGGTCACACTGTTTGCATAGCTAGCTGAGTATTGCCTATGGCAGGAGTTGCCAACCTTTTTTCAACCTCTGGGAACATTTCAAACTGGAGAAACTGTTGTGGGCACACACCACAACCTATTATATTGGCTGCAATCAAATGCTGTCTTCAAGTCTAATTTCAACAGGGGAAAAGGTTATTGTAGATGCACTCAGTCATCACATAGGGGGCCCCTGGTCTACTCTTGACTGGCAATAGCTCCCCAGAGTTTCAAGTAGATGTCTGATCTTTAACAGGAAATGAAACAAAACATACTAGAAAATGCACCTAGGAACTTCTGCCTGCAAAGAACACATTCTGCTGTTGAGTTATGGCCCCTCTCAAAACTTTTCCTTTGTGATACCTCCTGTTTTGGCACAAGCACTGCATGGGAAGCTGTTGTCAGCATGTAACCCAATACCTTACCCAGTTGGAAATCCTCAGTTCTTCCAGGCTTCTTCTATGGAGGCCTCAGCCTTCCAAAGGAAACGACTGGAATGTGCTCCATACACCATTTTGTAAGTGGAGACAAGCCTCCATTTTGAGCTGTTAGCAATAAGAAGGCCACACAGAGGGAGTCCAAATCTAGGTTCAGTTAAGAGTAGTGGAATGTCTGCCAAGATACGAATGCATTTAAGGTTCTCAGATTTTGTTTGGCATTAGATTCCAGAGTATTACCAAGCAGTATTTCCGGAGAGTGGATGGCATCCTGGTCATGTATGACGTCACAGCAGAGTGCTCCTTCATGGCGGTCCGAAACTGGATGAGTTGTATCCAGGTCAGAATAAACTTGGAAGGGAACACAGATAACTTGGTCTTTACTGTCCATACCTCCTTTTTTTGATACTGCGGTACTAGCAAATGGTGTCTGTGTGTGGACACACCCCATTCAAGCCACCCAGAGGAAGAAAGTATGGTCCTCCTTACAGCAACAGTCTGGCCCAAGGAGTCTTGATAAGAGGGCAACAAATTTGTGGTGGTGAGAGCTGGAAATCTTGTGGAGCTTTAGGGCAGAGGGAGCATGTGCAGTTAGCCTATTCGTCTACCTGGAGAAAGGTGTAGGAGGAATCCCTGTTGGCTCTAACCTGAGTAAAGGAGAGAGCTAATTGAGAAAGAAAAGGGTGCTAGCAAAATAATCTTTCCTTAAATTGAGCCTTTTCTGCTTGGCAGGTAGCCTAACCTTAACAATACTCAGGTATTGACTTTAATTATAGTTGAAGCATGCCAAAAAATATTGAGGCAAAGCATTAACTTGACTCTTCTTTAAATAAAAAATATGATAGGTTTATCCCCAATGTCCCTTATTCAGAACATGCAAATTATTCAGATCCCTAAGAGCACAAATCGGATTGAACCACCTTAATATTTCTTCTCAAAATGAAAGGCACTATGTAAGTTATTCTAATAATCATAATCTTTATGGATCACCATTTAACTAGGTTCTAGAACCATGCTTAGCTATTGTCTAAACTGACAATGGTCAGGTGTTCTCTAAGTACCCTTATACTTGAGTGCAGGAATTAGCCTCTCCTTAATTATGAGCACACGCTTCATTGAGCAATGTCTTATGTCTTCTTTTCTTCAGGATGGAATGGAAGATGGTGCAGTGATATTTCTTGTTGGAAACAAAATGGATACAGCAGACAAAGAGGAACCCAAAGTCCCCAGGGCTGAGGGGGAAAGGCTGGCAAAGGTCTGGTTCTCTGTATCTCCCTTTCCTCCTTACACCAATCTCCTTCACTGCTAACAAACTTTATGGCATCTTCCATAACTGATGATAATATTTGGAAATACTTAAGGGAGTTGTTCTGAGCATGAAAATATTTTCTAGGATGGTTCTATACAGAAGGAAGTGAATAAATATTTCAAAGCCTTGGGAAAAGTCGATCATAAGGCATCACTTTGGAAGCCAGTCTCCTTGCAATCTCAGAGTAAACCTGTTAGGGTTAAGCGTTGGTGACACTGGGAGGTAAATTAATGTGTTTTACAGACATAACAGGACAGTATGAGAATCAGGTATGTGAGAAGTAGGGACCTGGAGGAAAATTCATGCTGCTCAGGGATGTGTGTGAATTACCTCTGTGCCTCAAGCATTCCTGCGCAAACATTCTTCCAGTAAACTTATTCAAACCTTAGAATGTTACCTTGGGCTTTTGAAGGTTTTGTGAATGGCCCCCAACAAAAAGAACTCAATGTGAGTGAGCTTTGACTCACATAAATTAGGTACCTCATTGAAAATTAGATAGCAAGGAACCTTTAAGAAGACAGAGTATCTTCAGTGTTCAGGAAGGTTAACCTTGAATATATTAATGGGTATAGCAAGAAAGGGGGGAAATGTTATTCCAGTGGCAGACTCTGACAATTGTTGATTGAAGTTACTTTCTGCCTTCTTTCCCTCTTTTTGCAGGAATATAAAGCTGTCTTCTATGAGTGCAGTGCAAGGACTGGCTATAACATTCAGGAGCCCATGCTGCACATGGCAAGGTCTGTGCAAACAGTTCCCATAAAACTGGAAAAAGAGCAGAAGCCACTCATCCAGTTGCAGCAAAGTTGCTAGGCTTGGTCCTGGTTAAGCAGCAACAGATGACAAAACATAGCAGTGTGTTGGTTCCAGTTAAACAGTAAGAGTCCAGTGGGCGGAGATAACTTCTTCCTCCGTGTTTTGCAGTTGCCTTGTGTGCTTTCAGCACTGCCACACTGCAAATGTTAGTTAAACTCCATTTATCACAGGGTGGATACTACGTAGGATTATATATTAAAGACTGCAAGATGCTCAGATACCATACAGCAGGGCTGGGGAACATGTGGCTCTCAAGATGCTGTTGGATCCCATCAGCCCCAGCCAGCATGGCCAATGGTCAGGAACAATGGGAGCTGGGGGTCCAGTAACATCTAGAGGCCTTCAGGTTAACAACTCCTGCCACAGAGCTTCACCACCACAATCTCACAAGGCAGAATGTTAGCACTTCATTTTAGTGTTTGGGGAATGGAAGGTTTGTGGGGGAGGTCTATGGCCAATGTAATGATTACATAAGTTCTTAATTCTTTGCTAAGGTTCTGTCTCTTGTTTTTCCCTTGGGAGTTCCTGACAGGAGCAGATCTATGCTGGAGATCTGTTCTGTTGGAAGTGCTGCCTTCCCCTGCCACTGCTGCCACTCCCACTCCCACTGCCACCACAATACCGGCTGCTGCCACCATTGCCTGCACAGCCCACTCTGCTGCCACTGCATACCCTACCACATCTGGCACTAGTGGAGAAGCAGCAGCACCATTGGTGCTGATTCAGTGAGATCTCACCGAAAATCGTGTGAGATCTTGTATACTCCACAAGATCTTGCGTGTTTTCAGGCAAGATCTTGCCAGTGTCTGAAATTGACACTGATGGCGGAAGCACTTCTCCGCTGCTGGCAGAGGCGGCAGGCAGGCAGGGTGCATGGGGGGGTTGCCTCAGGGGGCTGCTGCTGCCTGAGGTAGCACCCTCACCCTGTCTACTGGCTGAGCCAGCTCTGCCTGTTGGGTTAACTTGCAGATTCCCCAGAAAGGTCAGTTTCTCTCAGCAGATATCACATATTAACTCATAAGCCAGTTTGAGAATACTTGAATTCAAGATGATGTGCAGTCCAAACAAATACATGCACACTCTGAAGTATGTCCCATTAAGTTCAGGAGGAATTGCTCCCAAATAAGTTGCGAAAGATGCACTTTGATTTGAATTTGATAATCATGTTGCCTTGGATGCTTTAAGGTACACTGGAAGTCTCTGAAGGAGCAGTGAGCTTAGTCTGGCTTTTTGGATTGTCCGTGTGATGCGAGAGTACTCATCCTTTCATGCTGAGATAATGTATGCTTCTTCCTCCCTCAATTTGAGATTAGTGCCAAGATTTGTCTGTCTCTTACTTAACTCCTTCCCTTCTGTGCTGACCTCCTATTTTGTGTGTGTTGCAGACTCCTGACAGCACATGAGGACAAGCAGAGAGAGCAGGCATTGCACCTGGAGGAGTACAACAAGAGGAAGGGATGCTGTTTGTAACAGAATCGTTCAGGGATATGTTAGAAAATAAAGAACAGCCTAAAGCACAGAGTTGGCTGCCTCCCTGCAAGAAGATAGGGATAACTGTGATTGAACTGAAGGAAGATTCAAGGTTTTTTTTTTAAAAAAGAAAAGAGTGCTGTATCAAAGTGACATGACATCTTTTGCAGCTGCAAATCGCTCCTGATATTTCTGCAATGCTTCAGGGAAGTGCTTCAAATCACAGCTCATAGATCCAGCATTATTGGCTTACCTATAAAACCATCCAAGCTACTTCACAGGGTCTCAAGACTACACTCAGAAACAATGTGATTTATGCAAGTGTAAGTTATTGCAATGGAGTCGTGCAACAATAAAGTGATAATGACTTGACTGGAGTGGAGTGGTACCAGCTTTCTGCTATAGTCTCACTGCACCAAAAGCATCAATTCCTTGCCTTCATCTTCCCTTCTCTTCCTGGTTCTGCCTGAAGCACTTCCCTCCTGCATGGCAGGGCTACCTCTGGAGATGATCGTAAGTCATGAGCTCAGGAACATGAGAAGAGCCTTCTGGATCAGGTCTGGTGAGGCATGCTGTTCTCACAGTGACCAACTAGACAGACCCCCGTGGAAAACATCCAGGCAGGGCATGAGTACAACAGCACTCTGCCCACATGGGATTCTAGCAACTGGTATGCAGTGGCATAATGCCTCTGACCGTGGAGGTAGAACCTAGCCATCATGGCTAGTAGCCATAGATGCCTTATTCTCTATTAATTTGCCAAATTCTTTTTTAAAGCCATCCAAGTTGGTAGCCATCGCTACCTCCTGTGGGAGCTTACCAATAGGATACCTGCGTATTGTGAATGGTTTCCTGCCCAGCTACATGTGTTAATACAATCATCTCAGTAATTATCACCACTCCGCTGTGTGTGCCTGTTGTGTTTAAGCTGTAATTCTCACCGACTGCGGTTTGCAGCTCACTGCTGTTCAACTTCCACCCTACATTTTTCTCATTTATTTATTTAAGATTTCACTTCATACACCCAACAAAGGGTGCTTGAGTCCACAAAAGCATACACTAGTGATGGGGAATCTGGTACCCTCCAGACGTCATTGCACCCCAACTAACACCAGCCCAGCCGGCCTGTCCAAAGGTCAGAGATGATGGGAACTGGAACTCCAGCAACATAGTAAAAATAAAAATAAAAATTTTATTATTGATACCCCACCCATCTGGCTGTGTTGCCACTGACTCCCCATCCTGACGTACCATGTAGTATTGTAAATGTGTTACATCTGTTTAAGCTGGTCAAAGACTCAGATTGCTAATAAAAGTAGGCTCCCCAATAATACTGATAAAGAGCAGTGAAGGAATGGAAATGTATACATAACAGGTGGACCAGGAATAATACCATTTTACTTAATTCAGTTGCTACCAAGGCTTGACCGAAGCTATAGATCTAAGCAAAATGGGCCTCTAGAGTTAGCAAAATCAGCCCTTAGTTCTGTCTGTTATTTGGAAACATTTCAATTAATGCTGTATTGTGATAAACATGCAATAATCCAATTGGATTTAAAGATAGCTGTGTGTGTAAACGGGGAAGCTCTTCCATGCATTGTTTGCTGCAGCACTGTTCTCTGGAGGGTGGGTGGGGTCATGGGTATAGTCAGGATTTTTGTTAGAGGGGGGCAGGACTTTGTTAGGGGGGGCTGAACTGATGTGATTGGTCGGTTAAGTATTCCTATTGTTTTACTTTTTCTAGGGCCTATGCCCATGGGTGAAGTGAAGAGGGTCCCCCCCCCCCCCGCCTAAGCAGAATGAAATGCCCTTGAGGGTAGTTTCTGTTCTTGACATGCTGCTGTATATACACACATTATAGATTGGAGGCCCTTACTTGCTGTTCATTCAAGTGAACACACGGTGGTGCTGTGTCATAACAACAACAGCTATCCAAGATGTCAGCAAAGGCGTGATAATATATTTGGAATGTGTGAAGGCCTTAAAGGGAAATTCAGGTGCCTATTCCTTTGCCAATCTGGGGCCCTCCAGCAGCGCTGGCAGAAGCTGACGGGAGTTGTAGTCCAAAAACGCTGGAAGACAGCAGGTTAGCGAAGGCTGCTCCACACACTTTACAATGTGACTGCATTTAGGGCAAAATTAATTGATTAATCCAGTGGGCTGTGCACCCTACCCTGTTTTAATATGCCTAATTTTATGTATGGCATCAAGTTTATCCTGCCCTTCTTTTAAATAAAAATCAAGGCAGCATAGAAATGGCTTAAAGCCCAATACATATGCAATTTTTTCACACAGCGGGCCCTACTAGAGTGTCCAAGGAAGGACGGAGAGTTTTTTAGTATATTGTACCCATGGGAGCCAACTGCTAGGGGTCGAGGGGTCTTTGCCCCCCAATAAAATATTTGAGGAGGCTGCCCCCCCCAGTTGATGGGCATTGCCATTCAAATGGTGTGTGTGCCTCACGTCGTGTGATTACACAGGGCGGGGCTTACCTGTGCCCCTCCCCCATATTTTATTCAAGTTGGCACCCTTGATTGTACCCACCCAGGCTAATGACAGTGATGGCACCCTCACTACCCTTGTGAAGGAGAGCACATGAGTTGTACCCAGCCACATTGTCCCATTAGTACAAGGGCTCCTTCTGCCTGTTCAATGGGACGTTCTCCCTCTGTGAGCCCCCAAATCTCTTCAGGTGGTTCCCTAACCCCCTGGAGCAGCATGGAGGGGGGCATGGGAGCAACCAGAATGCATGCCACCCCTTATTGGGGAAAGTTAGGCCTTTCCTCCCCCGGATGAGTCACTTGCCTAACCCTCCCTCACAGGCTTTTGTGGAAATAAAAGGGAGAAAGGAGAGAGAACCACGCATGCTTGGAGGTCCTTGGAAAAAAGAAGATATACGTGCAAAGAACCAGAAGTGGGATGGGGAGGCTTTTTCAGCCATTTTGGACAAGCTTTCAAGTGCTGCATGCCAGAGATGGGTGGGGCCAGAGGCAAAAGTAGGAGGAGCAGCAAACGTCAGATATTAATTTTGTGCAGTAAATTTGTTTCTACACACAATCCTCTGTCTTCCTTCCAGAGAAATGAGAGGCTAAAGACACATTCTTATTCATTTATTGTATTAATTATTAAATTTATATACTGTCCATCATAAAATCCCAGGGCGGTTCACAGAATAAAATGCAGATAAAAACAAGTAAATGAAACAAAACAGGAAAACAATACCCCCCCTTCCCACAGACACATTTAAAAGGCTGTAGCATATTAATCAGCCAAAGGCCTGGTTTAAGAGGAACATTTTTGCCTGGCGCTTAAAAATATATAATGAAGGCGCCAGGCAAACCACCTTGGGGAGAGTGTTCCACAAACGGGGAGCCAATACAGAAAAGGCCTGTTCTCGTGTTGCCACCTTCATGTGGCGAAGGTATATGAAGAAGGGCCTCAGATGATGAACGCAGAGTCCGGGACGGCAGCAAGAACACTTGGGGTGCAAAGCTGAGGGAGGGCATGTCCTGAAGAAGCAGGTTTCCAATAAAGAAGCATTTGGACCCCATTTGTTAGGTTTCCTATCCCTGTAATAATCAACCATATAAATAATACAATGCAGAAGAGGATCCCAGCAATACAATCTTCACAGCCCAGGCTGATCCATGTCAGTCATGAACTGGCAGGAGCCAGTGCAGACTGAAGTATTTCATGCACCTAGAGTATAAGTGCTGGGAAAGCTCTCTTTAAAAAAAAAAGCCCCATCACTTGTAGCTGAGCTTTATATTTGGGAAAGTTACTTAGAGCATTAGCTATTAACATTTCAGTCTTGGTTTTAAGATATTTCCTCAAGTCTGCCCTGTTTGTAAATGTGTTGCATGCATTGCGGAGGTTGGAGGTGGGGGGGGGGAGGAGTGGAGGTGAAAGCAGAAGCTGCTCCTTTGATTTGCCATGTAAAGAAAGAGTTTCAGTTTTCCCTCAGAAATGACTCAGATTCCTGTGAAGTTGGTCCAGCGTTGTTCTTACATTTCCTAAGGAGCTCTGAGGTAGACCAAAAGCTTTCTGAGTCAAGCAGCTGTACTGTACAAGGGTGAGGCATGTCCCCCCCCTTCAAATAATTCTGTCAGGTGTTTGGAAGCCTGGCACTAAGGGAAATGGAATTTGTGACTCTCAGTACAGGTAATGTGTCCCCCACCCCTCCTGACTCTTTCATCGCTTCCAAAAAAGGAAGTGTTACACCCAATTAGCATAAGAATTACCTCACATAGATTCGATCTCTCCTCTTTCACTGTCAGTAGAGATGGCGCATTTAACAACCAGGGGCTGGTGTAAGACATTTTGCTGCCTGAGGCAGAACAGTAAGCACCATGCTCACCCTGAGTCAAGCACCCAAGACTTACCAGCATATTTTTGCACCAGAGGAAGAAAATCCCTCAAATGCCTTTCCCTGGGAGTAACAACACAATAACAAAAAATAAAATATTTTTTTCTGCCCTTTTTGTGACACCCAAAATCTGCTTCCTGAGGCAATCGCTTCAATTTGCCTAATGATAGGACTGATAGCACACAAAAGGTCATTAATCCTGGGTCACATAAAACATTTTCATAACCGATAACTGCAAAATCAAGTGTTGATTTTAAGGTGTGTATGCAACATTACAAATTGGGAACAGTACATAGTGGGGAAATGGCATTTAAATTAAACTAAAACTAAGCACTATAGATAGATTTAGATGTTGCCAGTTAGATACTGACAGATATCAGACTGACTTCCTTTAAAAAATAAGGAAAGAAAGCTAAGAGGCTGGGCCTCCTGTCAGGGGGAGGAGAGAATAAACTGGAAAATGAACTAAAAAATGTTCTAAGTTCCACCCCAGAATGCATCTACGGTAATTCATATTTAGATCACTTAGCAATTATGGGAAGTACTTTCAGGTTTAGTTCAGAGACTTTTGAATTAGTTCAGTGAATTTTGATCAACTGAACTTTTCCATTCCAAGCAGAGGCATTTAAGTCATATCCAGTTTGGCGCTCAGGCTTTATTTACAATAATGCACTGAAAATACATTCCCTCTGGACAATATTAAATAGGAAAATGATGACTCACTTCCAATTCTTTTGGATGCTTTTAGCAGGGGAAATGTTTTTTCTATGACTATCACATCCCGTCATGCCTAGTGCCCGACAGTATTGTTATAGGAGACACTGTGTTGAAGTAGGGGAGTCAGTGAGACAAATACATAGGCTCAATAGTCATTAGTGATTTATTACAACACACTTATACCAGTAGATCATCTGTTGCTGGAAGCCAGAGGATTAAGGACTAAAATGAAGCAAGTGCTGTAATGTGCATGTGTATTAATGCACCCAAAATTATGGCGCTTCCACAGTTAGTTGCTTATTCTTTCCTAACCTGGTGCAGGAGGCAGTGGAGGACAGAGGTGCCTGACGTGCTCTGGTCCATGGGGTCACGAAGAGTCGGACACGACTAAACGACTAAACAACAACAACAACAACCTGGTGCCTTCTAGGTGTTTCCGATTACAACTGTGATTTTTTTTTTAAAAAAAGAAATGTGAACATTGAGAAAATAGCGACTCACTACTGCTTTGGGACGCCTACTGCAACGCCTGTTGAAATCAGAACAGCAAATCTCACAGGGAGTCTTGACGATGTGCTGTCACTCTCAGTGGGAATTTTTTGCACGTGTATTTTACATATTTTAAGATAGATTTGCTTCTTAGAGTCTATGGGGAAATGGTACCAAAAATATGTAAAATGTATTTTAAGTACATTTTACGCACAATTTTGCCTAAGACTCTAGGGGGGGATTGAACATAAAATACATTAAAGGTACTATAGGTGCACTCTAAGTCTCCTAAAGAAAAATATGACATCAGAAATGGCAATATTTAGAAACCAGCAGGCAAATATTTCAACCTGTCAGGACACACTGCTACTATCCTTAAGATGGCCTCCCACAAAGAAATTAAACTTTGGAAGGAGGATCCAATGTGAAATTGCTGAATTACAACTTATCAAGAAGTTCTGTTCTATTAATTTGGGTCTGAATCGAGACAATGGTTTTCGGCTCCTGCTGCTGTGAAGCCTGATTTGCTTATCTCAAGCTCTTGTTATGTAGCCTTCTTTACCTATGGGTCTGGGTCCAGTCACCTCGTACCCTCGCCAGGAGCATGAAGGAGTTAAGCAACGCCAGGGTGTGATTCCACAGAGAAAAAGTTTATTCGGTTACTGCGCAGCAGGTACCAGCGGAATTGCTTCCAAAGTCTGGCACACACATACAGGTCATGCAAAGCCTTTTATACATTTGTTTCCCCGCCCTGTTCAGCCCCCTGAGCCTATCCCATTCATGTGTCCAGCCCCCCACGTACTGACTGTGCTCGTGCCCAAGTCATGTACACCGCATGCTCAGGGTGTGCCCACCGCATGCTCAGGGTGTGCTTATCAGCAGGGAAGCTCGTGACTGTGGTTAGTACTGTGCATGTGAGGAGCGTGATCACCGCCTGGGCTTACTTGGGCCTTGGGCCTGTCTCATCAGGGCTGTTGTGATAAGATAAGAACAGGGCCTCTTTCTCCTTCATTAGAAGGGGGCCTCTTTCTCCTTCAGTTACAGAGTGTACTTTTTGCATTCCATTGCCATTTGACTCCAACATCTGATGGAGAAAACTCTTCTACTTTGAGAAAGCTTATGTGAAACGTGCTAGTTTTAAGGTGCCTCAGGAATCTTTGTTGTAGTTGGTTGAAGAGTACTGTATAAAACTTTGGAAGGTGTTAGCCACTTTGTGATTGAAACTTTATAGAAGAAACTCACAAGTGTCTCAATTCAGGAAAAGCTTTGCCAATTGACTCTGCTGAATGTACAAACCGGACCATACACACATGTGTAAGCATATTTATCACAGTGGGCAGGATCCTCATAGAAAGGGAAACAGAAGTTGCATTTTACCATGGACAAAATAGTGTGGTTTATGTGCTGAGAAAATACATACCTGCAGCAACAGAAGCATCACAAGGAAGAAGGTTAATTGTAGTCCTCAAACAATATATGATTTAAGACTTGCATATTTTACTGTACTAGTAATTAATGGCGATTGTCTGGCGCAATTTTGCAGATCAAAGAATTTCCCAACCTTGGTGCAACCTCTTCAAAATCAATAAGAGTTGGATGTGCCTTAAAGCTGCATGGGATTGCAGCTTCTAGTAATTTAAAATAATGGTACCATCCCTTCTGTTCCACACGAATTCCAGTGAGCATTTGTGTGATTTTATGGTTTTGCCACATTTTTTTTTGTCTGCTGTAATGTTTTTACTGCTATTTTAAATGTTAGAATTTAAATGTGTTTCATGTGAGTTGCTGTAACTCACCTTGGGAGGGTATATGCACCCTAAAGAGATGGGTTTAGAAAGCAATTTAAAAAATAATCGACATGGCCACGCCCTTGGGGAATCCAGAGTACAGGAATAATCCGCCTCCATTCAGAATCGTCGCTCCTACAATCCTGATTGAGGACTAGGATTCAAACTTTCTCTGCCCCGCCTAACTGAAGGGCAATGATCGCCTTCTCCCGCTAGGCGTCCCAGACTCGTCGCAGAGAAAGATCAGAGTTTATTCAAACAGTTAAAAATATTCCATTAGCCGCAGGGGCCGAGAACTGGGAGGGGTCTGCGGAGTAGTAGCGGCTTGCTTTGCATTCTCGCTCGCCGCGCTGTCTGGAAACGGATTCTCGCCGAGAACAGAGAAGACCACCGTCATCGCGAGGAAAAAGGTCTGCGCCGGCTCTGGGGCCCGGGGGTTTGTTGGATCGTGCGCGCACGAGGTTGCTTGCGTGTAAGGGAAGGAAAGCAAGCAAGTGGCCAGAAAGAGGGGAGGGGAGGCGGGCGGCGGCGGAAATCCATCCACCTGGAGCTGCAACAAAGGCAACCCTCGCGCTGTGGCCTTGAAGCCGGGAGCAAGGAAAGCGGGCTTGCTTTTGCAAGGTTGTTTGGGCAGGTTTGAATCTTTCTGGAGTTGAGCGAGGAGGAGGGGAGCAAATGTGGGCGCGCGAGGCCCGCAAAGTTAGTGAAAGCGGCTTTGGTGAGAGTGCGAGGGATGGGAGACTTCTCTTCCTCTTTGCGCAGGTCTTGGGAAGCCAAGATGCCTTTTGCTTCGAGGAGGAGGAGGGTGGGCGGTGCAGGAGCGCCGAAAGGGGCCCCTCGGTTGGGGTCAGGCTTGCAAAGGGCGGCGCGGGGAGAAGAAGGTACGAGGCCCACGAAGGTGAATGTTGTTTTGATCTCCGAGGGAGTGAGCTCGAGCTTGGTGTGTGAGGGGGAGATAGCAGAGGGTAGAGTTCCTCTTGCTTTGAAACGCATGGGTGGCTCAAATTCCTCTCTCAAGACCGCATTTTTTCCCGTTTATTTCATAACATTTTTCTTAACCACCCCTTCATCATGAGAATCCAAGGGTGTGGAGTGCAGAAAGTGTGACAACTATTTATAAATGCAGTGTAACAAAAACAGAACAAGCCACAAGATTAAAAGGGCAAGCTGGAAATGCCAACTAAGGAACCCAAACAGTTCTGACTAAAAATTCAGACTAGTATCTTGATGTTTCTTTAGCATGAAACCTAAAGGATACAGTTGGCTTATATACACTTAAATGTTTTCTTTCTGTTTAAAATAAAACTTTCTGCCTACATCCTGGCCATCACAATAATTAAGGAAAAGCATATGAAAAGAATGAACTTCTGTACAGCAGGATTCTGCAACACAGTCAGTTTCAATCTGTCTAATCTGGACCCTTCCTCCTTCTGGATAGCTGTGATAATAGTGAAGAAAATGTGGAAAACCGTCTAAAAGTATATGGCTTCAGAGGGAAGTTTTTGCTATCTGGACTTTAGGCTTAACTGTGTAGGCACACCTTCAAAGAGTTCATTTCCTGTGCTGTGGGGTTTTTGGTTCATCCAGTGCCTGGATTAAGGGCTCAGCCATTGGGAATCCAAGCCTTACTTAGGTCAACAAGGTTGGGGCAAACAGTCAGCTGGAAATGATTTTGCTTGGGTGGAATAACATTGAGTACATGTGAGAGATTTCAGAGACTTCACCCATCATTGCCCACCATATATATATGCACATTTGGCAAAAACCAGTTGGAGTAGAGTACATAGCAGGGCAGAAAAGAAATGAATATGTATTCCAGAGAGATGGCTCTCTATGCTACTTTTAAATCTGTTTAATGCATCATTTCATTTGCTGTCTAACTTTTTTTTAAAAAAAAAATTAAAATGTACATGAAATGTCAGATTAAAAAAAATCAAATACATTTTACTATTCAGGGTTATTTACTGGATTACAGTAGGGATTGCATAAGGCCCTTTATCTTGAAGCGTTTCTCAGGGGCAAAAGTTTTGTTTCAGAACCCATCACCAGCAATATAAGTTCAGTATTGAACATGCAAGAAAACTTTGCAGGGGCTCCATGCGATCTGCCTGTTTTAACTCTGCACCTGTCTGACTACTCTTGACTTCTGAAGGCAGTTATGCACATGATGAGGAAGCATGAGTGAGCCATTTTACCACCATAACATGGGAAGAAGGTACTTGGACATCTTTCTCTGTGGTGAGACAAATGCAGAAATAGTTCATATGCATCTTTTCTGAGGCGTGATGCAGGTTACCCCTACACATGTAGCAGCGGAAGCAGGCAATGATAAAGCACTTGTTCACTTCCTCCCATGATATTTCTGGGAACTATATTTCACTACATTTTCTAAAGAACTGTAAATGTGAATGGTATAGAGCAAAGTTGAGGAACCTGCAGTCCTTCAGATGTTGGGCTCCCAACTTCCATCAGCCCCAACTGATGCCTGAGAATGATGGACATTGTAATCCAACAGTATCTGGAGAGTGACCTCCCCTGATACAGGCCTTTGAGAGTCCCCTTTGGGCTCCAGAAGCAGCTAATGCTGTTTCCTTTCATTCTTGTGGAAACACCCTCCCTCCTCAATAATGGGAAGACATTATAGTAAAAGGAGCTTTTTCTTGCAGTGCTGCATTACACCACAGTGCCAGGCTGGCTAGGGCATCCAGGAAGCTGCACCTCTTAATTATCTAATGGATTGTACAATCTTGCACGGTCTGGGGTGGGGCAGGGCATATGCTTCTTGCGGGTGTATCATTTGTTTCGATTCTCAGTTGACTGAGGAGGGTATGTGTTTATCTGCGTGTTTCTATGTGTGTGCAGGCCATGATGGAGGAAAGGAGAGGGTTGTGGCCTAGCAGGGAAAGGGGCAAATGGTGTGGCTCAGGCAACTGTGAGGGAAAAATGAAAAAAGAAGAGAGGACTGCAAAGGGCAGTTGGACCTGTAGGCAGTTCTGGGCAACTGTATCTAGGATCTTAGAACAAACAAAGGCAAAAAGCTGCAGGCTGCAGTGGAATTTCCTGGCATTGACTGTCAAGGGCTGGAACCGAGCCTTAAAGGAGCAAAGTCCATTTTTTAAACAATGCAGGCCATAAGAAAGTCAAGTTTACCTGAGTTTGGAGTGAAATACTGTAATGAATCAGATTCTGGGTCTTGCATTGCAGCAAGGGTTCTAAGGTGAGAGATGTCTGGAGAGCATGTTAATTTCCGGACCAAAACATACATCTCTTTGTGAAAGAGGTTGTGAAAGAATAACACTGTTTTATTTATTTTTAAAGGTTAGACACCATCTTGCTTTGGGTGGCACAGGCTTCCTCTATGAGTTTAGGAGAGCTAGTCGTGTAGCCTTGGTGCCATGCAGAGTTAGCTGTGGCCTGAACCTATCACGTTTACTGGGTTGAAGCAAGCCTAACTGATTAGTTATTAAGCTACAATCTTTTTCTACAAAGTACGCCCCAACTTATTTCAGAGGAACCTGCTCTTGTGTAAATATGCATAGGATTGCAACTGGTCTAGACCTAACTTGGACCATTCCCCAGGTTGAAATGTGGATACATGGAGAGCACATTTTCCTAGACTGGGAATGTGTGCACCTTGCTGACCTGGAGGTTTTGTCCCAAGTGTTAGTGGGTGGGCCAACTAAAGGAGTTCATCTCTCATTCTCAGGTCCTCATCTTTTTAGGTTCACTTCTGTAGTCTTCCCATTTTATGCCATTCTCAGTTCCTTACCTCTGTGGATTCAGCCTCTTGTGGCAATGGAAGAAAGTGTGGAGATTCCAAATGCAGTGGCACCTTGGGTTAAGTACTTAATTCGTTCCGGAGGTCCGTTCTTAACCTGAAACTGTTCTTAACCTGAAGCACCACTTTAGCTAATGGGGCCTCCTGCCGCCGCTGTGCCGCTGCACGATTTCTGTTCTCATCCTGAAGCAAAGTTCTTAACCCGAGGTAATATTTCTGGGTTAGCGGAGTCTGTAACCTGAAGCGTATGTAACCCGAGGTACCACTGTACTAAAAGGCATATATCTCAAATGTGCAAATTAGCTTACACATACTTTTACTATTTGCTTGTACCCTCCCCTTTATGCCTTTGTTAGTGGCAATTGATAGGCTGAAAGAATATAAAGGGCATACTCTCTTCCCATTTATATATTAAAAATGTCTGGTTGGCTGCAGGTGATTCTGAGTCACTATAGTTGAATGGTGATTTACAGGCTTGACACACATTGTGACCAGGCTTCTTTAAGCATTTACTTTAGACTGGCTTAGGTGGGAGGGTCTGACTGAAGGCAGGGGTAGCAGGCAGAAAGCAAGTATTTACCATGGTGGGGCCCTGAACTTCGCTTGGATTTCAGGATATGCCACCAGTCATCAAAATTCAAAACCTGCCGTGATGTTGTCAGTCTTTCATTTGCTCGCATTAAACTTAGTTAAAAATTAATGGAGTCGTGGGAAATCAATGTAAGTAGGCATGGACTATGTCAGTGGGTTTTAAAAGCAAACTTGGAATAAATTCAATAGGTTTTCACAAGAAAAAGACTGCCTGCCATGTTAAAATTCTAGCTGCCTTCACTTTGAATATGTAATTGCTTTTGGCAAAGAAAACATGTGTTTAAAAGAAACATAGCTGATTTTCCACCCCCTGCTCTGAAGGTTGTGTAACAGAACGGGATTCTTGATGGAGTAAACACACACCTCGTGCCAGCATTTCTAGCATGCCATTTGCCAAGTTGCATCCTTGGGGTGCTCATAGTGTTAGCAATGGGGAATCACAGGAGCAGGCCCTCACACTTGTCTCTGCAGCAGTGCAAGGCTCATTTTTTATTTATCCATTTAGACGTGAAAATGTCCAAGAACCCAAACTGATTTTTCTTTAAATGACACACGTACGTGTGTGTGTGTGTGTGTGTGTGTGTAAGGGAAGTTGGATTCCCTCTGGAATTTGCTATCCCATGCAATCTGTTCCACAACACTTTGCAGCTTAAACCAGCCTTGTTCCATGAAATGTGCTTCCCCCCTCCGCCCATCCTCTCAAAAACCACGTCCTCTGACCCAGGAACATTATTTCCTTTTGTTCCTAAAGGAAACATGCTGCCCTAGGACTGCTGAGTACAGCTCCCACAGAGAGTGCTGGAAGTTGCCCTAAAATAGCATATGGGCCTCCTGCAATGAAAACAAAGCCAGTATTAATTCCAGTTTGAGAGGAGCCACTCCTGCAGGGCAGGCTGGACTTTGCTACTAGCCACACAGATGGCTAAAGAGAAGCCAGTGTAGCAGAGACAGTTCAACATTGCATGCTGGAAAAAAGGCCCACAGTTCCCAGTGGTAATATGAACCTTAAATCTATGGCCTACTGCTAGACCCCAAGCCCATCCCCTCAGTCAACATGTGGCAAACCGTCTCTTGGCTACTTGTTTCTGCTTCATTTGCACCAACACCTACCCCTTACCTTCCCTCCCACCTGCCAGGGCTAGAAAAACATCTTTTAAAATATGACCTTGAACTCTGATAGAGTGGTACCTTGTTACTCGAACGGCTTGGCTCCCAAACAAATCGGCTCCCGAACACCGCAAACCCAGAAGTAAGTGTTCTGGTTTGCGAATGTTTTTCGGAAGCCGAACATCTGACGCGGCTTCTGCTTGAGTGCAGAAAGCTGCTGCAGCCGATCGGAAGCCGCGCCTTGGTTTGCGAACGGTTTCAGGAGTTAAATGGACTCCTGCAATGGATTAAGTTCAAGAACCGAGGTACCACTGTAATGTATTTTCTTGCTGGATGGAGGACAGAGGGGGTTGTGTGTGTTGAAATTGGCCTACTGTGCAAAGATAAAATTTACACTAAGTGCTCTGCCTGCTTTTGCCTCCGGTCTCACTGCCTGCCACTGGTATTGTTTTTGTTATTACAGTGGTGCCCCGCAAGACGAATGCCTCGCAAGACGAAAAACTCGCTAGACGAAAGAGTTTTCCGTTTTTTGAGTCGTTCCGCAAGACAAATTTCCCTATGGGCTTGCTTCGCAAAACGTCTTGCGAGTTCTTGCGAGTTTGTTTCCTTTTTCTTAAAGCCGCTAAGCTGTTAATAGCCGCTAAGCCGTTAATAGCCGCTAAGCCGCTAATAGCCGTGCTTCTCAAGACGAAAAAAACGCAAGACTAAGAGACTCGCGGAATGGATTAATTTCGTCTTGCGAGGCACCACTGTACTTGGAAGATTGTCCAGAATGGAATGCAGGCCTTGGACTGAGAAAAGTTCCCCACCCCTGTGTTACCTTGGCTTAGCTCAGCGTGGTGTGGGAGTAAACAGGACTTGGGTGGAGCAAAGCACTGTCAGGTTCAAATACATTGCAAGGAAAATCTATATTTTTACAAGTTCTGTTCATTCTGGAATAAACTGGGTAGGGAAGTTAGAAATCATTCCCCGCATACTTCCCCACTTGCAGTGGTGGCTGTTAAGAGTCCCTGCATTTAAACCTACATGCCAAGCAGGAAACTTTACCCTGGGATGCAGCAGCATTGGGTTGCCTCAGTGGTTTTTTTTGTTTTTTTCAAAAAATGGGAAAGGAATTGATTCTTTTTCAACTTAGTAACAGAAACCAGGGTAAATTATTCCGCCTGTGACCAATAACTATATTACATTTTGACACTATAAAGACATATAGGAAAGGGATTGTTATTCATAATAAGCAGTCAATTTACCTTTTTCAGCCTGTTTCTTTGATTCTGAGGGAGAGTCAACATAAGTGTATATGATTATACATCACCTTGCAGAACCCAAGCACAATTTATGGAACTGACCATATTGATGGTTAGAGGTGCTGGGTGTCAGATATCAATCTTACGCATTATGCCCTCTGGTGAGTTCTGGAAGAAAATGGAAGATAGTGTTCATCATGTTTGGTTGTATATTGAAACATTTTATGATTTTATAATTTAAATGAGTCTGCTTTGGTACAACTTAAGACATCTATTGAAAGTATATTATTGGAAGTAAAAAAAGAATTACCGGTAGGTTGTATCCAATATTTGTCACACACCATTATTGCCTTTAATTTCAGTGGGTTCTTAACTTAAACCCATTAATTTCAGTGTGCCTGCTTTGAGTATGTCTAACATTTGATACAGCTGGTTACTGCCAAATACAACTAGTTGTATTTGATTGTACATTCATTCTCAGTGGAGAGCAAAGATCCTTATTCCTCTTATGAGACCCAGTAGATCTCAGAGCAGTCTTATTTTCGTGTTTGTGAAATAAATTCCCCTGTGTTTCGGTTCAAATACAGTTCACTTGTCCCATTTCAGAGACATGGGGGTAGCTGGGAAGTGGAGGAAGAAAAAGATGGCCATGTTCTTTCTTAGTCTCAAAGGCATTTTTTAAGGTGGCAGAGGCTTGAGAGAGGGATAGTTGTGTCACTTATCCCCCATTTGTGTTGCAAAAGACCATGTCCAGTAGGCACCTATGACTTGTGCAGTTGCATTCAGTATGGTGATAGACATGGTCTGTCCACAAAGTGTGGCTTTTTAAACATATAAGGTATTTTGCTTCAAATTACTGGGAAAATGAGGGCAGGATCCTGCACAAGTAAAAAAGAAACAGCTGTATGCCTCTTTTGTGGACAAAAAGTGATGATATGGACAAGCTCTAGCTGCCTGCAGTAGTTCCTGCTATGAAACCTCTGTGCATCCAATGTATAGTGTGTGTTCAGTCACTGCACTCCTTTTGTGTTCAATAGATAGACGTCAGCTGAATACAAAGGGAGCAACGCAAGTGCTTCTTTTATGTGAAACTATTTAGAATCCTGCTGCTTAAAACAAGAAAGAAAAGAAAAGAGCCATTTAGCTACATTCACTTTGATAGGCACTGTGTATAAGCATTTTAACAGTGCGGTAAACTGTGTACTGATCCCTTTATGGGAGTGCTTCCTCTACCTTTGTGGTGGAGCATAGGTGGCTAATCAGTCGTCCTCCAGATATTGCTGGACTGACATTCCTATCAAACCTGACCAGCATGGCCCAGTGGTCAGAGGTGATGGGCCTTATAGTTCAGCAACATCCTGAGGGCGATGGGTAAGGCAGCCATGCTGTAGTGTAGAGCAGTGTTTTTCAACCAGTGTGCCGTGGCACCCTGGGGTGCCTTGAATGATGGTTAGGGGTGCCACAGTCAACAGTGGCCTCTATCCTTCTTTCTTTCCCTCCCTCTTCTGATGCCCTCTTGAGTTTCTGCCTTCTAAAGGCTTGCACAGCTGTTCATTGTGGCAGCCCCACTGCTGCCTCATGTTCACCTTTGGCCAGTCTCTGTTGGGCCACTGAGGCTGGGGGCATCCTCTTCCCAGGTCCCTGTGGGGCAGCATGAGGGGGCACATCTCTTTGGAGCACGGGGGAGCAGTGGCTGCCCAAGGACACCCAAGGAGACAGGAGAGGAGGCTGAGAGAATATTCCATGAGGGAGGGTGTTCAAAAAAGGGTGAAATGCTTCCAGCTCTGCAGACAAGGGGTGACATAACTGGGCTCCTGAGCCTCACAGGGGTGTCGCAGAAAGAAAGTAGTTGGTCAAGGGAGCCGTGGACTCAAAAAGTTTGAAAACCTCTGGTGTGTAGAGGATTTGCCATGGGAACTGGAACTGGGCTGACATTTCCACATTCAGAGAAATGTGCTTTCCACAGTTTTGTTGCAGAGTTCAGGTGCTGCTGTGCCTTCCCTCCAGCATTGGCATCTGGCTTGCCAATAAACTGCCTTTTTAAACCACCCTTGTCTTTTCGTTGATGGGCTGCCCATTGATTTCCCTCTGATGTATACAGAGGGCGCTTCAAAGCAGCTGAGCAACAATTTTGCTGAGTCCTCTCAAAACTATGTGGCTCTGGGAAGGTGGAGAGTATAGGGAGAGGGAAGCACTTGTGTTTTTAGCAACAAGCACTGTTAATTTTGGTTCCCTGGAGGATTAATTTCAGGATCTGGTTTAGTTGGTGGTTGGGGCTGTTGTAGCAACAGAGCGGGGAGGGGAGCTTGACTGAGAACCATCCTCTCACTGGCACTGCTGCATCTTTATTCAGAAGTAAGTCCCACTCATTTTAGTAGTGTTTACTCCAAAGTAAGTGTGCATGGAATCACAGCCCTGGTGTTGGACAATGCAATATACTGCACCCCCCACTCTGTCTCTGAGCAGTCCCCTTCCCTTCCTCTGGAAAGGATAGGAATGAGGCTTCCTATTTATTAATAGTGACAAATGTGCTTGGATTTCAAAATGGAAGGCAGGGAAACCTGTGTAAATCTGTCCACGGCTTGCTGTAAGGAAGGAACAGAAATGTGACTGAAAAAGTGGTCCCTGGCTCTGCTGCAAGTTAGTGGCACATCCTGGAATTACATTTGCATCCATTTCTGGTCCATTCAGATTATGGTAAGTCATTGGTTTCACGGCTGTTGATAATGTGTATTCCTGCTCTTGGTGTGTGCTAAATATTCCTCTTGTTAAAAAGCAAGGGCTCCCATCTCTGCCAGCGTGGATTAGTGGACCCAGGCAGCTCATTTTCAGCAGGTTCTGCTACATTTTATTTAATATATTTATATCTTGACTTTCATGGGCGCCAACTTGGGGCCCAGGCCTTGTGGGGCCTCGGAGATCATGCCCGAGTCCTCGTGAGACTTCCCAGCGTGACTTCCGGTTTGTACTGGAAGTTGCATCAGAGCCCCCAGGCCTCCTGGGCCTCCTATAGTTGGCACCTATGTTGCCTTTACATCATTTGATGTCAAGGAGTGTCTCCACCCCCATTGTTCAACCCAGATGCTGAGGTCCAGCGCCGAGGGCCTTCTGGCGGTTCCCTCACTGCGAGAAGTGAAGTTACAGGGAACCAGGCAGAGGGCATTCTCGGTAGTGGCGCCCACCCTGTGGAACACCCTCCCATCAGATGTCAAGGAAATAAACAACTACCTGACATTTAGAAGACATCTGAAGGCAGCCCTGTTTAGGGAAGTTTTTAATGACTGATGTTGTAATGTATTTTTAATCTTCTGTTGGAAGCCGCCCAGAGTGGCTTGGGAAACAAAGCCAGATGGGTGGGGTATAAATAATAAATTATTATTATTATTAAATTATTAAGGTGGCTCATGTAAAACTATCAAATCATGTTAAAAAGTTGACGTATTTTATGTATTTTAAAAAATCAATAGAACCAAACACACCAAGACTACATCAGAGAAAGGGAACAATTTAGAGGCAGCAATCTTTTAGGAAAATGCCCAAGAGAATTGTTTTTAATATGCTTGCCATATACGGTAAATGAGAGTGGAGACGTACTAACTCTGGTTCTTTGGGAAGAGAATTCCAAAGGTGGGATATGAAAAGTAAGAAAGCCCTATTCATGGTCACTAGCCACCTCAACTCTAAAGAGGTGGGAATATGAAAGCTGTTCTCATAAACTCTAGCAAGAAAATCTCCTTCCCTGTCAATACATTCCTAATCACACAATCAGAATCCTGTGTATTAAGCAATAATTACATGTCTCCCTGTTTTGGTTATGAGTCACTATCTTATTTCTAGAACTCTTGCCTCTTTACTCATCCACCATCTATTTTCTTATGCCCAAGATTTCATCAGTGTGCATTTCTCTTAGGTGCCCGTTTATCAGTGAATCTCCTCCCTTTATCATCTGTTTCCTTCCATTTGTCAGTATCTTCAAGAAGTATTTATAGACTAATCTTTTGCTCAGGCCTAAGTTGTGTGACTCACTTCCTCAGTTTTCCTCTTAACCAGCCAAATTCTGTGACAAAATAAAGGGCACTAATGATTATGCACTTAAAACAGACAGGAGGGATTTGTGGACAACTTCTGCTCTCAAGCTGCCTATTTAAGAAGAGACATCACACAAGGAGAGCAGAAGTTGTCCACAAGTCACTCTTGTCTGTTTAAGTGCATAATCATTAGTGCCCTTTATTTTGTCACAGAATTTACTTTGCTTCTAGGGAAATGTTGAAGCCTTCATTCCCTGGGGGCAGGGGGGCGGGGCTGGAGTCAGGGTGGGCAGGGCTGAAGCTCAAAGTGGGCAGGGCCAGAGCAAGAGGCCCCCCTCTTCTTTCTCCTCCCTCCTCCTCTTCCTCTCACCTCTCTTTTCCTCACTACAGAAAATCTCCCCACTCCATCCCAAGGCAATTAGGCTTGAGGGAAGGGGAGAAATTACCAATTCATGCAAATTTATATCCTGACTTTCACAGTCATTTTGCATCAGAATGCACAGCAGGTTATTTCAGCTTGTTTTTAACTCTCTTCCTAAAATCGGTAGTCTGATATTGTCTTTCCTCCCTACCCAGCAGCAGCACACAGTAGTCCTGCATTAGGGCTTCAGTTGCAAGAAATTAGCTTCCTTGTGAAAGTGCCTGGAGTGAGGCTGGGTTTAGCAAAGTTAGGCCAGATCGAAAAGGGTTGTGTTCCTGAGCCTCACTCTTGACACTTCACTGAAAGATGCTAGTCCTTTTTTATTGTTCTTCTCATCTCAATAACTGTTGAAGTGGCTCCTGTAAATCAATGGTGCAAAGTACTTTTAGAATGAAAGGAGCTTTATTTAAGATGATGATGTTCTATGCAGTGGTGTTTCCATCAATCACCCCCTCAGAGAGCTGTCTTGGAGACTGACTTCCCAATATAAACACAACGGAGCCAGCTGTCTCTCTTGAGGATTCTATAGCACTCTCTGTAAGATGATATTATTGAATACACAGAGGATCTTCTTTTTCTCTCTCTCTCTCTCTCTCTCTCCCCCCTCCACACACACACAGGCTTTGTCATTAGCTAAACAGTTCCCTAAAATATGCTTGGTTGAGGCCAGAGATAATTCTCCTTAAACTCTGCAGATTGTGAAATAAAATCCTTTCTACTGACCAAATTCATTTTCCCTTAGCTGTGGGTTTAAAATAGAGATCAGCAACTGGAAGACCCAGGGCCACATCTGTGCAGCTGAGGTGCACAGTTGAGGCCTCCAGTGATAACACAGAGACCAGAGCCATAGTTCAGTGGTAGAGCATACAGAAGGAGCCCTCCATTAAATCCTGGAGAGCTGCTGCCAGTTGCCAGTGCTGAGCCAGATGAGCCAATGGCCTGTCTTGGTATAAGGCCGCTTCCTATATTTCTAGAAGACAATTGGTGGCAACCACAGCACTCCCAAGGAACAGGATCCAGATTCTCAGAAATAGGCCTCAGCCTTGCCCTAGACCATCTCATTGACCCAGAAAAGAAATCACATTACAAATATGCCCACATGCCCCACAGCTTGCCGCCTGAACTCACTGGGCTACACATTTAACACATTTAGCTTGTTAACTCCTACCATGCCCATTATACTCCTTCAGCAATGTTATTAATGCAGCAAACCTTCCATCAGAGCCAGTCTGTAGGGTGAAGGAAGAGATTTTTGAGCCTGCACAACTGCTCCAGTATCCTGTTCTAACAGTAGCCACTCAGTTGCCTCTGGGAAGCTCAAAGCAGAACCTAAGTGCATGAGCACACTCCCAGTGGTTTCCAGAAATTGATATTCCTTGTGCCATTGTTTCCATCAGCACCCTTGCTTCCTTAACAGTCATTTCTTTAAGAATTGTTAGCTCCAACCCGCCCCCATCTAGTATTGCTTCAGAAGACAAAAGTGTTGTGTAGTTTTGTGCCACAAGTGTCAGGTTTTGTGCTGTCATCTCTTAGTTGGCATTTTTGTGGGTAGTGTCACTAAACCTGGGGTTCTGTGGCACAAAACATCATTGTAAGTTTTGACGTGATAACACTATATCTGGTTTTTTTGGGTGGGGTGGGGAGAGGTTAACTATGAACCCCAACTGGAACACGTCAGTACCAACTAAGATTTATGGAGGCTTTTTGATATTTTGTGATATAAAACACCACACAGCTTTGGCAATACGTATTTTGGGGTATTGTTGTTAACACTCCTATTCCTTTGGGCCACTCAGACCCAGAAAATATACTGAAAATGAATTATAACCCTGCCTTCTTTTCAAATGCTACTCTTGACACCTTTTGGCTTTACACTAAGCTGGTCAATGCTGAGGACTAGCCCTGACAAATTGGATCCTATTCCTGGCAATGCTATGATGGCCATCAGTTATGTTGCATCATGGCAATGGCAGCGCTGTGATGACTGCCTTTAGTGCTGGTTTATAGAATACCTGGGAAATGATTCCCTGGCAATTTCTTTCAACCAAAGCACTGTAATTTTACTCCAACTACAGACACACTATACCTTTAAAGCACATTTGAAGCACATTTTCTGCCTCAAAGAATTCTGGGCACTGTAGTTTGTTAATGGGTTGCTGGGAATGGTAACTCCATGAGGTGTAACCTTTACAGCCCAGAATTCTTTGAGGGGGGAAAATGCATTTTAAAGGTATAGTGTGTACACATGAATGCCTCCTATCGCAACATAGGGATAACAAATGTGAAAAGTTCCTCCTCGCTCAGTGTGTATTTCTCCCAAGCTGGTATAAGATTGGTCGGGCTTGTGTGTGTGTTTGCTTTCCAAACTGTTTAATATTCAGTTAAGCTCTCTAGGAACCATGCATTTTAGGCTTTGGAAGCCATATAAGAATCAGGTGGCTTGTGTCTGAGGTTTCTTTCTTTCCCACAAGTGTCTTGATAATAGAGGAATTAATTTAGATGAGTTCAGGTTTGTGCCTGTCAATGGCAGCAGTCTTTCCCCAAATATTTGGTCTTAAACCTGCAGAGAACATATTTGCTCTTCATAGAGCAAGTCATGCAGACCTTGTTCAGGCAAACTTCCTAATGTCATCAGGTGCAGTTTGGCAGAGTTTTTAAAAACCAACCAAAAAGTCCAACGGCATCTTAAAGATGAACAGATTAATTGTGGGATAAAGATTATAATAACCAGGAGTCTTTAGCAACTGTTTGCTTTCTATGGATCTCTCAATAAATCTCTGTAGAAAACAGGGACAGTAAAGTCTAAGTGAGTGAGAAATATGGGCAAATCTTACTTTTTTTGGATGGGAGGGAAATCATGGTCTTCTGATTGAGGGCAGATTTCCATGACCTTTTCCTCCACCTCCCTGTTGGCTCATTCAAATAGTTTACAAAGCCGTCATGGGTTAAAAGGCAAGCCCTAATAATGTTTGCATGAGTTAGTCTTGTATTTGAGAGCAAGGAAGAGTGGTTTGTGGCTTTTGTTTGTTGGTAAGTGTGCAGGCTTATTTTTAAACATCCCTGCATATTAGTCCATGAGTAGAGCTGCTATCAGCTTTGTTTTTAACTCTGTGAAGATACTTAAGGGTTTTAGAACCACATGTCTATAGTCTTTGCAAACAGTTATTTTTGTCTGTTGTTATCTGATGTAGACACTTTCTTAGTCATACAGAATTTGCAGAGTGCTCATCATAAATATATGACCTTATGCATGTTTCAAGACTTGACTAACAGTTACCTAACATTTTTATTAAGGATTTTTAAATGTTACTATTCAAAAGAAGTCCAGAGACCAGGGGTAAACACATTTTTTAGAATTGTTATTTATTATTGTGGCTTGTTACTATGTTTTTTTGAGATCATGGGTGCTGTACAGAGAATGATTAAATTGGTTAGTTTGTTGTTGTTTTAACCATTTTTGTTGGGGTTTGAAATTGTTGTTTTAAAGGGTTAAATTATGCTTGAGTTGCCTATGAGGTAAGGTAAGTTAAGAATATGATGAATAGATGAAGAAATATTTTCTTTAACATTCTGTTGACTTACTTGTCCTGCTATCTTTTTTTAAAAACACCCTCCAATAAAGCTATATACTGGAATGCATTAGGCATATCTTGCAATAAATATTTCTACTTAGGGTTGCCATATGCCTGGAATTTCCTGGACATACCTGGAATACTGCAGTTGGAAGCAGTGTCTGGGTGGAAATTGGCAAAATGTCTGGAAAAATCTGGATGTATGGCAACCCTAAGTAGAAATATTTATTGCACGATATGCCTAATGCATTGCGTCTAATTTTTTTGAAATATGGCAACCTTATTTCTCTTTCAACCATAGTTTTAAGCCTTTGGTCAGGTTCACACACAACGTGAAACCTTTTTGGGCAGAGAAACACATTTGAAATTGAAGAAATTGCTGTTGGCATCACAAAATACCCATTTCACAGAGGAAAAGATGGTGATGCTTTCCCTCAAAAAGAAAACCAGACAAAACATTGACACCCTTGCCAAAAACAAATATAACACAGACTGAATGTACAGGCAGCCTCTGCCCCCCCCCCCGAAAAAGAGCTTTCACTTTTTGGGTTGGTAATGCTCAGTTTGTGCTATTTTTGTTGACTTATGTTCCCGTTGAAATGTAAGGATTGCTTGGCCTTTGTTTCCTAAGGTCCTGTTTAGTGTTTAGATCTAAACTCAGGATAGGTTAAAGCAGAAATAGCTTCAGGACCTACTTTCTTTGTTCCTGTACAGGTTGAGACAAGTGTATCTGGCAACATGTGTGTGACTCAATAGATGTGTATAGTCTGTAATTATATGATTGTGTGAGCAAATGGCTTTGCAGAGCATATGCATGCTTGACATTACTTGGGGAGGAGCCCCCAAAGTGGGTGTAATGTATGTGACTGGAGAGTTAGAGCAGTTGAGAGAGGGCTGGGCCCTACCCTTGTAACAGGCTTTGTGTATGTGGCTTGGAATAATCACTTCTTCTTCCAGTCACTTCTTCTTCCAATCCACTTCTTCTTCTATCTCACTTGCCCATGCCTAATGTTCATTGTGAGTTTAAAAAGATGCTTAAAAATACATGTGTATGCAAATTTGCTGTATAAATGGGTGGACGAAAGGTAGATTGGAATCCAGCGGTAGATCTTGTGGGATAACCAGCCTCTTAGAACCAACATGCTCCAGTCTAATTAGCACATGAAGGGGTTAATACCATAGAGTGAGCTGTCCTGCCAGGCTTAGCTAGGTCAATTCTCTCCCCCCCCCCCCCCGCCCCCTTGTTCCCCTTCAGTCTACCTGAGAAGCTCAGCATGGAGCGTGATACAGCTGTTTGCTCCAAGCCATTCTTCTATTCCTATCCCAATAATTTATATTTTCACCACTATAACCAAGCTAAGTTTTACTGCCTGTGTTTTCTGGCTGATATATGGAAAAGCACATGAACCTGACCTTTGAAGAGTTTCTAAATCCTACTTTAACTTACCAAACGTGATCTTTTTCTATGCTAGGGGAAGAAGGGAGCTTTGGGAGGAACGTAGAAGGGCATCTCACTCCCTTTCTGATTCCTTTTCCTTGCTTAGCTGGTGAATGAGGACCCCAAATGACTTACATGCCTGCTTTCATTAGCGGGAAAGCTGATGGTGAGCATGAGGAACTGCGATAATTCCCTTCTCTGTGTATGCATTTGTAAGTAACAAGATGACATTGCCTGCAGGATCTTTCTAGTCTTGCTAATAAAGAACATCTTGAGATGTGTATAAACAGCTTCAGAGAATTCTGCATGTTACACTTTGCATGGTCTTGTGCAGCCAAATAACTCATTATGGTGAATGAGAACAGAATGTCTTAGAATGAAACACAGGCTGTTTAGAAAGAGGGGTGGAACCAAAGAGCACCCCAAATCTAAACATTGCCTAAGTTTCGTGGAGTTTCATTGGCCTCTGCTTGTCTGGGCACACTAGTGAGGTTTTGTAGCGGTAGGTTGATGTGTGGGCATCTATGTCTTGGCATGCGGTTGGGTTTGCTGGCCTTTGTGATCTCTCAACTCTGTGATTCCTTTTTCCTGCAAGTCTAAAGTTGCAGGCACAGAATGATTATTTATTAAAATATTTATATAGTGCTGTATCAGAAAAATGTTTGCAACAATATAAAAACATAAAACCAAACAATAAAATCATATCAAGCTAATAACAAGTTAAAAGCAAAAAGAAATGGTGCCAGTCCTCATCCCATTTTTTTCTTCAGCTTTACACTTCGTGTTTGAAGTCAGGTTTGTGTGCACAGTGAAGCAATGCTATGTGAATTAAGGCGCGGCAGGGATGGGGTGGGGCTAGGCTTGATTGAAAGGGGAAATAATGCCTTGGGTGGCTTTAAACTTGCAATCTCCTGTGCTCAGACTGAGGCAATGTGCCTAAAGCTAAAGGGATCTTTGCCTCCTTTCTTCTGATAAGTGGGGACTTGCAGTAGTTTCCTGAACTTTGCCCTTGATTGGATCAACACTATGAGTGCAGTGAAGGATTTTGTGTGCTCTGCTAGTAGGCTAGTACATTTCTATTGAGTGCAAATAAGAGCACACCCTCAAAACCCCACCTTTCCAACTCCCCTTGTTTTAAAGAGAAATTTCTAGCCCCCACCATTGTGAAAATGTATAGGCAGACATGTTGAATCGAAGAAGTTCGAGGGGTGGGACTGAGCAAGTTTTCCAATTAGTGGGGTGAGGGTTTTGTTTTGTTTTGTTTTGCAAAAGCAGAATAAGCAATATGATCACTTGCTGGATTTGCCTAATTCACATAGGTTGCAGAACCCAGATTTCCATGGAATGCAACACAAAATTCTGGGGCGGGAATTTTAGTGCAGCATATATGCAGCTCTGGCGCTAGATAGTCTGTTCCTGTGAGTTGTGTTGACTTCACTTTTCCAGAGCACTGTAGAAAAGACTGATTCGTTCTTCTTGATGGAAATGAAAAGAATATGCTAGCAGTTAAGTGGGATGGTCTGTATAGCTTGCTTAATTTCCAGTAGTGCTTTCCTTGGGTTACTGATTTAAATGCAAGAACAGTCTCGTTGTTCAGTGGGATGCTATTCCTGGCCAGGGCCAGTGGAGACAGCAATGATTGTTCTATGACTCACTGGCCATCCATCCTCCATAAATCAGCATGCTTCATAAACCTCCTGCTGTTCTCTGACTACAGCACTAAAATTGATGGGGGAGCCCTCTTTTAGCACCTCTTCACAATCTTGCTTGCTTTACTAGCAGTGCTATGCAACTCGTGGAAGATGGGGATGGGACTAACAAGATCCCATGTAGCTTTAAGAGCTTCGTGGAAGAACATGTGATAATGCACATTGGCCAATAGACCAGTTCAATGAGCATTAATCAGAACCCAGAAACTTCAAATTCTGTTTATTATGTACACACAGAAGTCTAGTCAAGCTACCCACATATTTTAAGCATGTTGGATCAGAGTCATGCATAGCTAAATGCTGTCCCTCACTGGGAGAGAAAATATGAGAACATGGTTAATGTGCAGTTGAGTGCAGCTTTAAAATGGAAATATAATACTTTGAAGCAGCTGGTAGGCATTTACTTTTGGGTGTCTTGTTCCATAGTTAACATGATGCTTCCAACTTCTTCCAGCTGTGACATGTCCATACAAGGGTTGAAAGAACTGATTCATGCACTATGATGGTACATCTCATCATAGATGTGGCCTCTGCTGCACTGATCTGGAATCAGCCCAGCAAACTGCAGTCCTTACCAGCATTCTGCAGGGGAGAGGAGAGGTAGACTCTCGTTCAGAAAAAGGGCAACCAAAATGATCCAAGGAGATGAAACAACTGCCCTGTGTGGAAAGGTTGCAGCGCTTGGAACTTTATGCTTAATAGAAAACTTCTGTCAGGGCTGAACTCGCAGCCATTTCTCCTGCTAACCACAAGAAGAGCCACAGGCCTATCTAGCCTAACGTTCTGTTTCTCAACAGTAGCCAACTAGATGACAATTGGAAGTGTAGAAACAGGACACTCACCACCATAGCAGTCTCCCTCTTGTGTTCCCAGAAGCTGGTTTTCAGAGATTTACTGCCTCTGGTACTGGATGTAATATACAGGCATCGCTACTTTCAGCCATTGATAGTCTTATCCTCAGTGAATTTATCTAATCCCCTTCGAAGGCCATCAGTGTGTGTTGATCTGTCCTAAATCCATCACCATTCAGCTTCACTGAATGACCCTGGGTTTCTAGCATTATGAGCGGAAATTTAGCATCCTTCTGGGACTGGGACGTGCATTTATCCATACTGTATGAAGGTAATGGAAGTCATCCTTGCACTGCGTATGTACCTTCAGGGAGTAGGGGGCAATTCAATCATAATTGTATCCATGAAGAGCTGGGTTTGTGACAGGTTTGTAGACCGGATGGCAACTTGCCTGCTGAGATGAAGGTTATAGGTGCCACCCATAGTTTAGATAGCCTGTTAGATTGTGCAGAGGAGGAAGTCAGTGTTTGTGTGAGCAGGTATGCACCAGTGAGAAGGAGAACTGTAGTTGTGCAGAACTGGAAGGTAACATTGAAGACCACAACCTCTGAGGTGGTAGCTTTCTCTGAAATGCCACCCTGTTCCATGTGCAGGGTGAGTTGGTTAAGTGAAACTGAGCTGTCTCTATGTGTAGATGAGATGGTTACACAGGGAGAAAGATTAAGGTGTTTGGGGCATTGGGGAATGTTTTGGGATAAGCTGGGCCTATACCACTGAGAGGGGATCCTCTGCTTGAACCAGAATGGAACCAGATGCCTGGTGCTTAACATCAAAAAGGTTGCAGAGCATGTCTTTAACAAACCCTTGGGGGGAAGCCCACAGAAATGGGAAGGTGTCCATTTCAGGATGAATCATCCCTACAGAGTGAGGATGAACATGTTTCTGATCATCCAAACAGAGGTGCGGTAGAGCTGGACCATGAGCAAGCAGCAGAACATGAAAGCCAGTCAAAGTGCCAGACAGGGAAAACTGTAGTTTCTAGGATCCTGTTTTTTTTTGGGGGGGGGGGGGGGCGGATCATGACAGCAAAGCCAGTTTATTTTTGTAGCACGTATGTCTGTTTCAATTGTTGATATAATCTGTTCTATCTATAGATAAACAAAAGGATTTTGTTTTTTGTCCTGGGGACAGTAAATCTCTCATCTTATACAAGCAGTATATCCCGAGCCGGTGGGGGGGAGCAGTGGATGAGAGTGGGATCTTTGAGGACAAATGGATGCCTCTGAAGCTCCTTTTTATGTTTTGGCAGAGCTGTGCGGTAATTTCTCATGAAGACTGGGCTGTCAGGAAGCCAAGGAAGGAGCCTTGTTGTTCTCTCCCTTTTACTATCTTGGATGTATGCTGTCATCTCTCAGCCTCTCCCCTTCGCTTGTGAACCCTGCTTGCTGCCAGCTATGCTGTCACATAACCTAAGAGAAAAAGAATAAAACTTTCCTTGCATAATTGGGTAAAAGGGACAGACTGAGATGGCTCAGACATGGAAACATTCCCATTCTGGGAATCTCCTTCTGCCCCCAGTGTCATGTACATAGCTGTCAACAGTCCCTTATTTAGCGGGAAACTCCCTTATCCCAGCACCATGTCCCACTGCTGTCCCTTATTGATGATGTCCCTTAAATTTCCCAGGTTTTATGCTCGCCCGGCTCGGGAGGGAAGCAGCGGCTCGGGGTCCTCCGCTGTGTGAGAGAGAGTGCGCGCTGGCGCCATCGTCCTGGCACGAGGAGTTCCATCGGCTCTTCCCTGCCCGAGGGGAGGGGGAGGGAGAGAGACTCTCGCCCACGCCGCCCGTGAGCCAGGAGGCGGCAGTGGTGGTGGCAGCTGAGGAGGCGGCCTGAGGGAGGAGGAAGAGGAGAGGATGGGGAGGGACGCAGAAGGGCGGCGCTTCAGTGGCCGCTGCGGCGCCGCAATCGCCTCATGCTGGATTGACAGCATCTGTCAATCCTACCAATGTATGTAACTCTTTACAACAGCAAAATCCCTTATTTTGGCTGCTGATCCCTTATTTTTGAGGCTGCTGGTCCCTTATTTTCAAATCTGTAAGTTGACAGCTATGGTCACGTACCAGTTCCTGAGGAGGTGACATAACTTCCGAATCATGTGAGGGAGGAAAAAGGGGAAAACTTCTTTGCACCAAACACTTAACTGCACATGAAATCCAGGAGTGGGCTGCTGTTTCTAGCTCTGCGTCATTAGGGGAACCTGAGCAAGATGATTTCTCATATGCCTGTGCTCTGGGTTTTTGTTGTTTTCCAGCACAATCCAAGGTGCTAGTGAAAGCTTATAATAGGGATGGGGGGGGCTGTGGCTCTCTGGATGTCTCTGGACTCCCATCAGCCACGGCCAGCATGGCCAGTTGTCAGGGTTGAGGGGAGTTGTAGTCCAACAACATCAGGAAGACAAGAGGTTTCCCTATTTTTGGCTTATGAAATTTTGGATAGCCTGAACCCAGTCTACCTTGAAGAAGACTTTTGGCCATATGACCACACACCTGCTAGTATCAGCAGGGGGCCATAGATTGGTGAAGATGTGCCCTGGCACATAGTGATCTCAACACCAGCGGTAATAGTAGGGAAAGGGCTGTAGCTGAGTGGTAAAGCATCTGTTTTGCATGCAAAAGGTTCCTCCAGGGTCAGTCCCTGGAGACTCACTTCTGGTCAGTGTAGACAACAGATGGACCAGTGGTCTGACTGGGTACAAAGCAGCATCCATTGACCTGTCCTGGAACTGACAGGGTGGGCTTGCAGTGTTACCAGCCATGTTTTTCCCCTTATGTGTTTCTTAAGTTACATCTTGGCAATGCCTCTTAAGGGTGGTGGTTGAATACAGAAGAAAGCCAGTTGACAGTTGCCCATTGAGTGTCAAAGGGGGAAAGGGTTTTCTAACAGAAGTCTTCCCTTTTCTTGAAGCTTTTCCACAGCCCTGCTAAATTGCGACAATGCGTGACTACTCTGAAAACAAGGAAACATGTGGGACCATCTGTCTCAAATATCTCCTCTTCATCTTCAACTTCTTTTTCTGGGTAAGGAGCCAGCTTTAGTAATTTTGCTGATTTGTGCTGTGAATTTGGGAGTATCCTGGAGCAATGGGGCGATTTGGATAGACTTTTATTGCTCTTCTGCATGATTTAAAGAGAACAGCCAGTCTGCTCCAAAATTAGCAGATAGTTGGAGCTTAGCTTCTAGCTTCTCCTTTATTTCACAAAAAGCACAGCTACATTGATGTGAGTGCTAGGTTAGAACTTCTCCCTGATAGCTTTCTGAAGATGGGGTGTTGATGGCATAGCCATAGGGGAGCATTCCATTGGGTTATCCCCAGATTCCCTTCTGAAGTGGTAAGTTCCAGGAGGGCTGGAGGCCCTCTACACATAGATAGGCCTTTCTTTATTCTACTCTTCCCATAGCTTCCATCAAAAGTAACCATTAGAAATCTTCGAAGCAGTGTGATAGGCAAGGATAAGAGTGAAAAGGTGCTTCACTTGAACTTAGATCCTCATTGAGATCAGCAGGAGACCCTCTGCCAAGGGACCCTGAATCAGATCTTGGTGAACCACCACTGATGACTCATTATCTCCCTTTCTCTCTTAAGCTGGCAGGTGGAGCCGTGATGGCAGTGGGCATCTGGACCCTGGCTGAAAAGAGTGATTACATAAGCCTCCTGCAGTCCAATACATACATGGCAACAGCCTACATCCTGGTGGTGGCAGGCGTTGTGGTCATGATCACCGGCATCTTGGGCTGCTGTGCTACATTCAGGGAGCAGCGGAGCCTCCTGAGAGTGGTGAGTGTTCTTTGAGCAAGTGGAAAGAACTCAGTGTAGGCAGGGATCAACACGGAGAGCCATGGTAAATTGTAGCAGGGAAATAGGGGTTAAGACAGAAAGAGAGAAATGTTTGGGTGGGGAGACCCACCACTAATTCAGCCCTTGGGAAGCTACTGCCAATCAGTGTCTGCAATACTGAACTAGATGGACCAGTGAACATAACCCCTGTTGGATCAGGCCAGTGGCCCATCAAGCCGAGCATCCCAGCAAGATGCCTCTGGGAAGCCCACAAGCGGGACCTAAGCTCAAGAGCATTCTGCCCACCTGCAGTTTCCAGCAACTAGTGTTCAGAGGCATGGCTAGACTTGTGTAAGGCATCTTCCTGTGTTCCTATGAGATCCTTCATATGCTCCTCTTTCTGACATCAACAGAAATACCTGTGTTGCAGAAAGTATGTCAGAGTATAATGTGAAAAGTAGGCTTGCTCCAAGTAAATGTATTGGTGGGGCTGGGAAATGGACGCGTTCTCTGCCAGTGCAGCCATGAAAAAGGAAGGTGTGAGGCGGAGGCCTCTTTCGCAGGGACACCATACAGTAAGGACAAAGAAAGCGCTATGATATTTCTGAAGTGGTGTTTCTCATGGCTTGTGATGATACTGGAGCTGACATGGCCTGTAGACCATACCAATCCCTCTTGGCAGGCACACAATGGCCCAGTGTGCGGAAGACTTCTCCCTTTTTGTTTCTGTCTTTCCAAGCCAGCAATTACAGATGAAAAATTTGGTACAGTCCTTTTTTGTTGTTTTGCCACAGAAAACTAATGATTGTCTCTCGGGAACAAAAGAGCCTTTTGTTGCCATTCTCCCCTCCCCTGAGTGGCTGGTTGTGACAGATCTATTGTCGCCTGTCTCTTGGCCTCCGGTTTAGTTAAGCAGCATGCACAACAAACACTTTGTGGCCAGCCAGGCAGAGTTGGCTCAAAGGCTTCTGCCAATCCTGAGCTTAAGCCCATATCCCAGCCTTCGTCAGCCTGGCGCCTTCCCTCCAGCTGCGTTGGACTACAACTCCCATCAGCCCCAGCCACCACCATGGGAGCTGTAGTCCAACGCAGCTGGAGGGAAGTCTAGAGGGCCACTTTGCACTAGGTAACCCCAGTTTCTTCCAGTGTCGTAATCTTGATGCTCAGTACAGAATGTCATATGTAAGAATAGTCTTCGTGGATCATCATGATGAATGAAAGTTTGAGAAGTGATGTGTCGGTTGTGTTATTTTATAGCCATAATGATTGAAAGCTAGAAGATATTCCTTTATAATGATGATTGTATGTAGATGACCCACTGAATTAGAAAGTGTGGGGTCTCTCTCTCTCTCTCTCTCTCTCTCTCTCCCTCCCTCCCTCCCTCCCCCTCTCCTCCCCCACCCACCCCTTCAACTCAGATCATATGACTTCCATAAAACTTTATTTTGGAGGTACTCCAGTAGATGATTCACATAGGATATTTAACTGATCTTCCTCCCCAGTTGTGGAGTATCATCACCTCCCTGCCCCAAAGGCAGCTCTCTTTGACTAATAGGAACTCTGATGGATTCTGTCCTCCTGCTCCAACCTCACCTCTTAAAGAAGAAATGTGCTTCTATATATATTAGATGTCTTACAGCTGTGCTGTTTTAAATCTGGACTTTTCTATCAGCCCTGATCGTTCTGCCATTGGAGAAATATACATGTAGCTATATCTCCTCAGTGGTCTGGTTGTGGGAGGAGGAGTGTACTTTCAAAGGGGACAATGTGAGAACACAAGCACTGGAAATTACAACTTTCCAGCTCCTTAGTTGATTGTTTCCTCTTTCCTTAATGTACAAGCTGGACAAAGGGATGATGTCAGTAGCTCTGCCTAACTTGTCTCCTAAAAGAAAGAAAGAAAGCGGTCCCTTGGGTTAAGGTGTGTTTCTGTTCAATTTCAGTCTCCCATTTTGGTTAGCCAGAGCGCTGCTAGGTTACTCATTCTCATGGTATGAAAGGGATACCTTGTCCAAGCATGCAGTTGGTCTGAGGCTTCAGCAACGCTTGGTGGGATGAGTGAATGGCTGATGTGGTGTGCTCACAGACTGAAGACCGCCTGGCAGAGAAACCCTTCTAACTTTTACTGTTCAGTTAAATAACATTTTGCCATGACCTTCACTAGTGTGTATTTCCAGGGCAGCTGGCAAAGGAAGTAAATAAGAAAATTAAATCCCTCAGATGAAAGATTGAAAGGCAGTTATTAAGGAGCATAAAAAACACACATGCTGGTCTTTAAAAAAACTTTTCAAGAGCAGCATAGAACTTCATAGGTTTTCCAACGGTTGGAAACACTCTGTGAGATAGGGCACCACAACTGAGAAGATCCTTGCCTAGTCACTACCTGCCTTAACTCAATGGCAGGGGATTTGCAGGATGGTCTTTGGGTGTCCTAAGTCAGGGTTTGCTTGCATGGTGCTGCAGAAGTCTCCCCTGGGACTTGCAGGGATCCTGCTGGCTGCTGACATGGGCTTGTAAAAAGCAGTCTATTATAGCCAATAGACTAGGTTGTGGTGTGTGTAGCACCCGTGTCACTGAAACTGCAATACCAAAAATCACATTATCAGTAATTGTGTGTGGCTAAGTACCATAATGCCGGTGGCTGATACTTGTATACAAAGAGTTTCCAAGCAAATACATTTCAGATTTCTCCCATTATATTAATTCTAATTCTGTTGCTGATGGTACATGTACAGCTCAGACTGTCATAAGCTTAGTGATGTAACGTGTCATGAGTTCTGAACGATCCAAGCCTTGCTCAAGTTCTGGGCTGGTTGTTAGCAGAATGGTCCGCTTTAGGGGGTCTCTGAGCAACTGGAGCAGGGAAATTCTTCTGTGTTGCACCCTGTCCCTGGTTTTATTCTTTGACGGTTCAGTCCAAAGTTCCGGAAGCTGCCCCTGTGCTGCTGCAGGCATGTTGCTGACTCTTGCCCACTTGGGAGAGCCCTCCCTGCAAGAAGCCCAGCTATTCTGAAACCCTCCCTGCCCTCACCAAGGAAGCATTCCACTGCCCCCTAACAAGCTTGTGATGAGCTCCTAATGATGTCGCTTTGGAGGGCTTGCATTTCAAGACAAGTGGCGTTGGCAGGAGAGAAGTAGGAACCACAGCTGTGAAAACCGCCCAGGGATGAACCGAGGATCAGTCACTCGTGCTTTGCATGCAGGAATATTTGAGTCTCAATCCCTGGTATTTCCAGTTAAAAGCGTTGCAGGTAGCAGGACTATGAAAGACGGCTGTGGAGATCCATTGCATATCTGAGTAGACCATGCTGGGCTGGGTGGACTTGAGTCAGCGTAAGGCAGCTTCATATGTTAACTACACTGGTTTTTGTTGCTGAATCTACTGAACCCAACATTTCATCTCTAGCTGTGCCACTGGATCCCAGCAAGTTACTTTCCCCATTCCGTGCTGCCCATTCTCTGGGCTTTCAAGTGTTGGCACCCACCTCTGCTTGTTTTGCCAGTCTATGTTTCTTAGGGAGGAAGTGCAATCGATTTGTTAGCTTTGAGCATTTCCTCAAAGATTTGCATAGGGCTGCCTTTCACCGGTGGTGACATTATGCTCTGGTCTATTCTAACACATGTCATTTTGCTTTTTTTGCAGTATTTTATATTGCTGCTGTGCATCTTCCTGCTTGAGGTAATTGCTGGAATCCTGGCCTATATCTACTACCAGCAGGTAAGCAGCCACTAATAACTAGCAAAGAGCCCCTCAGTTTGACAGACTGTATTTTCCAGGGTTCTCACACCATTGCCTTTCACTTCTCACAAGTGTCCTGGTGTTTGTCATAAAAAAGCATGCACATGTTTGTTTGTTTGTTTGTTTGTTTGTTTGTTTGTTACACTTATATACCACCTTCTCCTTCAAGGGGGTGTACAAGGTTCTCCCCATTTTATCCTCACAACAACCCAGTGAGCTTCATGGCTGTGCGGGGATTTGAACTCTTCATCACTATGTCACACTGGTTCTCCTTTCGCTCTGCACAGCCCCACCCGTCATTCTGCTGTGGTTTCCCTTCATACTCCCATGCCCAATCCCAGCCAGCCCTATAGTGACAGCAGTGGCAACATCACAGGTGAAAGAAGCCTGCTGCGGGCAGAGGCACTTCGGTTCCCTATGAACATGTCTGTTGCAGAGATGAGTGATGCCCCATACCAAGGCCACTATGGCCAATAAACCGATACCCTGAACTGATGGGGTGAGGGTGGGTGTACAAGAGATATTTAAGTGTCGTAGAATAGCAGGCCCGCATTGTGCGACTGCTGAGAGTTCAATTTAAAGGTGTGTTATGAGCCCATCTCGTCCTACCTTTTTTCTTTCCTGGTACCTTCCTCTGGTGTATAAAAAAAACTTACTTTCATTTCAAATCTGATTTGCATGCATTCGTTTACAACGTTGGCCCAAGCAGAGCCAGTTTTGTGGTGCAGCAATGTATTTATTTATTTGATTCCATTTATGAATCACTTCCCATAAAATATGTTGAAGCCATTTCACAGTGAAAAACGTCGTCAACAAAAATAATTCTATGTGTAAAAAAACCCCACACCATTTCGTGGGTCTGCTCTGAGAATGTCTCTGTACAATATGACCCAGTGATTTATATCAATTTGATTTTTTTTAAAATTTAAAAAAACTACCACTGCCACCCGAAATGGTATTTGCCTATGAATTGTGTATGAGTTTGCCAATTTAATACTGCATGAAATAGATCAGCATTGAGCTGATCTAGAAAAAGTGTCTTGATGTGTGAAAATACCCTCTAACAAAGCATCTGGCTAGCTGCTGCACCTGTGCTTGGAATACAAATTTCCCTTTGCATTGCCTCTTTCTCTCTTTTCCGTTGTCACATTAGTATGAAATGGACTAACAGTCTGATTGCTTGTGCTGAAGATTCCCCCCATACTAGCAAAAAGCTGTTGTTACTGTAGCACCTTCCTATTGCATAAATAAGTGCGACTAAACTCAGAAAAGCTCAGTGGGGAAAATAAGAGGTCTACATGCACCAACTTCCTCAGGATCATCCATATTTTGTTTAAACAATTCTGATGTCAGTATTCAGCTACAAGTATACAGATCTGGTGGCCTAAAGGCAATGGGAAGATAGATATGTGACAGAACACCGTAACTCGGGTCTTCACACATATCCTTTTATAAAACTGATGTGTGCATTTCAACAAAGCTTGATCTCCTGGGATACACCACATGCTTTCGTAAGCTGCCACCAGCTTTGCATAGATCAGCCGTTCCCAACCTGGTGCTCTCCAGATCTTGCTGAACTACAGCCCCAGCCAGCGTGGTCAGAGGTTATCAAGGATGGAAGTTGTAGTCCAAAATATCTGGAGGGCACCAGGTGGGGTGGCTGTTCTAGATGGGGTTTTTTATAGTCTGTTCCCTCCACCCCATAGCCTCTTGCAGGGATTTTGTTGCATCTTATTTATTTAATGGGTAAGGTAAAATGAAGCTAACTCCTATATCCAGGTTTGCATGGAAATTGTTTAATAGACTGCCTTGAACAATTCCTAAGCAATCACACCTTCATATGGACAGAAATCATTCAGCATAGAACAGGCCAAACATTTTTTCAAAGAGAGGAAGCTTTCTTTTTCAAAAGCTGTCTGAGGAATCATTAGCTCTTAGGATGGTTATCCAATCAGCTTCCCAGGAAGGATGAGCTAATTTAAAATGCTGTTTCAGGAATGCATGGGATTGGCTTTGATAATGCAAGCAAGTGAGCATGGCATGCTGGGATTTGTAGTTTTGGAAGGGACACCAGTGTTTGTGTGGCTCCTACTTGTTTTGCAAGCCTCTGTTTCTTGTGTCTGCCACGCCTTCCTTGCAAGCCTCCTTTCCCCTTATATCTAGAGTTGAATGCACTTTGTCTTTTGTGATTCTTCCTCTTATTTTCCCCTCCTTGCTTCCCTTTCCCCCAATATGCTTATAAAACTCTGTGTATTTGCTTTTGCTGCCTTTGTTCCACGCTGCAGTTCTTTCCTATGAGCCCACAGGTAATTTATTTTGTTTTTCCTGGAAGGCATCTGCTAATTGAGTCTCTCTCTCTCTAATTTTGCTTTTGGTGCCAGCAAACCTTTTCCCCTTGTATTTGTGTGAATTATTCATCTCTAAAGCCTCATATCATTTGGGTTCAAATCAAAGCACTAGTCTGGCAAACAAATAATGCTCTAGTCACTCCTTTGATATGTTTACCTTGTACAAGTGGAATTTAAGGATGTATCACTGCTGTATTTTGATGCAAAAACCCTTGCTTTGTTTCCTGGGGCATCTGCTCCCCTCCCCAAGTGCTTCAGTGGTAGAGCATTTTCTTTAGATGCTGAAAGGTCTCTGGGCTGAGTTCCTGACATTTGCAGTTAAAAGATCTCCATGGGTTGGATTGAGAGAGATCTCTGCTCAAGATCCTACAGATATGTAGCCAATCAGGGTTGACAGGTAGTTAGCTAGACGAGTCCATAGTATAAGGCAGCTTTGTTGTTTCTGTGTACATTGTAGTAAGAGTTTGATGGAACTTTCCATGTCATTCACCAGCAGTGAAGTGCATGGATGAGAGAAAATGTAGCTCATGGTGACAACTGCAGAGTTCTACTTTCAAAAGTATTGGGGTTGCTGATAGCCTGTCCCATTAATCCAGTCAAGCCCAGGTGCTTAGGCCCAAGCCAGTGGAGCCCCAGGGCCATAAAACAAGCTAGAATTCAAGTGAAGTGGGATGCCTGTTTATTTTACAGAAAATCTTAGAAAATAAGCTTAGGCTAGAAGCGGCCAGACTTCAGGATTGTGGGATGTGTATTTGGCTTTTTAGAAGACACCCAAGGTCCACCAACTGGAGCAAAATAGTGGCAGTGTGATTCTGGTAGAACGTTGTTGGAACACTTTCAACTCGGGAATTGTTTTCAGTAGCAGAACTAAGCTCACAGTCCAGTTGGACACAAATCAACTGCTGGTTCCCCTCCTGCAGCTTTCTTAATCTCAGCAGCCTAATTTAGAGGGGAGAAGGGGAGTGTGTCATTCCTATTGTTAAAGGATTGGGAGTCAGAATTCTTGCAGATCACTCAGATCTCACCAGCAGATTGTGATCTACCTAGGCAAAAGGGAAGAAAGGCTTGTTGCATCTGCCTGTGTTTATTTAGAGCTTGGGGATTCTCTAGAGCAGGGATGTGATCTTCCATTAGTCCTGGCCTACATGGCCAGTGGCCAGGAAGTTGTGAGTTCTAGTCTTGCTACATCTGGTGAGCCACAGGGTCCTAATCCTGCTCTAGAGCAACCCACTTGCCTAACACTCTGCAACTCTCCATCTCTACCTTTGTTTCCCAAATTTATTTATCTTGTAAAATTGGACCAGGGATCTATTGAGTCATTCTGGGTGCAGTTTTGTGTTGGTTATCATACAGAGAGCTATGTCAAAGAAGGATGTTATTCATATTTTCTTTCCATCCCCACTACCTTTTCCCCACCCTATGCAGCTGAATACGGAGCTGAAGCAAAATCTGAAGGAGACAATGACCCAGAAGTACATGAAGCCAGACGAAGTGTCTGTGACTAGTGCGGTGGACAAACTGCAGCAGGAGGTAGGCTTAGGAAATGGATTTAAATAGGGTGATAAGATTCTACATCTTTCGACTATGGAAGGAAGTATTCCACCAAATATGTGGAATGGTTTCTCCACTTGCCTAAAATGCACAACAGTTGATACAAGATAATAAACACCAAGGCATCTCTGTGTAACAAACATCCATAAAAATGGCAAAATTAGTTTCTTTCCCAAATAGGTTTTATCTTAAACAATTGCAAACGGAGTAAATAAAGAGTTCACTTGTAATATATCAGAGGTTCAGTGCTCATTTCTTCTCTTTCCAAAATAGAGTTTATCTTGAACAACTGCAAACTCAGTAATAAAGAGTCCACTTGTGATATTCCAGTGGTTCAGTGCTTGGACATCGTTCTGGTAATCAGACGTTTCGTCACTAAACTGTAGGAGGTTTGACAAACTGAAGGACATCGTTCTCTTACTATGTTCCTCCCAATGGAAACATGCAGATGGGGACAGATATACCCCTCCTTCAAGTCGTTTACATACTGTCTTCCCTTGTATATTATTTACTACAAAACTCGATGACTAAGCTCTTTAGCGATGAAACGTCTGATTGATATCCAAGCCCTTGATATATCACAAGTGAACTCTTTATTTACTGCATTTGCAGTTGTTTAAGATAAAACCTATTTGGGAAGGAAACTATTTTTGCCATTTTTATGGACATTTCTTGTTTGTTTACATATAGTTGCCTTGGTGATATTATCTTGTGTCGATTGCAGTAGTCTGTTCATTGTTTTATTGTTAAAATGCACAAGGGCATCTATGACATGTATCTTCTGGCCTCATCTCTGTGAACTAGCTGGTGCCATCCAGATACTGTATTTTGGCCTGCAATGCCCATCAGCCTCAGCTTGCCCTGCTGGCTGAGGCTGATGGGAGTTGTAGTCCAAAATATCTGGAGAGCAGCAGCTGGGCAGAAGCTGGTATACACAGTTGCAATTTGGACCTGCATGCTGCTGTTGCAAGAAGATCCTATGTGCTGTGGAACGGGGGTTGCAAGCTCTGGCCTGTAGATTCTGTAAACATGGTGGGAATGAGCTTCATTCTCATGTACCCCTCCTGTGCACATGGACCATTTTATTATGTGAATTGAGGTCTTGCACACACATTGATGCACAACAGGCCTTCTTTCCACCTCCCTTTTTTGTGGCAAATGCCATCTGTGTTGCAAAATGAGAGTCTAATTGCCTAGAAATATATACATATAGGCCTCTGCTCATCTGGATTATTTGATTCACAACTGGAGAGGGGGAGCTCCAGACTTCCATTTTCTTGAGTAGCACATGAAATTATCAAATTACTGTTTTATCGCTCGCTCTCTCTCTTTTTGTAAACGGCTCTGAGGTTTGTTTGCTTTTTACAGTCAAGCGGTATATAAATTTTATGACATGAATAAATAACTATGAACCAGCCTTAAGAGATCTAGGGTTTGTGAGATACAGCTTGTCAGAATATTTGCAGAATACTTGACCACACAGAGCAGTCCCTTGGATACCCTGACTGGGCTTTCCAAATATAGATAATTTCCCCCATGCCTCCTACTTTGTACAGATCACTTTCCCATGCCTTCTACTTTGGTTAACCTCCTTGGTCAAGAGGTGCTGTACAGGGCACATGTATTATTAGCACATTGCTGCCTCTTGGCTTCATTCCTGGCACAAGAAGTCCCAAAAGAGAAGCACAAGTGCAGCTGGTTAAAATAAACAGGTGGCTGTATTTAGTGGTTCCGTCTCCGAAGCACCAATCCACTATACCTTCACATGTCATTTGAAGAGAAAAGTGAGAGCGCAGACACATCTTCATTTGGAGCAAATGTGGCAGCCTTTCCGAATGTGGAAGGTGATGAAGCCCCCGCTACTTCTTTGTCACATCTTTTTCTCGGAGCCAGTAATCTCTAGTGACAGAAGTGTATGATGGGAAATCCAGTTTACAACAGAGCACAGAGAAAAGGCAGGGATTTTATCTTCCATCAAGCAGAGAAGCCCTATTTTAGGTCATTCCATCAGGGAGCACTTGTGTTGTCTGACACACCTAGTTTGGAAAACTTGGACAGGCATCTCATTGTTTTAGGCTGTAATTCATACAGGAGAGGAAGTGCACTCAGCTGCGTAGCTCCAAAGTTACAGAAAGTTATTTGAGACTTGCCACAGTTCAGAAAGAAGGTGAAACCTTGGCTAGTGACAGGGGAATGATTGGTTCTTACTATTCCTACTTTTTAGTTAGTAAAACCACTTTACCACAGCAATATTTTTATACTTATGCGGCTTTTTTAAATGTTGATATTCTAGACAGTAGTCCAAGCGGGAGATAACCAGAGCATGCACCGCTCTGGTGAGACAGTCCACGGGCAGGTAGGGTCTCAGCCTGCATACCAGATGGAGCTGGTAAACAGCTACCTTGGACACAGAATTGGCCTGCGCCTCCATGGACAGCTGTGAGTCCAAAATGACTCCCAGGCTTCGTACTTGGTCCTTCAGGGGCACAGTTACCCCATTCAGAGCCAGGGAGTCCCCCACACCTGCCTTTCCCCTCAAGAACAGTACTTGTGTCTTATCAGGATTCATCCTCAATCTGTTAGCCATATTTCAAAAAGTAAAAACCAGGACACCACCAAAAGTGTTGGTTGTTGTTTTTTTTACTTGCCTAAGATCCAGGACAAAGCGCCTTCTTTTGGAAATTTCCTCCTTTGATATCCCAGTAATGTCTAGGAAAATCTGGGCGTATGGCAGGCCTACACATGCAGAGCTTCTGGCTGCATGCCTAGGGTGTTTCTCTGCAGACATGACATAAGACGGGAAAATGCAAGGAAGGGAGGAGACTCGCTTGGACTGTAATGGATAGGAAGCATGTGAGCGTACAGCATGCCTGCCAGGAATGAGTTCACTCTAGCTATGACTCTTCTACACCATGCCGAATATTTGATCTGCTTACAGAGAATGTAGCTTGATACAGCGAGAACAACCAGAGTAGCCTCTCCATTGACTGTCAAAGGAGCAGCAGGATGTTTATAGGCCAGCTTACACACATCCCATATATGTATAGTTAGTAGCAGTGACATCACCATGTATATCTTTGTTCAAGGGTGGCTTTATATTTAAGGAACACTTTCTTTAAAAGAAACCAGTCAGCAGTCATGGTTATACTCCCTTACAGAAATGCCAGCTGAACCCAGCTTAGTGTTGCTCTTGGGAAGAAACATGCACAGCCCTCTAGCTCAGCAAAAGCTCAATAGCTCTTCTGTTGTATGACTGGTGGGCTGTATGCTCCTGCAGTTGTGCAGGCCAGAGGTACAGGCATTCACAGACATGATACCATAGACATCTTGAGTGTTGCAACATCTTTTGGCAATACGCCCTGCAAACTTTGCCTTTATGTTTGTGTGTGTTCAGTTTAAGTGCTGTGGCAGCCATAATGCTTCAGACTGGAGTGACAGCGAATGGATCAGATCTCCTGATGCTTTAAACCGGAAGTTCCCAGACAGTTGCTGCAAGACAGTGACAGATAAATGTGGCCAAAGAGACCATCCTTCGAATATCTACAAAGAGGTAAGAAATCAGACCTGAGCCGCCTCCCTCTTATCTGAAAGTTAAGTGGATGCCAGATGGCTCTGAGACTACTTTTATCAACAAGTTGCATGCAAGGCACCACAGCAGATTCAGCCTCTCAGTATGTTCTGCTACATTGCCTGAAGATTTTCTTCTAGAGTAGTCACAAAACTAGTCGCAAATAGATATTTACTTTCCTCAGCAGTGCTGTTCCAACACATGGGCAGGTGAGGCAGAGACACTTTACCACCATCTTGTGGCGTTCTTGGGTTGTTGTTTTTACCATTTTCAGTGAAAAGGGACAAAGATTCAGACTTGGCAACCTTAACTGTATTTTTTTAAAAAAAAGTTTGTCCCCTTAAACTCAAAAATACTTGGGAAGTTTTTTTTTAACCACGGAATTCCAATTTCCCAACTGTCAGTTGATGTTTCAGTCTACAGAGTGTTCTGCCAAAGAGTGATGGCAATGAAGCAATCATTTTTCAACAGGATTCAAAGGGGGATTAAATGATATGAGGAGCATGAATAACTTCTGCAACTAAGCTTGTTTTAGTCAGGCAGAGACAGACTAGGCCTGTGCCTCAGGGCATGATTGCTGACTGCTGGGCCCAGGTGATTCCTGCTGCCCACCCCCTAGCTTCTTTTCCAAAGTGCAATAGGGCATACTTTTGGTGAGAAAAGACACTCGTTTGAAAGGAGATTCCACCATTTTGTATTTCCTTCCCTAGCTTGCCCTGGCCTCCATTTCCTCCTCATTCATCTCTTGTCTCACATTGTCTTGTTTCTACATTGTAGGCCTGTTGGGGCAGGGAACTGTCCTCTCATGTAAATCACACAGAAGTGCCATTTACGTGGCTATAAAGAAATGTATTAAATAATATTTCCAAAGAGTTGGAAAGAATAGTGAAGTATTTACATTCTGCAACATTTGCCTCCAGTCTGCCTTTTGAGATTGACCTGCCTGTGACAGGCTGCCGAAAGGAAATGTGGAAAGAATGACTTGGGGAGCATCTGCATAACCAGTTTAAACACATTTCAAAACAGTCGTCCCCTCTCCTTAGGGAATCCTGAGAAATATATTTGTATGGGAAGGGACAGGAGATCCTTTAACAAAGGATTTTAAGCATCTTCCCCAAACTAGACCTCTTTGGGGGAAGACATAGAAGTTAAATTGGTACAAAGTAGTTATAAGTGTGTTCTGTAGATATTCCTTTCCATTTTTATCCTCGCCAGAGCTATCCCATGAGGTAGGCAAGGCTGCGGGATGGTGACTGACTGAAAGCCATCCCATGAGCTTCATAGCTCATGGGGGATTTAAATTTGAGTCTCCTCAGCTTTGCCTTTACTGGCTTGAGCTTTGAAACCATGAGCCATGTACTCATGTGCTTTCTTCCTTAGGCCACTACCCAGTGGGAATACATTTGTGGAATGATCAAACAACTTAAAAAATAAAGCTTGCCTCACACTTCAGCTAATCCTGTTATTTCTCTTGTCTGCAATGACTTGGCAAGGCAGATAAACAGGCCACCAGGAGGCCAAAGGCAATCTTTTAAAGATGGAGGCAGGCAGCGATTGAGCTTCCCTAACGCTGTGTTCTACTTCATCTTTTTTTTTTTAGTGCCTGTTTATGTTAGAGGTTTACAGTTGGCTACTGGTGCTCCACTGATTCAAGCTACTACTACTGATTCGACTTTATAGGAGCCCTCTATTCAGGCCACATGTGTAACATGGTTAAAGTGAAGCATTAGGCCAAGAAATCCTTGCAAGGATGAGCATTTGTTCATATGCCCCAGCCCATTTTTTAAATTTTCTTGCATTTATTTGCTGTGTGAAAACTTTTGTTCCCAGGCGAATCTTGAAACAGCACAAGAAGACACAAATAACTTGAAATTATGGCAACAATTTTCTCTCTCTCTCTAGGGTGGCTGCATCACTAAACTGGAAAACTTCATCCAGGAACACCTGAAAATCATTGGAGCAGTGGGGATTGGCATTGCTTTTGTACAGGTATGGGCTAGTAATATGCAAGATTGGAGTGTCCAAGGTTAGAGCTTGGGAGACCACCGTGCTACAGTTCCTGTCTCAGGTTTACTGTTATGAGAGTAATTGGCGACTGGGGACCTGTAAGCAAAGTCTGACCCATGGATACCTGTCATCCAGCTCACCACTGATCCGAAAGCTGCTATAGGACAGACAGACAAACAAACAAACAAACAGCACTGCAGAAAACATATGGGTAATCAACCACAGAAGAGAAAGAGAAAGGTTTCAGGAATATCATGAAAGGTGCATACTTCCCCAGCAGGGGCTAGGCAGGAGTGTGGCATAGCACTTGGCCAATTGCTCCGGTGGTTAGCTTTAGATTGGCCTGTTGCCCACTCTGGTTGCCAACAACACTGCATTAGGGCAAAAAGGACGTCAATTTCTCTTTGCTATTGTCTGTAAATTAGAGATAATAGCTTTGCAGGATTCAGAGGATCCTGTGTGCAAATTGTAACCATGTAAAAGCAGCTGGAATTAAGCAGCAGTCAAGCACCACTGGATTCTGGAGGCTTCGTTGGGTTTGCTCTGAATTCAGGAAGTGATTCTATATTCCATCTCTGTGCCTTGAGCAATCTTCTGGTCATAGAAGTAGCTGTCATCTCTGATCTTATTTTTCACACACACACACACACACACACACACACACACACTTTAAGCTCAAGTATCATCTCACATTGCACTGTGTGTGTGTGTGTGTGTGTGTGTGTGTGAATATTCTCACCCATGCCTATTTCTTTTGCAATTTTCTATATCTCCATGATTTGTGGCAATCATGAATTTCTGAAGCCAGTGTGTCGGCTTAGCACAGTATATTAACTAGCATTGCTAATGAGTTCTCAAAAGTTACTAGCCCACACCCACAAAAAGTTGCCTGCCAGCCTGCATACCTGCACTTACCTGTCTTGCCATTTGTGGTTCATTCATGGCCTCAAAAGTTGGCTTGCTTTCAGCGTTCAAATTGCTTCCCTAACTGGAGACAATTCCCACTCAATACAAGCAACCACACAAAGGACTGTTTACATGCCAGACATTAACCTTTGACCCTGACAAGTGGCCCTCAGAAAGTTGCCCTGAATGGAATGTGGCCCTCCCCACCCCCTGGGTTCCCTGCTAAGAAGCTACAGTAGAAGCCAGCTTTGGTGGTGTTTTCTCAGATGTGAGTTATCTGATTTCACTGTGAAATTGAGAGAATGTCTCCCCCACAATCATTTTAAAGTGGCAATTTTCAAAAACCTTTACATGTAACTCCCTAATAACCTGTGTGCTTAAAAAAAATCCTACAGTTTATGGAGTAAGGGATGGAGGCGCTTCTAAAGGTTTGAGGTTGCCAACTCTGGATACAAATGACTCAGTAAAAAAAAACACCAACATACTATTTACTGAAGGGAAGGTTGTGAAAAACAGAATCTTTCTGTAAAGCAGTGAGAAGGCAGCCTCTAGTGGTGATTTGTCCCAACAGCTGCTCAGACTGAACAGTGTAATTAGAAGGGGATGCTTTTAAAACAGGGGTCCCCAAACTAAGGTCCGCGGGTCAGATAAGGCCCGAGGGACTCGTTTATCTGGCCCGTGGCGACCCACGCTGCCACCGCCTGCTCTTACCAGCACTGTGCTGCACAGCTGCCCACTTCCAGGTCAGAGGAGCACCGGAAATAGCTTGTGTGCATGCGCAAGTGTTATTTCCAGTGCACATCTGGGTCAGAGGAGGCCTGTGCACATGCGCACAAGTTAATTCTGGTGCTTCTCCGACCCAGAAGTGCACCGGAAATAGTGTGTGCGCACGCGTATGGGCACGCGCTCTCCCGGCCTCTGGCCCGCTGAACAATCAGCACTGGAGACACCGGCCCGAGGCGCGGTAGGTTTGCTGACCCCTGTTTTAAAATAACTTCTTTTTCTTAAAATTCAGAACACTACCAGAATAACCCACAGTGACTCTGATATCTTGGGAGTTTTGACAACCACATAGTAACTATCCATTGCTCGATTTCTCTCTTCGCTTCCCATTTCAAATAATTATGAGAATGTTTCCTTTTCCCTTTTTTTTTTTAATGGCCAAAGGTGAAATGTGCAGTGATCTTAATGTAATCTTAATGCTGAACCAGTGCATTTCCCCCTCTCATGCCTTTGCAGCTGTCATTGTAAAGTGCAGTTCACTCAGGACTGGCTCTTTCTCACTTGGGCGAGATTTTCCTTTTACTTCTTACAGAAAACAGCTATTACCAGCTGTCCAAAGGAATGCCCTTGCTTGCAGCATCACATCTCTATTACAGCTGAGCTGCCCTGCTGGAGCATAGGAAATTACCTTGTACGAAGTCATACTTTTGGTTCATTGAGCGGTAACTGAGAGGCAGTGGCTTTCCAGGGTTTTTGACAGGGGTCAGCCATACCTGGAAATGTTGGAGGCTGAGCCTGGGACCTTCTGTGTGAAAGCGAGATGCTGTCCCCGAGCTACAGACCACTGAGCTTGCCCAGGCTTCAGGGTTCACCTGCTGAGGTTTCAGGTCATATTTTCTCTGTACCCATATTGGAAGATCGGTCCCTTCTGACTGCAAAACTCTGTATGATTGCAAGGGACCAACATTCTCTTCCATGTGAGAAGAATGAAGAGGTGCTGAGATACATGGCTTGATGCATTGCTTCTCCTGTTGCTTACCCATGTTTTGTATTGTTGTTTTTTTGCCTTCTAGATATTTGGGATGCTCTTCACTTGCTGTTTGTACAGGAATTTGAAATCTGAGCCTTACTAGGGAAGCTTGGAAGACCACCCCACCTGCTTGACTACACCACGTTCCATCCCATCACCCTGTCCTTTTAGGCGGCAGCACAGAAAAAATCAACCTCGCAAGGACTTCTGCTGCTTAAGGAAACTTATTCTTGGATCACCCAGTGCCTCTGCCAGAGAGAGAGAGATCAGTTGTCCTCCTTATGGCAGTCGTGGAGGCCCAGGGCTCACCCAGTCTTTTCTTTGTGGTCCAGAGTCATGGAGTTGTAGAATTCTTATCTGCCAGAAATGTTTCCAAGCCCAGGCCCAAGCATTCAATCTGAAAGAGAGATCATCAACGCTGCAGGAGCCCTGGCACCTTTCCTGTTTCCATTTTAGCTCTCTTTTAACCAAGACATTGACTCTCCGATCAGCTGACAACTAGCCCACAAGGATGCATAAGGCATTCACAGGTTGGGAGTTTTAAATCCTCTCTTCCTGCACCCAGAAGAAGTGCCTTTCTGGACCAGTGGAAGTTCTGATGTGACGGCTCTTTCCCATCCAAGGCAGTGCCTCCTTCTGCTGGGTAATCTCTTCTCCCGATCTCCTTGAGGTTGTGCCTGAGAGATGGATGGACTAGGTTACCCACAAAGCCGGCTGCTTCATCCTCAGGGCCTTCCCTCTGCCCCAACAGGAGGCCCCCCCTGGAGACGAGTCTTGTGCCTTTCAGGCCAGGTGTTGGAGGACGTTCTTTTGTTCTCTTAATTAGAAGCCTTGGCCTACTTTTTCCAACAGACACACAAACAATAAGCTTTCTGTTGAAATGGCTTCCTGCCTCAACTGTGCTGTCAAGATAACCCGACTCTGTGGAATCGTGCAGCTCCCCTTTTCATAGGAATGAGCATCCTCTCCTAGAATGACACATCATTTAACTGCGGAGAACATACTTCTACTTGCTTTTGTGTTGATCTTCAAAGTCTGATTAGCCAGCCAGGTACTCTCTGGCTGGCATGAAAACCCAGTATTCAGCTCTCCTATTCCCCTCTCTCATTAATTTACTGAGTATGCTTCATACCAAATGATTTCAATTGGCAGTAAGGCATAAAATTGCAAATTGAACTATTGGGTGCAAGGAGAGAAAGTGGCCGGTATCTTTTGTATCCACAGCAGTTGCCTCTTTTGCTGTACAGGAGGCTATTCTAGGAATGGCTTCCAACAGCGGGTTTGCTAGTTTTCCCAAGAATTCACCCCTCTAAAGGTTTTCACAGAATATGTTTTAGAAACAGAAAAAGCATCCTTGATAGAGTAGGTGTCCATATCCTGTTTGTATAGCCCGTGCCCAAGTATTCCTTCCCCATTCTTACATTGACCTGTTTCATGACTGCCTCACATTTTGATTTCAGTAAGGTAGCTCATCCATTTAACAGCTCTTCCCACACCTTTGTAGGTCCATTGTAGCAACAGCAGCATGCTGAAGAATATACTTCCTGTAACTGATGGGGAACCAGGTGGGCCCTCCAGATGTTGGACTACAGCTCCCATCATTCCTGGCCATTGGTAATAGTAGCTGGTGGCTGATGGTCGTTGAAGTCCAATATATGGATCCCCATCCCTCTCCTATCCCACTGAAAGTCTCCCGAGTAAACAGTGTGGCCGCTTGTGTATTGGCATTCTGTAGGTTCCGTTGAAGCTCTTGCATTGCCCCTCCATAGCCCATTCTTCCCTGTCCCCTTTCACACACCTGGTTGGGGGCAAGAGCAATCACATGGCCTAAGGAAGCTTTTCCCCAGTCTCTGGTGCCTTCCTGACATTGCCAGACTCCCAGCTTCCATCATACCTTACTGTGGTCGATAGCAGTTGGGAGTCCTAACAACATTGGAGGGCACCAGGCTGTGGAAAGTTGATCTAAGCCCCCACCATCACCACCAAAGGCCAGCGTATACAGGTTTTGCCCAAACTGGGAACCTAGTCTTACACTCCAGGATTTTCCTTAGCTGGCTAGATGTGACTTTCTCCAACTAAAGTAGAGGCTAAAGGTAATTCCATCTCCAGCCCTTTGTGGGCTTTGATAGGCAAGCACTTAATATAAACACACCACCCAAGAAAGTCCATGTCACATAATTGCCTCTCATGGGTGCAGTGAAAAATGGAGTGTCCTCTTGGCTGCTTTGCTCAGGAGGTTCAGGAACAGTTCAGGAGGCAGCTGGGGAGATGTAAAGCATGATCACACATGGTAAACGTCCTTGCAGGAGAAAGGTTTTGCGCCATTCTCACTGTAAAGGTGGGTGAGTATCTAAATTATTACAAATTAAATTGCTAAATTATTTCTTTATACCTACCTGATGTTTCTCTCCCCACTCCCCAACCTGCAAGAAAACAGAAGGTCCTGATTGCAGTTGCTTGAAACAGTATTTGACTACTGAAGTGCATTTGCGTGGATGGCTAGCTTTCTCTCCACCTCCCTCCACTGGGAAACTATATTGTGCCATGGTAAGAGAGGGCCAGGGGTTGCCAGTCAGCAATCTGTGCTTGCTCTTTGGTTTTTCCTCATATAATAACCATGCTTTAAATACAGTTTATGTTGCTGGCCAATAAAGCTAATATTGTCTGTATTTTGTCCTGTGTGAGGCCGAAGTGATAATGTGGGTTTGCGAAGTAGCCAAACACCTCATCGGTAACAGGGACGGGGGTCTGGGAGATTGTCAACTACTATATTTCAAATATTTGTGCATCACATGATGCGCCTGACAGTACCTCCTACGATGTCTCAGTCAATATCGCCTGAAAAATCCACAAAGTGCTGGAGGCAGTTTGGTCTTCCTGCTCAGTTCCTATTTCCAACTTGGCGTCTCCTGCATTGAACATGCTGCCACTTGAAAGATGAGCATGTTTGTTGGATGCCAGGATTAGACACCCACCCTTCCCATCGGTTCTGAAGAAAGAGCAGCGGTGACTGATGCAGATTGTTGGGGACACACACCTACTCCACACTTTTGTAGTCCTGTCTCTCTGTTGTTTTAAATGTGGCACTCATTTTGTGTTCTTCTGGGCCCCTTGGCAGCCATTTTGTGACTCACAAAATTCCAAATGTGCCCAATGGCCCCCTAAGGTTGATGATCTCTCCCTGCAAACCTCACCCTTGATGTATTAGAAGCAGGCTCTTGTGCAACCCAGACTATTGTGCATCTGAAGCACACCAGAAACTCAACCTAATGAGTGAGTCCCATGTCTATCTCTGGGTTGGTTCACTATTTTTGAAACTGGAATTACAGTCATTCATACATCTATAGTTTCTGCACTGTAGCATACCATTCAATGCATGTGTAAAGCATATGACTACCCCCGACCCCCGATCCTGGGCACTGTATGTTTTTTTGAAGAGTACTGGGAATTGTAGCCCTGTGAGAGGGCAACTACAATTCCCAGTATTCACTGGGGAAACCATGTGCTTCAAATGTGTGGTGTGCATGCAGCCTGGAAGGAAGCAAACCTGCATGTTAATTCTCTAAAAAGCACCTGGAAGGAGGCACCAACTAGTTCTATTTGCCACTAATACGGTTCAGCTGCAGTGAATGCTCTGCCCCAACAAGCTGGGAGAAAGAAGTTAACAGTGCCAGCCAAGCAGTGTGAAGAGTTATCTCATCCAGGTACTAAATCATTTTCCTTTTTAAGCAGAAAAAGGTTAGACTTGGTCATGCATGTTACTTTCTTTGTTCCTGTACAGACTTCTGGTGTCCGTGTGGCCAATGAGCTGGCTGGGTTTGGTTTGTCAATAGTGTGATACTTCAAGAGAGAAAGCTTTACTACAGATCTGGGAGAGAACTCTTGCTTTCATGTGCTTGGCGGATAGAGTCCTAACTCCACCCCAGGATGTGATGTGATGTTTCTGCAGAGTATTAATGAAACTAAAATATCCAGCCTTTGGTTGAACTGTCTCTGCTTTAAGTTCAGATGGGTTCAGATTGGTCTGCTGAGCCCACAGCTGCTTCTGATGTCTTTTCTGATAAGAGAGACTGTTTTAGCAGCCACTGGTAGCAAGGAGCAGCATAATTTAACTGCAGGAACGGCTTAATCAATTAGACCTTTTGAAAAATACGGCTAGGTGAGCTGGCTTTGTTTTCTAGGCGAATAAACCACTCTCTCTGCCATATAGGAGAGGAAATGTGCTTGTGATAAAAGCATTCCTTCCAACATTCATTGGATGAAAATGCCCCTATGCCATGGTAGCTTGATGTGCAAAAAAGGAGAGGGATCTCCTGCCCCTTTCACTGTTGGGATAGAAGAGGGGATTTCAGCAAGTGTAGCTTGTCATGCAAGCAACTCCTGCTGAAATTCTAGCCAGTTCCATTCCTGGGAACCTCAAGTCCCACATCTACATGGTATTTCCTCTCCCCTCCCCAACCTTTTAGCTCCCCAAGTCTAGCATCTGTTTTACCCGATTCTTAGGGGCAGTTTGAGATTTCCAGGATTGCAATACTATTCACGTGGCAATTATGCATGCTTTATGTTGCAATTTGATTCACACTTCCTGGGGTGTCCCTCCAATTGAGCTTAGAGGGGCTTGATTCTGATTAAACACAGGATTGCACTGCTAGTATGTTGCTTGTTTTTGATGGACCTTCATTCAAGACAGTTTTTCCTTCAACTAGTAAAAGTGAAGCATTTCAATTTCATGTCAAAATGTTTAGACGGGAGCACTGTATAATATTTTTCTAACTTTAAATTTATAGCTTTAAATTGTTTATAGAATTATAGCTTTAATAGAGTTTTAAAAAACAAAACACCACCCGCAAACTAATGTGTGGTTTTCTCCAAGCCCACAAATACGTGGGCATGAGAAGAGACTAGTTGTAAACCTATGTGCACATGTGTGCATCTCTAGAAATGGGGAAAACCTCTTATTTTGCCATTAATTCCTTTCCAGCATCTGACCACTAGGTGGTGCTTGACATTACACAAGTATGTATATTTAAATGCCAAACATAGCATGCTGCAGGCTAAGAGCAAGGAGTGCTGCTTTTGTTTGTCCTTACAGTGAACTCTGCATCTGCATGTGTCCTGCAGCTGTGGTTACTGAATCATCCACTGCCACCACAGCACAAGTTGAGCCTCCCTCTCTCCTGCAGTGGAAAGCAAACCAGGCTGGTGTTCTTATCAGCCAAGATGTCTCTGTGTCTCTGTGTGATTCATTGCTAATCCTGAATCAAAAAGTATGTTTTCTTAAGGACCCCATTCCTTCAATAGTGAATTGTCAGCAGAGAAAGTCTCAATCTAGTGCTCCACCCATGGCATTGATGTGTTCAGTAACACTTTTCCAGCTCCCTAAGGATAGAGAAGCCATGGCCATTCATTGGCTCCAACTCTCATCAATTCCAAGCCAGTGGCTTGGGATAGATGAGAGCAATGGCTCAACAACATGGGGTGTGTGTCTCGTGCTCCCCACCCTTGGTTTACCTGACCCAGAGCAGTGACTGTCTCAATTTGGTAAAAGCAGGATCTGTCTGCTTACTGAAGTCACAACTTAGGCTTTGAGTGCGATAGGTATAACAAAGGTGTGAACACTGCTCTAAAATGGCACATGATGTGCTTGCCAATCTGGATTTTCATCCTCTTGAGATGGGTTGGAATTGTTTTCCCTTCACATGGTGAAGACATGAATGAGGCAAACCAAACCCAAAAACCTGCCCAAAGACACTTGCCAGCTGAGAATGTAGAATTTGAACCCAAGTCAACCATGACTAAAAACTCCATGCAGAGGTTCACCCTGTCTTTGCTGCCATTAAATATCAAGGAGGCAAGCTCTACTGGCAATTATAAATATGGGTTAAAACTGCAGAGGAGAAAGTTACCATATTAAGTCTGCATCGTCTTTGGCTCAGGTCACTTATCATCTCAAATTGGATGGGAAATCTCTGGCCGGATGTAGCTACCTCTGTTCCTCCCCACCCCACCCCACCCTCTTGGGACTCTCCCCAGGCAACACCACCTTTCCAGAAAGCCTCCCTGGCAATGCTCTGCACTCCTCTCTCTCAACTGCTTTTGCCTGGCTGGAAGGTGCCCTTGAAGTCTGATGATGCTTTTTGCTTACCTGGATGGAGGATGGGGACATGACCTCTGCCTAGCCGGAATGTAGGCTACTATACAAATAGCTTCCCACTGACCAATAGGAGACCAGCACCAGGGATGATCAAGGCCTGTTTCCCGGCCAGATGACAATAAAACAGGCTCAGGTGGTGGCATAACTGCTGGCAATATGGTAACGTAACACATCTGGCCATATGTCACCAATTTAAAAAGAGTAAGTACCAAAGGTGAATCCCCTTCTCTCCCTCCACCAACAGATTGTTGAAACACTTTCAGCAACTTTCCCCTTTTAATCAGCAATAACTACCCTTTCATAACCCTGTTTAATTACCCTGATGTTCTTCCACTTGTGGTAATTAATGGAACAGGCTGTTGAGCCAAATGTTTTTGTTGATATTAACAGCACTGGCTGTCCAGTGCCAGTCAAGTATGGCAGTCAAGTATGCACACACACACACACACACACACACACACACGGGGGGGAAAGAGACTGTTCTTTTCAAAGGTGTGCTACAGGTAGATATTCAACAGGTGCATCTCTTCTTAGCATGGAGATGCAGCAAGTGGTTTTCAAAAGGAGAAAAGGCAAGGATAATACCAGGCAGCAAGATGCTGGCTGGCATGGACAGGTCTATTATGCCTCTGACCTCCCACCAAGGAGAAAGATCTGGCTCCTCCCAAGACCCCTGGGATGCATAAAGGATCTTGGATGGGGCGGGTATGATATTAGTTTGCACAAGGTCCTTAGGTAGTCTGGAAGCAGAGCCTCTCTCTCTCACGCTGCTGCTGCTGCTGCTGTGCAGCATAAATGACACAAAAGGAGAGGATGCCAGGGGGAGGGGGCAAGCGCAAAGCTGGAGGACCAGGTGACTGCAGGGGAGGGATGAAGCCCTGCACAAAGTGAGAGCAAGCCCCCTATAGGGTGTTACTTCGTTCACATGCCCCAACCTTTTTTGCTCCTTTGCAGTTATGCATAGGTGGCTCCTTGCTTGCTTACTCCCCTTAATCCTGTTCCTCACCCTTCAGAATCCTAAAGAGCTCTACAATCATGTAGGGGGTATCTGGTGATGCAGCAATGATGGAAGAAAGGAGTTTCTTTGCAGCTTCTCCACAAGGACAAGAAAAATATTCCGTTTTACACTGTGCAAAAACACAAGCTGGAAGCACATGCTCAACCTATAAAGTATCCTTCGGCCCCAGCCACACTTCATTGAGAATATGAGGCTAACAATATTTTGCAACCTCACAGTGTTCTAGCAGGGAAACAGTGGCTGAAAAGACTCTGCAAATATTAAATATATGCATGGGGGGGGCACTTGACAGCAAGCTCAGTCCTTGGCAACACTCACATTTTACTTATTTACTTTGATTGACAACCTGCCTTTCGGTAAAACATTCCCACATGGAATCTTAGTAATCGAAATAACTGCACAATAATAAACCATATTTCTTTTTAAAATACTGTACTAAGTATACTGAGAGCTAATGCATCTCGGAGACGATAAAGTCATCCATCCTTTTGGAATAAAAGTGTTTTCAAAGCCCATTTTAAACTGAGAAGGTATGTGATGGAGCTCCTAAGAAAGGAAGCCTCACAGCTGTGGTGCCACTCCTGAAAAGGCCCTGTTTCTCTGAGGTGCACTGAGGGAGGGTCAGTGGGCAGGCCCTCCGAAGCTGTGCTTAGGGTTTGGGCTTTCTTAACAGCTCTGGCAAGTTGCAGTAGTCCTGTGCTGGAGCTATTCAGTTGTATATTTTTGTTTCTAGTGCTTCAGTTCCCCCATAGTGTAGTGGAGATACCAGGACTGAGCAGGAGCAGCTTACTGGCAAGCAAATTTATGAAGGGGTATTTCTCTCCCTTCTGGTCTGTGATAGAGAGGAAAATCACTGTCTGTGCTCTTTGGAGATTGAAGAACTGATTTCTCCTCCCCACGGCAGTGCTGGGCTGGGAGAAGAGGAACCTTTATTCACAGCGCTGCAATGGGGAGGACACCCCACTTCGCTGCTCAGTGGAAGAGCAGGGTTTGCATATTCATACCAGCCTGTCAGGTGTGTGGTCATGCTCGGTCTTTGGCAAAGCCCACTTTTGTTTTGGCCACGTCCTCCACTGATATGCAGCCTTGGGAGGTTGGCCAACAGCAGATATGGCCCCCGGGCACCCCTTGGAAGTAAACACAACTCAGCAGGGGCATAATTCTATGCAGGATGGCACTGTTTGCCACAATGCCCAAGTAGCTCTCGGAAGGATGCTTATACCATGATTGTGTGGCCCAGAGAGGGAGTGTGGAACCTTGGTGAGTCTAGCAGTCCATCCAGTTTGTTTAGGCAGGAGCCCTGGCAGGGAGTGGTCCTGGCAGCTTTCCTAGGCAGTCGCTGGGGCTGTGTGGGGCTGTCAGCTGCACTCCTGCAACCCCCCCCCCTTCCCCTCAGTCAGCAGGGCGAGAAAGGGTCGCATGTTTGGTTCAATTCATTTCCTCCTTGGAATCTGGCCAAGCTGCTGAGTATTTAGAGAAGCCTAACCGCTCTTTAAAGCCATGTCATCAAGAGCAGCCAAGAAAATGCTGGTGGTATCTTATGACTTACGGCGGCGGGGGGAGGAATGGGCAGGAAAGATAAAACACCCACACAGTCCAAATGAAAGGTCAATTTTGGGGTGGGTGGGAAGGTTATTTTCTTCACTAAATAACTGAAATCATGCAAGCAGCAAGTATAGCATGTCTCCGGCACATAGATTTGGTGAATCACTCTGTCTCAGAGGGCCGTTTAACTAGCAGGGAATTTGAAGATTGCCTTCATTTGCTAGAAGGGAAGCACATTCCCCTTAGCATTGTGGCGGGTTCCTATTCTCTCTCGCACACGGAGCCCATTAGGGTTGGCAGCGCTCTCCCCCCCCTCTCTCGTGTGTGTGTTTTTACCTTCTAATCACTCCTATTGCAGACAAAGAGACTTTTCAGGGCACTTCTGAGCAGCGAGGAGCAGATTCCGTGCAATAAAAGATTCCTGCCCAGCCAAGATAATGATCTCTCCAATTTCAACAGTCTTCCACCTCCACCCACTGCAACCTGCCACTGCCATTCTGCCAAGTGGGCCCAGTGGAAGAGCATTCTCCCCTTGGCCTCCAAAAACAAGTCCTTCCCAGCCCTCTCTTGGCAGGAAGATGAAGGAAGCAGGCCACCTCCTCCTCTGCCTACGGACATGGTGCCCTGTTTAAAAGGATATTTGAAACGAGGAGATCCTCCCTACCTCCAAGCACAGTCATGGGGCTACCCACTTCCCATTCAAAGCAAAACAAAACAATGGGAGCCTTGCTGTTGATTTTACTACATCACAACCTGCAGCTCACAATTCACATTTTATTTCCTGCACCCGGTGTGCTGCCAAGTCTCCACTTCCCAATGGCTATTTGGCTGCTTTCTTTTAATAGGCTTGCCTCCCACTTCTCTCCAGCCTGCATGAGGCAGCTCACAACAATCACATAGCTAAAACAACACACAAATATATCAGCTACAAAACTCACAGAGGACATAGAGGCACTGTATATTTCACCCAGCACCCATTCACTCACGAGCAAGGCATGACTCTCTCTGCTGCTGAAAACAGGCACCCTTCCCCAAAGCCAAGGAGGATACATTCAGAGGAATCACTGCTGGAAGACTGTTCCATGGACTTGGTCTCGGAACAGGAAGAAATGCATCATGGGGCAATGGGCTCATTCACATTTTGACTTGTCCTATATTTTGATTGGTCTGTATACCAGTCCTCAAAATGCTCCATCTGCACTAAGATCCATACGTTTGGTTTGTTCTACGTGGTGTAGCAAAACCTATACTCGTTATATTCAGGCACAAAGCTTATCCCAAGAAAAGAACATATAATGACTCAGAAGGCCATAAAGGATGAATGTAAGCCAGAGAAATGCTCACCATACACCCGTGATATATCAAATCTGCATGCTTTTATTATGTGCTCACTAATGCTATACACCTTTATATCTAGATTTTCTGGGGCAGCTTTTCATTCCTAGGACCTCTTCCTAATATTAATTATTTTTCAAGAGACATGCATGTCCAAACCTTTTAGACTAGAAGGGTGTCTTCCAAGGATGTATGCCCTCTTATTGTGTATCAAGGAGATAATCAGATATGTTATCCGACAGCTCTCCTTCCTTACAAATCCCTTTCTGTTCATCGCACTTGGGAGCTCTGTCACATTGCTGGGCCTTGTCCTTTGCAGCTATCAGTATGTTGTCTTGCCGCCCCAAGCAATCCTTTTTCTGGGTTGCCTAAAGAGAAAGGTAATACTTTTCTATTATGCATCCCCATGCTGGGTGCTATTATAGAGTATTTTACATTTACTGTATCTAAATTAAATCTCATCCCATTTAAACTCATCCATTTGGCTGAGGTCTCTCCGTCACTAAGTGATTCCATTTATCTGCTGTTTTCGCAAGCCCTTCTTGTTTGATCCGTGAACATGATCAATATTGCAATGTATTTTCACCTCCAAAACCACTAATGAAGATTTTTGAGAGCAGCCAGCTTGAGACTGACCTGGCACTTCCTGCTCCTAACTGGCTGCATGGGTGTTCTGCATAATTGATTTGTTGACGGGCTGTCAGCTAGCTCTTCCCAGCAATATTCTCAATGGAGATATTTCAGTGATTTGTCACATGTTTAGAGTGGGCAGCCTCGAGTCAAAGAGGATGGTGCCTTTCCATATATTTTCAAAAAGTTGCCATTCTCTCTGACTCTTAGAATGCTTCACATATACTATCAGCCTTCATTGGAGGTAAAGGATTGTGAGACTAGGTGGGTATGGCTTTGTCAGGCGAGCACTCATTCTCTTGGCTTGTGATCTGTCAGGCTGATGGGTCTTTGGGATTAGACCCAACCTGATGTTTTAGACCACAATTCCCATCAATTCCCATTTTTTCTAGAAAAAGAGGTGCCGGAACTCACCATGAATGCCTCCCTTGTTCTCTTAGAATGGCAATGGCGCCTACCTGAGAGGTGCCAGAACTGAGTCCCGGCTGGAAAAAAAGCTCTGCCCATCACCCGAGACATCATTGCCAGTGATCGGGGATTATTTATTTCTTTTAACAGATGCATAACCTGCTTTTCAAGGAACAAAGCAGCTTATAAAACACGCATAACCAATAAAATATAGTTTTAACCCATCTAAAACATATCCTTTGTAAGACAGCTAAAAGCCAACACAAAAACAACGGATACTCAGCATAATTAGACCTTCCAAAGCACAAACTACAACACTGTTTCCACAGCTTTGTTTCCAATTAACCACTGAATTAATGGCAGCTGTAGTCCAAAAAATTTGGGGGATACCCAGTTGGGACTAGATAACCTTCCAGCTGTGATCTTGTGTGAACTGTAGGAAATCCCTGTCCTCCAGCTGTTTCCTGGGAGTGCTGCCACCCTTTCCCAGGACCTTCGCAACCAGCTGTACTTTTAAAATCCTGAACCTTGCATCTGGAGCTTCTAAACACCAAGTTGCCTCATGTGTTGTATTAATATTTATCTGTGCAACACTTTGATAAGAAAAACTCTGATGCTTTCTGATTAGAAAAGATGCTTTGTGTAGGTCTCCGCCTAAAGCCTTTCTGTATCTAGCTATATTAAATTCCCTTTGTCAGCTAAATCTGCAATTTTGTCAAAGGAGGCTATTGGAGTCTGTCTGGCACGATCTGTGCTTTATGAACCCAAGTTGCTTATCACTCACCGTGTTGTTCTTTCATAAGGGCTGACATATCGATTCCCATAAAACATTAGCCTGGCTTGGAAATGCAGGCTTGCCACAAGTGAGTGAAACTGACAAGCTGCATGAGAGCTGCCCATTCTTCCATGCAGAGAGGGCTAAAGGACAGTGGCTCCTCTCCCAGGAGGGAATGTCTGCTTCTTGGAGAGCTGGGCCATCGAGGCCATTAGCAGTGGACCAACACATTAAGATGGGCTCGTGCATGTATGTAGCATACACAGCTGGGATAGCTCAGTTGATTAGAGCATGGTGCTGATAGTGGCAAGGTTGCAGGTTCAATCCCCCTATGGGGCAGCTGCATATTCCTGCATTGCAGGGGATTGCGCTAGATGATCCTCAGGGTCCCTTCCAATTCTACAATTCTATGATTCCAGGATGCAAAAAAGGAAGCGGCTTCCAGCTTACTCACAATTGTCAGAGGTTGATCTATTAGGGCAAATGGGGCACCGTCCCTACCAACCTCAGTGCTCCCCCAGGGAGCTGCTCCAGTCTAGAGGAGGGCACTGCCTGTCAGTTTCCTCCTCCTCTTCATTCTTAGTGCTACAACTCAGCAGGGAGGCGGACAAGAACAAACTAGAATTAGTTGCTTCAGCAGTATTATTGGATCTGGCTCTGCCCCCTGCTGGTTTCCCTCCCTCCCACCTTACCAGTCCCAAGGGGTACCTCCCACCCCTGCACACAATTGTTGAAGTGGGCAAGAGGATACGGAATGTGCAATGCAACACCATTTGAGTGCCAAATGAAAGGGCCACTCCAACAAAACAGGCAGTTGAGGTTGTCACTGGGGGCACCATTTGCTTAAAAACCTCCAAGGAAGGAGAGTCCACCACCTCTCAGGGTCACTGCCCTCGCCAAGATTTGCTGCTGCCTTCTCCCCCCACCCTCGCTCACCGATGGGCCACAGCAGGACATGCAGCTGACAGGGAATCCCAGGGATTGAACTGAAAACCTCAGGGAGGTGGGCAGGGAAGGGACAAGAAGGACCTGCAAAACCAATGACAAGCTGCATTGGAGCCAAGAGAAACCTGGATATGACTAATGGCCCAATCCAAATCTCTCTGCTGAAATAAATGGACAAGGGGAGGTCTAAAGGTGGTTCTGATCCCAGTTATGATTTTGGGTGGTGTCGGTGACGTGTATATGCAAGCTAGGAGCAGGTAGAAATAAACGGCATGAAAAGCAACAGTTGAAAAGTGAGATGTCTGGGAAAGCAATTACATGCATAGGCTGTGTAAAGGAATTGAACAGAGTTTTGTTTTGTGTGCATTCAGGCTCTATGCATTATGCTTGCTGTAAGAAAGACTAGTCAGATTTGTCAATGAAATTGACAAAAAATCTGTGCATCACTTATCTCCCCCACAGAGCCCCTGAACCATTCTCTAGCCTGCCATGTGATTAGTGACTATAGACAGTCCTTTTGTGGCAAAGAATTTGAAAGGCGCTTCCAGCCATAGGTGAAATCCATTGATGTCCACCTGCCAGCAGAACAGACACTCTCAGCAGAATGGATTCAGCCTCTAGGGCAGATGAGGGGCTCATGGGGGAGTTCAGTGGAAGAGGAGAGGAAGGGGAGGTCTACATGTGCAATGTAGGGTGTTCACCAATGTCAACCAGTGGAAAAGAAACGGTACTACGAGCTGTCTTTTGAAATATTGTACTGCTCCCACACCATGGATAGCGGCATTATGACATTAAAAAAACGATACCTTCTAAAAGCTACTGATTAATAAAAAGCTAAACTTATTTACTGTATACATGTTTTGTTTCAGGTATGAGGGTGGAAGGAAAGATATTGGGGCGCAGGAGGGGAAAGGAGGAAATTGCCAGCGAATTTTAAAGGTCAACATTTGGCTATTGGCACAATTAAATTGCAGCAGAAACAGGAACAACAGTCTACATTAAGAGCATTTGTTGCTTCCTTATACTTTATATAGTAACTACAGTAATGCTGTTCTTGTTCAGATAGTTTTATACATATACACTGGAGGGGAGGAGCAAACGGATTTGTATGTTTGGCGTGCAGGCTTAGAAGAAGAGTCAGTTGTTTACAACAACAGCTTAAAATATAGAACTGGTGAGTTGGCCAGAGAGAGAAGTACACTTATCTGTGGTTCAAAACACCAGTGGGGATTTCTTGTCAAACAATAGAATTGGTTTACTCAAAATTTAATCCAGAGCCTTGAATTGCAAAGACGGATAGTTGTTTGTGGTGCTTAGCCTTTAGATCTCACCTTGGAACAAAGGCTTGTCTCACCTGTGCTCCCTTCATCCCTCTCCAGTGCTCTGCCACCCTAATTCCCCCTTCTTGTCATGTTACACCTCTCCTTAAGTCCCTGCCACAGGTTAAGGCCACACATCTCTTTATCTCATGTTAGATGCCAGCAATGTGTCTGAGCACTGCACTTTAAACCACACTTTTCATTTGTAATCTTCCAGCTGATGGTGTGTTTCTGAAGGATTTCACACATTATGTTGGAATATCCCCTGAGCAAATAGAAAGCCGGCCACTGCTCCCATAGACCTTAGCAACCCGACAGAATAATATTAAAAGAATGTGTGAACAGATCACCAGGAAACTTTGCTGGAATGCCACAGGTTGGTTTTGCTCCAAGATGAGCTTGGATACGCTTGCTGAAAGCAACCTTAGACTGAATGTATCTTCAGCCGTTAAGCTTTCACTCAGCATGTTACATACTCTTTCTGTTACATCTAATGCCCAGCTAAATCTATGCCTTTGGACCAAAGCACTTTGGGAAAAGCTCTAAACCTCTTTCCTAACTTTCTTACTGCTAGAATTTATTCTCCTCCCGTCCCAGACAACCCTGAGCTATGGTTTACAGTTGAGTTGTGGCTCAGCAAGTAGGCTAACAATGAACTCTCCTTGTAAGCAGCCTGTCCTGAGACTAGCTCACATTATACATGGCCAGCTTTGTTGCTCTCATGGTTTATAGGAGGATGTCAGCTGTTAATCCTCCGCCTTTGTCTCTTTCCCATCTCCTAGAGCTCTTTAGTGCTGACTCTGCCATTGCTGCAGCACCCGGTATAAATGCTTCTGATGCAAAAGGTTCATTTTCCTCTTTTGTATCTGCCCTGTTTGGTGGAATGACAATTCCAGGAAAGCCCGCAGGCAATTACGGTATGTTAAATTGAGAGCTATATGGTAGTTATGCTGTTTCTACTTCCCAATAAATACAGGAAATGAGGCATTGCCTTTATTTGACCACCTCTTCTTCAAAATGCTAAATATTACATCCCTAGGTAGTGTGTGCATGTTTATCAAAATGACAGGGCATCACTGCAGAATGGTGGCAGTGGAAGACCTTTGCTAGTATTTAGCTTTTTTATTGTTGTTAGCCGCTCTGAGCCCGGCTTTGGCTGGGGAGGGCGGAATATAAATAAAATTATTATTATTATTATTATTATTATTATTATTATTATTATTATTATTTATTGTATTTGTAAAAGGCTCGATAAAGATCTCTGCACTTTAGGAGCATAGGGTGCAAAGCATTGAGTCTCTAAAGAGGTTTAAACGTTTGTAAAGTTTATCATGAAGGAATGTGTTTGGTTGCTCATAAACAGTGATGTCATCAGTAGTAGATGCCCACCACAGGCTATTTGGTTTATTGATGGATGCTGTTTGCTGTTCCACAACAGAAAGTTCACTGGGCAACTTACAATAAGTAAGTATTGGGGGGGGGGATGAAATAAGACAATAAATTGGGAACTCAAAGACACAAATACAAGAAATTCATTTTACCCATAAATTTAAAACACATAGATTTGAACAGCGAGACGTCCAGACTACATACATACACTATTTAAAAGTCTTTCATGAACCATAAGGTTTTCACCTGCTGCCAAAATAGGATGTTCCATAACTGAGGGCTTATCCACCTTTCTCTTTCTTTTGCACTTTCCATACTTTCTATTTCTGGGAAAGATATCTCATCTACTGCAACATACGAGGAACAGCATTGCGTTAATTGTGTAATAGTATTGTTACCTGGGGGAAATTGTGAATTTTGGTAGCCCATGTACCTATTGTGCTTGGGAGCATAGTGCATCAGATTTTCAAGAAAAGCTCAGCTCTGCTTAATGATCTTAAATCAGTACCGAGATTTTCAAGATATTGCACTGCGTTGGATATAAAACCTTTCTGAAAGGCTGGCCATCCATAAACACAATCCTGCTGTGGATCCTGGGATTGCAGACATGCTTACAAGACATGACAGCTGTTGCAGAATTTTTGCAGAAATTGTTTATTGCTGCCAAAGTGCTCGGGGCAGACCATTTTTATTTTTGTTTCTGCACAAACAAATCACCTTTTACATTTCCCAGGCCTCTGCAATTACCTCACTCTGGCCCCACAATAAGCACCTCCACAACACTTTATGAAATATAAATACCCCGATTTCCTAGCACAGGAGGCAGTCGCTGGAAGAGAACCAAGATGATCTGTTTACTGCAAAAATAGCAATCAGCATTGTGCATCTTTAAGTATGTTTGTTCCTAGGAATAGGAAAACAAGTGACCTCCAGATCAATCCAATTAAGTAGCCCATTTTCTATGAAGTAACAATCAAATTAAAAGCAGCTGCTTCTTGCATTACACACCATCTCAACTGCATTAAAAGGTTTGCTTGTTACTTCTAGGAAGCATGCTCAAATTGCCTTTCCGCCCACTAAAAAAAACGCACGCATAGGAACAAAAATGCATTTTTCTGCATCACTTGTGGCAGCATGCTAAGGCACAGCAGCTGTTGCCAGTCAGGAAGATCAATTAGGCAGAACCTGCCCCACCCCCTGCCCCCAATCTGTCTCTAGTGACTCCTAACATGTCTGTACCACTGCAAAGCCAGACCCCATCTAGCCTGATGTTTGGTGTTTCAGGTTTGTTGGGCAATATACTCCACACACAAAGGTGCTCTCCATACTGGCTCCCGCCCTCAAGGCCACACACAATTTTTATGTAAAAAAAAGAGAGAGGTGAGAAACCTATTGTGTGTGTTTACATACCCTGGGGAAGAAGAAGAAAAGTTGTGCAAGAAGAATTGCAATTGTGCCTGGGAACTTTGCCCACTGAGCACATCACACATTCATCTACATCTAAGTCTAATTTACATCATGCTGCCTTTTTGCCAAGACTGGCCCTCTAGGTAGCTTACCTTGAAGTCCTAAAAACTTTAACGATAAAATGAATCAGGCACACACACACCAGGCTTTCAAAATTAACATGCTCAAAAACTGACTAATAGCATCAACAAAGAAGAACACCTTAGTAAGCAAATTTTTGAAAGCTATAAAAATCTGGTGGAAAAGATAAGGTTTGGAAAAGCTCTGGAGTTACGTAATGCTGGATTCACCGATGAAAAAGCTCTGTTCCAGAACATTTCTCTACCAGCAGTAGAGGCATCTGAAGCAGTGGCTCTCCAACAGATCTTGGCACCCTGGTGATTGTGTCTGTGTGTTTCATATGTGAAAAAAACCTCCCTCAGGTCCAGGCTTCCTCAAACTCAGCCCTCCAGATGTTTTGAGACTACAGTTCCCATCATCCCTGACCACTGGTCCTGCTAGCTAGGGATCATGGGAATTGTAGGTCAAAAACATCTGGAGGGCCGAGTTTGAGGAAGCCTGCTCAGGTCAGTTGGAACTTTTTAATGTAAACCACTGCCTTGAAACTGACCTGGAGAACAACTGGTAAATAGTGCGGATCAAAAATAATTGGTGTTACATGCACTCTTGAGCCTGGCAGAATTAGCCTGTTTTAAATATACTGTAAATGGGCAACTTCAATGCCAGAAACTGAACTGGGAGAAGGAGCACCAGCTTGCAAATTTGTTTCTTTGAGTGTCAAGTGTTGGACCCATTGACTGTGTTACCCTTGCCACAACCACCATTTCTGTGCCCTAAATGAATAAATCAGATTTCACAAGAAGGTATTGCAATGCCTACCTCTGGTTTTGTATAGAATAACGAAGGAGAAAATATCTGATTTGCAAATTCTGATTTGCCAAAGTGTGGTTTGCTGTAAAGGGAACTTGATAGTTTTGTTACATAAGTCAGCTTCATGACGCTAAGCAATTTGCACAGTGCTGGGAGCTGAACTGGTGGGTGGGGATGGTGTCTCACCTCTGCCAAGAGATGCCAGAGAAGCCCTTTGAAAACGGAGTTGTCCCCAGAGGTCTGGTCACAAACACGTTTGATAACTGAATTCCCACCATGTCCCTTCCGGGACAACCAGCAAATGCATAAGATGTGAACACCGTTACAATGTTCAGAAGCAGAAAATTTGGCAGAAATGAAATGTTTGACTTCCTTAAGGATAAGGAGGACATGGGAGACAGAACCAGGTTTAGTGAGAGCTTGCAACATTATGCCTTTTAATTCTGTCTGATTGCCAGCTGGCAGCTGTGAGATCTGTTTAAAGTTCCAAATGAGAGAGAGAGAGAGCTCAGATGCTGTGCCTTCCATTCAGGCTTAACAATCAGGATGAAGGTTTTGTCTCATAACAGGTGGAAGAACAGGCCTGAAAGGGCAACAGCTACATCTTCCACCTGTTGCTTTGGATCTTCTGATGCGGGAAAAGGGAACATGTGGTCCACCAGATGCTGTTGGACTCCAACTCCCATCAGCCCCAGTCAGCGTGGTCAATGCTCAGGGATGGTAGCAGTTGTAGTTCTACAACATCCAGAGGTTCTGGACCCTGTAAAGCTGTGATCTCTGGGTTTGGCAACCCTCACATTCTGGTATTTTATACTACAGGCAACAACTGTTTTAGGCACGTCTGATATGTCAGCGACTGCAAACACGTGCATTGCGCCAACCCCAAAAGTGAGCCAAAAACGTCACAAAAATGTGTGGCACAGGGTGGGGTGTTTGCAGCCTTTATCAATGGTGTTTCAAATATACGTGATTTCATTTGAATGCATGGTGCCTTGGAACGTAACCCCCGTGTAAACTGGGAGTTTCCTGTATGTTGTACTTTAAATGTTTGGCAATGCTACATTTACTTACATTGGGATCTATTGAGTGCTTCTTCTTTTTCCTTTGGCAGCAGCTGCTGGAGGTGAGACACCTCTTAGCACTTTTGGATCACGTGGCCCCAGCCATTCCAAAGGATGAGCTGCCATCTGCCTTTCATTCTCCTACAAGCATTCAGGGGATGTGGGGTTCAACTCGCTTTTAAAGTAGCATCTCCTAACGAATCAGTCAATGACATGACTTTTCCGATGCGGCTCCTTTTAGGTATGCATTTGTTTCGAGTAAGCTCTTGAGTATGGCCCAGTCCTTTTTATATTGAAATCCACGATCCTCGATAACATTTTATTATGAGGTTTGCTATTTTTGGTACCACTGTTACTTTGTCATGAGCAAAGCACATAACATTTCATGATATGAAATCATTATGGGTACTGCCGAGTTCATTACTAGGGCATCTCACTGTATTAAGAATGAATCAATAGCACATACTAATATGGCAGCGTGATACCGAGCTGGAGTTATGAATAGCGCATCTAGAAATAGACAAGAGTATTCTCTGGGCCTTTGTCTACTCCTCTTCCATTATCTTGTACAATTGTTTTCTCCCAGGTGATGCGATGGGTTTAGACGGTGATCTAATGATTTTGTTTAAAGTTGTATGGGCATCATATTGTTGTTTTTCTTTCTTGAAATTTGGAAAAAAGACGTCCTTAAGGTCAGGCCTTGCACTCTGCAAACGCCTTCTATGCATCCTTCATTGATTTGTGCATATTTTAGAGGCCATGCTATATGCAAGAATTTATTGGAAGTTCCTTGGAGGAAGACCATTATTTGGTTGCTTGTTTATTTCCTTATCACATTTTTTATCCCACCCAACAACAAAGCACAAACAATAAAATGAGCACACACACTCTTGCCCCAAAATCAAATCACAATAAAATGCAATGTGGAACTTTCCTTTGTGCTTGGTCTGGAAATCGCAGTTGTGTAGAATGCCACAGCACGACTGCTGACAGGAGTGAGAACCTGTCAGCATATTACATCCTTACTCAAGGATGTGAACTGGTTGCCAATTTGTTACTGGGCCAAATTCAGGGTGCTTCTGTTAGTATATAAAGCTCTCAACAGTTTGGAGCCAGTTTACTTTATGGATCACATTACCCCACATATGCCCACTATGGCTGCTCCAATCTGCATAACTGGCCCTTTTCCAAGTGTCACATACAGTTCATTCTGCACTTGTAAATAGGTATTTTACTGTGGAAGCACCTATTGTCTAAAACACCCTGTTGCTGTGCTGTTATTGACACCTGCTAAAAGATTTGACATGTAATTTTGTTATGTACATTTGTGTGTGTGTGTGCGTGTGTGTGTTTTAATCTGGTCATTGAAACTATATTTTGATAATTTTGTGCCTGTTTTAAAGTCTGTTCTTGTTGCTATTTTTAATTGAATATTTAAACAATTTTATGTAAACTAGAGATTTAAAATAAAATGGTATATGCATAAGCAGTAGGAGAATTTGCACTCCCCCAGTCCTTCTCACATTGGTCCTCTATCCCTCTAACTTGTGCTGTTACCAGCTTAAAATGAATTTGCAGTTCAGTCTCATCCAAGACAGACTGGAAGTGCCTAGCCACCTTGCCCAAGCAAGGGACATTTTATGGCTATCTGATAGTTGATGCAAACCTCTGTGTCCAAGGGGAACTTCAGAAGCAGCCTCGCAGCTGCCTCCTTCAAGTTGATTCATAAATGGAGCTTCAAGTTGATTCATAGCTTGCAGTAGATAAATTCATAAATTTATCTACTGCAAGCATTCTAGACCCTTCAGGTCTGAACTGTCAACTTCAGGTAAGAAGCTGAATGCCCATTATAACAAAGCCCAGATCAGGAATTGTACTTTTTTGGGGGACACATTGCCCAAACAGCTCAATCGATTGGATAAGTCCACTTACTTTAAACACGGTGTTGTAGCCTGACCACGGCCCCATGTCAGCAATCCACCAGCTGGCTGGGAAGAACTGCAGACCTGCCTGCGAACTGACCAATGGCAGGAGGGCCTGGGTCTGGGGATTCCCTGGGGGCAGGCCCAACTGGGCAACTGGCATCACTTGTGTCCGCCCCCCAGGGAATAAATTGACGCTGACACAACACTCCTCCCTGGTTTTTCCATCAGATCTCCCAAACTCCAACCCTTTTTGCAAATGCTTCTTCTGTCATGCTACGACCTTGCTATGGACATTGTCGGCTGCCGTATTCGGGGCCGAGCAGGAATTTTTCCACTCAGCAAATTTGGTTTTCACCTACTTCACAGCAATCGTCACAACTTGGTGAGGTTAGGCATTGGGTAAGCCTTGGTCTTGGTTGGAGGAGAGGCTGTAGCCTGGGCCTGTCGCTTCTTGGTTAAGCGTATCCCATTAAAGGGGTCCATTCCCTGCCTTGAGATGGAAGCACAGGCATACTTAGGGTCAGTATCAGTGCCCACAGCAAAGAGCTGCATCGCCCCCGCCCCCCAAATCACTTTACTGTAATAGCCACTTTATAAATTACTACATTTTACATGACCCAAGTACTCAAAGCACTCAGAGGGAGGGCAAGGCAAGGAGGGAGGGTGGAAAAAAGCACACCTTTGTGCCACAGTGCGAGAATGGCGGGAACTCGTCGTGACACACATATACTTCATAAACTTCACAGGTTGATAGGGAATTTTTGTGCCCCCACCCCAGACCTGCACCCCCAGCAGGGGCTGGTTTCCCCGAACCCTAGGTATTCCTCTAGATGCCAGGACTGAATGCAAAGCCCTTTCCTTTGTTCCTATTCACACTGGGAGGTTGGGTTTTTACAGCCCTTAGCCTGAGTTTTGGCTTGTGCGGGGGAAAAGTTGTACAAGAACGTAATATTGGGTGTGATGATGCGGAAATGGGAGAGGTCTGGGACTGTGGCTGTGCTTAATGTCCAGAAAAAAAGATTTGACCCTGACCTGGAAAGAGATGCTGGGGCTGAGCCCTGGTGAGCCCTGGCACCAAAAGGCCGAAACCAGGCCCTATGCTTCCAGTTTGATAGGAAGCTCCTCTGGGCTCTCAACTGCACCCACCCCCAGCTGGCTGTTGCCTGTCCTCAGTTCATGCAAATGGTGTCCAAGTTAGGGGATTCGTCTTCCTCTTTAAATGACAGCCCAAAGTCCTGCTCCTTCTTCTCTCCTCTCTTGTTATAAACAATGCAGCGGATAAAAGTGTAATAAGAACCCTAAAAGTGCTCCTTCAGTGGAGCTGATTGCTTGTGTGACTGCTGCCTAATCAGTGTGTGAAGCCCCTCTCCTTAACTGAGCCCTTGCGACATCAGCATGAGGCCATACCCATTTCACAGGCAATACCCCCAAATGGAGCTGGCTAAATGGAACAATCCCCGAGATGCAGGGGGAAAGCATTTTTATTACCGGTATATTTTATTTTTCAGCCTATGGAATCTCAGTGGGCTGCTGCGTCCAGTAATTATTCTTTTTCACCCGTGCTATTAACTTTTAAGTGGCATTCTCCACTGAAATTAATGGTATGTAGAGCTTACGGACACATTCAGAACACTTTATTTTGCTCTGAAATGTGTTGCTGTGTGCGTTGAAACATTACTATTTCCAGCTGATATTATGGCTTTAAAAAACACAAAAACAAACACCCCCAACTTATCTTTCCTACTCAATTTTTTTCTTCTTATGTTTCAATTGCATTTTCTACCAGCCATAATGCCAGTAGCATAAGTAAACAAAACTCCATGATTATTTCTCCCTCTCTCCCCAGCCCTCCCTCAAATAACAACAATCCAATCCTAGAAGTTAATTATGATCGTCCAGGAAATTACGCACCATGGAGAAGGGTATCCATTTATCAAGGTTGCATTTACCAGCGACTGGTGGTATGTTTTTTTTTTTTCTGACTCAGCTGACAAGAAGAAAAAATAAAGTTAGTGATGGCCCAAGCCTTGGGCCATTTCTGGTAATAATGTGAAGCGCTCAAGCCATTATTAGCTTAATGGTTTAATTTAATAGATCATTCCTGGAGGTAGGCTTTATAGTGCAAACAGCTAGAAAAAGCAAAGTTAATAATAGCTTGAACTGCACAGATCTTTATATAGGAATTGGCCTTCAGCACTAATTATGTTTTGCTTTTCAAATTTTAAGCAACACCTCTTGCTCGATTATTTCAGGTCCCCAGCTTGGATGCTTGGTGTTTCATTATCGTTTGTTATGCTCTGGAATGTATTATGGGAGCACTGAGCTGCAAACCCCTCTGGTTTGAATTTACCTGCTTCCAAATTATGTTTAGGAACGTAGCTCCAACACCGTGTAATATCAGTGAAGAAACAAAACTCCTGCTAAAATCATTATGGTGCACTTATGACTTGTTCACATGCTGCAGGGAAATGCAAAAGAAGGGATTTCAGCAGGTCTGGCTCACATGGCATCCCCTCTTCTATACAACTGTTAAACATGCCAGAGCCCTGACCCCTTTACATCCTATGGCCAAACCCCAAATGCCAGGTTCCACCCCACTCCTCCCTTTGAACAGGTTCAGGGTTATTGCTGCAGGTGGCTAGTTACTAGTTCAGCACTTGCTGCCCCCAGTGCGGCTGCTATGGAGTGCCTGTTCCAGTCTGCAACAGCCTTGGATGAGATCAACCAACATCTGCAAAAAAAAGCCTCCTGGAGACACTTCCTTGGTGGAGCCATAAGAAGGATTAACAAAGAGATGCTGGGTTTGCTGAGTAGAGTCAGTTGCCCACAGAAATATGAACAGGGTGCTGGCTATGGGCTCTGTTCTGCAGGAAGTGGATGAGTAAGAAAGACTTGATGTGAAGAACAATCCCCCTGAAACCTAACTGGGCTGGATCTAGACACATCAAAAATGGGTTTCAGGAAAACACGTTGTAAACTTCATTATGGGAAATCACGTTGGTGAAAGACTCCACAGAGCCATATGGTGTCACAGTTTTATAATGCATATAAAATGCTTTTTCTTTACTAATGTAGCTGAATCCCCAGGCCTGTTATGTTGGTAGTCTAGGAGCAACATTTGAGAGGACTTTTAAGAAATGGTGGTGGCGGCGGCAGCATCATCAAACACAACCATTATTCTTGCCACTCCCCACCCCCCACCCCAGCTGGGATGCTTCATGGTTATATTGTGTGTGACTTGCCTGCCCAGTCTGCAGTAAAAGCTGCCCTTCCTTCTCTGGGTTTGGTTCCCTCCATAGTCAAGTGGCAATTAGTTGGAGTCTTAGACCACATTCACCGCTTACATGTAAAGCACTATGAACCCACTTTAAACAGTCATGGCTTCACCCAAAGAATTCTGGGAGCTGAATAGAGCCCCTATTCCCCTCCAAGAGCTAAAATTCCCAGCATTTCCTGTGAAGAGGGATTGATTGTTAGCACTCTATAGGAATTGTAGCTCTCAGAGGGGAACAGGGGCTCCTAAAAACTCAGTACCGTTCACAAACTACAGCTCCCATAACTATTTGGGGGGAAAGTTATGACTGCTTAATGTGGCATCATAGTGCTTTAAATATTTGGTGTGAATGTGGCCTTAGTCTTGCCTGTGTAGCAAGCCTTACTTGCTATGTTGAGTTGTCCATCTGTTGTTCACAAATAAATACAGCTATTGAAGTTTTCCTGACTTCTGCTTCTTCCTGATATTAGAGGCTGACCCACTGGAGTTTTCTCACACAGTGAGTATCCTTCCCAAGCCCACAGGATGTGGGTCATTGGAATCCATTTCAACAGTTTATATACCACTCATTTCTAAGTGGTTTACAATGGGGTTACACAAGATTAAACTGGTTAAATTAACCATAAAATGAGAAAAAAATAAATGCCAAAATTTCAACAGGGAGGGGGCCCATCTGATCTCAGCCAGGAGGGGATTTTGCAGAACTGGGCCCACAATATTGAGCCTGGCAGATGCAAGCCATGCATTCAGCAAAAGCACAGCTTTAGCACCCGCACAGAAACATATCCAGAACTGGCTGAGTGGTGGTGCAAAATCAGCATTGCATGATCTAGCGGAGGGTTCATGTGGCCAAATGCTGACTAGTTGTGCGCATTCAGGGTTGCCTCCCCCCTTCCTTTCCCTCCCCTTCTCCCATGTCTTTAATAGCATCCCCAGAAAGTTTCTCTCCGGTTGTGGGAGAGAGTTAGTGGGGAAAGCTAAACCAGATTTATGATGACAGGCCAACTCTCGGTTGAAAGGTGCTCGAGCAGAAGAAGACTAGCATTCATATGTGAGCTGACCCTGACACAACCTCAGAGGCATTGGTGTGCAGGCTGGAAGTGAGGAGCTACACAGTCTTCCCTGGGTGCTGCAAATTCAAGCTGCCACTCCTGTTGCTTTCCTGAGTAAACAACTAGAATAACTGATTTGGAGGCTGCAAAACGACTCCTGAAGCCTGCAAGGGGGTTGTTGGCTGTTGTGTCAAGGTGACTGATAATGCAATAAAAAGGATCCTGGGGAAAGACCCTGGAAGGATGTCTAGAGCAGCTAGAGCAGTCTTTCAGGACTGGGAGAATGTAGCACCTGAAGTTTATAGAGGGTAAAAGGCATGGATAAACAAGTGCAGGGGGAGGGGGATAAGGTTAGCTTACTTACTTATGTGAGGGGAACCATTAAGTTTTCTGCTTGCAGGTTAAGGAAGTGTGGCACAGGTGAAGGCATTCTTCGTCTCTCTCTGAAGTGACTCTCTGATACCAGAAGTAAGCTGGGGTGCTGAAAATCTGGTTGTAGCAGAAGGTGCAGTGAAGAAAGACAGGGGACGGGGTTAGGCACCCCTCTTTTTCCAGTAAATTGTATTTCCTCCTTTATATTTGGAACAGGGGATACACATGGCTAAAATGCACAACAGCCCTCTGTCACATCTTCTTAGGCTACGCACAGTAAACAAAAAACAGAAAGAAAGAAAATCCTTCAGTCTTGAATGTGGTATGTCAGCTATGAGGCGTTCCTCTCACATGCCCCGGAATACATCTGTACATATTTTCTCTTTAAAATGTAGAGTCAATGCAAATGTATGAAGTGCCACAGGTGGCTTAGAAACTACTGTTTGATTTCAGAGATGACAAGAGCGGGTTGTTGTTGTCCAGGAGTCCAGCAATCAGCAGAGGTCCTAGAGAATGTAGCAGAGGTGGCCAAGGTCAGGTTTATTCTTGATCGTGGAATGCAGTTGGCAAATAAATTCTGAAGCAGTTATGAAGAGCCCTGCTGCAGCCAGTGGCCATCAATAGCCTTGTCCTCCATGTATGTGCCTAATCCCCTTTTAAAGCCATAGAAGTTGGTGGTCTTCGCACCTAGCAGAAGCACAGTCCATAGTTTATCTATGAACTGTGTGAAGAAGCCCTTCCTTTTGTCTGTCCTGGATTTCTCAGGCTTCAACTTCACTGGATATCCTTGGGTTCTACGTACTATTACAAGAAAGGGAGGAAACATTCACCCACTTTCTCCAGAATATACATAATTGTATATAGTTTTATCAAGTACACCTTCATTTGCCTTGTTGGTCTTGCGTTGGACATCTGCTTGCCTTTACCTTAAACTAAAAAGCCCTAACTGTTGTAACCTTAGTTCCATTAATGGTTTTTCATTGCTAAGAATAAATAGTTGGGTGCCACACAGGAGCTGCATGTGATTTTTTGCAAATGTAGACATGTGGTGTCCAGGTACAATCTTGTGCAATGCCCTTAGCTAAATAGAAAAAACAACGGAAGCAATTTGTCTGCTCTGGATACTGAAACAGCAGACATAGATCCTTGGCAAAGCAGATGTAAAGAGCTCCAGTAAACCTGGCCATTTGGAGTGTGCAATTTTAGACACACTGGAAGAAGTTTATGTTGGGAAATTACTTATCAAAATCAGGCTCTTTTATGGTCATTCATCCAAATTTACTAATTCATTTTCTTTTGTAACTTTTTCCTTTTTTTTAAAGGAAGACCCTCTACTATTTCCATTCCCAGAAAGCAGATGTTTATGAACTTACACCATTTGCTTTTTTTCCAAAAGTAAAAGCTGGTTAGTTTATTACAGCACTTGCTCTTGCATTTGGGGTGTGGTTTTAGGGATAAACGCGGGATTTCCTTGCATATATATATATCTCTAATTCAGCTTTTAGAAAGCATTATGATGCTACTCAGTGCTGGCAGGAGCGGGTGCAATAAAAATGGGTCAGGCAGTGGAAATCTGTGAGCTGCTGGCTGAGGCAGAGGGAGGAGGACCACGACTTTTCCGGGATACTGCTGCATGGAGTAGAGTAGATGTTACAAAAGGAGGCTTCTGATTGGTTGTTCAAGGCGTCCCTTCTTTATTATTGCTGGAGGTGAGGGGTGCCATATTCTTTTCCTCTGGTGGCTACATAGTTTTAAACCATGGGTAGGCAAACTAAGACCCAGGGGCCGGATCTAGCCCTATCACCTGCTAAATCCAGCCTGCAGACGGTCCGGGAAACAGCGTGTTTTTACATGAGTAGAATGTGTCCTTTTATTTAAAATGCATCTCTGGATTCTTTGTGGGGCATAGGAATTCGTTCATTTCCCCCCCAAAAATATAGGCCGGCCCCCCACAAGGTCTGAGGGACAGTGGACCGGCCCCCTGCTGAAAAAGTTTGCTGACCCCTGTTTTAAACCCACAAGAGCCAGCAAGGTAGGAGTACAAAGGGGAACATGGACTTCATGTGAGTGGATTAAAAAGTCCAAGTAGGACCCTCACCAGAGAGGAAGGGCAAACGAAACTGATGGACTATGCGGTGGTGGTGAAAATGACTGGGAAGATCAGAAACCAGGAAGGACAGACTTTTAATAAGGAATGGGGGAAATTTATAACGTACCTTAGAGACCACTGTAAACAGCTGAGCTCCTTAGTAGGATTTAAATAACACTTGTAATGTAACAAGAATTAGGAGTACATGGGATTTATTTATTTTTAATTGAGTGATTTAAAATATGCAGCAGAAAAGGATTAGTGACAGAACCCATGGAGGGGTGGGGGGAAGTCCAGAGATTTGATTGAGTCTTTGTTTATTTTTTTATTTACGATTTGGAATGTAAATTTTAATTTGTAAAATGAAATAAAAATAAATAATAAAGAAGTCCACGTAGGGCCAACAATCCTTTAGCTCTGTATCTGTGCCTTCAGTGCACAAAATTGCCATTATGGGGCTCCCAGTTAAGACTGGGATCCTAGCAAAGGGTAGGTAGGCTTTTATCCCTGTAGCCCTCCTACAGTTTCCATTCTCCCTGACCATTGGCTATGCTGGCTGGGACTGAGGGGAGCTGGAGTCCAGCCATATATGGAAGGCCACAACTTACCTATC